CAATGTAATTTATGAAGTGTATGAGGGGTAGCCCCATGACTTCCTCTCCTTTGAAATTTATGAAGTACCATAATATCATTAAATAAATATTACATTTACAATGACCTGGGTTAGATTAAAGCCTTTGAAAACTGAATTTTAAAATTGAGCAATGCCTTGATTGTAAGCTCCACATCTAAACACCTATCTCACGATCTCCTCTTCCTTTTAAATGACTTAGAGTATAATTAAGATTATAACAACTAAATGTACCTTTTTTTTTATGAACATAGAGGTAATTGGTTGTATACTATTCTTTATTTTGTCCATCATTAGATGTTATTTCAATCATACAAGACTATTATTGTGAACAATCTCTAGTAGTTCACATCTTTGTTAAATTTGAGCAAAACTAGATATTACAATATATTATGAAATATTGTTATTATTTATGACTTCATGAGAGATTCTTAGGTTTTAGATCAATAAGATCAACATAAATTTAAAATGTGAATGTAATTAGTACCCAAATTTGGTATCAAGGTACAACCTAGGCTTTTCAAATTTATGTTAGAGAAGGAAATTTTATTTCCAAAATTAAATATCAAAAGATAATAATTTATGTGATGACATATTGAGATTTGCTACTAACAATATAATCATAATGGCAAACAATATATACAATCAAGGATAATAAATGATTGTCTACAAGTTATGTCACACATAAAAATAATTAAATATAATAAAATAAGAAAAACTCTTTAAATTAAATTTATTTCACAAATACTAATATACAAAACATCTCAAAGGTTATCATAAAATAGGAAATATAGCTTGACAAAATGTGTAGTTATTGATCACCAAGATGAAGGAAATGAGGTAGTTTGTCCTTAGAACAAAGCATTAATTCTTCATCTTAATGTTCAATACACATGATAAATAACTATTCATGTGATATCATAATATAATTACAAAATATTCCTTGACAAAGATCAACATGTTACAATACAACATGTGATATTATCAAGTTGAGTACATTACATTAGATCTTATGAAGTATCATTAAGATTTTTCTCAAAGTTTAATATTAGAGTTCTACTTTTGGTTTTCATTAAATATTAATTAGGCTATTACTTAAACCTCACATTTCACCTTCTGGGCCTTTGGATGATTACGCTTTATGCTTCTTTGAGTCTTGATGTTATCCTTATAAGCTATTTCTGATATATATGATATATTTTTTTAATCTTACACTCCCTTTAGAAATATGTTTATTCATTATCATGATACTTTTTTGTACTTGAATAATGTCTTTGACTGCAACATTAAATAGTGTCCTCATCATTTATAGACTCAAATAATGAAATAATTTCATTTCAATCAATAAATTAGTAAGACTATTGCTTGCATATCTAGTTTCTCAAAACTAACCTTCAAATGATTTCTTCTTAGTACCCTTAAATCTTGGACACATTCTCAATAGAACTTCACCTTCGCTATTTTTCTCAACTATATCATTATCTATGATGTGATCCATAAATTTTCAAATTCACTAACATATTAAGGATATTATAACTAACATATACACAAAAATAATATTGTGAATGGGAGATGATTACCTAAGTAAACAACCTACATGAAATGTTTATGTTACCCACTAAATCAACTTAAAAGTGATTCATCAAGTATCATAGACCATTCTCTTCCATTAATGAAATATTACATACTTGGTAACTTAATAATGATATAAATAATTTGTTAGTTTTCTTCTTTGAAGGTTCACCCATTAGACCTATATGATATTGGGAAATAATAGACACTATTACTACTTACTCCAAAGTTAGGAAGTCAAGTAATTTAATTGTGTTGTCTGATTTTGATTTGAGCTTTGCTTGTTAGGCAATCTAAGGATCTAATCTATAGGGCCATATCCTAGTTTGGAATTGAACTATAAGTCAATATTCATGAACTATGGTGTGATATTTTAGGCTCTAACTCACATGATTACATGTGAACAAAGTTGTTATATCCACTTAGGGTCCAACAACTATTGTGACACTTGCCTCATAGACGAACAAGGTTTTCATGAGTTGAAGGACACTATTGGCTAAGGACAATGATTTGAGTGGGCATGCATATGATATATCATTCAGCATGACCTGGTACATAGAGGCATGTCAAAGACACACAAGTATACAACAACATGACATGACAAACACAAGTGATAGAGGCTCACACATAGGTACACATGACTCAAGTGAACTGCTCCATTGGGTAGTAGCAAAGGTTCTTAAAAATCATTCATAAACCTCATAGGTGAAGTGCACACATGCAATGTACATTAAAACACAATATAACATAACAAGTGTGGAGCACAAGAGGCTTGTGCTTATACATGACTTAAAAGAATGACTCTATTAGGCCACTTGGCCTAACTTACTCTCATAAAAGAAAACATGCCTACTCTAAGGAGGGGTCCAGCCCACTAGTGAAACCACAAGTTAGGGCATCGAATACCCTCAAACTTTTCAAGCTTTCTATGCCCTAACTCCAATTGCCTTCTCTTTTTTCACTCTCCCTTTGATTTTCCTTCCATTATGCTCAAGGTCATCACAAACTCTACCGTCACAAAATGAGGTTCTAAGGAGCATTTGCATGAACCTTAGACACTATTGGCATGAAGCGACTTGAAGATATAGCACAATCTAGCAAGATGACAAGATGACAATGACATGATTTGACACAATGCAACATGGATATAGTGCATGAGGATCGCATACATGGGCAACTAGATGAGTACACTAATTGAACAACACAACCTCATTATCACTCAAGATCATTGTAAGGATAGTCAATGGCTATCTGATTGGTTGGTTGGTTAGGGCTGCTATAATAATCAACCAGCTCTGCTTGATGCCCACCATGGTTTTTATGATAATAGTTAGGTTGCTCAATGATATAAACTCATTCTTCTATAAAGGAGACTAAGAAGGGACACTATGAGGAGTGAACTCATAATTGAGAAGCCAATATATTTAACAAGTTCTTCTCATAGTGTATCATCCTTATGGAGTGAGGGGTACAACCTACCTTGAGTCTTATCATTTCTCCATAGTAGTTGAGGTTGACATTAGGAAGCAAAAGGATAGTAGGCTTAGTTGGATCCCTATGACAGCTACAAATAGAATAGGGGCATTACTACCCCAGCCACTTGAGTGAGCTGGCTACCTATCTAGGCTTAGTGGGCTACCTATTCATACAAGATCTTCCCTACAAAAATTTCACAAAGCCCACATGAGTCAACCATGTGCCTTGGATAACTCAAGAACTAATGTAAATAGAGTTTTCAGAGCCATATATGCTGATGTCTAAGAGAATGTGCTGCTTGGTAGGTCAATTGATGGCTCCCCTTTGCTGTAGGAACCTAAATATATAATGGGAGACAAAGGGGAGAGGATTGCTAGGGCCTATTACCCTTTGCTGTTATTCATGTTCCCCTCATTGCTCAGCCGAAAGGAGAAGACTGAGATAAAAAATAGAGATGCAACAAAGGAGTAATGAGTGATAAGAGAAACATGGATTGGGGAGAAAGTGGAAAAGAAAATGAATATCTCTCTCTCTCTCTCCCTCAAAAGTATCCACAAGAATATTTATCTTCATAATCCCAAGAGAGGGGAGCCTTGGGCACATTGATATGTGTACAATACAGTCCCTATGACAAAAGGATATTCACTCATAAGCATGTATGTGCAAAAATACCAATACTAAGAGGGTATTGTTATTTATTGAAGCAAAATCTCATTCAATTCTTGATCGAAATGGGGTTTCACAAATTCACATAATTAGAAGATCATTTCACAATCTTCAAGCATATTCTTGGGTTCAACTTGATTGGTTAAATAATAAATACAAATGACTACTCAGCATAAAAATTTAAAATGCTAGCAAAAAAATCAATTTTAAACGATTGAGTGAAAATTGATGTACGACAATTCCAATATGATTGATCACATATGAGACAGTAAAATTCCTCTTATTTGATATTTAAGAAAAAGTAGTACTACATTACTAATAATCAATATGCATATTTGCTAATGAAATTCGCACACCACATTAAACTAGAAGTAGAAAAATGGCAGCCAGTTTAGTTGTTGATAAGCACACAACTACAATGAAGTGCTCAGGTTGCAATATCATCACCTAGATAGGCATTTAGCTGTCACCCTTGGTGACTCTCAACTAATTAGTTATCAAAGACACCTAAGAAAAACATCCTACCTAACAGGAGAGCACACGTGAAGGAGAGGCGGTCTCCTGTGCTTTTGGCAGCAGACACGATGTCGAGCTGCAGCTGTTCCTTTCTCATAGACCCCTGGCTGACGATTCAGATCCCAACGGTCATCGTCACCGCCACCCTGTACTACATCCTGTCGCTGGATTACCCAATTGTTGGGCCGTCTTCTCTTCCAAACCAAAGATGGGCCCACCGATCGCACGTTATGGGATTAATGGGCCTATATTTCCCCGGCCCATATATGAAATGGGCCTCAAATGCCAGACTACAGAGTTAGGCCTACAAGATATAGTTAAATGGGCCGTGGAATTAGCGTTCCAGTAGGAGTCCCTTCTTCAAGGTCCATAATGAAGTGGGCCGAGAATAGCAGACTACAGAGTCGGGAAAGGAGTTAGGTCCGCAATATATGATCCAATAGGCTGTAAAATTAGTGGGCTGAGACTTTTCCACAGCCCATACATGAAGTGGGCCTCGAATGGTAAATAGCGCTGTGCGTTTAGTATGGCTTCCTGGGTCGACCCTTCGCCTATATGAGAAGTGGACCTCGAATGGCAGAGAACTGGGATAATGAGTAGGTCCCAGAGAAATCGTCAAATGGGCCATACCTTGTCGCGAGTGGGGCCCAGAGTTCTGAAAACGCTCAATCGTTGGGGGGATAACCCCAACCGTCCCTCTTTCTCGCTCTCTGTTGTACTTTCTTTCTCACACAGACAAACAGCGGCCATCCATGGAAGCACTGATTCGGACCCCCTACGAGGCCACTGTGAAGGCAATGCTGGCCTCCTTGGAGAGGAACCTCCTGCCGGATATGGTGGTGAGGCAGCTGACGAGGCTCCTCCTGGCGAGCCGGCTGCGCTCGGGGTACCAGCCGTCTGCGGAGCTCCAGCTCTCCCACCTCCTCGACTTTGCTCGCTGTAAGCACTAGAACTTGCCGGGGGGAGTTGCTTGGTGAACCGCCGTCGGTAGAGTTTCTGAGGTTTCGTTTCGCGTGATTTCGCAGCGTTGGATCAGATGCCCATAGCTGTGGAGACCGAGAAGCCCAAGGCCCAGCACTACGAGCTGCCTACCTCTTTCTTCAAGCTGGTGCTCGGGAAGAACCTCAAGTATAGGTACGTGGAGGGTTAATGTGACGTAAGATTGGTCCTTGCTGGTGCCTCTTCTCTGCTTTCACAATCCTTTTCTTATCGTGTTCTTGCGAAACGGAAAATTTTCGTGCGGAGGTTTTTGTTAGCTCTTCGGCTAGCTAACTACTTCGTCGACGTAGGGTCGCCGGGCGTTGGGGATATCCCTTTTCTCAGGTCCTAATGCTGGAATCTTTTCATCACGGTGGTCTATGGTTTTTTATTTTGTCTTCCCGTTGCGGCTCTTAAGCTGGATACTTGAAGTCAGTTGGATTGCCACTTTTGTGATCTACGAGAACATACGTTTAAGATTTTGAAGAACTGGTTTGGCAAGTGTGTGCTTATTTTACCATTTTTAACATGTTGATGGATTTATCTATATCTTAATGGGATAATAAATTGTATCGTGTGATGGAATGATGAATATCAGTCCTTTATATAGGGAAGGTAATTACTGTAAACTTCAAAATCTTCGTTTGAACTAATGGTTTCTTCAGAAACTTAACAAATTCTAGTAAATCTCGTTTTTACTTTTTAATTGGAATTATTCTACCTCTTTCAAATAAAAAAATTAGTATTACAAAGTGCAAACCTGCTTGTTTATGAATCCTGTCTGCTGGCTGGGTGAAGCAGAATGCCACAATGCACCAGTGGAAGACATGATTTCACAAATTCTTAGCGAAAATCATTATTTTTCTGTAATTTCATTCGTAGTTGAAAGGAATATTGAGCGCTGGATATTACATAATAATTCAATTTATTATTTAAAAAAATCTTGAACGCCAACTAGCATGCATGTTATTCGAGGAACACTAATGCTGACTACACTGTTTTTGCACAGTTCTTGCTACTTCCTTGACAAGTCAAACACCCTGGACGATGCTGAGGATCAAATGTTGGAAATGTACTGCACGAGAGCTCAAATAAAAGATGGGCAGAGTATTCTTGATGTTGGATGCGGCTGGGGTTCATTTTCACTTTATATAGCAAAGAAACACAAGAACTGCAATATTACCGGAATCTGCAATTCTTTAACACAGAAGGCTCACATAGAGGAGCGGTGTAGGTGAGCTTAGATCAAATTACGTCCTTCTGTGTGCCTTCGTATCGTATCTTTGTATCTGGTGTTTAATCTCTTGCGTCCCATCCATTTTATGATTCTACATGGCCATTTGGAGACGCTGTTCAAAGAGACTTTTAGGCACCTTACCAAGATAACCCAAGAAAATGAAATATCCTTATTATTAGTATTGTTTCTGTTTTCTGCCATTCCAGAAAAAAATTCTGAAATGGTTTTCATATAATTGTTCTCGAATCAATTATGAAATATAGTTCTCAAGTTGCTTGTTTTGTCAATGTTCCTCTTTTGTGAAAGATGATTGTTTTCATGAGCTTTGGGAAAGCGTAAACCTATCCTGCCTTGTATGTGCTGCTGAAATTAGGAAACAGAGTTGTTTGCTGCATATTTGAAACCGTGATGGTTCGGTAGGTTTCAAGCTTAAAGATCTCGGTGATGTATACATTACAGATTGCAAGAGCACCGAGATCAGAAAGTGTCATGTTTTCCCACAGAGAAGGAAAAAATCTCCTTTATTTCGTTCCGATTCCTCGGAAGAAAAGCTTCTAATGGCCTTTCTCCCTCTCTCTCTCTCTCTCTCTCTCTCTCTCTCTCTCCCTTTCTACTTTTCTACCTACTGTTGGTCTACTCTCCTTTTTCGCCGCTTCACATTTTTGTTTTGTGCTACTAAAGTGTCCCATTAGAAAGCCCTGGTTCTAAATATCATCTTCGTGATTTCACAATTTCTTGTTGGAACCAGAGGGCATCTAGGTCTGCGAGTTCATTTCATCACTTTTTGTCATATCTGGAAACTTTCTGAGTCAAGGAAATTATTTAAATTTCTTTTATGCAGGGAGCTTCAGCTCTCAAATGTCAGCATCATCGTTGCAGACATTAGTAAGTTCGAAATGGAGGCATCATTTGACCGTGTCGTATCAATAGAAATGTTTGAGGTATGCAACAGTTGCAAGCTTACGTTTTTTACACAGTTGGCTGATGCTAATGCTGAACCCCATCTCTATTTATAGCACATGAAGAACTACAAAGTGCTGTTGAAGAAGATATCTGGGTGGATGAAAGAGGATAGTCTTCTTTTTGTACATCATTTCTGCCACAAAGCATTTGCTTATAACTTTGAGGTACATTTGATTTTCCATTGAAGTCATCACATTCCCCCCCCCTCTCTCTCTCTCTCTCTCACACACACACACACATGTGCACGCACTTTTCATGTGGACTCTTATTTAGAGTTTTGACGATGCAATTGATGAACATTGCGCCCAGGACATAAATGAAGATGACTGGATTACGAGATATTTCTTCACGGGGGGAACAATGCCTTCTGCGAATCTACTTCTATATTTCCAAGTAAGCTATGGATTTTTATAGGCCTGTCTCCCAAGCATGTTATTGTGTACTTTCCAAGTTTTGAGTGTGTAATTTCCATATCTCGTGCTTAAATTCTAATTGTTCTACATCAGTCCTCCGCTCTGTGGATCCATAAACCTTTTTGAGTATTTTGTATGTTTTTGTTTTGTAGGATGATGTCACCGTTGTCGACCATTGGCTTGTGAATGGAAAACATTATGCACAGACAAGGTATGCCATCTTGGGGGCATATTCAGACTGCATCTGAGATGAGAAATGCATCTAATCTATCATATTCTGTGACAAAACTTGAACCATGCAGTGAAGAGTGGCTCAACAGAATGGATGAGAATTCACTTGTCATTAGGCCAATTATGGAATCTACCTACGGAAAGGCAGAAGCCACAAAGTGGACTGTTTATTGGCGGACATTCTTCATTGCTGTTGCAGAGCTCTTTGGATACAACAATGGGGAAGAGTGGATGGTGGCCCATTTTCTCTTCAAAAAGAAGTAAGCTCTGAATGACTTCTATGTCAAAAAGTGCAAGGATATTGGAAGCTTCCCTTTGTCAAGCTGAATAAATTGTGACAAACTGGCTCACTAGCTCATTGACTCTACTAGTTTGAAGATTTCTACAATAAACACTTTCTGTATGGTGCATTATGCCAATGTAATCTATGGAATGTGTGGGAAGGGGGGTTAGCCCAATGACTTCCTCTGCACATAAAGTACTATACTATCATTGAATAAATATTACACTTAAAATGACCCACTCTAGATTAAAGCCTTTAAAAGAATTAGAGTATAACTAAGGTTGTAATATTTAAATGTACCTATCTATTTTTTATGAACATAAAAGTAATTGGTTGTATACCATTATTTCTTTTGGCCGTCATTGGATGTTATCGTGGTGATACAAGACTATTGTTGTGGACTATGAAATGAAGGGCTTTGCAAGTTCACCTCTTTGGCAAATCTGAGTGAAACTAGATGTTACAACATATCATGAAATATATTTCATTATTTTATAACTTTATGAGAGATTCCTAGGTTTTAGAAATGTGCATGCAATTAGTGCTGATATTTGGTATCAAAGTATAAACTTGGCTTTTCAAATTTATGTTAGAGAAGGAAATTCCATTTCCAAAATTACATATTGGAAGGTAGCAGTTTATGTGATGTCATATTAATATTATATAATGGTCAAAGATAAGACATGATTGTATACAAATCATGTTAAACATAAAAATAATAAAATAAGCACAGCTCCTGAAATCAACTTTATTTCGCAAACTCTAACATATGAAACATCTCAAAGGTTACTATCATGTCAAAAATAAGATTACTCTCATAAATTGGGCAAGATAGCATAGTAATGTGCACAAAAACTTATTCATCACCTAGATGAAAGAAGTGGGGTAGTTAGTCATTAAAACTAAGTACTAACCCTTCATCTTGTCATTCAATACACACATGATAAAATGACTAATCATGTGATACCCTAATATGACTACAAAATATTCATTGACAAAGAAAGATGTTATAATAAAACATGTGAAATCATCATCTCAAGGAGTACATTACATTCATTGGATCTTAAGAACCATCATCAAGATTTTTCTCAGTATTTAACATTCAATTTTTTTTTTCATTTAAACATTAGTTAGACTATTACTCAAACCTCACATTTCACCCTATGGGCTTTTGAATGATTACACCTCATGCTTCTTGAGTCTTGATGTTAGCCTTATAAGGTACTTTTGACATATCTATTCTTTATATGATTTTTTTTTTAAGTCTTCCATTCCTTTTAGAAATATGTTTATTCACTATTGTGATACTTTTTTGTACTTGAATTATATGCCTTTGACTACAACTTAAGTAGCATCTTCATTATTCATGGACTTGAATCAATTCAATAATTACATTGCAATAAATAACTTAAAAAGACTATTTGTTGCACATCTAATTTCTCAAAACTCATCTTCAAATGACTTTTTCTTATTATGCTCAAATCTTGGGCACATTCTCATCAAAACTTCACACTAGTTATTCCTCTCAACTATATCTTTTTCTACTTTGATTCCCATGTGATTCATAAACTATCAAACTCATGAGCATATTAAGGATATTGTCATTAGCACATACACAAAAATAACATTGTGAGTGGGAGATGATTACCTAAGTGAACAACCTACATTAAATGTTTGAGTTAATCACTAAGCCAAGTTATAAGTGATTCATCTGGTATCATGGATCATCATCTTCCACTAATGAAACATAACATACTTAAAAACTTAATAATGATAATAATAATCTACTAATTTTCTTCTTTGAAGATTCACCCATTAGGCCTATATGACATTGGGAAATAATAACCACTACTCCGATGACTCTAAATCTAGGAAGTCAAGTAGTTTAATCATGTTGTCTGATTTTGATTTGAGCTTTGCTTGTTAGGTAACCCAAGGACCCAATCCATGAGGCAATATTCTACTTTGGGTCTGAACTTCAAGTCCTTATTCATGAACTATGGTGTGGTCTATTAGGGCCCAACTAACATGATTAGGCATGAACTAAGTTATATCCACTACATGCCCAAAAACTATTGTAACATTGCTCTCATATAAGAACATAATGGTTTCGTGAGTTGAACCAGACTACAAACTAAGAACATAATGGTTTTGTGTGGGTATATAGATGGCACATCATTCGACTTAGTACACAGAGGCATGTCAAGGACACACAAGCATGCAACGATATGACATGACAATACAAGTGATAGAGGCTCACACATAGGTGTACATGACTCAAGCGAATGGTTCCATTGGATAGTAGCAAAAGTTCATCAAAGCCATTCATTGTGTACATGCAGTGTGCATTAAAACAAAACTCAACATAACATTTGTGGAACACAAGAGGCTTGTGCTTATATATGACTTAGATGAATGACTCTATTAGGCCAGTTGGCCTAACTTACTCTCATAAAAGAAAACAGGCTGAGTCCAAGGAGGGGGTCCAGCCCACTAGTGAAGCCACCAATCAAGGCATCGAGGATGCTTAATGTAAAAGGGGGGAAAGGAGGAGAAGGGAGGATATCTAGAGATTTGGACTTTGAGAGCAATGGGTCTATTGAATACCCTCATACTTCTCCTTTCCCACTCTCCCTTCGATTTTCCTTCCACTATGTTCAGGTTCATTACAATGGATTTATTGGTGCTGCCCTATTTTTCTTGGGGGGAACTAGTTGTGATAGAATAAGGCCCCTTGGGGTTATACTGCACTTGGAAAAAGAAGTAGGAAAAAGAAAAAATATATAGTGACAGTTTTTTATTCTCTGTCGCCATAAATAGGCATATTGAAAATAACATTTTTGAAATTTTGGAATAAAAATAAAAGTAGTAATCTGCTACGATTACACTAATTGAACAGCACAACCCCATTATTACTCTAGATTGTTGTAAGGGTAGTTGGTGGTTATCTGATTGGTTGGTTAAGGATGCGATAATTATCAACCAACACTACCCCATGGCCACCCTAGTTTTTTATGAGAATGGTTAAGGTTGTTCAATGATACAAACTTGTTCTATTAAAGGAGACCACCCTGGTGGAAAGGGACAACTAAGAAGGGTGAACTCATAAAAGTTATCTTTAAGAGGTTCTTCTCACAATGTATTATTCTTGTGGAGCGAGGGGTACAACCTACCTTGAGTCCTATCGTTTTTCCGTAGTAGTTGAAGTTGACATGAGGGAGCAAAAAAACCATGTGCCCTTGGCTAACTCAAGAACTATTGGCAGTAGAGTTTTCAGAGCAATCTATGCTGATGCCTAAGGGTCATCTGCCATCTAGAATGTGATGCTTGGCTGGTCCATTGATGGCTCCCACTTACTGTAGGAACCTAAATATATAATGGAAGATAAAGGGGAGGGACTGCTAGGGCCCCTAAGCCTCTGCCATTGTTCATGCTGCCCCCATTGCTCAGCCCAAAGGAGAAGACTGAGAGAAAAAACAGAGATGCAACAAAGGAAAATGAAACTGTGTTGGGGAGAGAGTGGAAAAGAAAATGAATCTCTCTCTCTCTCTCTCTCTCCCCCCCCCCCCCCCCCCCCTTCCACCTAATTTATAAGAACATAAGTTAGAACCACTATCGGGTATAATTATCTGATTTCATGTTTACAATAGTTCTGGCCAATCTATTACCTTGTGATATCTTCTATGATGGCATAATTTTCTTCTCACAAAGCAGCATAATCCCTTAGCACCTATGCACTTCGCAGTACCCTCAATTCTATGGGTTAGATGCAGTGCATTCTCAGAGGTGCAAAGGAGAGGACGAGCTTAGATGCTAGGGTAGTATGACACCATGCACCTAGAACAGTAAAAAAATAAGAAGTTCGCACAACTATCCATAGGAATACCTGTTTTCGTCAGCCCAAGGGAGGGGACCCTCGAGCACTTATGTGTATAAATACACTATATCATGCGTGAATGTGCAGAAGTACCAATACTCTTCGGAGGGTATTGGTATTTATTCCAGTGAAACCCCACTCAATTCTTGACGGAAATGGAATTCTGCAAACTGTTACCATAACTAGATGATCATTTCAAGATCTTCTTCGCACATATTCGAGGGTTCAACATGATTGGTTAAATAACAAACGCAAGTGCCTCCTAAGAATTTAAAAAAAAAACGCTTGAAAAAGAACTAATTCCAAAAGGTTAAGAGAAATTCCATGTAGGGAAATCCCAATCGGATCGAACACATACGCGTCAGTAAAATTCTTCGTATTTGGCATTTAAGAAAAAGTGGTAGCAGTTTTACTGACAGTTAACACGTAGATTAGCAAAAGAAATCTACACAATTAGAAAAATACTAAAAAAATAGAAAAATGAAAACCCACCTAGTTATTGATAAGCACACAACTTCAATGAAGGACACTAAGATTGCAATATTGGTACAAAGATAGGCGTTTAACTATCACTTTTGGTAAGTCACAGACAATGAGTTAACAAAGAGGACTAAGAAAGATATGCTACATGACAGGAGAGTACACTACCTTAAGATCTTGCTCAGAAGTAAGAAAGGATATATATTTACCTTCCTGCGACAACTAGACAAGTTCTCATCGTGATACAGCATTCCATGGCACAGAAATGTGGTAGAATGAACTTCACGTCTCATTCAAATTTGACACAAAATGGATTGCTATCTTAATACAACCTGCCAGTGCACTCATGGGAGCCACAGTGACAAGCCTTTGTTTTTGCGTTCCCATCAGAATCACGAACCTGACCTATTGTATAGTTGTAATGGTATGTAAGCTCGTGTAAAGGAGGAATATTCTCAGCAGCAAAAAACACAATGTGAGGCATTCTCTTGTCATCATGATCGTAGAGAACATTTTGTGCGTAAAGGTTAGGTGAACAGCTATGATTGATGAATCTTCCTACATTCCCATAATGAGCAGCGTCGATGGTGAAACCTCCATAGTCCACAACATTGGAAAGGGAAATTGCTTGTGAAACCGGGATAGGAGTAGGGGAACCATCCCAGATGTCATGGTCATCGTAGTTGTGACCAATGTCGAAAAGATATTCATCATTATTCCTCTGTTCAGCCTCCATATCCTGGATTAGCTCTCCAATATATTCACAGATGAAACTGCCAGATGGTATAGAAGTCAGGGTTCTGACTCCCCAGCCCATTGATTGAGTTTTGAAGATCTCCAATCGGAATTTGATGCCATGCTGGCTGACCCTGTTATGGCAGTATGGAGAACATTTACAAGAAGGACCACACTCGTAAACAAGGGGTTTGGCTTGCACGATAGCACCATTGAAGTTAAAAGGAATCTCTCCTCCATTTCTAACGGCACAAGAGCAACTACCAGAATCAGTGCATCTCTGTGTGCAGGCACATCCCTTTGGCATGGTTGGCTCATACCAAGAAGGGTATATCATTTTTCTTATATATTTGAAAGGCATTGGTCTTTCGTCATCAACTGTGTTGACCACAGAAATTGGTATTTTCTCCAGGCCCCCAGAGATATCTGCGATACAAAGTCCTCGTACTGCAGTTCTTTTTGAGTTCATCACCTCTATGAGAGAGATTTCTGGTTGCCCAGGAATTCTCCTCAGCTTGAACTTAAACATATCAAAACCCTGGGGACCTTTTTCCTTCCAGTAACCCTCCACCAAATATAAGCCATCATAAGTGAATGTTGAGAGCGGCCTTGGCTTTCCATCCTGACCGAATTCCTCAAAACCACGGATAACCCGCACAGGCGTCTCGGACTCTATGCAATTTTTGAGTCCCAGATTCCCACGCTCAAGCTTCTGATCTTCTGGAGGCTTGTTCCCTTCTGAAGGACGACCACCAGAACCGGAATATATTAAGAAATTAGAGCTATCCATTTCATCAGCATGACCCACAAAAGCAACGACACTAATCGCCAGAAGTGAGTTATTTATTCTTGTGTAATCTATTCCACCTTGATATGAACGGTGAAGACCTACAACCGAAAGTTCTGCCCTGTAATGAAACTCATCACCAACTTCAACACCAGGAACAGATCCTATTATTGGACCACCAGTGTTTACAAATTCATTTTCTGCTTTGAGAATTTTGGCAGCAGTAAGGTCAATCCGAATCCTTTGCCCACGATTCTTTGATGTGGACTCCTCACTTTGCAAAAGCTTTCTACAAAGTACTTGAAATAGACGTAAAGCTTTCCTTACTCTGGTACGAATGAGCATCTCTTCATTGCAACTTACATCCAGATTTGAATTAGACTGTCCAAAGGGCGGCAAACTGATACTAAAATCCTGTGTTCCACGACAAATGGTAAGTGCTTTCTCGCCCTCTTCACCTTGAACGAGAGAGTTCTCAACATCTTCCTCTGCAGATTTATTCTGAGGCTTATGTAACAAGGCTCCAAGTGATGAGCATTTCTCTTTTGAGACTCTCACTTGTTTCTTGGCTTTTTTTCTGCTCATCAATGAGGATTCAGTAGATATATATTTTCTTTTCTGAATTCTCACTTCTTTTTTCACTTTCATTCCAGATGTTTTTGAATTTTCTAGCACCATGTCAGTCTGTTGTCTCCGTCTCCGAGGGTGATCTGGTGCGGCCATCAGTGCTTGAACAACTGTCATATCTTTAGATGCATCCAAACTTATCAACTCTTCCTGAAATTCAACAATCCTAGCGTCCCCTTCCTCTGCAGCCTCCATGAGTTCAAAGCGGTGATTATTAACATCTCTCTCTTCACCAACTTTAACAAGTTTGCCAGTTAAAAATGCACCTCCTTCCACTCTTTTGAACTGACATGTCTCATATTCCCCTCCTCTATTCTGTGATGTCTCGTCCCCTTGTTCATCATCTGTACTGGCAAGAAATATCATCCCAAATTTCTCTTCCCCAGCCGCCTGTTTTGCGTCACTCTGGGAAGCAAGCATGTCTACACCACTCCCGTAAGCACTGAGATCAATATCATGAGTGCTCTGTGAACAAATAGGACTAGTCAATATGCCTTTCTTTCCCACCACACTATCGTATGATATCTTAGAGAAATTAAAGTTACTTCCACCATCTCTATCATTCTCTAGAAGGTCCTGGCTATTCTTCCAAGCCTCTTCAACTGAAACATCCTTACATAGACTTTCTTCCATAACAGTTCGACATGCTGTAGTTCTACATACAGAGTTTTCCCAGCTTTCTCTACAAGCACCCCCATCAATCGTTACTTCCAATTGCCGATCTGAGCTATCTTGAATCTTCTCCTCTAAATTTTTCAGCTCCTTATGTTTGTCAGCCTTTGCAACGGTAAGACTTTGCTTCATATTCGAATCCTCATATACCATACCCTTGTCATCCATCGCAGTAGACCGCTTTAAGCATTCTTCCCTTGTCATATTAGAAGCATTTCTCCCACAGCCAAAAGGGAAACGACGGATAACTAAGACCTTCCTTCTCTTTGAAGGACCATACAGCCTGGAGACGCCATCATCGATCCCACCATGCTCCAGTGAAACCAGACAATTCGGCGAATCAAAACTGTCATTCAAGTGTTCAAAACACTCTGGGCCTATGCCATTAACTTCAGTTGCTTCCTCCGTCACAAAAGAACTAGCGGCACCACTGTGTGATAAATCAACTTCTTCCATGTGATCCTCCATCATGGATGAATTACACGCCTTTCCAGGCTGGGAGGACCCAGAAGAACCTACAAACTGATATGGCTCAGGCCTCGACATTTTGACAGGCACCAGCTCGGCCATCCCATTATGCCTGCTCTTCCTTGGCGAGTGTAATCCCCCTTTCCTTTCAACAGCATGACATATATACATTTTTTCAAGCTCCCGTGATTCAGAATGTCGCAATGTTTCCACGTGCTCCTTTTTTGACATTTGAACAGCATCCATCTCCCCGGTGGCATTCGCTGCTAGGGTTTCAGGCGTCAGATACTTGCCTATTTCGAAACCTCTACTCGCCAGCCCATTGGACGAAGCACAGCCATTGACATCTTCCGGAAGCACCCTTTCGACTGACGGTGCATTCCGGCCGCAGCCTTTGGGGAAATGACGGATGACCGATATATTTCGCTTCTTGTACCTGTCGGGCATCAACGCTCTCGCGAAGTCCAACATTGTCGGAGCTCCGTCCGAGCCTTTTCCACCAATCACTTCTGCAAGAGGAAAAGAAAAAGAAAAAGAAAAAAACAATGAAAAAAGCAACCAAGAAGCTTAACCCGCTGAAGAGGTACAAAGCCCTCACGACAGAAAGACCAAGACCCCATCCAGAAAAGTAAAACTGGAAGAAGCCGGGGTGAACGGTAGCAACACATGGAGTTTCATCACTACCCCGAGCGATGACGGGGAGAAGAAGAGTTCTGCATGAGAAGAAACAGGTCTGAAGGATAGACGACGACCTCAAGCAGAGCTGCAGGACGTCCGCCCTGTTCACCGACAGAGAGGAAAGGAGAGAATCAGGGAGAAACGCTTCTTCCTCACTGTTTTTGTGCCGTTGCGAAGCGGTTAGTCTTCTTTTTAGAATTGGGCCTGGATCTTGACAGGTATGGATGGGCCCATTTAAAGGACCATTAAAAGCTACCAATCGGGCCCAAGTTCGACAATGAGGGGTGGGGGAATAGGATAAGGATGATGCTCTTAAACCTTGTATGCGGCTGAGTGGAACGAAGTCCTGGTCTTGTAACTCTTCTCCGAGGCAGCGGATCCGGGAGGGAAGGGGAAGCCCGCCTTCTCTCTCCACTGTGATCTCTGCCATTGTTACAGAGGGAGAAGCTCAGATCTGGAGAGAGGCATGGGGCTGGAGAAGAGCCGAGCCGGAGAGGAGGAAGGAGAGGAAGAGACCATGGTATCCTCTGGTCTTCTCCCGCTCGCAGTGGCCTCCCAACAGCCATACGTCTCGGAGCTGCTTTCATTCACCCTCGACCGTCTTCACAAGGTACAGCTCCCCCCGTCTCTCCTGTCTTTCCGCCCGAAATTCCGGTGATGCAATTGCTCATTTGGCTAGAAAATCCTGGTGACCGTTGTAGGAGCCGGAGCTCCTTCGGGTGGACGCCGAACGCATCAGGAGGCAGATGCAGGAAGTGGCCGTGGGAAACTACCGTGCCTTTGTTGCGGCAGATGATGCTTTGTCAGCTTGTCGTGAGCAATTGGTGTCTATCGGCCGGCACCTCGACTCCATGGTACCGTTTTTCTTTTCTTGTTTCTTATCGTTTTTCTCTCTTTCCCTCGATATTTACTAGTCTTTCTGTCGATATTCAGTTCTCCAATGGTTCTTCATGAGTTGCTTCTCTAAGGAACTGACCTAATGCTTTGGTTGCTGGAGGACCATGGCTATTATCTTCAGCTCCCAGTAGTCAACAAACCAAATAATGTGCGCCACGCGATATAGTTTTAAAACCGCCGAATCTATTTTCCACGTAAAATGTGAAATACGATAAAATGAAAGTGGTTGGAAGAGGCAAGTCGAGAAATTTGTTTACACAGAAACATTAAGCTTGAGCCTCTTTGTAAATATATTCAATTTTCCCTTACCTGTTACATTGACATGAATGGGCATTCTTCTCTCGACTTCTGGTTCTCCTATTCACTGCTCGTAAATCCCTGTTATCTAAAGTCTTCCAGAATGGTTATTTACTTCTCTTATGTAAAACTTACATTTCTATCATTTGTACATTTCAGATAAATGAAATTCCCAAGCTCTCATCTGGGTGCACTGAGTTCCTTGACTCCGCTCAGGAGATATTAGAGGAAAGGAAAACTAATCAGGCATTACTGGCTAATCACAGTACCTTGCTTGACTTACTTGAAATTCCTCAGTTAATGGACACGTATGTACTCTTTCCTTCATAATTGGTAAATGGCTCTTGGTCCCCATTGTCTGCGCCATTAGACATTCCTTTATGAATTATCGATGTACTGAATGCTATCACGCAAAAGTTTGACTAATGTGTGCCTCATTTCATAATATTTATCCTACTGACCAGTCTAGGATTATTGGTCTCTCGTGCTTACGTGACTAAGCTGCATAATGATGATGGCTAGCTTTGAAAAAACAAGCTTCCTGTAATGTCTATTTCTAAATAAGTTTTCTTGCCAATCTGTGATCTGCACTAGATGAATTTAAAATTTGGATTTATTGCTTTAAGTGATTTCAATTTCTGACGGCATTTTTTGTTAACATTTTCGTTATAAAATTTAAATCATAAGTAACTCAAAAATGGTTCAGTTTTTTTTATATGAAAAAATTATTTGATTGATTTAAAATAGGTGGTTGGAGTAAGTATATATTCGTAAAATAGAGATAGTATGTTATTAGTGGTGTACATCCATGTAGCTGCATCATTATAGAATTGTTTCTTGACTTTCTAGATGGCATCTTAATCAGCTGATTCTAATGTGCATGTAAGAAATATGAAATAGGAAAGGAGGTGTTCATTTGTAGCATTTTATTTCCTAGAAATCAGTTTAACTGCACGGCAATCTGTCAATTTTAATGTGCACCCAGCAACCAGATAAGTGTCTCTAGCCAACACAGGTGTGTTTGTTTGCTGGTTGAAAAACATTCTGCAGTCATCGAAAAGAGAAATCAAATGTATTCACGGAATCACTTAATCTCACATCAAGTTCATGCTTAACAACAGATCCTGAAAAAAATGCATTAAAGTTTAACTCAAGCCCTTCCTTTATTCCATTTCTATGATGACTGGTGAATACCCTCTGTATTTTCCTTTCTAAAACCTTGCTTTATAGTTTATTTCTTTTCGTTGAAATCTGTTATCTGATAGATGGAATTTTGTGTCATGCAGGTGCATACGCAATGGAAATTATGATGAGGCCCTTGATTTAGAAGCCTTTGTTTTGAGACTGTCAAAAGTGCATTCTGAGTAAGCTGATGCTTGTTTCTGTTGGCTATACCTGGTGTCGGCTTATCACGAGCCCTTTTTAATGTCTCTCTTAATAACACTGTTATTGTCTTGTTTGTCGGATCAAGATTACCTGTTATTCAGGCACTGGCAGCAGAAGTCAGGCATACCACTCAGGCAATGCTTTCACAACTTCTTCAGAAACTTCGATCAAACATTCAGGTATTGACAATATAGGGGGTGTCCTCATTGGCTAATAAATGTAAAATACGCCTTAACTTAAATTTATCTTCATTCTCCTCAGTTACCAGAGTGTCTTCGCATTGTTGCACATCTTCGTCGTGTAGGAGTCTTCAGTGAATCTGAGATGCGCTTACAGGTTCAGTATTTCTTTAAGGATTTCAGTGTTCAATTATATTGTATTGAATAAAATTTATGGTCTAAATATTTTATCCACATATAAATATGAAGAGAGCTTTTTTTTTTGCATAATCATATCTAAATGGAAACTAGGTTATCTAGTTTGCTTTCAAGTTTTTTATAGCATGTTAGACGACTGGCTGCTGTAATATTTAACAATCTGTTCGTTTCCTCGATTTTTTTGTCAAAAACTTTGGGAGATGGACAGGTTTGCTATTTTTTTCTCTGTAAAATGAATACTCTCAGAGGATTCACGTTAACTCATCGTATAGGATGGATTGATCCAATATCTCTTAACTAATTTGATCAGATCGGTGAACCAGGCTCTGACATATCATATTTCTTTGTGTTACCCGCGTAAATCGTTTTTTTCAAAGTTTTGACTCAGGCTCAGTAATGGTCAGTTTCTTTAAAATTGAAATTTCGATGTGAATGTCAGTGCATATAAGACTTTGAAAATGAATTGTTACTTGGTTGGGCGTCTCTTCCTTCCCAACGTTACCAATTGAGATCGTCCTCATAAAGTGAAAGGTATATATGTTTCATTCAGTAAGAGCCAATTTGTCGGCTAAATGTAGTCAATTATATATTTTTAATTAAAAATCCAATAAAAGGGGATATTCTTGGACTGAAAATAAATTGTCGAGTCCTGAAATTTTCTTTTCCAATCACAGTGATAGTCTGACTTTTATCTGGCTTTGGTGCTTTTTTTCTAGCATTAGGTTAACATATTGAATTTTTTCCAGTTTTTGAGGTGTAGAGAAGCATGGCTTGCAGCTATTCTTGATGACTTGGATCAGAGAAATGCCTATGAGTACCTCAAGGGGATGGTAAATTGCCACAGGATGCATCTTTTTGATGTTGTCAATCAATATCGTGCAATATTCAACAATGACAAATCTGGCAATGAGGAGAACTATGATGGCGGACTTCTTTTCAGTTGGGCTATGCATCAAATTAACACTCACCTGAGCACACTGGAAGCCATGCTTCCCAAGATTGCTGACGGTGGGGCACTGTCAAATATCCTTGACCAATGTATGGTAAGTACATCACTGACGAATATTGCGTTTCAACTATGCTTTGAACGGGAATCAGCAGAGTTCGTATCAAGCTTAGTGTTTTGATGCTAGGATTTTGTCACAAAGATCACTGGCCTCCATAATCTCAGCTTTCTTTACGTCTTTGGTGTTTTCATATGTTTCATTTCGATCATTTCGCATGTTCCCTGTTATCTTCTCGCCTCCCCGACGAAGTATTTCTGAATCTGGTAGTGATTTCACGATTCAGGATTTTTGTATATGCTTGCTTCTGTGGATTTTAGTGTTGTAGATTTTCATTGCTTGTGCTACAGTTTACACTGAGTAGTTTCGCTGATCATCCCTACCTTGTGGTGTTTTATTCTTCTTATTGCTATCGATGGTCTTGATTCCATTTTCTCTCTTACGTTGAACCTTTTGTGCTACTTTTTCTAGTACTGTGCAATGGGTCTTGGTCTGGTTGGGTTGGACTTCCGGGGCCTTCTGCTACCACTATTTGAAGAGTAAATAAGTTTCTCCCTTTTTACGCTATAGCACATAATCTGTTTACATGTTTTATTTGGTCTTCTTGGCTGACATTTGGACACTTCAGTGCAGTGCTTAATTTATTCTCCAGGAACATGGACATGGCAGTCAAAAACTTCCAGGTACAGAATCTATGAGAAAGGATCATCAATTTTAGATGTTCATTTCTATTATGTTTTGGGAAGGAAGATCTCTTTATAAAGAATATTACACAAACGCACAACTTTTTGGCTTGTTCTTCTTCTAAGGCACAATGTCCTTTACTATTACTATTGTTCCCACCTTAGAAATTGACGAGTTAGTCACTTCTGTCAGGAGGCATTGAGTTCACATCATTGGGTTCCTTTGCCAGCTGTTGGCTTTACAACGAACAGTGCAAATGATGAGAATCAGGACGATGTGGCTCCACCATCTCTTCTGATGGAACATTTTCCTCTCGCCGTATTTGTTAATGGTAAGTGATTCCACCATCTTTGTTTTCCCAATTCTACACAGTTTTCATCAACCCTGTGTACTTTGAGGCTTCCATTAAATCGACACCTGGCTTTCAAATAAAGTGGAAAATAAAGAAAATCGTCTCGGAGATGAAAGAATTTCAATGAATATATCTCCATTCGTCTCACATTGTTCTATTGGAGCTAGAGTTCATAGCAATCACCCACTAAGAGACGAATTCTATGATCACTGTTCCCATTTCTGCCAATTCATGTCCATCATCTTATCGAAGTATTCCATTTAGTATCCAGAGATCTAATCATCCCAAAAGCCTTCTCATGCCGCCCATCATATTGAATTGCCTTGCCTTCCACATGGCCAAGATCTCTTATGTTGATACCAAGGAAAGAAAGAAAGTGACTCCACTCGTGTATGTGAATAAGAAAAATTTTCAGCGTCTCAATAAAATTCATTTAGCAAACGAAACATGGATACTTTTGAACGAAGCATTTTACAAAATATTGCATCTTCTTGCAGGTGTTTCCTTAGCCATGAACGAACTGCGCCCATGTGCTCCCCTTAGCTTGAAGCATGTCCTCGCCCAGCAGATTGTTGGAGGACTCCAAGAAGTCTCTGACGCCTTACTGCATTACAATTCAAGTCGGATTCTGCGGGACAACGAATCTGCCCTTTTTCTCTCACTCTGTCAAGTGTTCACCGAGGTGATGAATGGCCAGTCCTCGTCTCCTTCCACATCCGCCCAAAGACTGATTCTCCAAACTGACCTGCTTCATCTTTTGGGTTTCAGGTGGTTTGTCTGTACTGCGCCACTAGCTTTGGTCGATGCTATCCTGGGGGTGCTGCCTTAGTCACAGAACAGAGGGCCCTGTTCGATGGAGTCAGCCAGCTATTGGCCGTGTCCCCAGCAAAGGATCTCAAAAAACACGCCGACAACGTTCAAGAAGAGCATCCCGCCACCAAAGAAGATGTGAGTAGTGATGTTGCTCCAGTCGAGGTCAAGGAAGGGACAGAGACGGGAGGTTGACTGCATGGGGGTGATAGTCTAATGCGGTATGTATGAGATTTCCAAGGCATTGCTCATTTTTGTACCATTTTAGGAATAGAAAAGGAAATAATTGATTTTTACGCAGAAAGAGGAGATGCCCGCCCGTTTACTCTACCTGTTTATAGAATGCATATCATGAGGACCGATTCCAGAGTAATTCCTCTTATCATGTGATGCATCAATTTCCATCTTCCATTTCAGTGGAAAATTTCTCGCCTGAAGAGTAAAATTTAAGAAATACCGTGCTTAAAAGAGCATGGCATACCCTCACAAAAAAATATGGATGATCCCTTGTCGCGCTTTCAGCGTCGGACCGGTTGCTGCTGTAAACAGAGAGGATCTATTTGAGTCGCTCTGGTTGTAAATCAGCTCCAACAGAGAAAAGACATCGGCCGAGCTCCGAGCTTGACGATGATGATGATATCAGATTGGGTCGCGCAGTCAGTACTGTGCCGTCAACCCCGACTTCCACTCCTGTATAGCAGAGCGCAACGAATGGTTTGGGGTTATGCAGGTGTGTTGGAGTTTGAATCTGGTCACGGGGGAGATCTTCTGTTTCTCAACCCAGGCTTTGATCGCTCTGTACTCGTATGAGAACCCATCAGCGGCAATGTAGGGGTTCTCCATCAGCACCTGCATTCGCCGAGGAAGGCAGAGAGGAGGACGGAGAGAAGATCAACCAAAAAGGGGAGCTTCGTTAGCCATGGACGGATTGCACTGCAAGCGCACCTGGAGAATCGGGCAGAAGAAATGCGCAGGCGCAGCGCAATGGCTGGGGCTCAATCTGGAGAAGGAATCGGCCATGTCGGCAAGCCGCGCGAGCTCCGGTATGACCTCGGACTCCAAGTCTGGCCTGTCCCTGCACCGCAGTTGGCAGCATCTGAGGCACATCCGGGCTAGCCTCTCCGCCTGCGCGAGCGGCCACTCGGGGACTGTTCTGTCGATCACCTCGGGGAATCGGCCCCCTTCAATGGCGCTCGCCACCATCGTGGCCAGCCCCATTGGCGGCGCAGCGGTGAGCAGCTGGAGGGCGACGACCCCGAAGGCGTAGAGGTCCGACTTGGGCCGCAGCGTGCCAGTGCGCTGGTACTCGGGGTCCATGTAGTGGAGCGTGCCGGCTAGCACGGTCTCCCTGTACTCCGTCACGCCGTCCGGCACGATGCGCGGCACGAGCTTGGCAAGGCCGACGTCGCCGATCTTGCTTACCAGACTGCGGTCGAGCAGGATGTTGCCGGGTTTCAGGTCCCGGTGGACGATGGGCTCCGGCTTGGAGCCGTGCAGGAAGGCCAGCCCGCGCGCCACCTCGATGATGATGCGGACTCTGACGAACCAGGGGAGCGGCCTCGTCCCCTCTTGGCGCAGGAACAGGCGGTCCTCGAGGCTGCCGTTCTCCATGTACTCGTACACCAGGCCGCCGCTCTCCGGGCAGGCCCCCACCAGCATCAGCAGGTGCGGGTGCCGCAGCTGACTGAGAACCTCCACCTGGGAAAACATGGAGGATTTGTAGAGAGGTTTTTGGAGGGATCAAAGAGCAGTGTAGTGCCGGACCTCTCTTAGGAATTCGTCTCTTCTTCCGATGGCGTCTTCTCTGAGGATCTTGACGGCGACGGGTGTGTGATCGAGGATGGCCTTGTAGACGATGCCGAACCCGCCCTCGCCGATCTTCCTGGAGGCGGAGAAGAAGTCGGTGGCGGCCTCTATCTCGCCCCTGGAGTACCGTCTGTGGGTGCCGTGGCCAGAGAAAAGGTCATCCGTGTTCACCGGTTTCTTGGAGGCCTCTGTAATGGCGTCGGCTTCTGGTTCACGCTCACGCCTTTCAGATGCCTCTTTTACCAGCAGTTGTCTCGCTTCCCTCGCCTCCCTGAGGGCTAGTAAGTGCTTGGCCTTCTCTTCTGCGGCGATGTGCTTCAGTACCTCTTCTCTCTGCAGAGCTTCCCTCGCTCTCCTCGTCTCTTCGGAGCATTCGGCTGAGAGCGTCTGGACCTGCCGTGGGCATCTCCCTGTCTCTCAGAGGGGGGCTCTTCTCAAATGTTGACGTTTTAAAGCGCAGATGGGTCAGCTGTAAGTTGACCTTTTTCCGGGCGTGAACGAGGTCTTTGCAGGCTTGGTTATACATGGCGAGGGTATTTCGTAGCTCAAGCCTCAATCTTTCGACCTCGTCACTGTCTTCACACTGCATAAGGATTTCACCCAAAAACAGCCATTTCCGTCGCCATGGATCGGAATTCCGGTGAGAAAGATTACTGAGAAGAAGGATATTATTGAGCAAAAATAACCGATTTCTTGCCTGACTCCGTTGACTTCTGGAATTCGATAAGATTGGGGGTTTGTCTCTGAAGGAACCTAGGAAGTCGTGCTTCTCGAAGGCTCCGCTCTCCAGGAAGACATTGCTGAAATAACGTCGCTTCCTCTGTTCTCTCGCCGGAGCCATGGAAGAATAAGCATGGCGGTTGTCGCTGTCGGTCGTCAAGGCGCCAACATCCCCATCGGCTCTGGTGTTTGCACAATTGACATCAGGAGGGGCAGGCACTTGCAAAGCGTCATCTCTGAGGTCTGCAGAGAAAGAGCTAGAGATGGACATCTGCCTATCGAAGTGGGCGCTTCCTCCCCTCCGAGTAAAAGTTTTCTGCCTGGTTTTGATGCGAGGACCTGCAAAGGGTCCACAAGAACTTGATTATCTCATTCGGTGGCGCGAGCAATTGATATCTAGAAATATATGCGGTAAACTGATTAATTAATGTACGTGCTTATGTACCGTTGGTTACAGGTTGGTGGCCCATTTTGGTGATGAGATTATGTCGAGACACAACATAGACGCTCAAAGAACTTGGAGCTGATTTAAGAACAACCGTCGGCACGTCTGGCCCCTTTAGTAACCTGGCAAACATCAGCCCATGCTGATCAGCGTCTCCAAGAGGACCAAATATAGCAAACTTTCCCAAGTAAAATTAAACTAATTTAGAATCAGAATGAAATTTATTCATAGCAAACACAAATTGGCTCTGCTTAGTAAGCCATATTTGGCTACTTCAGTGGATTCATGGAGATGAATACGGAAAAACAAATCTGCAAAGTGGAGCATCGAACATGCCCTTTCTTCCATTGGGTAACTTTGATAAGCACAAAAAGAAGATGTCGCGAGTTATGCAATGGAGATTTATTTTGGTATCACCTGCAAAGTTTCTGATGCTCATATGTGACATATTTGAAGAGTTCTGTTTCAAAAACCAAGCCCGTGCATCTGGACGTTTTGATTAGTTCCTGACAAGATTATCTCAAAATTTGTGGAAAAAAGTAACCAGGGCCTGTTTATCTGCACATTCATGGTTTAATGGCTCTGTGCAGTCTTTCTTTTGTTTTCTTCATGAGAACTTCCACAAGATCCGCGCTGCAGATCCATTAGTCGGTCAGTAGAATAGCTCAGTACTCTCAGCAGACCACAGGAGATGACTAGATTTGTATTCCAATCTAAGTTGCCGGGGATACCGTCTGCAGAGTACAGCTCGCCCTAGACTCGGTAATGCCACAATCTTTTACTAAATAGGACAGTAACCTTAGAAGAATCCTCAAAGAGAGACAATTAAAAGGGACACTTATCTGACTGATTACGATTATAGAGCCAATTTTCTCTGTAAAAAAGCGGATGAACTGAAAACGTTTTAAATGCGGAGATGATCGAATAGTCTACCTCTTAAACCAGGTCCAGGAAGAACCGCCCAACACTAGATTCTGGATTCCGGATTCTGAAACGTATCTCAGCAAGACATCAGCGACACAGTCGCCATCAAATACCAGGATTTCCACCTGCAACGGCGCGGAAAGGAAACTAGGTGAAGTTCTAGATTCCTACTGTGATTACGGGAATGAGATCCGCCGCCATTTCCGACAGGCGGGCGGCCGGCGGGGGGGGGGGAGGAGGGGGTCGTTTGGGGGGCCGTAATGATGAAAACCATCAAACGACCTCTCTCTTTGTCCTGCACAACTTCTTGAAAGGGAGAATTTCTTGCAGGGCCTGCAGCTTCCTCCCTTGCTCGTACGCCTCCGCCACTTCCCTTCTCACTTCCCCGATCGGAACAAGCCTCCCCGCTGCTCAAAAATACAAAACGATGAGCCGAGCATCCTCTCCTCGCGACTCCACTGGAAACACCGAGAAGCATAATACAAAGCATCGAGGATGGTGAAATGTAGAGAGAGAAGTACGCACAAGGCTGGGGGATCGCCGAGATGGAAGGGATCACATGGAGGAGGAGCACTCGGCGGGCATCAGGGAAGAGGTTCTCCACCGCCCAGCTGACCGCCATCTCGCTTCGACTCCCCGACACCGCCACTGCCACCGAACCTGGAGGCTCCTCGCCGCTGTAGAAAGCCATGGATCCCCCTCGCCGTCGTGCTAGTTCTCTGTCTCTTTCCTCCAGTTCTCGTTTCTGGTCTTTATGCTCGCTTTCCTCTAAAACCACCGCGGGAGTGGCCGTTGGAAGAAGAAGATGACAGCAGACTTTGGACATCTCCAACCTTAAATTTTTGTTTTTTATGGAAAGACTTCATCCAACGGAAAAACGGACACTTCAGTTAGACGGCCCGCTCTCAACCGCTAGATCTCTGTCTCTCTCACGCCACAGAACCTTAACTAATCAGAGGCGGAAGAGCAACGGAATCCAGGTGGACGGACCAGATTTACCTATCGGAGATAAATGGAAGGCCCAGATCCTCCGGGTCGAGTTGATCCCTGCGGTTAGAGGATTTGCTTGACTGGAGTCCGACGTGGCTCCTCTCAATCGCATATGGGTAACCCATCTTTAGATCACCGCGCCGTGTAAGCTTACCTTCTCGAAGGGAAAACAGCCGAGGCGAAGGAGATGAAGACAGCGGAAGGTCACCGAATCGGAACCGTTACCTCTTGGACCTCGTCAAGCTATCGCAACGCGTGGCGGAACTAGAGGATGGGGACCACACGAGACAACGGACTAGAGAAGAGGGTATTAGTATAACTTATATTCTGGTGAGGGGCTTAAAAACTATTTTCCGGTCAAATGGCTTAAAAGGGTAAAAGACCGTTCGTTACGTGGAGTTGCACTCCCCCGCTTCCTCCCCCCGCGAAGAACGGACTGCGAGAGGAAGGAGAGAGCGATCGAGGGAGCGAGGGAGGGAGCGAGGGAGGGAGCGAGGGAGGGAGCGAGCGAGCGAGAGAGAGAGAGAGAGAGAGAGAGAGAGAGAGAGAGAGAGAGAGAGAGAGAGAGAGAGGGGGGGAGAGAGGCCTCAATCCTTTGAGATGATGTTGATGGTGAGATCCCAGTAGGGGGGGTCCGTAGTGGAAAGTTGTGGTAGCGGTGGGGGTGAGAGGATGCACATGCAGGTGGCCGGTCACCACCATTCGACGGACGAGAACCGGCACCTCGTTGCGGCGTACACAACGGCGGTGGCCGTCGACAAGGACAAGAACAGCCAGCAGGCGGTGAGATGGACTGTGGATCACCTGCTCATCAGCTCGCCCGTCGTCGTCCTCATCCACGTTCGGAACCCGGCAGCCAACCACCGTAGGTACCTTCTCTCTTTCGCCACGATCAGCGACAACTCGCAGGCCGTCTTCTTCCATAGTCGCCCATGAATTCAAGAGAACCTGTATCTTTCCCCTGTATTTCGTGTGCATGGTGATGGACTTCGTCTCCTGTTTCTTCTGGCAGATGGCTTCTCAATGTCGGAGGTGAGTCCGGAGGCAACCCGGGAGCAAATAGAATCGGAGATGTCTCAGCTCTTCCTGCCTTACCGCGGCTTCTGTGCTCGAAAAGGGGTACGTCAGCGTTCTCCCAAGAGCAGCAATAGAGCGGATTTCAGATCTTAAGTCTCCCTCGTAATTTGCAGATACAGTCCAAGGAGGTGGTCTTGGAGGAAACTGACGTAGCTAAGGCCATCGTTGAGTACATCAATGCCCACCAAATCAGCAACATCGTTGTCGGAGCTTCCAACAGGAACGCCATCACCAGGTCCTCTCTCTCTCTCTCTCTCTCTCTCTCTCTCTCTCTCTCTCTCTCTCTCATCGACGGGATTCTAAGAGGTATCGTTCTGCAGGAAGTTCAGGAATCCGGACGTGCCAACGAGCCTGATGAAGTCCGCTCCGGATTTCTGTACAGTGTACGTAATAGCCAAAGGAAAGACGATGACGGTGAGGTCGGCGAAAACCCAGGCCCCTAGCGCGGTGGCTCCTCCCAGGCATGCGCCCATCCCACCAAGCCCGCAACATATCCCCACTGTCGGCCTGGAGCACGACGATCAAGTCAGGTAAATGGCTAGAGGTGACGGCCATTGTATTGTTAGTTAGAAGTATAATATTTTGAAAAATAGCAACGGCCGATTTTTCTTCAGTTTTTCTGCGCAATGATATGTTCTTGGCCGACGTTCTTTCTCCGCAGAACGCCGTTTTCAAGGCCCGGCGCCTGGAGAGGTGCAGTTCCGCCGCCGCCGTGGCCAGAGAGGCGCTCTTTTGAGAGGAACGCCGAGTACATGAGGACGCCGGCGAGGGACCGGCCGCTCTCCACGGCGAAGGTGGTAAACAATATGTTAGCTGAAGGGATCGACGGCAACTTTAGGCCGTCGAGGATCTCCAACTCCCGCGAGTCCTTGTCGGAGGAGCTGGACTTCCAAGCCACCGACTCCGGCGCCGACGCTCTCGAGTTCTCAACGCCGCCGAGTGACCACAGCCCCACGAACTCCTCCTCCCCACGGGCCAGCGTGAGTATTATCAAGAAGATGGAGCCTCTCATTGAGTAGCTTTTTTCTCAATATTCTAAGTAGTCCTCAGATGCATCAATTGCTATCATCTCAGTCAATCCTTTCCAGCCATGTTTATGAATCGAATAGCCCGTAGAACGGTCTTATTGGGGAGTAGACTAATGTTTCAACGAAAAACTTGATCTTTCATCGTTATTATGAATGGCTCTTGGTAGAGAGAGGTTGAGGCCGAGATGAAGAGGCTGAGGCTGGAGCTGAAGCAGACAATGGACATGTACAGCACCGCCTGCAAGGAGGCAATCACAGCCAAACAGAAGGTGAAGTCAGCCTGCCCTACGTACGTCTGCATCCGTAGTTCACTTCTGCATGTGAATGGATGGTTAATGATTTATCAAACGGAGCAGGCTAGAGAATTCCATCAGTGGAAACTAGAGGAGGCAAGGAGGATCGAGGAGGCGAAGCATGCAGAGGAGGCCGCCCTTGCCGTGGCCGAAATGGAGAAGGCCAAGTGCAGAGCCGCCATAGAGGCGGCCCAAGCGGCGCAGAGGCTGGCGGAGATCGAAGCGCAGAAGCGGCACAACGCCGAGCTCAACGCTAAGCGCGAAGCCGAAGAGAAGAAGAAAGCACTGGAAGCTCTCGCCCACAACGACATCCGCTACCGGAAGTACAGCATTGAGGAGATAGAGGTCGCCACTAATTTCTTCGCCGACTCACTGAAGATCGGGGAGGGAGGATACGGGCCAGTGTACAAGGCCTGCCTCGATCACACGCCAGTCGCCATCAAGGTCCTGAGACCAGATGCCGCGCAGGGAAGGAGGCAATTCCAGCAAGAGGTTCGTAACCCGCTTCCATGAAAGGCCGTGTTCTTACGCGATGAATCACCCACCGCCTCCTCCTCTCGCCATATCCAGGTGGAGGTTCTGAGCTGCATCAGGCATCCCAACATGGTGCTGCTGCTGGGTGCCTGCCCGGAGTACGGTTGCTTGGTGTACGAATACATGGATAACGGGAGCTTGGACGACCGGCTTTTCCGGCGGGGCAACACGCCGCCGATCCCCTGGAACGTTCGTTTCAAGATAGCTGCGGAGATAGCGACGGGGCTTCTGTTCCTCCACCAGACGAAGCCGGAGCCGCTGGTGCACAGGGACCTCAAGCCAGCAAACATCCTCCTCGACCGCAACTACGTGAGCAAGATCAGCGACGTGGGGCTCGCGAGGCTCGTCCCTCCCTCCGTTGCCGACAGTGTCACGCAGTACCGGATGACGTCCACGGCTGGGACCTTCTGCTACATCGACCCGGAGTACCAGCAGACGGGCATGCTAGGCATCAAATCCGACATCTACTCCCTGGGGATCATGCTGCTGCAGATAATCACCGCGAAGCCGCCGATGGGGCTCACGCACCACGTGCAGAAGGCCATCGACAGGGGGTTATTCGCCGAGATGCTCGATCCCGCTGTGCCCGACTGGCCGATGGAGGAGGCTCTCGGCTACGCGAAGCTCGCCCTCAAGTGCGCAGAGCTGCGGAGGAAGGATAGGCCCGACCTCGGCACGGTCATCCTCCCCGAGTTGAACCGGCTTAGAAACCTCGGCCACGCGTGGGAAGCCACCCGCGGCAGCGGCGGCGGCAGCAGCAGCAGCGTTAGCGGCAGCTTCGGCAGGGTCTTCCATTCGTACGCCAACCTTCATCCGCGGACGATGTCTCAAGCTCAGCAGGTGAGCCCACTCGTGCCCAAGATGCCAACCCCCAGAGGAGCTCCTTCCATCGGTCTCATCCTCGGGCCTCCAATTTTCTCAGGAACGGGCGACGAGCAACTCCCACGTTGGAGCTCAGTGGAGATCGACGGCGGAGGACGAGACCCAGTGAAGAGTTCCGATTTTTGTTCATCATTTGTATACTGTTGTGTCGACGGCGGGGTTAGCGGCCTACGCGTCCCTCAATATTCGAAATAACCATGCCTGACTTCGTCCAACCCCAATTGTCGTCGCCTAGCTGGCGCCGCAAGGAGTCCAGCCGTTAACAATTGTGTGCATGGCTGGAGGTTGGTGAAGGTGGGACTGTCGGAGAGCATTGGTCATCTACTGGGGCCGTTCTAGCCTGAAAGAGAACTGAGACTGTGTTAGACGGGCCGGCCTATCGATCAATTCCGGGCCGTCTATAACCTTCTGGAAAAATGCCGTCTTTTGGCCGATGGACCGACTATTCCTGAGATCCTTCGTCTTCTCCGTTGTCGTCGAGGACGCTGGAAGGGGGAGGTTATAATTGCACAGAGGACAGCGAGGTGAGAGGCGACCGCGGTAGCGAGGAGGGTGAGATCATGTCGGCTTCTACCCCTTTCCTCGTGCCATGTTCCATCTTGGTCGTTGACCTATCTCTATCCATGGCGTCACAATGAATTTCCGAACTGTTTTTAATCCTGTACACGATAAAAAGAAGTGCGAGAGCCAGCTGCAGCTGGGAGAGAGGCGGGGAAGGCGGGTGGAGGGGAGTATGTAGGCTTGGGGTGAAGTAGCTGTAGTTTGGAGGGAGATGGAAGGGGAGATTAGAGAGGCAGAAGAGGAGATGGAGAGCGGGACGGAAGAGGAGGAAGAATCCCAGGGGTCGACCTTGACGATGGAGAAAGTGGCGGCAGCCAAGCAGTTCATTGAGAACCACTACAAAAACCAGAGGAAGATCCACCAGGAGCGCATGGAAAGGTTAGGAACGAAACCTGACCAATTCATATATTTCGGGTCCTACGGTCGCTGCGGATCACTCTCTGGCATCCGATCTTCACTGGCAGATCCCCAGGAATTTGGAATCCCGCCGTGGTGACACTGTCGCTAAGGCTTGGAATCCCCAACTGCGTATCCTGTTAAAGACTTTGAGATTGTTGATCGGGCTTGTATTGTGCTTGTTAATTATGAACTGATTAACCAGTAGTGTCGTAATGGCATCGATAGAGCGTCTTAGGGTGTGTTTTCCTGATATTGGTGGATAAACACCTCGCATGCGACGTTCATCTGGCATACCAATCTTCAAGATGTGTAATTATCTCGTTATAATTTAAATATAATTATACAGTCCCGTTGTCTCACTGGAGTGTGGTTTCTGAAGTTCAGATGCAATCCTGGGAACCTGTTGCATTGGTTTTATCCCGGTGCGACAATTTGATTTTGGATTTTGGTTATAGACATGTTTTCTCCTATTAGAATCTGCTGAGGTAAAGAATTTTGCAGGACAGTAAGAAGGCTAAGCATTGCTCATGATTTTGTCAGCTTGATTATCCCACAGATATACATTCCCTAGTCTGTTTTAGGCATTCGAGCTCGAAAATATTTCGCAGGATAGCCAAGAAGGAAGTCTTGGCTGTGACCACTTTTTTGAAAACTATTAACAGAAGGTATTAGCTTGACTCATATGAGTTGGTTCTCTCTCTTACATTTTCTATAGGGATTTTTACTATCTCTCTAGACTAGTCACAATTTTGTTCATGGACTGGACGCTAAAGGTGCAGAGGACTTGATGTTAGGTTGGCATAACCGGTAGCATGAATGTATGATCCTTCATGCTACATCGTGAGGCATTTGGTGTGGGAGAAGTGTTGATTTTTCAGCCATGAGCAACACTAGTTCATGAAAAAAGAAAATCTTATCTGTTAGGATAGAAGTTGTAGATCTTGATGGTCTTGTTTAGCATTTTAGTTTGCGTTTCCCACAAAAATCAGAATCTTCTGCTGGAAATTCTTCACCAAAAGATTCGCCTTCTGTGATGAATTTCGAAAATTCCTACCAAATAGCGAAAAAAAAGTAACGAAGAATATAGAGATTATATGTCTGGTTTGTGATACAGTGAAGATAGTGTGGAAGATGAGTAAAGGAAATAAAGAGTCTGTTCTTGCATATGTTCTCACATTAGCAGGATATTCAGTGGTGGAAATCCCTGCTACAGTTGGTTTTGTGGACAATTTACATAGAAAGGAAGAACAAAGTTGTTAGACTAGAGTTCAAAGCGGGACAAAAGAGTACTCTAGCAAGAACACGAAGACTTAAGTAAGTCTTCATGTTATATAAAATGTTTGGACTGATGGGATAAAGGAATGGAGCTTGATGAATCTACCTAACCTATAATATTGGCAAAGATTAAGTGGAGGACGAATATTTCGTTCTCACCCCCTTTTTCTTCTTGTTTTTCATACAATTAGATGCGTAGAGAAGGAGGCTGTGAACATATTTTCTGAGCTTGTAATTGCTGTTTTTACCTGTGTAGTGTAGTCCTTTGGTTTATAGTAAACAAGAATAACTGTTCAGACAAATACCATTTCTTTCCCATATTTTTCCTGGGTGCCTTTCAGAGATATTTCCCTGCATTTTTCTCTCATCATTCTCCAACTATATGCTTTCTCGACTCCTTTACAATATTCTGTGCTTGGTATCTTTCCGTACTTTTTTATCATTTTTTCCTCCGAAATCGTGTGCAGCTGGATCTTTTACTCCGATTTTCATCCGTATTTTCTTGATGGAGGCACAAGATCTTCTACAACTCAGCATAAACGCTGCTTTTGAAAAGTTTGTATGCATATTTCTATGAGCTTCATCGTGCTTAACTTCAGCCCCGTCCTTGATACTGTTAATATGACTCGATGATTACATTCTCTTTTACAGAATCTATCACTGTCATCGTTGGCCTAAAATACCATTTATCTCACCATACATACTATTATTTGCAGATATCGTATGCCTGTCGATTAGGGCTGAGGATTGTAGAATACATTGTTTTATCTTTATATTTTTGATCTATTCCATTATTGTATTCCCTTCGGGCATTCCTCCCAATATATTATCAGCAATGGCTGTGGGTTGCAAGTGCTTATTCAGCTTATAAATAATGCCATTTGATATTTCGGCTACCTCTGCGTTTATTTTTGTATGCATGTTTGGATGCATTTCGTTTTAATAACGTTGATAGTGACCCTGGCCATGGGATTTTATTTTCTTGCAGACGCTGGGTTTTACAGCGGAAGTTAGCATCTTCTGACGTTCCTGTTGAAGAACAGGTCAATCTAATAAAGGATTTAGAACGTAAGGAGACAGAATTTATGCGACTTAAAAGACATAAAATCTGTGTGGATGATTTTGAGCTTTTAACTATCATTGGTAGAGGGGCCTCTGGAGAGGTTAGCATCTGCACTGCTATTCTTTTTAAATCAAAACTGCTTTTGGAAGTTATTTTTTGAAATTTTCTCTCCTGTTTTTTGGCCTTTGGGATAGTGCTCATTGAGATTCCATTCTCTATTATTTCAATGTCTGTACTGCAGGTCAGGTTATGCCGAGAGAAATCCACTGGTAATATATATGCGATGAAGAAGTTGAAGAAGTTTGAAATGCTTTGCAGGGGTCAGGTGATAAGCTATATTTTTTTTCCTTGTTCTCGTCTTACTTTTTCACTTCACTGAACAGAGAGGGCGAGAAGTATCTGAAATTTTGAATGTCAATGGCAACATGGCATCTATCTGGTGAAAAATAGATGCTGCCAAGCTTTCACCAGCCAGTTATTATTGGATTTTCGTTTTCTTCTCCATTTTTCATCATCTTTGACTGTGCTGATCACAAGTTATTGTAGTATTCTGAAATGACTTTGACCAATTTGATATTCCATGCCATTTAGCTACCAGATTTAAACACACAGAATGATCTTGTAGTGGTCGTCCTCTATTATAACATAGTATGCTCTGCTTATCTCTCTTTGCTTTTCTACTAAAATTATCACTCATATCTTTTGCCTTGATCATGCAAATAAGGCGTCAAGAGTAGTCCCGTCGATTTTGAGACTGATGGTTCAATAACTTTAATATAGTACTGAACTGGACTGCCGTTCTAAGGCTGTATGCACATTTTTTATGTTGCCCTTCTTACAAAGTTTAAAAGTTAGCTTGCATACAACAGTGATTATCAAGAATAATCATATATTGGTTACTAAAAGTAGACGCATTATTATAATGATAATCTTACCTTACTCATTTCCGGTTGGTTTTGAGTTGAATGACCAAATAACTTTCATGCGTTTTAACTTCCATAGTATCAATCTATACTTTCATCCATCTTTTTCAACTACAAAAACCATATATTTTGATCTATGCAGGCATTTTCATTGAATTTTTTTAGTAAACACATCCACACCAGGGAGAGTACCACAATTCAATAAACAATATCTCACGAAAGGATACCCATATTTATAGTTTTTATTGACCTAAATGTGCTTCAGTATACATACTCTCTGGTTGACTACCTAGTCCTACCCTTGAACCACAAAGCTGGTGTGCACAGTTTTTCTCTTCATTAGTTTTGACAAATGATCGTGTAAAATATTGGATCAGCAAAAACTATTAGTTTTGGATAGCTTACTGTTTTACCTCTTATTTCACGGTATTGTACAATTAAGAGTTTTGTGATATACATTTTGCATGTCATTCTACCACATCTATTCTTCAACTACATTTCATTCTGTAGGTCGAACACGTTAAAGCTGAGAGAAATTTACTAGCTGAAGTTGCCAGCCATTGTATCGTTAAACTTTACTATTCATTTCAAGATGCTGAATACCTTTATCTAATAATGGAATACCTTCCTGGAGGGGATATGATGACTCTGCTCATAAGAGAAGACACCTTGACAGAGAATGTTGCCAGATTTTACATTGCAGAAAGTATTCTGGCCATTGAATCTGTTCACAAACATCACTACATTCACAGGTTTGTAGTTATTACTTTAAGATGCTGGGTATTGAACTAATATTTTGAGAATAGTTTCCATAAGCTCTCGGCTTACTTGCATTTGCAATTTTTTATAATAATTTCAATGTGTTTTTATTGACAGAGATATTAAGCCTGATAATCTCCTTTTGGACAAAAACGGTCACATGAAACTTTCAGATTTTGGACTATGCAAGCCTCTTGACTGTAGGAAACTATCAGGTTTCAATGAAACTGTACCTGTTCGTGGGGAAAATGTAAGGGAATCAATGGATGTTGATGGAGGCTTGACAGTCACTGGAGATAGTAACCGTTGGAAGAGCCCTCGTGAACAACTTCAGCATTGGCAGATGAACCGGAGAAAGCTGGTCTGTGTTGTGTGCCATTTCTTTCTATTTACTCTTCAATGCATCGTTGTTCTTGACAAGCTAAACTGAGGCCACGTAGTCTCTGATGCTGTGTCCACATTGTGGTTCACCTTACTATTTGTAGGTCTCATTTTCAGGCATTTTCAACTGTTGGGACTCCAGATTATATTGCTCCGGAGGTTTTGCTAGAAAAAGGCTATGGAATGGAATGCGATTGGTTTGTCCATTTTTTTCATCAAAAATCTGTAATATGGCATACATTGTTTGATTGTCACATGCTGTATCCGCCTGACATTGAACATGCTGTTTCAGCTCTTGCAGAAAGTTCTGAAATTTGATATGTGATTAATTTCGTATAAAGGTCATATATTGATCACTATACCTGTAACAGCCTTCAAAAGTTATAAAATTAGAATACGGAAATGAAGTGTATTGGTATGGATATTGTCTCTTTTTCAACGAATATGAAAAGAGAAAGCGAGGACTCTGGGTCTGATCAGAATCACGGCTATGGAACACCTGATGTAGTGGTCAATTCCATCTTCTCTTTTATGGCATGAAATGATGGCCCGTTTTCATTGGCTGCCTGCTGTTTAAGTGCCACAGCATTGTTGTAGTTGATTACTCGGTGATTGTGCACCCCATGATAAAGTCATAGATTCTGATGAGTCAAGTGATAGTCTGATTTGTGCTTGAAATGATTGAAGTCTTGGGTCCATTCCTCTAGGTGGTATATTAGATTATTGGAGTGATTATTTTCACTTAAACTTTTTATAAAGCTTTCCTTGTACAAATATGCTTATGCAGAAGGCCAGGTTTTTGCCTTTTTTATATAGAGAGTCATAGTATTCAAATTTTCGAATTTCTACGCAATTTTCTGTATTCTTATTTGCGGAAGCTTTTGCAGGTGGTCATTAGGTGCAATTATGTACGAAATGCTTGTGGGCTATCCGCCATTTTACTCGGACGACCCAATTACCACATGCAGAAAGGTTAGCTTACTGCATTTTAGTTCATGCAGAAAGTTCACGTTCATCACTTTCATTAGACGAACGTCAGAAGGTTCCATTAGGATCGTTTATCATAGGTTATGGCTATAAACAAAAGAGTGTCCTCTAATTTAAGGATGCAGTTGACTCGAAACAGAAATTATACTGAGCCAGCAAACGATTCTACTTATTATTGTTTGCTACTATTCCCTTCCCTACGGCCTAAAGTCTGATTCTTTGTTTGTTTCGGCTTCATAGTGATAAGCATGGTTGACTATTGCTGATGCCATGAGGAAAATCGCTATGCTTCTATTGTTGGCATTTGATAGAGAAAACTTCAAGATTTTCCGGCGTATACTTTTTTTTTTGGTTCGGACCATGTAGTGTAGTCGGCTTGTATATTAGTCCCGCGATGGATGGCTGTGATTGTGCAGTTTGGGTATCTTAGCCATTATTTAATTTAGCTGGATGCTCTGGCATGGCATCGGATCCCATGGATGCTTGTTATCAATCATCACGTTTCTGGAAGCAGATACTGATCTTCTTTCGATTCGGTTGTGTTATTCATTACTAGCTACGATCAAGTAGGATGCTCCAGCAATATCATCTTTTTAGGGCTGCAAAAGTTTTTTCTTGTGAGGGCTCTTCAGAAATTTCTGTTCTTAGGAAGATGGTTATTTTGAGAGTTTGTATTTCTTACTCAGTTTTGATGAACGATATTTCGTGAGTTTAGTCTTATCTGAAGATGGATGCAGAACTGCTAATTCTATATCCTCATAATTTACGCTATTTTTTAGTTAATTTAAAATTGTCCTTTCTTTCATAATTACTAAAATGGTTTTCAGATTGTGCACTGGAGAAATCACCTGAAGTTTCCAGAAGACTGTGGGTTGAGCCGTGAAGCAAAGGATCTGATCTGTAGACTACTATGTGATGTTGACCACAGGCTAGGTGCTGGTGGGGCCAACCAAATAAAGGTATATCTGGCGTGCCCATTTACTCCTCTTTTTTCTCAGCTACCTGATGCTGGTTTATTTCTGTCAGGCGCATCCGTGGTTCAAGGATGTCATTTGGGACAAACTCTATGAAATGGAGGCAGCATTTAGGCCCGAAGTCAACGGCGAGCTGGATACACAGAATTTTTTGAAATTTGATGAAGTATGGTGCTTTCCTTTTTTTTCCTCTCTCTCTCTCTCTCTCACTGAGATATGGTTCTTGCTACAGTTGGATGCCCCGGCAGCCGCAAGAACTGGATCCGGATCCTCATGGAAGGTATTTACTTTGTATGTTGAACTGATTTACAGTCTTCATCACCACTTGTAAATTGATTTCTGATGGTATTACATTTTATTAATAATAAAATAAATTCACACATAAAGAAAAACTTATCAGAAATCATCATCCCTAAAGTCATTACAAGCTTAGTGCCTGGATGACTGAATTCCAGCCAGGGCTTTTACCCTGCTCTAGCTTTTGGGGGGTGGAAGTAAGCGATATTATTGTAATTGAGGGTTCTAATGGTCGTGCAAGCTTCTTCAACGTTCAACAGGGCGAACTTAAGTTATCCTGTTTCTCATCCGTGTGGACTGGGGCCACCCACATCAGCATCATGAAATCGCCACAGTTACGAAAGTTGGACTATAATGAATCTGAAAAATAATTTTTTGGGGGAGCCCTTGGTCACCAATTTTATTTTTTTTAATCATTTAATTTTATATATTGAGTTGCATTTTCACTCACTGATTCCAGCAGCACTTGATAAATGAGAGTACCATACTTTGATTAGATTCGGTGAGACATTGACCGCACCGTTGACTTTTCAGTCACTGTTGACACCCAAAGACTTGAGTTTTGTGGGATACACCTTCAAGAACTTTGATGCTGTGAAAGGTCTGCATCAACCACTTGGTAAGAAGCTTTTCTTCCCAGGTGAACCTTCAAGCGTCTTCAAGTTTATGTCTCATTCTATGTCTAACTTCTAATATTTCCTGAATGCCTAAATCTAGACAATTATGAAGAAAACAGCACCCCAGATCCCAACCCCCCACAAGGAACTTACTGTTTCTGGCGATCTCAGCATCTGCTCATTGTTTATTTACCCATTACTAAAATGAAACAGCACAACAGATAACCCAAGTCTCTGTGCCTAATTACCTAATCACTCAATCTTTAGCATGATTGTGTCTGTCACAGGAAGAATAACAAAAAAAATGAGTTTTTTTTCACTTGCTTTCGAATTTTTTTATCGAATGTTATAAACTGGACACATATACTATTCAAAATGTGATGCTTTTTCTTTTATTTTGGGCATTATTTCCAAAAATGCAAGACTCTTGTAAGTGGGAGAATGTTATCATGCTATTTTCTGCTCATGGGTTTCTTGAGTAATCTTTAAGTCTTCTGCAGATTCAAGAACCACTTCATCCCCAAAGCATCCATCTCTAAACTCCATATTCGGTAATGATGCAACATCATCTCCATTAGCCCTCGTCACCTATTAATCACCAGGGAAGTTCCATCAAATTCTAACTAATGCCGTTGAATCATTCAGGTGAATCACTTGCAAAATTGGAGAGTGAGTCATCGAGGGGGGAAATCAAAGTTGACCGGGTCTCATCATCCGATACTACGCCACCTCAGCAGCCGAGTCTACCTCTCCAATGAGAGATCCTCATGAACTGTGGCGCCGCTATAGGGAAAACCTGATCGTTTTCTTGTCAGGTTCACCCCTATCCTATGATCTCGGCAACATTATGAATTGGGCTTTTCGTATGTATTTATGGTTGTAGAACAGGGAAGGAGAGGAGCCGGAGGTTTGTGTTTTGGTGGTGGGTGAACGGACTTTGGAACCATAATTCTTTGAATTATGAAAACCAGGTCTGGTTTGAGTTTCTTTACTGGTTTATTTTTTAAAATAAAATGAGAGAGAAAAAATTCAGAGTCAAGTTAATGGGCCGGTTTGGGTCAGGGAAAATGAGTTTCAGGTCAGCCCATGACGAGCACAATTTTTGGGCCCAATCAGAGACTTATGTGGAGCTCGAGCGAGTCAATGATTGGCGAACCGGAGATCCATCTGCAACCGTGGCAATGTTACCTGAATGGTACTTGTTTCCTGTATTGGGTGTTCTTTTAATGGTTTCAATACCAGCGGGATTATTAAACGTACCTTTTTTGGGAAAATGTGAATAAATCCCTAAAATCCATCTCGTAGGCCAGCAGCTACATCAGCCTTTCTGATCGGTCTTGTAGTAACATTATCCAATGATAAATCTCTTACTTCGGATCCTTTTTAAATTGATTTATATTAAAAAAATTAATTCAACCTGTCAAACAATCCGCGGAGGTGCTTAAGATTGAAACAAGAATAAATGGGCTTTTCATTTATAGTTCAGATAATATATGGGCCTACCTTCTAACAAAAAATGGGCCAGGGCGGGTCAGCAGTTTTGGATAAGATTAAACTTCTGCATTTTTTCCCTTAGCCTGTGTTGAAAATATATTTATGCAATCTTATATACACCCATTTTAAGGGCATATTCTGATTTATATACATTTGAATAATTATAATCATATATATATATATATATATTTTTTTTTTTTTCCCTTCCATTCGAATCCGGGTTCTTCCCATGAACCAGTCAACCTAATCTGGGTTGGACATTAATCCCATCTTCATTTCACTAACGAAATCCAAGCAGATTTCTTCAGAATTTTTCTTCTCTATCTGCATTGCAAACATGTTCCTGCAACCTTCCGCAGGTTTGTAAGCTCAACGATGAGAAAAAAAAATGTACCCATCATGAAGATCCAGCCCTTGTTGCATTCCCTTCTTCACGGTGAACAAAGGATTCTAGTATGCGTTGACTCATGAATATTGCCAGCTCAAGATGAGCTGAGCTGGTGAACTAGTTGAATGGATTGGTTGAGCGAAATAAATGATTCAAGATGAACCAGTACAAGCAACCTCATGTTCATATAATTCTAAAATCGGATGCCTGTGCAAGCACATCAAATAAATTGAGAAAAAACTTAGCTGTACAAGATCTACACATTGGGGAGTGCAGTTTGATAAATATAATCTACAAGGCCGGTATGACTCTTAGACCATGGGACTGAAGAAACCCACCTGGGAATTCCAGGTTAAGGAGCAGGCATTCTAGCAACTGCCCAAAAAGGAGTGTTTTTTTCCTGTTAGGATCTACTATTCTAGCCTGAGATATGAGGAGAATTCACGAAGGAAAAAAATCAAAAGTAAGAACAGTCAGCGTCACCAACCTTGGTTTGCTCATTGTCAGGGAAGTTTCAGCTTGCCCAGTTCACAAAGAAGGGAGGAATTCCCCTCGCAAGCTGCGGACAGTATGTCAAACCTCCTGATGGACTCCGATTCCTGAAGAGGTGTGACTTCACTGTCGTGGCCACATTGGAGCTTGGGCCTTTCATATCGGATGAGACAGAGAAGCATTTTCTGAGAGAAGCGGGAGCAAAGAGATGTCAGCCGGCGTCGTCTGTGTAAGAAAATCATTGAATCTACTAAAAGCTTTCGCAGAGATTTGCCTGGTTTACCTTTAGCTGCGGTTTACGTGAATAACCACGCAGGAGGGACTTCACCAATTTATTCCGAAAGGGTACTTTGTCTGAGCTGCCATTGAAGATGAACCAGGACAGGTGATGCATAGGAAGCGCGAAAGTGATAGATCCCCGAGCTGCAGCCCTGTCTAGAGGCTCAGAAACCCAAGTTTTGGCGTAAGCTTCTAAAATCCCTTCATTATCCTGCACAACCACAGCACATTCAATGCCAGAACAGCTATAAACAGCGTTCTGCCAGAACAGGCAGGCGAATCGGGCTCATGGCTCTCCTCGTTTAATGCCAAAATGCCCAAAATAACCAAAATGCATGGAAGAGAGCTAAAATGCCCCAAAATAAAAAATGGGTTGTCAACCAAGAACCCAGATGAGATATTGACAACGACGTTTGGGTCTGAAATCCAACTAAGAGAAACCTTTGTGAACTAACAGTTATTGAAATCTCACGTGCCCACACCGGCATATTCATTGAAGTTTGCTGCTCTTTAATTCTGATGTTTTACATGTAACCAAAATCAAAGCATAGAAACAGAAGGAATTTGCTCAGGATGTTTCAAGTAATTTTTCTGAGATGGAAAATTTTTCTTGCCATCGTATAGGTTTGTTTCGAGAAATTACAAACGCCCTTTTGGTGTTATGCGGCTAAAAGACAGTCACGACTACAATCTGAAGAGTATATGCCATAATTGGAGCACAATGCAGATGAAAAACCATTGAAGTCGAGAATTAATAAAGTCGAATATCACATGTTACCTAGATGGTTGATCTAAAAGAAAGCATGATTGACTCGGAGAAAAGAAAAACCCGAGATGTTACGAAAAGTGGTAAACTATAACACATTTTGAGAAATATCTGTAAGGCATTGGTACATTAAAAAAAGATAACCATCACCTCAACAGGTTCTAGATATCCCTCAGCTTCACCAAAACATTTATCCAGTGGTGGCAAGAGTTCAAGGACATGACTGTTTACAAGTGAATTCCATGCAGCAAGCCTGACAGCAACCTCAACTGAGCGATGCAAATAAAGTGCTATTTGCCTGCCATAAAGTACGTTGCCATACGATACAGCCCCAAACTGCTCAATCAAGGTCTCAATAAATGTTGCATAGCTCTCATGAACTTGAGTTTGGAAGTTGAGAAATTCTGGTTCATGATTTTTCCCTGCTTCCAACAGCGAGGGGCACTCTGAGGAACTTTCTGCATTATGATTCCTTGCTTGGGTTGATCTTCCATTTTGAAGCCTCAACTGGTCAATTTTCTGCCCATAAAATTCTTGCAAGCATTCATAATTATCTCTGCTTTTGGCATCTTCAAGAACATCCGCTGTTTCCATTCTTACAAGCAGTACCATAGACAAGGCATGCAATTTCCAAATTAAAGGTACAGCCTGCACGGGGAAATCAGAATCCATCGAGTCTGCAAGGTAGGACAGTGCTTCCAGACCGAGGAGGAAAAGAAGCCCACTTTTTGCAACATCAAGACAATCACCTGAAGAACGGATGTCACTCGTCTTTCTATAAGAGGAACTGGGGTTATTGGCATCTCCACCGGTCATGACGCATGAAAGTGGGCTCAGAAACCAATGCGCAGGGAGTGGAAGCCTCTGATACGCCCACTCTACCTGCAAAGAACAAGCATCTGGATATTTGCTTCCAACTTCTGATGTTTCCATGTCTTCAGGTATGGTTCCCAGAGCATCATGCTTTTCAGATGACTTACCTTTGGTACTGCTGTCATCTCTTTTGCTAGAGGATTTACTCTTAAAGCTTAGCCAGAAACTTCTGAAATGCGAACTTAGCATATTGCTAAAATATCGGTAATCTTCATAGCAATATTGCCACCGAAATGATTTCAGACCTCTGTTAACGTGAATGAAATGATCAATACAGAAACCCAGAAACTCTAGGACTGGAGCTTGAAGCAAAACATCTAATGCCTTCTCCAATATAATTCTATCTCTTGGTCCTGAAATCAAACAAACACCAAGTATAGCATTAATTCTCGGAAGAGCAAAGGCCATTTCAGAGGAGCCATCAGTTACTGGACTCGTCACTCCAAGAAGGGTCGGATCTTTGCCAGGAACAATCGGAATGGTTGTGAAAAGGCTCATGATAAGGTGTGCCTCAGCCTGTGCGAGCAAATACTTGGTAGACCAGAAGCCTCCGCCAGATGAACCCCAGCCAAGTCCAATCCCAGGGGCCGGCCCTCCTCTGCCTGACACTTCAGTTCTGAGCATATGCTGCCATCCCGAAGCAGCCAAGGTCATGAACAACGAAAGTACCCTAGAGAGTTCGGTAAGAGCCCCTTTGGATATGCCATCTTCAAGTACCTTATCATCTGTGCCTGAATAGTCTTCTTGTAATGACTGACCGGAAAGTGAAAAAACCTTGGAACTCTGAATGCATTTGTCAACTGAGTTAACCAGTCGGACTAATCCATGAAGGCAGCTTACAGAAGAAAACGATGTTTCTAACGCGTTATGGGTTCTCAACTGGCAGAGCACGCTAACAAGTGACATATTTCCGCCTGGCACTCCTTTGTCTACTCTGCCATTTGGATGGGCAAAGTCGAAAATTCCATTTTTCACAATTTCAAGGCCCACTTTAGGGATGAAGAAAGGCAACCATGGCAAGACAGCAGCAGTACCTTCTTCATGACCTAAGCTATCCTTTGGGATGACTTTGTCAAATATACTTGAAAGCATGTGCATTATAGCTGAAATAACCCATAGGATGCAGTTTGCAGCTGAATTGCTCTCATTACTAACACTGTTCTCTTCCCTGGGTAGAATAAATGGCATGAGAGAGCTGGTTTTCAAGGATAGCCACTTTGTAGCCAATTCAACCATCGGAACCACTCGACTCCACGACCAAGATTCCATGTCATTAGGAAATTCAGAAACCTCTCTCTCCAATTGCACCTCTGAATGAAGCCTAGGCAGCCGATGAGAAAGTGCCTCCAAGACATGGTACGCTTCCCGTGTAACCAGGGCAAACTCCTCAAGGACGTTTTCCCCAACCAGTCTGTCTAGTGTGGGCAGGTTCAACCATGTGCACATCACCGGGAAAAAATCGTCAAAGTAAGAGGCACAATAGCCATGACGTATACAGACCTTCCAAAAACGTAGTTGTTCAACCATTAAGCAGGAAGTGAGGTTACGGTGTTCTTTTCCAGATTTAATCCATTGATCAAGGGAAATTGGACCTCTGTACATATGCCACATCATGTCTCGGAAGAATCCACACCTCACAAACTCTGAACAGTGTTGCCGGTCAGATTGAGACAAGACCTGCATGTGAAAAACAATCCCCTCAAGACTATTCCATACATAATCAATGAAAATTGAAACATATAAAGGTACCGCAAGGACTATTCATCACTACGTACGTCAAAATGACACCAAACTTGAAAATCCGCATGGAAAACATCCTTGACATTCAGAACTCACATAGCTACAATTAATTTGCCATAAACTACATCACAAAATAAGGCTAGATTTTCCATTTTGGCAAAGTACTCGGTGTACTCAACATGATTGAAAGAAAAAAAATAATTCAAATTTACTATTATGCATTGTGCTATACATCTGTACAGTTTGGCAGATTTGTGAGGGCACGGTACTCCTAAACGACACATAATAGTCCCAATGCGGTCTCTTTGCTCAAGAATGATATCATAAATTTTGAATGGAGGGCAGCTGACATCAGACAAGATATCATTTCACGGCTACAAACTTGACTGAAGATGGTTCTGACTATACTGCTGTAGGGAGCAAAATGCAAGCTCATGAGGAATATGAACTATATGTCTGACTACACGAGGGCAACAGAAAATATCATACCAACGAAGTAGAAATAAGAATATCAATACATGATAGTCGAATGGAGGGCAGCTAACATTGGACAACATACCCCTGCATCCGCACGAACTTTATTAAAGCTTGCAACGGGAAGGAAAGCAAAAAGTAGTTCTGACGTTACTGGTTTAGGAAGTGTGATCCAATGCACCTTTGGAACTATGAAATCTATTCCAGGCTTTATCCCAACAAATATGCACTTGCACAAAAAAGAAACCAGGAAAAAGTTGCCAAAAAATGCACATATCCATATCCTTGTCAAGGAAATAAATTGAGCCAATTTTCCGAAATAAATGGCATTAAATTGCGACTTCCAGTAATAAAGAGAGGTAGCTTAAGTCCTAAAAATAGTTGACATCAACATTACCCAAGGAATGTTACACGGAGGGTTGATGAGAGTCCTTAACATAAACAGGCACATTCGAGGACCCAAAATATTAATGCAACCTCCTCAGAACAATATTATAAACGAGAAAGGCTAATGAAAACAGGATAAATATGTTCTGACAATTACCCTTAGAAGGACAACTGATTTTATCATTGAAGGGTGAACGTCGACCGCAAGATGCTTAGTGAACCGGTGGACAACAGTTTCAATCAGCCTTGGACATTTTATAATAGCTGTTGCACATGATGGAGAATGTCTGGCCAATGCAACAAGGATAGAGACAAGGCATTCATCCAGAGTAGGAAGGGGGTCCACCTGAACGAATAAAAATATGAGTGAATAACATAACATCTTAATGAGCAAAAAAAATCAAAGAAATGAAAGGCCACATAAACCAACCAAAACAAGGTCATCATTATTCTGTTATTCATGAAAGGCAAACTACAACCAGTGACATAAGCAAGAACTATCCAAATCTTAGGAACTGGCGTGAAGAGGTCAGAAGCTATTATCTTGACAAATGATTCAGATACATTGATGGTGTGCATTGACTTTCATTTTCCATGAGTTTCTGCTACTGTATAGTCAATATGGAACTATCTTATCACCAAAATCTAAAGTTTATGGTGTCAATATTAAGTGTCTTACTATTAAAATTAAAAACATCTTGGATTTGGCCATATCGGTTATACCCTCACTATTTAATTCATTAGCAGGTCATCCTTTAATTTTAACATATGAATAACATTTTACATAAAATGCAAAGTATTTCGTCAATTCGAAAATTACATATCTAGATCATACAACTGCGATCAGACTATGAGTATAAAGCAGAAAAATCGATATGACATCCATTGAATGAATATGTTTTACATAAAAAATGAAACCCACTGTTGTCAGTTTAATTATGCGCAAAACAACCCGGAACATAATCCAGTCTCTTTCTCATAACTATGTCAACACTTTGACACTGATGTCTGTTGAATTGATCATAGGTCAGCCTTTACATGTATTTCATTTTCATCTACCAAATCCAATAACAATTACCGAATCATGATTTTTTTTTCTTCCCAGTGTTGTCACAATGACCATGGTAAAACCTAAGTGTACATATAGACGCAGAATTTTGCAATAAAATTAAAAATAAAGCTAGTTCATATGTCAGCATGATCATAGTTTAACTACGTTTTTTTAGAACACAGTAATCATAGAAGCAGCTTCAGAATCAATAACCTACACATGCATTGGCATGAAATTCAATAACACTAAGAATACAGCAGAAATGAGAAATTAAAAAGAGACAGCCATAGATAAAGACGTACTAATTTGTCACACGATAAACATTATACAAAAGTATCCCAGTAAGTCGGGGATAAAAGCACTTAAAAATAAACCTCTAGCAGTTTCCGTTGCAAAACTTCATTTGATGGAATTTTCCGGATGGCAAAAATGAACCCAGTCATAGTATGCAGAGGAAGAAACAGAAAAAAATATATGTAAAAACGTCTAAGCAGCAATTTAAAATACAAAGATCATGCAGGTGAAGAAACATTACAAAAATATACGTGCATTCAATGCATTTTGAGCAACTAATGCATTTACGAAGGCATGCATATCATAATACAGCTGTAACTATAAAAAACGACCACTAGCCAAAGCATGGTCTAAAATTTCGAACATTAAATCTAAAACATGATCTTATCCAGGTCCATGACCATTGAATAGTAAATAAACCACATTTTCATTGTTCAGAAGGCAACTGAAAGAAGAGATAACAGTAGAACTTGGAGCATGCGTCAGAAAAGAGGAAAAACATATATTTATAAAAAATCATTGAGTTTTATCGAATTGAATTGCCTACCTCTAAAAGATAGCATATTCTTGGGAGTATACCCATCCTTACTAGACCACCAGCTATATCTTGTCCAGCCAGAACAACATCATCCTGGATTGTACGTCTTTCTTCATCATCAGCATCCTCATACTGATCGTTGAAAGGGAGGATATTTGAAGGTTTTGAGCTGTACTTCCAAAATCCACCATGAAGATAACCAAAATTGATATCTGGCCGACTACGAAATATAGGTGCAGTGTAAACATCTATCTCATAGACACATAATTTCTGAAAATGGAGGTACAAATCAGCTCCAATCATTTTCATAACATACTTTATGCATAAATGTTGTAAAAAAGGGAGAGCAAGAGGGAAGCATGACTCTACCTCTGAAAGATTGAAGTAGAACTCATTCACATCAAAGCTCAGAATGGATTGAAAAACCTTTGCAGAAGCCAGAATGACAGAATTATGGTTGTCATCCAAAGAGATCCTGTCAATGGAGTCCAAAAAAGTCAAAACCACAAACTCTAGGGCGGAAAATGAAATATACACTGTAATTGAACATTATCATTCAGTACAATTATAGATTTAATTAGTTCATTAAAGATATTGAATAAGAACGCTGAAATCATGAAAGTGCACAACTAAAATGCTTTGATCAAAGGATTTATTTATTTGGCCCCTGGAAACATGGGGATTCTGTACTATTGCACTGAACCACTAAAGATATCAAACAAAGTACAAAATTAAAAATACATCAAAGAGGCGAAAGTGAAGAAAAGGCAACCCCTTAACTGCATGTCAGCATGCCTCATTTATCACTATGCATTTTCTCCAGAATGCACCTCAAACAAGCCCCTGACCATAGCAAAGATATGTGGCATTAAAAAAATGTCACATGAGGTATGAGCCACTTTTCCCTTGTCAAATGTGTCACCTAATCACTATTAAGTAAATAAATCGTTTGATAGTGCACTTTGAAATTCTGATGATTTAAAAGAATCCAAAATGTGAAAGATGCCAAAATCCAATCAAATGACAACAATGCAAAGTCATGAATGTTTTCCCAAAAGTGGGACCTAAACGCAACTCTTTGGTATATGCATATCACATTCTGACTTTCAGGATCATGTCAGCAAGGTGGGGTCCAAATGAAGGGAGGAGAAAAAGAGAAGAGGGAGAGAGGGAGAGAGAGAGAGAGAGAGAGAGAGAATAGGAAGGAAGAGGGCCAAGTCTAAGTGGCAGTATCTGGTACTCCGCTGCTAAAATGTGGGTAGAGTATAATAGACTTTTCATCCCATACTTCCTTCTTTCTATGCACGAGTTTTTTAAAATATTTCTTCCTTCCACAAAACTTCCCATTTCCTCCACCGTCTGCAGAAACAGGACAGTAACACAGGCTGGTCACACCTAATCCTATGTAGATTAGGATTGGATAACCCTAATCTGGAAGACAAGGGCTGATGTAGATGCAAAAAGTATTCAACAAAGAAGTGATGCTTTTATAACCCGTAAGAGGATATTTGTTCACGTCCCTAACTTAAAGTAAAAGCTGGCGAAAGATCTGAATTCCTTTTACACAAGTCACTGTAATGCAAAAGTAAATGGCATGGAATAGCCAAAATCAGACAAGCTGGTTGAACTCAACTGACTATGGTTGACCTTGTTTGATAAATCAATAGACTCAATCTTAATACTCTCATTTTTTAAACTATAAAAGGGTCAGGCACAAACTCCCCATCCAGGTTTTTCTTTGGGAAAGTTCCCATGCGAGTTATCCATCTAAATCGAATCAGTTAATTCCACATAAACGGTTCATTTGCCCTCCCCCGCTCTTTCCCAATATCTGATCACAAGCCAATGTCAACCCTTCTCTCTTTCTGTCACAATTTTATGAGAAAGGAGATAAAAATAAATTCGAAAAATGAAGAGAGAAAATTGTGGTGAGGAAATCTAAATATGGTTTCATTTTTTAACTTAAATTTTACACGGAATTAGCGTGCCTTTTGGGGAGAAAAAAAGGTTTATAATGCAATGTGTCGATAGTCCACTAACCAACAAACAAAGATCTATTATATTCTAGCCATATCTTTTGTCACATTAGAATATGCATCACAAGCATATGAGATAATTCGTGCAACTACTCTGTTCTTCCCAGAGTTACCAGCCGGTCTCAATTTCAAAGGAGTACAACACCAAATAACTGGCAGCTGTTAAATAAATAAAAATAAACTGTTCTGTATTCACCTTAATGATAAAGCAATCTCCGGTTCAGGACCGAGGACATATGCCCAAATTGCCTGCCAATCAACAGCTTCATGAGAACAGTTTGCATTTGAGAGGTTAGAATCGGCCTCTTTCTGTTGCAAGTGGTGCAGACACTTATGAAGGACAGAAGCGAGGAGTTGCAAAGCAAAGCAACGTTGACTGGGGATCTGAAACACAAACACAAAATCGAACTGTTCAGAGAATAGCATATTCCTTATATTCTTTCTCTGTTTTCTTTACTTCCCTTTTTGCCTTTCTTCAGGTTATTGAACCTGCGTGTTTGCTATTTATACATATGCGTTTGTGTGGGTGTGCGCACGCATGTGTGAGTGTGTATATGTATATACCAATTTCACATGTGGAGCACGCTCTGCAATTATCCCCACTCTCTCTAATTCATAATATGGTTGTTGAATCTCAGAACTGTAGATGCATGGATGATAGCAGATCACAGGAATCCATCAATATCACAATTCTGTTCAGTCAAGAGTGGAGTAAAAACAACAAGTTTGTCACATTGGCATTTTTGGAGATTCTAGAAATACTGAAGCCTGAACCTTGAAAACGGATATTCACATTGGCATTTTTGGAGATTCTAGAAATACTGAAGCGCCTGAATCTTGAAAACGGATATTTACATCTTTAATTTTGAATTAAAAAACAGTAACCTAAAAATAAAAGAATCAGGTAAAGTGTTGGATAAGTACAAAGACATGAGATCAAAACTGTTTGAGTGACAGAAAAACTCAGCATCTTGTCTGAGTTCATTTCACACATTTCGTCTTAAAGTTAGTCAAGAATAATTTTTTGAAAACAAGTAGCCAAGGTAGTTGGTGGTAGATGCTGAGTGCTGCAATGGCCACATAACAGTATAAATAGTTGAATGTTCACAACTATCCATAAGTCATTATAAAAGTACAAAATTTCTCTTAAGTAGAGCCAATTTGGTTGATTGGAGTGCACAAAACAAAAAAGTGGTAAAAGGGTCTTAGTGATGACACATCGTCTGTCCTTCCAGAGCTTTGCAGACGATACCTTTCACAAATCTGCATCTTGCCTTTTTACTTCATTGTATAATGACAACCTAGCCCAGAAGCATGGGTCCATATTTTTGGATCATTTGAGCCTTAAAACTCTACATTAAATTTTATATCAATAACCACTTTAGAATATTAGTGTTGTGTTGACCACAAAAACCCAACACTACAATAAAGTATATTATTCTGACACAGTTCCATCCAGACTCAAAAGAAAAAACATAAAGAACCAACATTGCCCCAGAATTACCCAGACGTCCCATCTATAGTGTAATTATAAATTTATGAAATGGAATTTTAAATTAAAAAGGGCCAATGAAAAAAATAAACAAACTTACAATGCTTCTAGTCAGTGCTATGGCTTCCTTAATTGTGTATCCTGCAGCACCAGGATCACCTTCAGTTCTCAGGAAGTCACGCTCAGCAACATTCTCTGGATTATATTGACTGAAGCTGGTATTGAGACCTACACATAAATGAAAACAATCAGCCAGTTTTTCACTTCAAACTTTTCAAATATCTATATAACACATCCAGATCAAAGAAAATGCAACCGTACAGTCTGAATAAGATTCCCTGTGCTGGAAAACATTTGAAAGAGTATATATTTAAATACATTAACAACCACACAATCTGGTTGAGAGAATCATCAATGGTGACAAGATTTCCTCATAACGAATGGTGTCCTGTGATTAACAGGACGTTGTAAATACATTCAATCATTAGAACTACCACGGAAACAACCAAAAAGTCCAGAAAAAATGCATTTTTCACATTTAGCTTTTTGATTGAGAGGAAAAGAGATCATAATGACTGTTGAAATTCGTAAGCAAAAATGTTGAGATAACAGGATACTAGGATTGTAGTCAGCTCACAAGTAACCCACAGATAATAAGAAGAAAACGGGTAACAGGATTTAGAGATTATCAACATACACAAATGTTGCCCTGGCTGAAAAGGAAATCCAAACTCTACTGTGGAAAGAGGACCGAAGGTAGATCAAATTTTGAGGGAAGAGATAACAACTATTGGAAAACAATTCCAGATTGAGAGTTCGGAAGAAGTATTAACCATGTATTTTTAAGTCACCGGAGCTGGAGGCATTAAAAAATAACTGTTGATTTTTAACTATTCTTTGAAACTTCTTTTGATCAAGGAACCTTGCCCAACGCTCTACCTGTATGAATTAAAGAAGCATAGCCTCAACTTCCTCTTTTGGAAAAAGATGATGATTGTGTAGCTTACCATTTTTTAGCTCCATGGGGATGCCATCGTTGATGACATTACCATCCAATCTGAACCTTAAAAGCCTCACCTTCTCCACTCTTTGGCACCACGACTTCCATGATCCGCTATCACCCACACCAGATGGCGCCCATTCATTGTTAATATCTGAAGATTCCATCTTTTCGGAACTCGTGGTAGTTTCGGACTGTCTATTTGCTGCATCCTGAGGAATCTCTGAGCGTTCAGGCTTGGCAGCTTCTTCCTGGTAAGAACTCTTGGCACGTTCAACCAGGTTAGCCCCGTTCAAACTAGTTTTCCCCTTCTCCTCAGCAGGCGTAGCTCTCATATTCCTTCTTTTGTCTTGACCCCTCTTCCTCAGCATGGCTAATATAGTTGGATCCATTTTCCCCATTATCTCCGCCTGACTATCAGCAATCTCCTGGGGGGACATCTGGGCCAAACGAATTAAATTCTCCGCATTGATATCCTCCATCATAGAGAATTTTCCTCGGTGTTGGACCGTAGAATCCAAAGACTCGTAGTCAACATCCATGGAAGTTGGCTGACGTACAGATTGATATTCTATCTCCCCCTGTTTTCTCGTACGTCTATCTCTGGTGTCTACCCTAGAGATAGACGTATCTGCGACAGGTGAAAATATACTATCTGTCTCCTTCCGCTTCAAACCCAACTCAGCTGCTGCTGCTGGTGCTTCTATAGCATCTCCCATTTCTTTGTCAACAGGTTTCAATACGACGGCTGATTCGTGCTTCTGTTTCACCTTGCTTGAAAAGGTAGAATGCTTCCCGTCGAGCAACTCCCTCCAGCGGCTGAAATCTAGGCCCTTCTTCTCTATCTTCTTCATCGGCCGAACAAGTGGAGCGGCCAACCCGTAGTCCACGATATCCTTATCCTCCTCTGCGTCATCCTCCTCCGCGCCCCTTGTTGTGGCCACCGGGGTCCAATGCTATGTGAGAAAATAGAACGTCGAAGAGTCAGAAATCAATAGAGGAGCACACTGCGAGAAGGACGTTACAGAGAGGTAAGAGAAGGGGGCGGGGGAGAAGATCGAGGGTTCCAACCGGGCCATGCGAGCGGTGGCGCGCGACGGGGAAAGGGAGGACAGTAAGACGGGGAGAGGAGGCGGGGGCGCCAGACAGGGCGGACGAAGAGAATCCCTTCTCGACGATGCGGCCCACTAGCAAGGAGCTGTGATGCTGTTCTCCCAGCATCTTCGACCGGGGCCTCCGAGAAGCCGAACTCCCCGTGGTTCCCTCCGCCTCCATGAGAGCAGGGGAGGGAAGAGCAAGGAAAATTAGAGCTCGGAAACTTCCTGAAATCGCAGCCTATCTAGGGCTATAACAAAGAGCGATTTCAAGTCGGTGAGCAAAGGAGCCGTTGGCCGCGGGAGGGTGTTGGAATTTTTAGTGAAACGTGTCAATATATCACTCGCACTCATTTGAATCCGTGGAAATCGCTTCATAACATGGGGTTTTCGGGGCTCTAGGCTCTGTTGCAGCAGACTTCTGACACCGTACCCGAGGACGGAGGAAACATAAGTCAATGGTATCGATTTCACGTTCTGGTCAAGCCAGGAGTGCGCGTGAGAACGGTTGACATCTGATGCGGTGTGGGGCCCACCTAGGCAACCACCAACGATACGAGAATAAAATCACGGCTGTCGCGCAAGTTGTTTGTACAGGAAAACCCTCACTCCCGCTCTCCGCTAACCTCCGATCGCTCCCATGGTCCCGTTGAGAATGAAGAAGAGCAGCACGAAGCTTAAGAGTCTAAAGCTCAGCGTCCCCGTCCCCGATGCCCCGTTCGGCGAGTTCGTGTAAGAATTGAAACTTCCTCTCCCACCCCCCCGTCCTCTGTTTCCCGTTTTCGTGGTCGATCTGCCGATCTCTGTCGATGTTCCCTGATGTGTGTCTGGTGGAGCTTCACAGGACTCACAGTGGCACATTTAAGGAAGGGGATTTGCTCGTCGACAAGGACGGGCTCCGCATCGTCCGCCAGAATGGAGAGCCGGCGGTAATTTACGAAAACCTGAAATCTTTCCCTTCCCACTTCTGCTGTGATGTGTACCTTTTAATCTATTCCATCGGTTTATTCTTTGCTATCCATTTCCTCCCACTCCCTCTACTTTTACATTGATGTCTTTACTCACATACCAAGACCGCCAAGATGAATTCTGAACGAATATAGATCATTTTGAACTGCCTGATTATCGAGTATGATGCCGTGATGCTAATCAGTGATGAACCAACTGCGATCATTGAGATACCTGACTTTGATACTGAGAGAACAAGTATTCTTCTAGATTATTATGACCCCGACACGCTTACCTAGGATAACCATCCCATCTCCCCATGGTAAATGTAGATTCAACCTCAATTCGCAATCATTGGCATAGTCCGAGACGAACCTACCATAGGTATTCACTAGCCATCTAATGATGGATGTGTAAATTACTTTCTATCTGCAAAGAAGTACGTCCAAGACTAATTATGAACAATATTATTGCGACCTAATCTATGTATATGATGTGATGTATAAATATGATCTTGACCAATTTGGTTTTAGTGTAGGATTATGAAGATATAGGATTTACCTAGTGTGCGGGTATGCTGAGCATCCCCAGTGGAGATGGCAAAGATCTCAGTGTCCGTGTTGATTGAGATTTCCCATCAGGCCCCTGAAAACCCAAAAGAAGTTCCCTTGGCATATCTCTTTCGCTGCCAATATCAGAGCTACTAGGATGGGTAGTCTCATGGCATTTCATTCCGTCCATGTGTCAGTCGTGTACCAGTCATCCATTGAGCCTTTTTTAGCAAATACTGGACTACCATTGTGACTAGGTCTCTAGAAAATGTAAGAGGGTTGTGATGCATTGGAGATTGGTGGTGTTGGAAAGGTCGACCGTCTCTCTCTTCCTTGGCCAGCAAGCAGAAAAGTACTGTTGCCCTGCTCTTCCGAATCTGCGACTTGTTGGTTGGTGTTCCATTATATGTTGCTGAGCTATGCCTGAGACGCGGAAGGCTAATAGCACTTTTATAACGTTTGAGCTCAGGAAGATGACTGTGGTACAGAGGTGAGCTTCTCTTCTTTGTCATCCTCGGCAAAAAATGTTAGTGCATTAATACCGTTATTGATACTTTCAAACTCATATAAGCTTGAAATGCGATGTGCATGTGCTGATTAAAAAGATATGGCGAGTTGCATATCTGAGTTAGGCTGACTTGAATCAATAAGTCATAGGTTTTAAGAGTCAAGCTGATTAGAATCAGAATATGGATAAGTTTTGATCAGAAATAGTCTGATTTAATTTAATTCTTCAACTGGGTTGTCAACGCTTTACCCACGGATCAATAATATTCTCAAAAAATAAAAATAAAAATATTTCAACTTTTATCAGCTTGTTAAGATATCTCTCCTTATTCTTAGCAATATGAACTTTATCCTCTGTAGACGTAGCGAGATATTCTTCTGGTGAGTGATATGGTGATAGCGGAGTTTGGACTTTCCCATGGTAATGAACGACGAATTTTATTTTATGAGGATAAATGTTGTGGGATCTCATCCCTTAGAAGTGAAATTGTCCTAAATGCATTGTTGAAAAGAACATCCAAGATCCACTAGAAGTTGGGATTCTCTCTTCCTCTAATGATAGCGGAAGAAGTTGGTTTTTTTAACCCTAGGTTGCTAGGTAATTTTAGAGAAACATAAATTGTTCACCCTGGAAATCTATTTCCCATTCTTATATAAGATTGAAATATGGATGAGGACGATTTACGATGATGGAAATGTTATAGATTTGAAAATTTCAGAGTTCAATTTTACATCATATACCATTATAGAAACGCTTCCACCTCTAAAGAGTGACCTCCTCGGGTATTGTTTTTCTACTTCTCCTACTGAATTACCTCCTCGCGGTTCCCAATCTCTTCTTGACACCCCACGTTACAGTCTCGATCTTGGAAATACACTTGCTCTTGCTTGCCTCCTGTGGAAGTGAAGGTCGATGTGGAGGATTTCACATGGGAGACGACCAATACCCGGCCGTTTCGCTATTTCATATTGCATCAATTGAGAACATCTCTTCTGATGTTGTTTCTCGGGTGCTCTTCTTCTGTAGAATTTTGGCAATTCTTCTTACAGAAAGTTGGTACTCAATGGAAAGTCCTCGAGCTGACATCACAATGGTCACTCGAAGGAGATTAAAAACTTCGGTGGCCAGTCCTCCTAGTGGGCCATTTGAAACGGCTGGAACTTCAGCCGCAAGGAGCATTCAGTAGAGAGAATGGTTGCTTCCGTATGCTTTAGCGCGATGGAGTGGGCTTAGCGAGGAAACCCCTTACTCCTTGACCTCGACATGCTTTTCATAACACCGAAAAGTTAGACTTTAAGTCAACCTTTTAATGGAATCTTTGTGATCCTGTTCCTTGCTACCTCTGCAATTCCTCTAACCTCCAGTGTGCACCCTTCAGTCTACGGGTGAAATCAGCCTCGTAGTTGCCGCATCGGACAACATTATTCCATGCAACTGTTGTTGCGTATAGTTTCATTAAAGTGTTTGAATGTGGTTATTTATAGCATCCTTTGATAAAGCCTTCGGATAGTCGGTTGACTTTGGACGATATGGACATGATTCAAGTGATTGGCAAGGGCGCCAGCGGGATCATACAGCTGGTTCGCCACAAATGGACTGAACAGTTCTTTGCCCTCAAGGTATTCTCCTGATGCACTGGATGATACTTATCCATTTACAGGTCTGTTTATAAGCAGAGATAACGAGTCGTACTTTCTTGATCCATTTTACCGGTTGGAGTCCTGATGCCGGTGTTTCATGCAGAGCATCCAACTGAATAGTGTTCCCGAGGAATCCCGCAAACACATCTCAAAGGAGTTGAAGATAAACTACTCACTCAACCACACCTCCCCATGCTCGCATATCGTTGCATATTACCAATCATTCTATGACAATGGTGTCATATCTTTAGTCTTGGAGTACATGGACGGCGGGTCTCTCGCTGACTTTCTAAAGAAAGTCAAATCAATTCCAGAGCCGTATCTATCCGCGATATGTCAGCAGGTCAGTCTCCGTTGGCAGAAAGATATCTCCTTTCATCAATAATACTCGAATTCCCCGCTTGATCAACCATTACCATTGGCCATTTCCTTCCAATAAGATGGGCATATTTCTTCTGCTGTGCAGATGGTCAAGGGCCTCGTTTGCCTTCACCATGAGAAGCACATCGTCCACCGTGACTTGAAACCAGCTAACCTGCTGATCAACCATAGAGGAGAGGTCAAGATTACAGATTTCGGTGTGAGCGCAATAGTAGAGAGCTCTTCTGGGCAGCAAGGGACTTTCGTGGGCACATGGTACTATATGTCTGTGAGTATTCGTCCAAAGCTCCAACCCCTCCATGGTTCCAAACTGTAAAAGCCTCAGTAGAATATTGATCTCTTGTAGCCAGAAAGAATCAGCGGAGGCAGACATGGCCCCAAGAGCGACATCTGGAGCCTCGGTTTACTTCTGTTGGAGTGTGCTACTGGTCAGTTCCCTTATGCACCTCCTGTCGGACAGAAAGCTTATAGAAGTGTCTTTGAGCTGCTGGACGCCATTGTTCATCATCCGCCGCCCGCTGCTCCGCATGACGAGTTTTCTGAGGAGTTCTGCTCGTTCATCCATGCATGGTGAGGGCCAGAATGTACTTTCGCTTTATTGCCTTTTTATTTCAATAAAATAAAATAATGAACTTATTTGTACGCATTTCAGCGTCCAGAAGGATCCCAAGGACCGCAAGTCCGCGCTGGAGCTTCTGGTAATTTCTCAACCCTGGATTCCTCCCTGACTGACCCGGCGTCTCCCCCTTCTCCCTGCCGCTGAACCCATCGTCTCCATTGACACAGGAGCACCCATTCCTGATCGCCTACGAGACCGAGCACGTTGACCTGGCGTTGTACTTCGCCAATGCCGGCGCTTCTCTCACAACCTTCTGATGCCATCCGGTACATCTCTCCCCCAGAAGCTCCAATTTTTAAATAACATAATTTCCTGGGTATCATTTTAAAAAAAGGTTCTTGGGATCAGAGAGGAAATTAACCTGAAAATGTCATACGTCGTAGAAGTTTCGGGCTAAGAGCTGCTCCTCTCCGGTGATTCCACGTACAATGGCATACCAGTAGAAAATCATTCTTCTCCAAGGGTAGAATATCCCTGTTATTTTGTCCAGGGAAACCTCTGAGAGAGTTCCCCTCGGGTAGTCGGGGTCGTCGTCTCCAATCTCCGCTATGTGAATGGTCCAAGATTCGCAGAAATGAGGTAAGAAATTTGTCTTCTTGTGGGAAGAAATCGGCATCTCTGGCTTTTATGAAAGTCTTCCGGACTTCATCACTGTGCGTTCTTGGTGGTGGGCCCCGACGTGATGTCTCGGGTTGATTCCAGGTGCCTTGCTGGCTCACACGTGTCGGTATTTCCCTCCCCTCCCGTACGTTACATTAATTCGACCATACTTCACGTTCAAGTCAAACTTATGAGCGAGAGCGAGCGAGCGAGCGAGAGGAGAGAGAGTGTGTGAGAGAGAGAGAGAGAGGGCTTGAAGAGCCATGTGGTGGCGCAACGGCTCTTGACGTCAGACGAGATATGGACTGGCATTCGTAGCCAATTATATGGCGTGGAGCCTATCCAAAGTTCGTAGGCCGCACTCCGACAAGATCTCACCTCCCTCGGAAGTTATGCTTTCGGTCCAATCCAGTTTGAAATCACTGGCAAGAGAGAGAGAGAGGAGACAGAAGAGAGGGGTGAAAAGTCGAAGTAACTGGCATTGGCCACATGTCAAACATCAGAAATGTCAGCTATGGGAAGATTCTGATGGGAATGGCGGCCGGTGTCAGAGGACACGTGTCGACAAAAGCTGTGTGGGCTGTAGATGATGGGACGCGTGGCGTTTCCTTAAAACGGCCCACGTATCAACCCCCAAAACTGTTGGGCCTTCTGCAGGCCATTTTCTCACGCCCTTGCATATTTTTAAAATTATGGCCTAACCTTATTATTAAAATGACCTTCGTTCGTCCATTTCCGAAAGAGAGGGTGAACTTGACCAAAACAGTCAAAAATTTCTTCTTAGTCAACATATTTTAGAAAATCGCTTCCGGCCATACAGAGAGCCTGCCAATGATTACCCGACGCGTATCTAGCAAAGGAAGGCCGGCCTCTGGCCTGAGGAAAGTGGACACGTGGAAGGAGAAGGGCAACTTCGTAAGAAGCCACGGTGTTGGCGACGACAGGAAACGGCGCCGGGAGCAATGAATTTGGCCTAACACCTTCGCTCCCGTAAATTGGCGACACCTGTCCATCCTGCGCCAATCCTGCCCCTTCTCACTGTTTCTTTTTCCCCCTCTCTGAGACGACTAATGTTTTCCTGCAACAGGTTCCTTCTTCTACATCAAAGGGAGAGAGGGTGGAGAGAGACAGAGAGCTCGTCATCTTCTCATCCGCGTCCATTCACTTCAGGTAAGGCAGCTAGCTTATCGTTGCTGTCTCTGGGGGGCGGAGGTCGTCTCTGAGTTAGGCGTATCGGTCATTGACGGGACAGATCAGGGGGAGAATGCAGAGAGAGAGAGGAGGAGAGTGATGATGTACGAGTCTGTTGACGAGCAACAGGTGTTCCTTGTGTTTTAGGAAGGTGTGTGGAGCAAGGGAGAGTCCATTTTCCCCCTTCCCTCGATCCTCCTATCTAGGTAGATGCTGAGGTGTGTTCCGTCTGATCCAGGGAAGAAAGATGTGAAATGATTCCAGAGTTCAGGGAACTGTCCGTGATCCCTCTCAATCCCTCTCACCTAGTCTCTTGTTGGTGTTTCTCCACTCGCGGCCCTCTCCTTATCGTGCTTGTGGTTTAGGATTTTGATTTCTGTTTCCTTTTTTTTTAAAATATTTTCTCCTTAACAGAAAGAACAAGCAAGTCATGGATGCAGTTCATTTCCTCTGTAATGTTTTTTTCTCGAGATCAACAGGTATCTCAAGCTGGGAGAGGCGACTATCGCTGGAATCCTTTGACCGATCACTGTAACTATTCGTCGAAGACTTTTCAGGTTTAATTGAGGCCGTCTAGATCTAGTATCGCAAGAGCTCTGCCGATCTAATTAGCGAGGGAAATGCCGTGAATTGCTACCGGTGAAAGGGAGGGAGGAGGAAGCTGCTATCGAACGATGACAGCTTACCTCATCCCCAAGGCGTCGGTAAATGGCGGCTACTTCTGTGGTACCTACGGCTACTTCAAGACCTATCAATAGTTCTGCGACAACAAACCAGGAAGCAGGCGAATCGATGGAAAAGGTGTCTCCGACGGTTGTTTTGCCATTTAATTCCCTTTGTGACGACTCGATGGAGATCACACGACTGAATCTGGTGACGAAGAGCGCCTGCTTGCTCTCTGATCACATAGCTGATCTGGTGGACGAAGATTGCAGCAGCAACCACAAGAGCGAAGAAGCTAAGATTGCGAAGACAGAAGACCAGGAGGTGAATGGGAGTGAGGAAGATGAGATGCTCTTGGTGGACCCTGAGCCGTTGCTCGATAGCTCCTTCTCCCCTTCCGTTATCAGCGACAGCAGCAGCTTTCCAAGTGTAACCGAAGACCTCTCACTGCAGGATGTATCCTCTGAGAGTGGACCTCCAAGCTTTCTCAATGGTACTCTGAAGCGTGCGCCGAGTTTCTGTTCAGAAGATGCTTCCAGTTCTGCTGCAGGAGATGTAAACGTCAAAGATCCTCTGGCTACTTCTAGTGGCTCCAATGCGGAATTGGTGCCGATCAAAGGGCAGATTAAAGAAGAAATTCGGGGTACTGTAGGTAAACCTCGCAGTTCCCTCGTCTCTGACTGTATCCCTTTTTGGGGCCATGTTTCCATCTGTGGAAGAAGACCAGAGATCGAAGATGCTGTGGCAATAGTGCCGCGATTTTCTGAAATCCCCCTCCAGTTGCTAGCGGGCCCCCATCTTGTTGATGGTGGACTCGAAACGAATCCCACTCAATCGATTGGCCATTTTTTTGGGGTCTATGATGGCCATGGAGGAGCTCAGGTTCTGCTCTTCATCTCAACTTTACCTTATTTTCATTCTGTTTATCATGTTATACCATGCTGTCATGAACATCACCATTTTCTTTCAGGTAGCTAATTACTGTCAGGAACGAGTTCATCTGGCATTATATGAGGAGATTAGGAATCTTGGGGAAGCTTCAAGTGCCACAAGTGAGGAAGATTTTCAGAAGACATGGGAGAGCGCCTTTACTAAATGCTTCATAAAGGTTGATGCTGAGGTTGACGGGAGAGCGGAGAGAGGAGGTTCTGATACCTCCCAACAGAACAGCTGTGTTGTCCCTGCCAATCCTGTCGCGCCCGAAACCGTGGGATCTACTGCTGTAGCGGCTGTCCTCTGCTCTTCGCACATCATCGTCGCCAATTGTGGGGATTCCAGGGCTGTGCTTTGTCGTAGCAAGCGAGCCTTGCCTTTATCAGTGGATCATAAAGTAAAGCATGCGCATAATTTTCTTGACTTTCCATTCTTATGACTACTCTGTCGAGAATGTATCTAACAGCAGATATAAATTATATGCTTCAGCCCAACAGAGAGGATGAATACGCGAGGATTGAAGCAGCTGGCGGGAAGGTCATACAGTGGAATGGGTATCGTGTATTTGGTGTTCTTGCGATGTCAAGGTCAATAGGTAAGCATTTATTTGCATCAGCGAAGGACGGGAAAACTTTCTCCTGCATGAAATACTCTTTGCAAATATTTACTACTAATATTTGACATTAGAACCATCCGTTGTTCGCAACTCCTCTGTTTCATAGCTCCATATTGATTCACTCTGTTCACTAGCTTTTGTGAAATCTACTTGTATTGCACGGTAACCTCTAAATAAATAAAAAAGATTGAACTTAGTTTTCTAAATAAGAACAAAATGCCATGACTATTCTCATATGATTTCTCTTGGTGGAATCATTGCTTGAATCCGCTGAGGCCGCGTTCCTGCCCAAGAAACTTTCTCTCTATGACCAAGAATTTGACAGCGCTTCATCTTGCATTTTGCTGTATGTCTTGCGTTGTCATATGTTTCTCATCTCCTCTCACAAGTCTCCCTAATGTAAGAGTAGTAACACTGCATGCAATACTGGCGTGACTGTGATGAATGGTGCTGTGGAGCTTGTTACATTAATCAGAGGAACTGACAGAAAACCCAGTCAATGGTTCCAGAAAATGAGACGAGCTATCGTGAACTAGAGGTGAGGAGGACAGACTTTGCAAGAATCAGAGGAACTGTCTCTTGGTCAGTGGCATATCTAATTAAATGGCCCGACGACTGGGTAACCAACACTGATTTCCTTCTATGTTCATCGGGAAATTCCTTCTTGCCAATGCTCTTGTGCATTTCTCGCCTTACATTCTTCATTTCCACCAAAAAAAATTATACTACTCAAAAGAACATGCGTTTTTTTACTCCCAAGGTAAATGAGCTTTCAGCTGCTTACTCATCCTTTGAGAAGGTCTACTGTGCGTCAGGTGGCATTCACTGTGTCCGTCTTTTCCTTCCCAGTATTGGGGCCTTCCCTTTTGCTGAGATTCTCTCTGGTTAGAAACCTCATGTAAATAGACCCTCCATTTATGTTTATATTCCATGCCGTGGAATGCCTGCGACGATGATATTCGTGTGTGTGACTGAGCGACGGGAGAGGTGGTCTCCGCAGGTGACAGATATCTGAAGCCGTGGGTTATCCCCGAACCGGAGGTCACCTGCGTCGCTCGGGCGAGGGAGGACGAGTGCCTCATCCTCGCCACCGACGGCCTTTGGGACGTCATGTCCGACGAGGAGGCCTGCGACGCCGCCCGCCGGAGGATCCTCGTCTGGCACAAGAAGAACGCCGGCACGGAGCGCGGCGGAGGCGGCCGCGGAGGAGCGGACCCCGCCGCTCAGGCCGCCGCCGAGTACCTCTCCCGGCTCGCCCTCCGGCGGGGCAGCAAGGACAACATCACCGTGGTGGTCGTCGATCTGAAGGCGCGGAGGAAGTTCAGGACGACCAACCCCTGACTGTGAGCTTCACCCCATACTAAAAGGCAATAAACAGGTCCTCTATATGTCTCCCTCTTGATATATGATGGGGCTCTTGATACTTGACCAGAAATAGTGCTTGCTGCGAGCGTAAGATCGGTCCCCACCGCGCCCTGCCCGGCAACTGCTCCATATTTCGCCTATGGCGGACCCGCAGCTGTCCCCATGACGGGCAGCTTTCGCTGGGCCGGCCCACTCTCTAGAATGTATTATGGGAATGGACTCAGCAATCCTAATGAAGGTCAAGGGGGAGTGGGCCGGGCCTTTCTCCAGAATGCATTCTGAGAATGGACTGGACAAGTCTACTTAGGTAGAGGGGGAATGGGCCGGACTAGTCACTAGATTGCATTCAGGGAATGGATTCAACGACCCTACAATGGTTGAGGGGGAATGGGCCGGACCAGTCACTAGATTGCATTCTGGGAACGAACTCGAAAGCCTACACAGGTCGAGGAGGAATGGGTTGGCCCACTATCTAGAATGCATTCTGGGAATGGACTCAACAAGCCTACTCAGGTAGAGAGGGGAATGGACCGGCCAACTCTATAGAATGCATTCTAGGAATGGACTCAACATGCCTACTGAGGTAGAGGGGGGAAATGGGCCGTTGCTTGGTGAGGCCCTCTGGCATGGTGGAATCAACGCCGTCGATTTGATGGATCCATGGATCCTGTGCCCTCTTCTAGTGGGCTCCACTTCGGAGTTTCTGTGTCTCAACGTCTCTACAAGTGAGTGGGTGGCGCCGTGACGTCCCGACCGCCCGCTTCGACTGAAAACCCTAGTGACCCTCGCTCCCCTGGGCAGAGGGCTCCTGCGAGGGCCACGCAGGAGAGAGGAAAGTGGGCGACGGGACCGGGGTGGCGGCATGGTGTGGTTCCAGTGTGAGGACTGCGGGGAGAACCTGAAGAAACCGAAGCTCCTGAATCACTTTAAGATCTGCTCGGCCTACAAGGTGAGGGGGGAGGAATCCTCAGACCTTGACGTCCCTTTCATGCACGACGCTCGTGGTGCGTTAGTGATCTGCATTGGATTACTCTAATTGCCGGTGGTCTGATCTCTTTCAATGCGAGCAGCTCTCGTGCATTGACTGCGGCGAAATCTTCACCCAACAAACCGTTCAGGGCCACACGCAGTGCATAACCGAGGCGGTTCGTATGCGTTCGTCGCGACCACTAGACTTCGCGTGTGCATTGAATTATATGCCTTTTATTCTTGCTTTTTTATATGAACGTGATGGAGTTTGGTTATCTCTTGGATTTTCTTTGCGAGTGTATTGCATTGGAATCGTCCTTTGCAGGACGGTCCGTCTTTTAGAAGAGGACTTCTTTTGGGCGACCTTTAATTAAGCTCTTCTCACTAGTTATAGCTTGGACAGAACGTCACATTTGTGCTCGAATTGTGAACGTCCTTCTGTATTGGGTCTTATTGCAATGTTTTTCTTTTTCAAGCCCCGATGATGGCAAATGGCAAAGCCGACCTGGTTCTTCATATGGATTCATTTCATCGGATGGGGAGGGGAGAGTAAAATGGTTTAACAATGGTCACATGCTGCAAACCTTCAGGAGAAAAACTAAGTCTTATTTTATTATACTTCATAAGGTTTCGTGCATGAGCTTTGGAAAATGATTTTTTTTTTTTTTTTTTTTTCCCTACGACTTGTGGATAGTCTAGCATTCCCTTCGTTTTCACCTGAAGTGGATAAACAAATACTCCTGTCAAATAAGGCATTGTTACTTCCGTGGTCGTTTGTTACTTATCCTGGAAGCCTTTCTTATCCCCATTTTCGAAGGCCTTTGGAATTGGCATGGCCAGATACTTGAAATCCCTTAACGCTTCTAAAAATATTTCTTATCCTATATCTATTGTGCTCAAAGGACAAATGAATGTTTTTTTATGATGCGATGGCAAAACACGGCCTTCTGTTGCTTTTATGTTCATTAAAGGTTTACACATAATTTTTTTACTTCCCTCAGAAATGATTCCTTGGATGTTAAAATTAATGTTACCCATCTTCTAGCAGATATTACCTCTGAGCTCTAAGTGGTAAATTTATTTCATCAAGAGATGTCCGTTCCTGATATTAGCATTTTTCATTTGCAATTGATTTTCTTGAATTTTCAGGCCTTCTTAAGTTCACATAATAAACTCATCACCTTTCTCAGGAGAAATATGGTCCAAAAGATCAAGCAAAGTCTGCTCACAATGCACAAAACAAGGTTAATAAACCAAAACCAGGCTTGGATATTGATATCAATGTGGGACTATCTACACACCCTCCTTGGTTTTGTAGGTAAATGGAACTCCCTGAACTCTTTTTATCAGTGTATGCCTTATATTCCTTTCCTATTTATTGGACTAAAGTGCGACTAAAGTGGTCAGGTTATCAAAGATGTCAGTTGTTCAATGGCTTTAAGGTTTAGATAAAAATAAAAGAGAGGACTATTAATGGAGAAGCTTAATGAGCTCCCCGAAAAATCTTCTAACCAGCATTTATAATGTACTACATATATTGCTTTTAAAACTATTGTTTTGCATGCGCAGCTGAATCAACTTCTTTTGACTGACTCGTGTCCACAGCCTCTGCAATACCACGACCACAAGTAAGCAGACACTGCTGCTCCACGCAGATGGCAAGAAACACAGGGGCAAAGCCAAAGCATTCCATGCATCTAAGAACCAAACAGACAAGCCACAAGTGTCTGCTGCAAACAAGGATGACATCAACGGCGTCCCTAAAATAGATTCTGCTGATAAAAAGAGTGCAGATATTTTGGATGAAATGAAAGCACCATCCGGGCCATTTAACACCGTTGCAATTTCTGTGGGAGAAGAAGAGAGTTTGCCAAAGAAAAAACGAAAAGTTGACGCACCAGATCATATAGAACATGATGATGTAACTGAGATGGCTGATGGGGAGGTGATCCAATCAAATGAAAAGGTTGCAAAAACTGGCAAAAGGCTAAGGAATTGTGCCGAGTCAGTGCAGATTGGCCATCATCAAGATACAAAAGACCCTGCTAAGGATTCTTCAGAGCAGAAGATCAGATGGAAGAAACTTATCGTTTCCATCTTGAAATCAGTATGTCTCGCGTGGCAACCATCTTCATTTAGAAATTTCATATTGTCACAATTCTCATATATGCCAATGATCCTACTGTGTGTCGTTGGCCATTTTTGCTGCTTTATCTTCTTTATAATTCCATAATGCTCCCGTCTTCTCTTCCACTAAAGTCCGACATAATTGCTCAAAGGTATCACATTTCACATCAAAGAAACGAATGATGTCACCTTCAATTAAAGAGAATAAACCCTCGTAACAGTTCGTCCAGTTTCCTTTATTTTATGTGAAGATTCTCAAGACGCATGGGCTAATAGAATATTCATCCATCTCATAAGTTTTGCCGCTTAACAACTTTGGATTTCTTCAAACCGTACAAAGCGGAGACTTAACATATTCGTCTAAATGCAGCATCCAGATGGAGTTTTGAAGGTGAAAAAGCTGCAGAAACTGGTCAAAAAGTCTCTTCAGGAGTCCGGTATGACTGAAGGCAAGGACCAACTTCAGACCAAGCTAATGGACAAGGTCTGTGGAGTTGATCATATCTATCATGGCTTAGCAATAGCTCCTTGGGGCTGACACCCAGCTCTTCTCATGTGCAGATAACATCCAGCTCTCGATTCATTGTTGATGGCAAGTACATTCATTTGGCCAACAAGACCAAATCCTCCTGACGATCTCTTGTCAGACCCCCACACGTCATGGAAGCTATCATCCTTTAAGAGACGACTGATTGTGCCAGCAAGAACACAATCCAGGACATAAAAGGTACCTTTTATTTCCAACAAGAGATCTATGTTGCGGCCTTCGGTTTTTTTTTTTTTTTTTTCTATTTTCGGGGGCGGCTGTTTGATTCCTGAAGTGGTAGGAAAATCCAAGGTGAAATCTAGGAGACAGGTGGTTCTGTACCGCCATTTCGGTGTTTATTTTTTTTCTTCCTTGAGCACCAGGAGTAAACTAGATTGAGAGAGGTTTCCTTTGTTGGGGATCCATATAACTCGATTTCCTTGTACTGAAATCTTCTGATCAGCTGAGGGGGTGGGGGCAAGCTTGCTCTGCATCAGTGAAAATAGATAGATTTCCAGATTAAGCTTCATTTCTGAGAAAAAGGAAGAAAGTAAGCTATGGACTGGAGTTAGATGAATAAAGTATAAGGAGTACCTACCTTATACTTTATTCATTTGTTAAAAATACGAGTTACCTCTTGCTAGATTTCTTTGAGATATCAGTCAGTCTTCCTCCCTTCCACTGGAATTCTCTCTAGAAAATCTGCAATATTATGGGGTTTTCTCCCCTATTTTTTAGATTTTGCTTGATTTTATTTTTCCGAAAGGATGGAACCTGCTGATTGGTGATAGAAAATCGTAAATAGGTGCCAATTATTAATGAGGATAATACGACCAATCGGCAGCTAACAATGGTACACTAATGCTTAGTATTCAGAAATCTCAATCATGTTACGTCAAATATCATTAATTTAGCAATTCGGGTCAATTAATTCCAAAAAAATAATTACTCAACACAAAGCTTCACAAATATGTTTTCCTAATTAGATATGAGGGTGTGGTTCTTTAAATATGTTTTTGCCGTTTTATGAAATATATTCTCACCCATATATTAAGTGAATGTCACAACGTTAAAAGGTGAATGACGAAAAGGATGTTTAGACGAGACATTTTTTATTTCCGATTTTTCCCATATATCGTGTTTCTCGTGAAATGGGCAGAGTTAATATTATCGATATTAAGCATATATGACAATGATAGCAAGTAATTGCATTCACCTCTTTTATATTTTTAATATAATTATCATTGTAGGAGGGAAATGGGTCACACACGAGCAAGTAGTGGTCTCACACTGCGGGGCATAGAAGTAGAGGGCGATGTCAAAGTGAGAAGACGATGGACTTGTCTCTAATTTAAAAGGTTTATAAGGACCAAGGACTAAATGACCATTTAACTTGGCATCACGGAAAAGACTACCTCCTCCCGATTAACTGCGTTCAGATTAGTTCTCCTGAAACCCAAATACCTCCGTTAAAGTCAACGCAGGGAGACTCCCAGCGAAGAGAAAAGAGGAATAAAATAAAAAGAATGATTCAAGTGGGTTATGGAGAGTTAAATCCAAATGCCCCTAAAAAGAAATTGACCCGTAGACCATATATCCATAGAAGCAGCACAAGAGCGAATCCTATCCTGGTCTCCCTCATTCACTCTCTCATGTCGGAAGAGAATCATTGAAGTCGGCGCCGCCCATTGCCGGAAGAGCATCTGTCTCCGCTTCAACCGAAGGTTAAGAGGCCTCACGGGTCAACGTCAGAGCCTTGTCCTGCAAGAGAAGCTGCCTCTGCAGCGTCAATCTCCGAGTCCAGAAGGGGGATGAGCTTCTGGCTGACGTGTCTCGCGGCGGAGACCATGTCCAGGATCACGCTGGCGTCCAGCCCAGCGCCGCCCCGCTTGATGAGGCCGCAGACCTTCCCGTGGCTGTTCACAGAGACGGAGACAGCGGAGCTCATCTGCGACTCTTCATCTGACGTGGCATCCACAATGTACTCCCTGCCCACCTGCATGAAGGCCACGTGGATTGAATGCACGGCGGGGAATCAACAGTGGGAGGGCCACTGAAACGAGAAAGTGTCCAGAACCAGGCCGGAGAAGGGAAAAACAGCCCCGGTGATTAAACGGGCCGGGCCCGGGACCCTGGCTCCCCTCCATTATGGCCAACTTAGTGGGCTTTCTCTTTCAGCCTCAGAAGACTCACTTTGGTCAAGGTGATGATGACAGGGACCGCCGAGGTGTCAAACTGCAAGAACTCCTCATCGCTGATGTTAACCTCCGGTTGTTCATCAGGTGAGGCTCCAACGCCGACATCGACTTTGGGGATGCCTGTGTTGGTCAACGCGGCCTTTAGAACGAACAGCAGAGGGAAAAGAGAAAAGTCAGCTTCAGCAATAAGGCTCCGCAGGAAGAGTACGAATGTGATGAGAAGAATCATAGGCATTATAAGGAAAGAGCGAAACAGACCCAACTACAAAAAAAAAAAAAAAAAACCTTCAAGGATCATCAGGCGAGCTTGGACGTAATACCATGATTAAATAAGATTAGTCAACGGCCTTCTGTTCACAAGCAAGACTAGCAGGCCGTACTCATGGAAAATAAATTAAGATAAAGCTTTGACTTGGGTGTGGGAGACGGATGGTAGGAAAAAAAAAGGCGCAACTTCCAGCACAAAGAAGGTCATCTAGGGCTTTTACAGATCTTTGTCCATGCAGAAGGAGGCCCCAGTGAGCATAATAGGAGCTCGCTGAATATTTAACCGAAGATAAACGGATATTTAATCATCAAAGTCCCCTTCCAGGATGATTTTACCCAGTTGAAGAAATATCTTCGCAATCTATTTGGGGTAATAAAGGAGTGATTTTTGCTTCCCATGGGTGGGTTACCTTGATAGCAGCAGCCAATGCGTCCAGTAGATTCCCGTCTGAGCTAACCACGAGTCCATCAATATAGAGGTCCCAGCATACCTTACCCTCCAGAACCATCAAAGATGAGAGATCTATTCCAGCTCCTGGCAGAGAAATGGAAAGAAGATGGTGTTGGTAGACAGCACAAGTGTAATCCTACTATTAGAAGTCTGGGATTGAAGCAAAGCTCATGCCTGCCCCGCTCTTGCCTCCAAGTAAGCACTTTTGGAGTGCAGCTGAAAGCTCTGTCGACAGCTCTTCACCTCCTCCTCTCTGTGATAACGCATAACTTGATATAAATATAAATTAATAAATAAATAAATCAGGAATAGCAGAAGGCTGACGCAATATTATCTCGCTACAAAAAAAGCGGTGGCAAGATAAATGATCGATGTGAACGCACGGTAGCTTTATGCACATGAAAACACAGAGAATAGTTTGAGGAGATGAAAATTTTCGTTCCTACTTTGTTGGGATTTATGTTGTCTTCTTATTTTTTATGTGCCACAGCAACAGGCTTGATACCAGAAGCGTAAAGTTTTAGAGTCAACGGGTGCAAGCAGGCCAAGCCTTGCTGAGGCGAAATCAACAGCAACAAAGAGCAGACTAAGCCATGTGAAGCGCATTATGAGTACACAGTAGGCGCCTCCAAAAAAAATCATCGACAGAAAATAAAATAAAAATGCAAAATGAAGTACAAATCTGGGCCAAGACATACTTCCAAAAGCGCATCTGGATGTACTTGAGGAAAGCCATCTGATTTATAGATGATTTGAAGCTCAAATACCATAACTAACAAAAGGGCAAAGCCACGTGATTTCAGAACTATTTGAACTACCAAAACTCTTTTTACCATAAGCTGATTGATATCTTGAGAGAGATTCAGTACTAACTATAGAATTCATGTCCGTATTGTCCTGTGCATAAGAAACTAAGCAATTCCCCCCCAAAAACCACTAATAAAAGTAATTACGTATTAGATAGTTCTCATAATTGTGAAGATTTCAGAAGCAAAAAATTTAATGTTTTATGCTGTCATATGACTATGCCAAATTCGGTTCCATCACAAGCATAAGTACAGTGCTTCATCCTCAAGCACTGCCACATCGCTCTTGTCAGGAAATTCTTCAGATATCTGAACCATCCACACTATCTATTCACTCTATTAAATGATGAAAAAAGGCAAAAAAAAACCCTGAGTGGCAGAATGCTGTTCCATAATGAAAGATTCTCTTTTATAAATAAGAATGCTTTAAAATTATATTTTTCTTACAAATGCCTGTTAAGATTTGCAGGTTTTTGCACCATGTATGAATGGACATTCGATTGCCCTATTCCCAACTAAGGATAAAACCCAGCTACCCCATATGTTTAGTCGCTCCTCTTGAGGAGGATAATTTCAAGATAAATATACCAACCTCAAACGCAGGTGCTGCTGTAGGACTACAATCCACATATATTGCAACCTTCCCTCTCCCAGGTTGAAGGGGGTTAGGCTTACCAAGTTCAGCCTGCATACAAAATGCCAAAAATTAGATATAGCAGACATATATAGACCACAGACAGCTCGACAATAAAAACCAATAGGTAATTCAAAAGGAATACTAAACTTAAAGATTATACTCAGGATCTTCCCACAATGATCCATTGGATATGTTAGATCCGAATTATCTTATTTTATAGATTTAAAAAAAATGGAAAGCGGACCTTCTACCATCAAATTTAAACCCAAAACCTTAGCCATGACCTTTTTCTGTACTCTTCTTCCTCCCTTCACCTGGACATATACGCATCTCACTATCATAACTCCTTATTTCACACAAGCTTTCTTATCATCATAATCTTCCCCTTAACCTTTTACAATATTTCCATCATATCCCAATGGTGTCGAAATCATATCCGAGACTCTCATCACAATAATAAGTTTATAGACAATTAAGACCGTTTGGTTCTCAATGCAGGTGATTACTCATAGTTCAATTGTCTGGAAGAAGGTCAGATAGCAACTTCCAGATATTTATACAGATCGCCTGTTCATAGCCACACGCTGTTTAAATCTGATTTGGAGATTCTATTCATTCATTTAAATGTAATTCATCATTTACACTTTATGAAAACAAATGACTGGGCCTTTCATTAATCCATTCCGCATTTACATTTAAACATCGTTTTCCCTGAATAAACGGTTTTTCACTTGGTTGTCATCCTGGGATAGAGAGATAATAGATCATCAGCACGTGGCCATCTTATGACTGCTTGCATTTATCCCCCTCACATTCAGGTTGTTCCCATGCCTTTATATCTTGAAAAGCTGAGATAATAATAGATTCAGAATGACACGGATGCCACCTTTCTTCAGGAAAGTAGAGAAGCCTCAATATTTTGCTTACAGAACGAAAGACGTAAGAAGGAAGGAACTCCACGGAAACTAGAAGTCGTGCCTCAAAAAACCAAGTGATACAGTTCATATTCACTCTCAACACTCAGAAATACAGGAGGGAATGCAAAATGTTAGGAAGTACAGAGCACAGCATTTCAAGATGCTTATGCCAATTGATTTCGACAGAAATTTCGACTTAAAGTTCATAAACTTGAGCGAGAAATCATCCGCCATGCTTTATACGGCACGCAAAAAACATTGAAACAATAACCTCTGAAATGACGCGAGAAGTGCAATAACCGAACATTCATACATGCAGCGTTGATATGAAAGATAAAAAAAAACGAATCATGCGAAGACAATGATACCTTAACGCTAGCAATCACATCAGTTGCCCCGAATCTAACTCGTGCTGATCCGTTTGCCTGGGTAAAGTATTCCAAATAAAGGTCTAAACATCAGCATGTATGATGAATTGGGTACAAGCATCGGGAAGTTTCCAACCTGCGGAATGACTCCAGTTTCAATTAGGATAGGCCTAAAGTCCTGTCTTTGGCGCCCATCTGCTCGGAGGTCTTGCTCAATACCGCCACGGATGAAATTTTTTTCTCCAGCAGAGAGTCCAACCATTCTTATGAAGCATGAAAAAAAACGAAAATGAGAAAAAAAAACTCCTTCCCTTTTTGTCATTCCCTCGAACAGTTAGCGATCTCTTACGTACAAAACCGAAGCAAAAGGCAAGCTAACTAAGAGATTTGATCAATGCGAGTAGCATGATATATTAGTACCTAACTGATATTCCGGAAAGCGAAACTAATATAGCAACCAAGAAGATAAACCGTATCTCGGACGACGCTTCGTTTATTAATGAAGTCAACTCGCACAACCTCTCCCCCCAAGTTCACCGATAAACGTAACAGTCTCCGAATGACAACGGTGGAGTAGGGACACTATTGACTAGGAAATATATCTTCCGAGACTACCGTGTCTCCCAGAGTCTGAAACTGCGGCATAATACAGAAGGAAGAACTCCAGCACAGAGAAGAAGTGACGGACAGGAGGGAGGTCCGAAAGGGGAAGGAAGCGGAAAGAGTACCTCGTGCTGCTATCGCGCTCGCCGGAAGCAGTCTCGACAGCAGGGCCGCTCGTCAGGCAATCGCATGGAGTCGGAGAGGAACAAACCGGTTCTCACCCCAGAAATCTTATGGAACAAGAAATGAAAAATGGAAAGCATATATAGTAAATATATTATTTTTGTTATTAAAATCAAAAATAATTTTGATCGAATAAACCCTATTTTTTATTTAGTACTGGCGAAAAACCTGGCCACAATCATAAATGATCGCAGACCCGACTCGGTGATGCCCAGACATGCTGATTAGTCTTCATAGATGATAATATTATCCATTAAATAAATTTATTTTGTATTTTTTAAAAAAATAGTTAAAGTGGGAAATTTATCTGGTAAATAAATTCGAAATATTAGTTTACAGGGGAGTACTGATGGACTAAAAGTTTTGCGGTAGGGAGAGGTCCTTTTTTATTAGAAAATACTTGGACACATCAGGGTTGCCATAATAAATTAAAAGTCGGTGGCATATGAGTATGCCCATAAGTTTGTAGGGACTAAACAAACATTCTGATGTTTACCAAACTTCCGTGTCCTATATATATAAGTCAGGAGACAGCCCTCTCCTCTCTGCCGTTGCCACAGCGGCGAGCATTGGAGGCGGATCAGATCGTCTCTCTCCCCCCCTCTCTCTCTCTCTCTCTCTCTCTCTCTCTTCCTTCTCCTGTGGCCTCTCTGTTCTCCGTAGAGAAGCTATATATGTCGCACATCCGTTGAAGCCGAGAGGATATCAATCTCATCATCTAAATCGGCCTTCACGCATACTCCTAGGGTTTCTCCGCTTCCACTGTTTGCCATCTCCTTCAGTGAGAGGTTTATCGGGGAAGGCTCAGATCGAAGAAGGACAAGATGGGTAAGAAGAAGACGGTCGCCATCGACGATGACGAGTATTTCATGCCGCCAGATGATGATTCACAGGAACCGACGCCGGCTCTGGCGCCGGCGCCGGAGAAGGAAAGTCGGGGGAAGAAGAACAAAAAAGGCGTCGGCGGGGGGAAAGTGCAGCGCGACGACAGTGACAAAGTCGATGGCGTTGTCGAATTGGAGAAGCATACGGTTTCTGATGTCGCGGAGGACGAGGATGATGCGGCGCCCATTGTCTTCACCGGTAAGAAGAAGTCTTCTAAATCTAAGAAGAGTAGTAAAACAGTCAGCGCTTTTAGTGCCTTCAACTCCCTCGTGGAGGACGAGGGACATGGAGATGATGTCGAGGTCGAGCCCGAGTCACCGCCTATCGCTAAGGTGAAACCCCATCTAGATATTTTGGATAGAAATGGCGTAGGTGAGGGCGAAGATGATGTTAAAGATCCAGATTTCGTGGTGGAGGAGGTTAATTTGAAGAAGCAGCAGCAAAAGAAGAAGAAAAAGAAGGGAGGGAGGAGTGCTCAGGAGGAGGAAGACCTGGACCGAATCCTTGCCGAGCTTGGGGAGGGTCCTGCACCAATTGCTACAGTAGCAGAAGATTCTGCTCAGTCTTTAGCAGAAAGGCTGGATTCTATGCCCATCAGTGGACCAGAAGGGGGAGGTGAAACCGTAGACATGGAGTTGGAAACAAGTGGGAGGGGTGAAGGTGAGGAGGTCAATTCAAAGAAGCAGCAGCAAAAGAAGAAGAAGAAGAAGGGTGGGAGGACAGCACAGGAGGAGGAAGATTTAGAGAAAATTCTTGCCGAGCTGGGGGAGGGATCTGTATCCTCCCAGCCGAGTACTTCTGCTGCCGCAACTGCAGCTACAGATGAATCAATTCAGACACCGGCAGAACAGGTGGAGGCCAGTGCTGACGGTAATGCAGAAGATAAGGATGGGGAAGCTGAAGGGGTGGAGTCTGCTGCAGCGAAGAAGAAGAAGAAAAAGAAGGAAAAAGAAAAGGAGAAGAAGGCAGCTGCAGCTGCGGCTGCGGTGACAGGATCAGGGGAGAATGCCGAAGAGAAGAAGGAAGATATTAAAGGGAAGGCAGCAGAGAAAAAGGTTTCTGACAAGAAGATTCCGAAGAACGTTAGGCAGATGCAAGAGGCCCTTGCAAGGAGGAAAGAGGAGGAGGAGAGGAAGAAAAGGGAGGAGGAAGAGAGATTACGGAAGGAGGAGGAGGAGAGATTGAGGAAAGAGGAGGAGGAGAGACTTGCTGAGGAGGCAAAGAGAAGGAAGAAGGAGAGGGAGAAAGAAAAGCTTCTAAAGAAGAAGCAGGAAGGGAAGCTGCTGACAGGTAAGCAGAAGGAAGAAGCCCGGAGGCTGGAGGCAATGAGGAATCAGTTCCTTGCACGTGGCATAGAGCTCCCCTTGCCAGAGGCTGAAAAGGAGGTGAAGAAGAGGCCTAAGTACCAGACAAAGAAAGCTAGACCGGGTATCTCAAAAAACGTTGGAAAAGATGAGGTCATGGAGAGCCAACCAGAAGTTGTTCAACCAGAGATGGAGCATGCTGAAGAAGAGTCTATTGTTGAAGAGGAATCGCAACCCCAAATTCTGGAAGTTGAGAAGGAACCCGAGGAGAAGATGGAAGAAGTACAGGTGGAGGAAGAAGACGAGGAAGAATGGGATGCAAAGAGTTGGGATGATATTGACGTCAATTTGCCTGCTACAAGCGCTTTTGCTGAGGAGGAAGAGGAGAAGGTCACTAAACCTCTGGTAAAAAAGATTGATGAGCATGTGAAGTCATCAGCACAAATTGAAGAGAAGGCAAGCAATGCAGTATCTGCAAAGCCTGCCACAAAAAGGGTGGTTGCGCCTCATGCAGCGCCAGTTAGTGAGAAGAAGGAAAATGGACAAAAAGCTGATTCTTTTGTTGACACAAAGAAGAGTAAGCAAGCTGTCAAGAAGAGCCAGGCCTCAATCAGTGGAGATTCCTTATCAGAAGCTGAAGATAATCTTCGTTCCCCCATTTGTTGCATTCTTGGCCATGTTGATACAGGTAAAACCAAACTCTTGGACTGCATCAGAGGCACAAACGTTCAAGAAGGAGAAGCTGGAGGTATCACCCAGCAGATTGGGGCTACATATTTCCCGGCTGAAAACATTAGGGAGAGGACTAAAGAGTTAAAATCAGACGCCAAGCTGAGGGTTCCTGGGTTACTTGTTATTGATACCCCTGGTCACGAATCATTCACCAATTTACGTTCTAGAGGTTCAAGTTTGTGTGATATTGCAATTTTGGTCGTGGATATCATGCATGGACTTGAGCCTCAGACTATTGAATCGCTTAACCTCTTGAAAAGTCGGAAGACGGAGTTTATTGTTGCTCTGAATAAGGTGAGTTATGCCTGCCTAACAATATCTCAATATCTAATGCTTCGTTCCCCCTTTCTGAAAAACAACATATGGACCTATTATTAAGCGTTTCTTTCTTCCTCAATGGCCAGGTTGACAGATTATATGGGTGGAAGAAGTGCACTAATGCACCAATCCAGGTGGCTATGAGGCAACAATCGAAAGATGTTCAGAATGAGTTTAAAATGAGAGTCAATCAGGTCTGTGTGTTTACCCTTCTTTGTACAAAACTTTGTAGTTTTAGCCATTGTCATTAGGTCACTTATCTTCTGTTTCTATGCAGATTATTACCCAGTTCATGGAACAGGGCCTGAACACTGAACTGTATTATAAGAACAAAGACATGGGAGAAACATATAACATTGTTCCAACCAGTGCATTCAGGTATATTTATATTTCAGAGTTTATCTCACACTCGTTTCATGTGGTAGGTTAGAAACCAAAGACGAATGTTGATACCTTGATGCTAACACGTAATTGTTTCCAGTGGAGAGGGCGTACCGGATCTTCTTCTGGTTCTGGTGTTCTGGGCTCAAAGAACAATGGCTGAGAAGCTTACATTCCACGATGAACTTGAGGTGCCTCCCATCATTTGCCTGCCCATCATCGGTTCTTGTGCCTCTCTGTTCTTATGTTAATTGGATGAATACCTTCCCATGGTTCTTCGATCTGGGCTTCCTTCTTTCTGCCCGGTTGTTCTCGAACACTTTAATATACCCGTTTTCAGAAGAGTCCTCTTTATCTTCTGGTTGGGTAGTTCAACACGGTTCATCTTTTTTTGTAGTCAGCTCTCTAGAAAACTGACGTCCTCGTTTGTGCTCTCTATCTTTTCATAAAATTGACCTTTTCTTCTTGTGTGATGACCAGTGCACTGTGCTTGAGGTGAAAGTGATCGAAGGACTGGGGACGACTATAGACGTGGTGCTGGTGAATGGTGCTCTCCACGAGGGAGATCAGATTGTTGTTTGTGGCATGCAGGTAGCTGTCTTCACTATCTTTCTCTATTCTCTCATAGATCATGGCCCTTTCAAAATTTTCTGAAGTAATTCACTTTTAATGCAGGGCCCCATCGTGACTAATATAAGAGCTCTGTTGACCCCTCATCCGATGAAAGAACTTCGGATAAAGGTGAGATTCCTTCTTAATGACAGCATCATAGGGAACTGTTGTTGAAGAACAGGTGGCCTCAGAATCTGGTCTTTAAGATAAAAACACGGTTTTTTGGGGACTTTAGGCCGATGTTGACTGAAACAGGATAGCCTGGGCTTTCGCTTTTTGGTCTGTATGGGGCTAGCCGTTTCAGCCCAGTTGTGCATGATGGATTTCTAACATAGGAAATAGGGGAGTTTCCTTTCCAGTGGCTGGACTTGATTCCCTCGGTAAACTCTTGCCCAAGGGCCAGGCAATGTGGGGATCGATCACCTGTGAAAACCCTAGTCTCAGAATCTGTATATTCGACTACCTAATTTCCTTCATTCGGTGTTCTGGGTTTGTGATATTGGGATTCAAAATCTACATCACACATGCTAAAATATGTTCAATAGCCTGATTTTCTTCATTCACTGTTCTTGGGTTTCCCCTGTACAGTCTCTGGTGCACTTAAAATCTGTTTAATAATCTCTTCTTTTTTTTTTTTTCATTTTGTGTTCTTGGGTTTCCCCTTCACAGGGTTCATATCTGCATCACAAAACGCTCAAGGCCGCACAGGGTGTAAAGATCACTGCACAGGTATCTGCCATTTTTGAAACCCAGAGCTCGTTCCTTCATGGACCACCTTCCTTGTTGAGACTCTCATCTGCCTCTCAATCTTTAGGGACTCGAGCACGCAATCGCCGGCACCGCCCTCTATGTGGTGGGACCCGATGATGATCTAGAAGATGTCAAGGACTCGGCCATGCAGGACATGAAGACCGTCATGAGCCGGATCGACAAGAGCGGGGAGGGGGTCTGCGTTCAGGCTTCCACTCTGGGGTCTCTGGAAGCCCTGCTCGAGTTCCTCAAGACCCCTGCGGTTAACATCCCCGTTAGTGGCATCAGCATTGGCCCTGTGCACAAGAAGGACGTGATGAAGGCGAGCGTGATGCTGGAGAGGAAGAAGGAATATGCGACCATCTTGGCCTTCGATGTGAAGGTGACCCCCGAGGCCCGGGAGCTTGCGGACGAGGTCGGGGTGAAGATCTTCATAGCAGACATCATCTACCACCTCTTCGATCAGTTCAAGGCTTACATCGACGCTATCAAGGAGGAGAAGAAGAAGGAAAGCGCCGAGGATGCGGTATTTCCCTCCATTCTCAAGATCATGCCGAACTGCGTCTTTAACAAGAAGGACCCGATTATTTTGGGCGTCGATGTCGTTGAAGGCATCTTGAAGGTGGGTCCGGCTCTCTCGCTCTCCTGGCTGCTCGGAGAAGACCCGTGTGGCTGAAGAATTAGAGTTCGCCAGGATCTTGGTGATGATGGTGTTGCGTTTTTTTTTTCTGGTTGCAGGTTGGGACTCCCATTTGCATCCCATCGCAGGATTTCATTGACATTGGGAGGATCGCATCGATTGAGATAAACCACAAGCAAGTCGATGTGGCCAAGAAGGGGCAGAAGGTCGCAATAAAGGTCTCTTTCTCTTGCTCCATCTATCTATCTATCATCTTTCTTTCTGTGTTTAATTGCTAATTTTAGTAAGATGGACGATGATTTGTACGGTTTGCTGGCAGATTGTTGGGAGCAGCCCTGAAGAGCAACAGAAAATGTTTGGCAGGCATTTTGAGATGGATGATGAGCTTGTGAGTCACATCTCGAGGAAGGGGATAGACATACTGAAAGCGGACTACAGGGTAATCTATGTCGTCCCTCTGCTCCTGATCTCCATTAGGGGTTTCTTCCGGCCATTGATGGGTAATTCGTCTGTTGGTGTGCAGGACGAGCTCTCTAATGAAGAGTGGTTGCTGGTGCTCAAGTTGAAGAAGCTGTTCAAGATACCCTGAGATGAGGAGACTCCGACTGCCGATCACGACGCTGAGACGCATACGCTGTTCAAGACACTGGTTCCTTTTCCGGGGGGGAAACTGAGAAGCCGCCCGGCGACAGCGGCGGCGGCGCCGCCTACTAGCCTTCGTAGATCCCCGCCGCGCAGAAATGTGCTTGTCAATATGAATTGGACAGCTTGGAGAGCTTTTTGTTCCTCTTCTCTCCGAGTGATCATCCAGCGGATCCCTTTTTCTGCACCATGTTTGCGAGCTTCTTCCGCGAAAGGAATCGGCATCAGATCTTTGCTTCATGTTCATATCTCGACAAAGATTGTTCATTGCTTATGGGTTTGAAAAGGGAAAGGTCTCGCACCTGCCCCGGCCGTGATTCACAAGAGATTCCGAAGAAAAAGAGTCCAGAACAGCCGAATATAGTCCACAATCTCGGTTGTTTACAGCAGTCGGAGAAACCCGCATCCAATTTTATGTAGTAGAGATGCGTGAGTGAGAGAGAGAGAGAGAGAGAGAGCAAAGCAGGGTTGTTTCCCTTTCCCGGCTACTGTTCTCGTCATTTCCATCGCAGCTCCAGGGGCGGCCATGGAGGTCTCAATCTCTGGCCTTCCCCTTCAAGAATTCCTTTTGCTGAGGCACGAATTTGAACTTTCCGGTCACTTGTTGCTGCCCATGGAGACGAAAACGATGTGTGAGCTCGAGCGTCTAGCGAGAGAGAGAGTTCAGGAGGTGGGTCAGGTTACCTTCTTCCAGAGCTGGGTGTGGGCGTGGCAGAAGCCAACGACGATGCCGCCGCCTCTGCCCTCCCTGTACTCGATGCAAAGGTCGGCGTCCACGGCGCAGGAGGCGTGAAAGGCGAGGCCGCATCTGGCCTCCGAGCAGTCGACGACGCAGCCCTCGGAAGAGCCGCAGGCGTAGCAGGCGCCCTCCCACCGCCTTGCCGGCACCCGCGACAGGTCCAGCCCCTCCCGCCCTTCCCCGTCGTGGAAGAACGCCTCCGGCACGAGGAGCGCGCAGAGGATGTGCGCCCAACGCCCGTCCGTGGTCCGCTTGGTGGCGCCGCCCTTCGCCGTGCAGAGGCAGCACTCAGTGCTCTCCTCCTTGTTCTCGCACCTCTCGCAGAACCAGTCCCCCTCCGGGACGCCTCTCGCCAGCGGGTTTCCGTAGCAGGACGCGTGCACCATGAGCTCGCAGCCGTCGCAGAAGACGATGGGATCCTGCGGGTGAGCGTCCGTGCTCTTGCACACCGCGCACACCACGCCGTCGTCTTCCTCTTCCTCTTCCTCTTCCTCTTCTTCTTCATCTTCTTTTTCTCCTTCTTGATCTTCTTCCTTGGGCTTCATAGGGGCAATAAATTTCGAGGGTTCGTCGTCCTCTACAGCATCCGGTGGGAAGGGGAGGAGGGGATGGGGGGCCCATATCCTCTTCTTCGCGGGAAGGCAGCAGGAGTAGGGGAGGTCTGGCTCTGGTTTGTGCTGCTCCGGCCGAAGGTGGAGGCGGTGGGATTCAATCCTCTTCTTCGCCGGCAGGCAGGCGGCGGACGGCGGGGCGCTGGGCTGCTGCGGTGGCTCCTGACGGTGGAGAAGCTTGAATCGCTTCGACGGCGGCAGCTCATGGAAATTGCTCCCCATCCCTGCAGAACGCGCGCGCGCGCGAGAGAGAGAAAGAGAGAGAGAGAGAGAAGGCGAACCGAAAGTGAGCGGGAATGGTTGCCGGGGGGGATTTAACGGGGGAAAGCCATGATTTTCGGAGCTGATAGTAGGAAACGTCGAAGATGAGATCTTGGAGGGAGCTCAAGTTTGAACTCCCCCCGCCCTCCCCGCCGCATCTTCCCTCTCCCTCTCTCTCTCTCTCTCTCTCTCTCTAACAGCGCGGGTTTTCCAAAGAACGGGATAACGGTTTGCCTCTCCCGCTTACTCTCGCCGCCAAAAAAATGAGCGAAAAATGTAAAAATACGCCGCCGAATCTCGCCTTCCCCCGAGTTTTGGAGGCCGTCCCGCCGTCTTTCGCCGTCAAATCCCTTCGCCGCATCCCAGCCATTGAAGAGACGTCGATCGGCTCAACGACCATTCCCCACGGGCATCGTGTTCTTAATGGGCCGTCTATTCTCAGAGGGCCCATCAGGCCTTCTCCACGTGGCCACTTGCAAAATAATAACTAGGCCGGGCTTATATTTCTCCTTCATTAGCCCATAAAGCCCATCAAGGATGAACGGGCAATCGGGTCCATGAAGAAAATGGAGCCGCCACACCCAAAATAAGAATTGGACTGGGCTTGCATTTCTCCTTCCAGAATTGGGTTAAATGGGCTGATTCTCCATCATTACCCATACATAAAGGCCCATTAATGAGGCACGGGCAATCGGGCCAATGAAGAAAATGGAACCGCCATGCCCAAAATAGAAATTGGGCCGGATTTATATTTCTCCTTCTAGAATTGGGTAGATGGGTTGATTCTCAGTCAGGAGCCCAGGTAAGGCCCATTAAGGAGGCATGGGCAGGGGGCCCTACCCCCCAGGGCCTTTGTCGGCACGTCCTGCCTGTCTCTCTCGTCTGGCTTCCCTGTTTGGGTTCCTTCCACGCGATTCCTCAATCCTCGCGCACAGACTCGCAGCTTTCCCGACAGGTAAGAGCTTGTCCGAGCCGTACGATTGACGCAGCGTCTTCAAGGAAGAGAGAGATAGGAACGGGGAGAGAGAGAAAGCGATCAGACGGTCAGATTCTTGATAATGGCGATGCTTTTCGAGGTCATGTTTATTAGCGTTGTAAGTTGTTAAACAATAATCGGCAGGATAATCGCGTATTTCCTGCCGTTAAATAATGCGAATTATGACGTCATCCACGATTTAAATGGGGAAAATGTGGTCTGAGAGGCATGTTTAATAGTTTGGAAGGTTACTTTCCTAAAAAAGATGGTGTAAAGGGGATATTTTATTTTAAACGTTAAAGGAAATAACGTCCCCTCATTCCCCGGACCCCTATTTGTCCGCCAAGATATGTGTTCCACCAAGATGTAGTAGAGAGAGAAAGGTGCTGTCGCCGTCGTCGTCTTCTTTGTCTTCTTCTTTCCTCTCTCTAATCCTCATCTTAGAAGATCCTCAATGGAGGGGTGGTACAGGGGAGAAGAGGCATCGTCTTCTCCCATTCGCTTCCATCGACGTCCGATGAGAACCGTCTCTTACTCTTCCACCTCCTCCTCCGGCGGCGCCGGCGCCGGCGGCCTGAGGCCGTGGATCATCATTATGTTGCTCTCCATAGTGGCGACGATCTTCCTGCACTCCTGGCTCCCTTCCTCCGCCATCAGCCTCCGCCCAAGCTTCGTCAAGAATGGTTGGGACGCCCTCAACGTCGTGCTCGTCGTCTTCGCCGTAGTCTGCGGGTTTCTCGGCCGGCACTACCATTCCGCCGGCGAGGAAGCCGAGAAGCCCTCCGTTTCGACGTCTCACGTCCACGGAGACTGGCTCGATTCGAGCTACCGAGACGCGGGCATGGAGTGGGGGCCGAAGAGGAGCAAGAACTTGTACACAGACTTGACGCAAGAGAGGAATTCTGCCGCCGGCGACGGCCGGACCTTCTCCGGCGACGTCTCCCTACACGGCGACAGTGCATCGGAGAAGGTCGTGGCTGGGGAGGATGAGGGCAGTGTTTCTACGTCTCCGCCACCGCCGAGGAGGTCGAATCAGATGCTTCCCAAAGAGGATAGGTTGCTCGCCCCGTCGACTCTGCCTCAGGGTAGGAATCCCCGAAGGCTGCTGGATAAAGAGATGGGTGAGAAATCCACCTTCAAACGTCATCAGGAGTCGGAAATGTCCCCGTCGCGGCCGCCACCGCTGCCACAACCACCGTCTCACCGGGAGGAGCAGAGCAGAGCCCACAAGAGGAGGAGCGGGGGAGCCAAGGACATTGCAGCTTCTCTGGGGCAATTCTATCAGAAGAAGAAGAGAAGCAGCAGCAAGGGAGAAATAAGCAACGACTCCTACATCTCGTTCCCTCAGGCTTCCCCATCGGCGCCGCCGGAGACGGCTCCGTGCCCGCCTCCAGCGCCGCCGCCTTCCTCCGTCATCTTCCAGCTCTTCTCCAACAAGAGAGGAGCTACCAAGAACGAGAGAGTTTGCTCTGTCCCGGTGCCGGCACCTCTCCCGCCACCGCGTCCCTCCAGGAATCCCTCCTCCGGGGCTTCGGTGCCTCCAGAAGCCAAGGAGAGTCTCCATCGATCCGGCTCTTTCTTTTTCTCACTGCCGCCGCAGCCGCCGGCGCAGCCGCCGCCGCCGCCGCCGCCACCACCACCGCCACCAGCTGAGAAGGTGGCTCCGAGGAGGAAGGGGCAGTGCCCGCCGTTCTGCCCGAGCCCAGACGTGAACTCCAAGGCGGAAGCGTTCATCGCCAATCTCCGGGCGGGATGGCAGCTGGAGAAGCTCAACTCCGTGGAAGAGAAACAGCGGCGGCGGCGCCAACCGCAGCCATCATCATCATCGTGAGCCTCCTTTAGAAGGCACTCCCTTCTCAAGCTGTGAACACTCCGATTAGCGAGAGAGCGAGAGAGAGAGGCGGAGAGAGGGGCACGTGTTATTTGGCGCACATAATTCCATTAACTATGCATTTATTATGATTTGCTTTTATTTTAAGACGGTTTTTGGGCCGGTTGATTACCGTCCAACACCGGCGGGCCCATCACGCGCATCGTGTTAACCACGACGAAGGCGACTTGCTATCGTAGCATACGGAGAGCTTACTTTTATGAAAATGGGGACTCCCTCCGGGTTCAATTCCTCCCCTTGGTTCTTCTTCATCTTCTTCTTGTCTCCGTTTTTTAAGGGATCCGGCAGATCGCCGCGGAGCGGGGTGCGGCGGAGGACGTGGATGCCTCCCGAGTTGCCGCCTCCATCGCCGCAGTTTCAGTCGACAGAGCGCAAAACCTTTTCCCGTAGAAGACGGAGGAGGTCGCCTCGACTCCTCTATTCCAACCGGGAGACAGGCGAGGAGAACTGGATTTCAGATCATCGTCTGGAGTAGAGAGCTTCTGCGGACGCATTGATGGAGGAGAGAAAGGGAGGGAGTAAATAATTGAGGGAGAGAGAGAGAGAGAGACGCCACCAGGGCCAGCTTCACGGTGGTGCAACGGGACGCTGGATCAAGCTGTCGTCTGACGGAGGCATCCCGCCGGAGATCCAGGTGCCGTCTGACGGAGACATCACCATGCAACCGCTAGCGCTGCCGCGTCTGACGAGAAAACAAAAAATAAAATGCTTCTGGACAATCCCCCTCGTCCGCTCCTCTTGGATTAGACAGAAACGACGCCGACCTTCGCACCGGCGTTTGGAAGCATGATCCTCCCCCGACTCCCGCCATCCGAAGCCTGGTTCGTCCCCTTCAGACTTGCTCTCTCTCTCTCTCTCTCTCTCTCTCTTTCTCTCTCTAGATGGCAGTATTCCTCACGGAAGAAAGGAAATTCTACAGAGGTGCTGGAAAGGGGATCTTCATCGGCGAGAATTCTACAGAAAATTCTCCGAGTTACAACGACTCTGGCTCTCCATAAAGTTACAAGGATCATCAACCGGGAGAGGGCGGACGGAGATTTGGAAAACCTTCGCAGCCGAAATTGTCCCGGGTCGAACAGGGAGGAGAAAAGCGTCTTCGGAGGCCCCATCGAAGGGAGGAAGCGGTGTTTTCCACAACCATCGACTGTTCTATCTCTGCTCCTGAGGTTTCTCGGCATTTGATCTAAACCTCAGCAGGCGTCTTCTGATAACTTACCGGAGACAGAAATGGCAAGGCGGAGGAGATCACCGGTAGGGCAGGGCTTGATCTTCCTCTCACAGCTCCGCTAGGGTTTCGGGGTCCTTTGTGGCGTCGCCGATCGGGGTCTCTGGCTTGGGAGGAGGCGGCGCCGGTGAGGCTGCCGGGGTTTCCACCTCCATTCTCAGGATCCTCTCAGTCGCTCGTCTAGCCTCCGAGTCAAGGTCATTCCACTCTGGGACAATTCTTCTCGCACCCTGAGGAGAGAACCATGAGGGGAGGTTTCCCCGTGGGAGCAAGCTCTCGCTCAATTCGGCGATCGTAGGACGAGGCTTACCTGCAGTTTAGGTTCTTTCGTCATGGGATTGTTGCAGAGGTCGATCGTCTTCGCCTTGGATTTTGTGGCGTTTCCGCACCAAGATTCACACCAGAGCCATTCTTGGGGGAGAGAGAAGATGGGCACCGTGTGCTGAGCATAGTTGGGGAGATCCTGAGAAGACCGGGCGCGAAGATCAGCAGCAGCTCTCTCCCAACCGGAGGAGCCATAAGCGATTTGCAGGGCGTGCTTCGATTAAAAGGGGGGAGGAAGGGATTGCCTGATCTAGATTGGAGAGGCTGTTCGGATCCTTGCTGAGGGTCTCGTAAAATATCCTCAGCGTGTCCCCCGCAGCGGTCTGCCGGAACCTCGCCAGATCAACAACGTACAGAGCACTGCAGGTAAAAAAAAAAATTAAAAAAAAAAAAAAACCAAGGGACGGATTAGAGCTGCGGGCGGAGCTCTACTACAAGCATCAGACCAAGAACACGGCAGCTGCATACCTAATATGATACGGTCTCCCCCGTAGGTGGTCCTTCCAGAAACCCTAATTACAGAAGCAGAGAAGCCACGGAATGAAGAGACAGAAAACCAGAGATTTGGAAACAAAAAGCCAACAAGCAGCAGCAGCGAGAGGAACCCACCTGCCTCCAAAATCGGTACCCATCCATGTCCTTGTTGTTGTCGCAGAAAGGCGTGTAAGCGAGAGGCCTCCCTTTGATATCCATGTCGTAGAGCTCGCCCATATCAGCTCTCACAATCTGGTCCGCATCGACGAATATGACCTGGAACGAAAACAAATATAATCTGGGTATGGATTCCAAGTGGGCAGACGACCGATCTGCAGCATTCAGATGGAACGTGAGATTGAGATACCTTCTCCAAGGAAAGTGGAAAGATGACGTCAAGAAATAAGATTTTGTAGGCCCAGATGATCCTCTGCTTCTCCGTCTGCTTATGGAGCCACGTGGGCCATTTGTAGGTGATGAGCTCGTACTCAAAACCGTACTCCCTCGCCATCTGTGGGATGACATCCTGCAAAAAGAAACCCAAGGCCCAGTGCCGCAGGTCGGTCTTAGGGATCCTTCGACGGATAATTTGCATGGGGCTGGAAGTTTACACGGAGAAAAACACAGGCAGGCAGGCAAACCTTGAACTGAGGAGAAAGATAGTTCTTGATGAACCAGAACTTCACTGGTCTTTCTGTGTTCTTCAGGACGCTCAGTATCATAATCTTGAGAAAGCGCTCGTACCTGCAAGGTTAGGGCTACGTTAAGAATCCACGGACAAAACCAAACGGCAGGACATGGCAGGTATGCTCGGGGGCATATACTTACAGATGCCCAGATGCAACTGAGAATATATTAATTGTTTTTCCATGCCTTTCATTTCTCTTGTCACCCTGCAGCAAGACGTTCCACCCACGTCAAAATGGAAAGTCACTGATAAGGAAAGACGGGTTGACAACAGAAACCAACTGAAAATATTTTGAATCATATTAGCATAAAAGAAAATCTTGGCGTATACAGTGATGCTTTTTTTTAGGAATAATTTAGGGTCCATCATATGGATTGGGGCCTATTTTTCCTGAGATGGTAAGGTCTGAAAGATCACACCCTGGAAGATCAGGCGATATAAAGTTGGGATCTAGTCTGAAAACGCTGGAAACTGAGTCAACTCAGATTGACAAACGACTAATATGACTCGGAACAATACTCTCTCTCTCTCTCTCTGAGACTCACCTGGGGCAATATTATTTTTGAGGTGAAGTTGACATTTTCAGTGGGTCTGACGGGTGGAAGTTCTACCACAGTGAAACCAAGGAATAAGAAAGAAAGAAAGAGAATGGCAAATAGTATGGAAGCACTCATATTGACCATCTCTGCTGTTGCGCTGACCATCAACTAAACGTTTACCACTGTTCACGTAGGTTGAGAAACTGGCCTATTATATCAAGACTCAAAAAAGTGGGGGGAGTATTTTTTAAGGGCCTCAAGCAATACCATGGTTCACTTTAAAAGCTTTAGGGTTCCCCCTAACACATCTCAGGAACCAGAGATGTGAAGAGTATATCTGCTCATCTCTGGTCCAAACCAAGCCCGAGCTTAGAACCTTGACCAGAACAGGGATGAACCCAGAGAATCAATGTAAACTGAGGTCAGCCTGAGCCATTACCCACACAGAGTCAGAAAACGCCAGAGAACCAGAGCCTGAACCAAGTAGCCTACGCGTGAGGATGCTATTGACGGTCCAAGGTCCAAATAGAATCTGAACTACGTTGAAGCTGGGGAACCATGTGCCCTAAAAATCTTAATTCTGCCTACTGGAACATAGTCTTCTTTATAAGAAACTGGAATATGTGACTGATGTTTCTGTCCTTAGAAAAAAAAACTAAAACAACCAATTAATTAATGGAAGCAATACGATTACCTCAGAAGTCCCGCGTTTCTTATTTGGCTGCCCATGGCTGCCAACAAAGCCGGATGCCCACTTTAAAAGATTGGTGTTCCATCTGTTGCTATTTTCCTGTAGCAGAAGAGGTAAATCTTGGCCAAGCTCGGAAGAAAAAAGAAAGAAAGAGGAGGAACAGTTAAAGAAAGTAAGCAAGACTGACCTTTCTCCTTTCATCAACATGTTTTTCGTCAGTAGAAGCGGTTAATAGTTCCTCGTCCTCCTTCCCTTTTCTTTTAACTACTTCCAAGTGTACAAGCTTCCCCCTCAAATCATTTATAGTGATGAGCTTCAACTGAGGACTCTGTTGGATTTTATCTCCAGCTTCCTTTAGGGCGTATAGCTCTGCACTCCTTCCAGGAGCAAGCTGCAAGTACCATACTCCAGGTGAAACCTTCATCTGCCAATAACCGAGGTTGGCCATGACAATAGTATCAACCAAGTGAGGTATGGGCTTTGTTCCCAGAATCAACTGGAGACCTCTGGGTGGATCATGGTCCTTTTCAGAACAGTGTCCTGCAAGTTTTCGAGTGAGGGCATGCCGAATATGGATTGCAGATTGCAGGGAATATCACCAGTTTTTTTTTCTTTTTTTTCTTTTTTAAAAAAAAACCAAACTAACAGTTACCTGTCAAGATTAGCGATTCCAGTTCAAACACTGCTTTCAGTGTCCTTTCATCACCGAGGTTCTCGAGCAGAATATTGTCCAGGTCATGTCTGAAAGCAGACACACGGCATATATTTAAAGCAGACACACGGCATATATTCAAACACTAAACGATGTTGCATACAACCATGCTGAATTGGAAAATGACGAGAGTAACTCACACAGCAACCACCGGTTCAACCAGCCATGGCTCGGGTACATCAAGATTCATAGTAAGCGTTTTGGATAATGGCATATTTGAAAAGAACGCTTTTGGGCCATTTAAGGAGTAATCAATAGAGCTGAAGTCATCCTGCAAACAAAAACGATGGATAAGGAGATGACACAATCAGCTATGTAAACTGAAATTGTAGACTAGGCTTAACAACGAAGTATTTTTCTGCCACAATCATCAATACCTGCGTTGGAACCACATATCTGTAGTAATTTTTCAGTGGGAGATCTGCGAGAGAGCTCTGCAACACAAGATTAACGGTGCTGTTAAACTCGTCACACACAGCAACAATGAAGGGAAAAAAAATCAATCTCTGAAATCTAGTCACTGTTCCTGTATGGTAGAAAGAATTTGAACTTTGCAATTATTTTCCATAAAACAAAAGTCTGCATGGAGAGAGTGTTAGAATATGCACTATCTTTACCACGGTATAACTTATAAGACAACCAGGCGAGGATACAAAGATGGCACGCACAGCTTCATTTATCTTGTAGGGTGCCCATAATTCTCGAAATAACTCCCGAGAGTGAATTAAAACTCATATTGGGTTTTAATTAGTTGACATGCAGATAAAGGACTTGTATATTTATGCTTCACAGGAAAATAACAGAGAAAGTCAATAACGTTTGGAGGACAAGGAAAGAAACCAAGTCGTAGTTGCCACCCCACAGCGATCAATCTACTTCTGCTAACGTGAACATATTCCACAAAGAAATGTTATTTAGTTAACTATCATCAAGGAAGGTTGATTAAGAAACTGCTGTCAATAAGTTCAGATAAATATGTCCATATTTTTCTTAACCCTTGGAAAACTAATGCAATTACGGTTGCTCACAGAAGATTTCGAAGAGGTTGCAGATTTGATCTAGAGCTTCAAGTGTTTGAGAACCATGCAGAAGATTGTAGGTGTGATCCCTCCACATGAATTCACACATCTAGTTTTTAGCTAGTATATTCTATGGGAATTTACAGTTTTATTCATTCCAGAGTTAGTAGAAGATTACATAGCATATGCTAGAGACAGTCTTGCTACATGCGATATTCTTTCCAAATCTACATCTATGACAAAGTACTTGGGCTATGACTAAGCGAGAATAAACCACTTTATTCGAAGCACGGTTCTCACAATCATCATGAGAGGTAAAAATTTTACTTAATTTTTTATAATTTTACTCCGTGGATAACATCAATGATGTATTTTTGCCGATCATCCCTCAACAGTGGCACGGCTACCATTCATCAATCAAAACTTACATCAAGATAGTAATTCATAAGATCTGGATCTGCTAAGGATGCTGAAGTTTCTAATACATTTCGAATAAATTAAAAAAAATGTAAAATACCTAATTATTCTTTTTTTATTTCCCAGGATTTATGACAAACCTGAACTACTAAATAAAATGAAAAAAACATGAACAATATATAGTAGTTACAAATACAAAGACAAAATGAATAGTTGTTTAGCATGTATATTATTTATCAAATTTCATTATTTGAACAGTTACAGTATTGAATAGTTTTCATACATTAAGGTAGAATGAAAAACCAGAAAATAATTAACAAGCTCACCATTGGGTTAAGGACAATTCTCATACTTGGATGAATATTTCTCTGTAGTATGAGAAGAAGAGGAGAGAGTTTTTGTCCAGCATGGCTTAACGGATCAATGACTGCATCAATGTGAATGGAAGAATCTTTGTTATCCAGGACAATTGCACTGACAAAAGAAAAAAGTAATGTCAGGAAAATGAAAAGGTATGATTCAGCCAAAACATTCGGCAGATCTGCAATGATGTTCTAGCACAATGAAAAAAAACTTGTAGGAATTTGCAGCACATATTCAAAATAAAATATTTCTTATAAAAAAAGTCGCTGACGATTATTCATTCGAAATGATGTCAAAGAGATTATATTCTATAGATATCGTTCCAAAGTTGAATCGGGTGAACGACATTCTTATGCATGTATCCATGGATCAATCTTTTTTATTGCCCCAGGCTGTACTTATAAAGCATGGTGAATATTCACCAGCAGACTATGAATTAATTTTTAGGTGTACTTCATCAATGCTGGATGGTTACTAGACCCTATTCAATAAGACAATCTAGATACCAGATTACTGACCGGTAGAGACGTCCTCGATTTCATTAAGTCAGAAGTGTGGAGAGCGCAAAATATTCTACTGCTTGGATTGAAAGAGAATGTACGGGCAAGAATTTACCTGTATTTTGAACTTAAAATTTCAAAGCGTGCTGCATCAGAACTTCTTTCACGGGAAGACATTGATGATGAAACCATCATGATAATATCACTTATAAATTTACTGCATTTGTTTATGGAAGAATGTCAGAAAAAAATTAAATTACTCGATGCAAACAATAACCATTTCATTAATTAAAAAATAAAAGATATAACTCTGCCTCAGAATATCATGGTTCTATATGAAGAAACACAGAGAATCAAAAGCTGATTGACAGTATTATATCTCGGACTCTTTAAACAAGGTATGTTGCAGGGATATGATTATTAAGCAAAACAATACCTGATAAGGAGCCATGTAAAGTAAACGTGCGATTAAATAAAGTGTGATATGAACCTTCAACAAAAAATTAAGTCGATTGTGCATCTAAAAGGATCACCTCGTTAAATCATCAGGGTCAACATCAGGCCATTCCACTTCTTTGATGATGTTGACAATGTACTTTATTCTCTTCTGTAACTCAACAGACTCTACAAGATCTAGATCATCACTGAGGAAGGTATCCCGTTCAGCTGGAATTAGCACCTGCCAAAAAGAAGGAAAAATACACAACATAGAAGGATTAGACAATATATATGCGTATAAAAGAGGAAAATATTTTTGTCAATAAAAAAGAGATGGAAATCATGATAAAGTAACCATCACTGGAGCTACAGAAATTCAATTACGAAGCATCATGACGATACGAAATAAGCAGAGATAAATAACCTACCCGACCATTTGTGACCACAGCATTAACTCCAACTCCGAGATTAAGTTGCCAATGCAAAAAGTTTTTCACCTGAATGCAAACCATTTTCACAAAAAGGAAAAGAGGGGAAAAAAATACACATTAAGCAACAACAAAGCAGGGAGGACACAAAAAACGTCATTGCTAAGGCATTTTCATCAATCTAGGTGCTATGGCGACTAGAATACCTCAAGATAATTCAGACAAACTACGAAATTCATCACTGAATTTCAAATATTTATACTCTGCAAGCATGTACAAACACAATGGAGGAATGGACGTCCCAGTGATTGAGATAAGTCAGATATAGACAAAAAAGATTTTCCCTCTTATAGGATGAAGAGTTGATACTCTGATACTAAGGCAAACATTCTGACATGAAAAACAGCATTAACAAAAGAATCATGCAACAAAAAGAGAAACTTTTCCATCTATGATAGATCATTCCCCATGCAAGACAAAAAGGAGGCTTACAAATCCCGTTTCACTGCCATTTCATCTCTTCTAATACCATGAAAGCTTCCATGGAAAAATTTTGTACACTATATTTAGAAAGTCAGTCTGCAAAATCAGATTAAACACAATGCTGCGGAATACTTTCCTGAGGATCCAAATCAAGCAAAAAACTGAATAATCATATCTTATGCTAAAGGTGGGACACAATATCCGCAAAACTAAAATACACGCCTTGAAAGAAAGAACAATAACCAAGATAGCTAGCCAAATGAAACCCAAAAAAGCTTGTGAGGAGAGATTTAATATGTCCAAAGTTCTGCAAAAGGGAGATCGGACCAAGTGAGACAAATAACAACATTCCGAAACGTATGTTTCTAAGTCTTGAAATGGAACCTGGAACAGGCAATTAACAATCCATTCATGAAGTTTTGAAATAATTAATCCATTCATCAAGAATATAAGCATTAACAATGAGAGTGGAATATTTGAACCATGCTCTGATAAAAACTGTAAATCATGCACCTTTTCCCAGTGGCTCCTGGATGTATTCAAAGAAATTCCAGATAGGGCTACTTTGAAGACTTCATAAGGCAAGCCATTTGCCCCAGCGAGCTCATAAACCTTTTCACTGAAAGACTGGAGGACCTCGGAATCAACTGAAGACAAAGCTTCATAAATGCTCCCATAGAAAGAACTCAATTGATCCAAGAAGGTCAAAATTTTCTCCCTCCGACTGATGTCAAGATAGAAAAAAAATTTCTATTTTAGTGACTGAAAGTATGAATCCAAGCTTAATGAGGGCAAAGAAACACATAACCTGAATGAAGATGCTGATACTTTAAAAATCTCTGCTAAAGCCAAAGCATGTGCTGAAGAACCGTGTCCAAAATTAAAAAGAACACCAACACGAGCATTTTTTGATCCCCTCTTCTGCACAAGCATAATGCTCTAAAATAAAGAACTTAAAATGAGAAGTCAAATGATTATTAGATCACAAGAAAGAAAATACCAGATATTGAATTCCTTCGCAGAGTAAATCAATTCCTTTCCTTGTTGAAATATTAACGATAAGAATATGTGTAACTGGCTTCACATTGTCAACAGCTGAAAGCATACAAAAAAAATAACGCAAATGCAAAATTAATCATATAGAAAAGCAAGGCATAGTTGTGATTTTTCCAAATGATGCTTACTTCCAGGCGAATGTAAATAGCTGATATCATGTAAGATGGAGTCACTTCCAGTGCCTGGTGCAGACAAGGAAACAAACCTCAACGTACCCCCACCGTCTCCAGTAATCTACACAACCACATATCAGAATTATGTCTAAAAATGACCAAAACAAACTGTCTATGAGTGTGTACCTAATAGACAACTCACCAAGGGGTTATATCGACGATACCCACTTTCAGTAAGAAATTTCTCCAACACATCTGTACTTGAACTGATTTGCCCATAGTAAACTTGTTCTTGTATTCTTGGAAGTTCCTCATTCATAGCATTCGTAGCAGATTCCTAAGAACATAAGAACACCAACGAAAGAGATCTATGACTTCAGTGTCACTAGTGATTTACACATTCATAATATGTGAGCGTTGGACTCTGAGGAACTTGTATCCTAAAACAAGCCATCAGATAAAGAAGGTGAACCATGATTCGAAAGTCGAAAGAAGGACGAATAAACAATTCGTATTGAAATCACTTGTTTCCCACACGCTCTAGTCGACCTTGCTCGGTGGTGTGGGGGGATCCAATAGAAATTTAAGAAGGCTGCAAAAAATCGTTGATGAGCTGATTCTGGACCTTCTGTGACTGAAGGAGCATGGATGATGCACACCCGAATAAAGAATAGGGAAAAAAAGCAGGGAAGGAAAGATTTGTCTTAACCTCTCTTCCATTGATGACCCACCACTACCCTCTCCTGATTGCCCCCAAAAAAGGGGAGGATTTATGAGCTTTGGCTTTATTACAAATGGTTGATCCAACCTTTTGCTATAGCAATAAGAATTTCATTGAATCTATTAATCAATGCAATGTCTAAATAGTAATATGGGACCTCCCAACAGAACCAAGAAAAAAATTAAAGGAATTGGTCATTCATATCAGAACACCCGGGCAATTTGGCCAATCCTGTTCCCACTTGGATCAGATTCACCGCAGTTAAACTTTTTCAATTTTTAAGTCCAGGTTCTCACACAACAATTACAGAGGGTAGTCCCCGCATAAAGGTTTCATGGCGTCGTTTCACACAAAAGCTTGGTAAAGTAGGTGCCTAAGAAGATATATGGCCAAATAACCACTGCCACAGACAAACGACTCTATGAAGGTTCTGCTCTGAGAGAAAGCCACAGGTTTCACAGTGCAGCTTAGGTGGCGAATGAGGACCTATGGTCAATATTTTCTACGGAATATGGAAGTCCTAGGCATCAAAATTTGAATAAATGACAAATCACGTAGCTGTAAAGCAGTCACTGACTTATGAATAGAGAAAACGACGCATATTAAATTACAATATTACTGACCGAGGTTGATACCTACTCACTTTTGTTTCCTGGTTTGCCTTACCGGATACAGGGACTTGCACCATACAGGGCCTTACCCCAAGGACCCAGCCAGCTAAGAACGCGTCTCCCTTTCTTCCCCGATTGCAAACAGGTTGAAGCTGGCGTGTGTCAATATTTTCCTCTGGTTCTTCTCTATCGTCATAGCCTCCAGTATCTTTTCTTGTTCCAGGGGTGTGCCCAACAAACTTCAGCTCCTTACAACTAATATTCATCTTTTTTCTTCCTAACTTCTGTCCCTAGTAAATGTCACGGCCCACTTCCTACACTCCCACGCTGCTTTCCCTAACACAATCACAGAATAACTAGGAAACATAGTCAGATCTTAGTCCATAAGAGAGAGGGCTAATGATCCCACGATCAGCATACATCCTTCCCAGCAATGAACCAAACCATAGCGGACGTGCATATGCATGACATGAGCAAAGAACCGAAGAGAGAAGTGATGGTTGCCTTTAACATATAAATAATGTTTCTCATGTAGTCGACTGGTACACTGAATAATCACAGCCAAAAAAGTTCATGAAAAAGTTAAAATCGACAATACATAAACAAGATGATCAAAATTAGTTATAAAGTTGAATTTTATCCATAAGCTTAAGAACATTTTCTTGAAGAGGATATTTGAAGGAGACCAGAAATGGCAGACAAAAATGTTTGCTGGATTTGAGATTCAGTGAATAAGAAAAAAAATTCTGTCAACAAAAAAATGTTTTACTCCAGTATTACTAGTCAAGGAATGTTGAAATACACCTTTCTTCTCAAAAAATATAAAAGTATACCAAACTGCATAAATAAATTTGAATTTCGCATAATGATCAAAATATCTTCTATATGAGCAATCACGCACCTCAGTTGCCTCAAAGACCAGGCCATTCATCAACAAGGAGCACTCACGTCTGGCCAATCCAAGTTTGAAGACAAAAAGGGAGCTTTCCTCTGCCTCCTTCTTGAAGCTTAAATCTTTTCCAAGTTCTATTAAGGTGTCACGTGGTAGAGTTCTGGGCTTTGATCTGCACAAGATTCCTAACTTGAGATTACCAAGAACAATAAAGATAAGTACTAGAAAATCCTAAGCCTTCATTTGTTGATTGAGGGAATGATTTACAGATCCCCATGGAATAAAGGCAATGTTTGATAGCCTCTACCGTTAGGTTTAGAATTGACATATTTTTTACACATCTAATTGATTAAAGAAACAATTCTTCCACAGACGACGAGCATGAAAAACAATTCGAGAAGCATACTGTAGGGTCTCAACAAATGCTTCTTCAACATGCTGTACTTCAGGGCGCTCTTTGCGAGGATCCATTGAGTCACTCCACAACCTGTTCATCTGAGTGCAATCCATGAACATCATGTTAAATTAGGCTTCAACAAGGATACCAAAACTAACTCCAATCAAGGAGATAAAAATCAAGGATCAAGTTCTTTATCGATCTCTAGGAGTTAACGTGACATTGTTAAATAAAGGCAACAGGGGTTACGGTGTATGGGAAAGATTGGAGGTGCCTAACACAAGTCTTGGCCCGATAAATCAATCAAAGAAACCTGGCAACTGCTATGATCCAAAAAACTTTCCAAAGTACAATACACTCTCCAAAAACGTGTATTAGGAAATTATGGGTGGATGTAATGTTCTGCAACCCAAGCAGACATGTTGGCATATGTTGCCCGGCAAAGTAATTTTCCCTACCAAATTTTGAAACTGATAAATGACCTAGGTCTAATAGTGTGAGATAAAAACAATGATGGAATTATAATCCGAACCTTTCCCTTGTTTCAGTCCCATACATCCAAACTACGCCACAGAAAAAGACGCAAGAATAGAAAACAAGGTCCCACACCCAAACACATCAAACACCAGTGGGAATTTTTATGTCCACGGTAACCCCATGGTTACCTTCTGACTTAATGCCAATATTATCAACTTGCTAGTCTTGAAAAGCGGATCAGACCATCCTTGTCACTAAGTCTGATATTTTAAAACTTTAGCAGAAACATCTTTATTCAAAAACCATGTCTAATAACGTACACACATGGCTTTCCACAACTCTTGTTAGGAAAATCCAACTGCATTAAGAACAACGAAAGCACGTACATTGGTAAGAAACGCGAAAGCTGACTGCGCATCAAAGGTCTCTTTGATATAAAGGAAAAGTCGTATTATCTGCAAAAAAAAGAGGAAACAATTAGATTTTCCAATTTTTTTATAAAAAAGATAACATCAACATTCCTTCTTAGAAGTAAACACAAGGAGCCAAGCTGATGACGTTCCAACATATCAATGTTTTTGGATAAATACTATTTATTTTTTATTTAGTCACGCCAAAGGCGAACAGGGAAATAATTTATTAGGCCGTCAATGAGTAATGCTCTTCTACCCATAGGTTTCAAAAAAAGAAATAATTCCATTCTTCCACAATTTTAATCTTTTTTCTATAAGAAACAATTTCTGTAGGCGCAAAGCAATGAGCGTGTAGAAACAAATGCAGTAACACAATAGAGGAAAACCCTCTTTAGCGACAAGGCATGAACCTGCCAAATCAGGACAATTTGTGGATTCTCTTCGTAATAATATTAATTTATTGTAAATTCATCTTGACCACAAATTAATCAATTATTCATTCTCCAATATAAACATCATGCATCTCAATATGTTACCATTCATAAGAAATGCATCTTGTAAAAAATATAAAGTATATCCACAAAGATGCCATGGAAATATGTTACCAAAATCGACACATCTTCCCCAGAATTATAGACAGCAGTATTTGTAGAAGGCACGAGTTCACCACCATTCTCTTGCACAGACTTGATTTGCTTTGAAGAGTACAACAATATTCCAAACCGCATCGGGACATTGTCACCATACATGGAAAAAATGGCATCAAGAGACTGCAGAGAAGATATTGAAAAGTTTCAGACAAATGAAACGAAAAAAACCTGATTCCTGAAATTTGGAACTTCAGGAACCTAGGGTAATAGGAAAACAATAATGATATGCACTGCGGAAGCAGAAACTAAATACCTCAGCAACAATAAAATGAACAAAAAATTACCTCAGAACCACAAATTGTTGCCGGATCAAACACATAAACAGTAGTGAACAAATTCTTACGAATGTACCGAAGTTGACCAGGGAAAACTGGCATTAAAATCTGCAAAGAAAAAACATCCAATTATGGATAATAACATGATACCTAGAAGCAACTGTCCATCTCACGTCACAATAATTCTAAAAAAGACGCACCTCATTAATGTTGCTTCTCCACCTTTTGTACATGGCATCCTCCTCTAGATTGTTAAGATAATGGACATGAGTTGAACGAAAGTCAACCCGAAATGAATGGCTTTCGGAAGACGGTTGAGCTGACAGCAGTTTTCTGATTGCACTTGGAGGAATCTAAAAAGAACAATCAATGCTCATTGACAATTCAAAAATACGAACTAATTAATGAAATAAACATTGAAATGGCATCATGGGGAAATATAAATCAGCTGCAAGCTGTGAGCCTGATGATACAACAATATTCGTTAGAGACCTCATCTGAAACAGAACGAATTCAATAGACCTCATCTGTCTCATGAGAGTAAACAAACTGAGAGCTGGACAGGAGGTACCACAACCCAACATGAAAATATTTGAGACCTTTTACGCAAATAAATCACCCAATGTATTATAAGGAAGTGAGTAACAGACAGACTAACAAAAAACCATTTAGTCGAAAACCCGGAAAATATTTTGTATCAATGGTTAAAATGCTGTTTATATCGAAAGGGAGACCACACCAAGGCAGCCACAGAGAGGGATGCACAAATTTAACTTTTTTGGAGGCAAAAGCACAAAAGAAGACATCCTGAATAATAATGGGACGTTCATCTGATCTAGACAAAAGGTCATCAAATCTCTTACAGTCAAATAACACAGAAAAACTCCAATCCAAAACGAGTTCTCCACTCACGTTGGTGTAGCCAAAGTAGCAGTATCATGCACCTTAGCGGGTTTTATTTAAGGATGTGAAAGCATCAATATTGGTTTAGAGAACCAGGAAGGGATTTTAGCCATATGTAGTCGGAGTGAACGCTCATAAGAAATTAAAGCAAATTTGAGCCCATTGAAATGAACCAAGTCAAGACAGTTCCGAGAAAAGGGGAAACACGCCCCTTGAGGTGGCTTTAGGCAACAAGCAAGATGAAATCACAATAGCACTTATCAGAATAGCGAAATGAACAGAAATAGAGGACAATGCAACACACTAAGCACATGAAGCTTCAAAAGATTCTTAGCAAGGATTCACAAACACATTAAACAAAAATATTGATACATATGAAATCCTATACCTTCAATTTTGAGAAGCGGTCAGCCAGCAGAATCTCTGTGTGAACCAGATCCAACAACCTACAGAATCCCAAAATTCTGGGGTTACAAAACTTCACTCTATGTACTGCAGGGAACAACATGCAGGAAGAATCAGATATAATGAGAAAATTGAAAAAATGGAACTTGAACTGTCTTAAAGTATTACGACAAGAAGGAACAGAGTTACACATTCTAATATTGTTCTTCTAACAAGGACATATATTCAATATGATTTTCCATTAAGGATGTAAAGAAAACTACGCCTGAAACTAGTTTTTTTCCTTGAGAAGGAGAGCAGAAGAATGCAAACTTTTTCTTTCTCCTCGATATTGAAACAGTAAAAATTCTGTGACCCGCATCTACAAACAAAATAGTGACTCTCAATGACAAACAACACTTACATAATTAGAAGAAAATTCGCAGAGGACAGTCTATTAATAGAGCAGTTTATGTAACTCATAAGAAGCAAATTTAGTATCAGCTAGCACCATAAATCGATTACTAATCTATAATCTAAAATATTTTCAATATATTTATCCAAAGTAACAACTTAATTGCTGTTTATTTTCTGCATTTAGTATTAAAATTTAAATACAAATAGATGACCCAAGTAAATGCGTAGAAAAAATTAAGCATGACCCTATGAGATTATAAACATTTACAAGCTTCAAAAGTCATTAGTGAAAATTTACCCCTCAATATTAAGGGTCTTAATATATTCCTAATGACAACATATTTAGAGATGTCATATACACCCCATTATTTTCACGAAAGTAACTCCAAGAGTGAAGTAAACATAACCTAAGGGCAGCATTCAAAGGTGTGTACAAATCATGACTAATCTGTTAAGAAAAATAAAAACTAGGAACGAAATTTTAATTAAAGAAATTGTTGGTTTAAGCACTAAATGGCCTCCCAGCCAACACCAGTTGGTGTAAAAGGTATTACTGATAGAGATCAATCTCGTCAATATTGATTAGAGCACCATTGATTGCCATTAATGATTTTCCAGGTGGAACCATCCGCTGGTTTGCAATGATTTCCTCTTTAATCGAGTTACTCAGCTGCAGAAACCATTTGAAACATGTCACTCATGATTTGTATGCAGAGAACATAAGTAAAAATGAAATATGCCTTCAGAACAGCGGAAAAGTATGTGCATAATTTATGGGAAGCTTTGCAGACTACCTTCGTGCGAGATAACGAAGAAACTATGCTAGGAAAATTTTGATTTATTTCCAGCATGGACTGCAAGGGATCTGAACCATGCACAATCCTTTGTGTTGTTTGATGTCCCAAATCTACACAAAAGTACACGCTAGGACTCATTAGGTAGCTGTGCATGAATGACTCTTGCTGACACTTTATGAGGATGAGTTATATGATTATATGATACAACCCACTTTGAAAAAAGAATGTACGACATAAGTTAACGAATGGAGTCTGCACTGCACAAGCTAAGTCACCACAGTACCTTTTAATTCCCAAACTTCAAGGGAATCAGATACTGTTGATGATAATAAATAATCTCTAAACTCCATTATCTCCCTTGTCAGTTCAGGCTTGCGTTCCTGCGAATCCATCATAGACGTTTAGTGAATTACTTGTTCAGGAGCTTCACATAAAAACTGACAATTAGCTTGAATTAACTTCACAGGATATTGACCAACTAACCAATAGCTTAGAGAAAATGAATCCTCTAACTTCTTGGTTAAGATCCTCCGTCTGAGGGTCCTCCAGAGTTACGCCGCCTTTAAACGAATAGATGAAATGATAAGTGCTAAGTTCTTGGGAGGATAAAGTGAAATTAGTCTTGCAATCGAAATAGCATTGGATCAGAAAGAAACAGTAAGCAATGGGACAACTAAAAACGTTATTCAAGCAGCTTCCACGTGTTTATACTAAGGACAAACAGGTCTTCAGAGAAAAGTTGCAAAAGAAAAGTTTCAGAGAAGCCTTCACGTTTGCAGATACATTACAGCAAAAATTACCGTTCCAGTAATTTTTTTTATTTTTCTTTTTCTTTTTTTGGTGGGGAGTGGGGGGGGGGGGGTTGGGGGTGGGGGATAATAATATTGCCGGATTTTGTAACAATTGATCATCTGTTGGACATGACCAGAGAGTTTAAAAAAAAAATTGAGATAACAAATATAGAGGATGCACATATATTTCAAGAAAACCTCATTCAAATTCAGTATGCAATATAGGTGGTATAATACGCCTAGAGTACAAGCATTACTCAACTCAGTTTATACAAGATGAAAACTAAGATGTAAAAATTACATACCTTTTTTGACCTTATTATCATCCATAGCTTTGTACTCCATGTTCTTTAAAGCAAGCTCTACTCCATAACCACCCAAGTTTGGAGCGTCTGATGTACCGATGGCACTGCATGCAGTGGTTGCAGCTTCACATCCAGAGGGCAATACAGGTCTAAGGACATATCTAATTTTGCCCTATAATTGATTAAACACACTTCATCAGAAATTGAATGCATGCTAGCGAATAAAAGAAGAGAAAATGCCAAGAAGACGTAAAATTACATTTGAAAAGGCCTGAAAGATTTATACTGCCGTCGTTGGAAATAATAAAGAAAAGTAGGTTAAGTGACATGTTTTGTGCAAAATGAAACAACCAATTACAGTCAGTAGATATCTGATGGCTGAAAGTTTTCAAAATAAAAAGTATAACATATTTTTCTACATAAAATTCAATCTGTACAAACCTTTGCTTAACAAAGAAAGCCAACAAAGTAACCAAGGGCTATTTCTAGAAAATATTCGCTGCAATATCATCCTAGACCAGCAAAGCCCCCCACTCTCCCAAACCATTCTGACCACGACAACCAATATAGTAAAAATGTTATATTCCTTTTCCCATCAGCTCCTATTTCCCATCAACTACCAAGAAATTATTCTCTTCCCCGTTAATCTCAAGAGAGGATCAGGGATTCCTACTGAGAAATTGGATTGTAAAATGTCGAAACAAACAAACCAGGGCTACTATCAGGTGTCTTTTCCAAATCTGGTACATCTTCAAGGCATTTTTTCTAAGAAGTATCTCCTAATAGTCATTACTATAGATATAGAACTAAACACAATTATAGATTGATAAAACCATCATTTTTAATTGCTCGAAATCCATTTTCAAGACGAAGATTGTTTGAGGCTAGTTTGAAAAAGAGGGCTCTGTATCATAGAACAACCGGGTGAACCAGTTCCTTTCTCTCCCCTCTTTCATAGGAGTTAACCTTCGTTTCGGAGGGTATTCCACCCCAAAATAACAGTTCCTACCGTATGTCTCCATCAGTCAAATAACTTCTACTTGATTAATTCACTCTACAGTTCACCTCCCAAAAACCACTGCTATATGTTGTCAAACAAAGTACCAGAAAAAACTAATAAGATGAGCGTCTTGCAGATTACAAGGTCCAACTTTCGGTTTCCTACTTGCAATGAGTTATGGCATATTTATACTTTTGTACCACATTCAGTGTTGTCCTTTCCCAAGCTAAGCCTAAGGTATTTCAGTTCAAGTTGATTCCACAAACCTAAGAAGTTCAGTAGCATAAATGAACGAACATGTTTCAATAAAAGAAATGGTTTTAATCCTTACTGATCATGATTACTTGATGGACATATAGCCAAAAATCTTCTCTAAGCGCATTCCCATTCTGTGAAAGTAGAATGAACCAGGAATATGCTTTCTGTCACATATTTTGACAATGTCCCCCACCAATGTAGCTCCAGGAATATTCATTCGCACGTAGCCTGGACTGCACCTTTGCCTATTTGAAGTCAGGTCCCTTATGTCTCCATGGATAAGCGTTTCGGTGTTTACACAGTTAGTTTTGGTATTGGGTCCCTGATGAATTTTTACGTTCTCTGTTTTGATAGTTGATCTGTTTATACTAGTGTCATCCCCACATATGAGATGCTACCATGAGACAAAAACCTTTTATTTTGGATATATTGGTCAAAACCTAAATAGAAATATATGCAAAAGATTGTAATATAAGTAAGAAAAAGGTAAAGATGAATTTCCTCGTGAAAAATCGTCATCCGTGTTATGAGTTGTAAGAACTCTTCTCCATGTGTTCTATGATTCACATTGTTAACTGCATAAGCCTTACTCCTACATGTTTAGAAGCACCATAAATACCTTCTTTGCTGCTTCTGCCAGGACAGGATGAAACTCCCTAAAGCAGTCTGTCCCAAGAGCTCCATAAAATATGGCAACAGGTCTGTTGAGGTTTGACTCGAGAAACACATGATCAAAATCGAAAATCTCGGGCTTCTCAAAGGTTTCCCCGAATCTGTCATATATGCAAATGTAAATTCGCCATCAACGTGAAAAAACTTTCAGTGAAAGAAAAAACAATGTCATACACATTAAAAAAATAAATCAACTTACACTTCTGCAAACCCTTCAAACCAAAAGGTCAGTTCTGAAACGTTAAAGAGTAGTGAACTACCAGTATCTATCCAGCAGCAGTGTCCCTCAGGGCTACTTGGGTTAATACTCATCACCATGTGGTCTGAATTTATGCTGCCCAAACCTGTCTCTGGAACATCTTGTGTCTGTCCAGGCCATGATCTGGAGGCCAACGAATCCCTTGCCAACTGGCGATAGAGCGCCAATCTTGGTGAGGCTGACCTAAGTTGCAGGGAAAGTTCAAATATTGATCCCAAATGTTCACTCAGAAGGGAGCGCCCGTGTTTGACAATTTTTTGAAAGCAAGATTTTGCGCTCAAACAGTCGGAATCTTCACTGGAATTCAGCCAGCTATCAATGAACTCCCAAAATAGTCCTTTCCATTCTTTGGATAGTAGCTCACTGCAGAAAAGTCGGGTAAAAACGCCTTCAAGATTTAAAATGTCAGGGTAAAAAGCGGAGAAAGTAAAGACAAAAAACGTAGACATATACATTAATCATAAATGTATACTTCTATCCACAAAGGTATCGTCCTTCCTACATCCTCAAAATTGATAAATGAGACATAGTCTATTTTCTTCTTGGAAAATACAAAGCTTAGCGGGCAAGGCCCTGATGCTAGGCAATCATTTTCTTCCCTTTTTTCAAATACATGGAGGAAACCAGTTAGCTGGAGATTATGTGATGTTAGGACAGGATTTCATCATCTGAGAAAATAAATTAAGAACAAATTAGGTTATTAAATAAAGGTTTTTAAGGACCTTAAGAGGAAAACTGCCAATCCCCAGAGAATATTGCCAACAGAAAGAAAAGAAAAAAAAACCTCTTCGGTGTGGGCTAGCCATTAATTTGTATACCTGACCATAAAATAAATTGCATTTAGAAAAAAATAATTGATGATAGCATAAATCGTACTAGAATTTTCAAAATAATATGAAAATAAAGGTTCCCAATTATCCATAAGAGAGGTGTAAAGTAGCGGGTGTAAATTTGAGTTCTCAAACAATCATTGACCAAATTTTAAGAGTATTTTAAGTTTCCTTGAAAGTATCATTCTAAATCAAAAATACAAGAACAAGGAAATAAGTGACTAGACATCCATCTTTGGCATAAGCTTGCCACTGAGAACAGTAAAAAACCATCATAGACCACTTAAACCCCATCGCTCTTGTGCAAGAGGATTAACGGCATCATAATCCAAACATTAAGACCAAGGTCCTCACAAATACAAGAGAAGCGCTATTAGAAAAAAACAAATAATTCGACGTTGATGCATAGACCACTACTTTCGTGATACGTGTCTGCATAGGATGTAATAGGTCACATTCCTCGCACACCTGATACCGCATTTTGAGGATCAGAGAAAACCAAGAGTGTAACTTGAATTTACTTCTGCATCATCGTTAAATCGCACTGTCAAAAGCCACAGATAGAGCATCGGGAGACAGAAAGCAAATGAAGTACCCGGCTTCCAACAGCAGCGGAGTTCCGGACCATTTGGCCCGGAGCGAGACTTGCACGTTCTTAGGGCGACCGCCACCAGCGCCAGTAGATCGCCCAACGGCGTTCAGAATGACCAAAAAGATCAAGACGCTCGCCACTGAGGAACCCGAGCGTCCACGGCGCTCCATTTTTTGTCCTTGATCTGGCGGAGAATCCTATTCCCCTTCTTTCACAACATAATTCCTGATCCCGCGCTTCCTGCCACTGGAGGCGACACTCTGCGGTCGGAGGAAATCGGGGTCGAGATTTCTTCCGCGAACTTTCCGCTCCCCCTCCACTCCTCGCGAACTGTCGCAGAGCTCCGACGACGGGGCGATTTTAGGGATTACCCAGGAAATTGCCCCCATTGAACCGTTAGAGACTATACCATGGAGTTCGGATCCTTAATCAGTACCTATTGGTTATATCGGACCAATTTACGACATGCCCAAGATCCGATATTCTGGCAGCCGATGGATGCGCATCCGATGGGAGTCTCAGGGTCCCTTGGAATGTGGGCCTGTCTCAGGGTCCAAATGAGCCGAGCTCCCGGCCCAACGTACCGTCCATCAAAGGAAAACGAGGAAGAGGAGGAATGGGCGAGAAAAATGTGGAAACTACTAAAAAAGACCGGAAATACTTTCTACTCACGGTCAAGGCGATCATTTTTCAAACATATTTTAAGAAGAAAGCAGCCTTTCCCTTTTCTCCCGAGGGAATAGGGATCTCCGTGGAGTATGCCACGTGTACGGCCGGGAAGAGCTCCCAACACAAAGAATAATATATTACATAAGCCGGGTCCAGCACACGACGCAAGCAACCAGTGGAAACCCTTCAGCTAGAGGGCAGAGGGCTTGTGGCCCCCACCAACTGCCGCTCGGGCCCCACTTACCACGCACAGCACCTGACTAGGCATTCTATGTTGGAAAAAAATTATAAAAAATAAAAAATAGAAAAAATGAAAATTACACCGAGAACCCGAAGGAAAGAGTGGGCGAAAGTATACACAAGCAGCGGTGGGGCCCGGCTGGAGATCACTCGGCGCGCTGGGTCAGGAAGGCGAAGCCCGAGTTATCTCGGATCAACGGCGGAGGATCAACGTCGGCTACGTCTATCTCCGTGATCGACTTCGAGATCTCGTCCACGGTGAAAGGTATGCTGCACCAGGAAACTAATATTAATAATTATTTATCACGAACATTTAATTATTTATTCCAAGTGGGGAGGGCCCCACCTGGAATCGTCATCCAGAAGGAAGGAACTGCTGACGTTGTTGGAGTCCGCAGTCATCTTCCTCATGCTCGAGATGACCTGGCGGATTTGGTGGGGTCAAGAAAAATATTAATTAAAAATTAAGCATGGTTTAATAAAATTAAATGAGAAATTATAAGCTTACCTCGGAGGAGACGCTGTGTGTGCCGTGTCTGTCGTCCCAGTACATGGTGCTGATTCTGTACAGTTGCTGGATGCTGAGAACCTGGCGGGCATGGGAGGTGGGGTGAGGAGAAGAACAACCAGGGGATGGACAAGGGCAGAGGAGGTAGAGAGGGAAGAGGAGGGTACCGGGCACAGGTCGTTGGTGATCTCACTGAGAGTCTTCTTCGTCTTCTGGTGTATGACCTGAGGGATTGGATGAGGATGATGAGAAATGAACGCACCAGCATTTGAGATTAACCAGAAAGCTTGTTGACGAGAAGGGATGGTACCAGAAATCCAACTGCCTGTCTGATGTGCTGAAGTTCTTCCAAAGCTGACCCGGAAAACTGTTTCCAACCGACGCTTCAGCGCTTTAGAGAGAGAGGAACCGAAGGAATAAAGGAGGAGAGAGAGAGAGAGAGAGAGAGAGAGATGGATACCTCCTCTGTGGCGTCGAAGCACCATTGTTCTAGTTCAGCCAGCCCAGCTTTGACGTACTCCCCATTGCTGAATGAGCAACACTCGCGCCGCAGAAGGAGGCTGCAGAGGGAAAGTCAAAGGGCCATCCTATATTGAGTAAAGGGGAGGCGACCCAGGTGTGATAGAGCTGAAAAAAGTCAAGTGGACCAGAAACCTGTTGAAAAGCTGCACATTGATGAACGAGAAAATCTGGGTGAACACCTTGCGGACCAGGAACGGCGGAACCTGGAGAGTGAGGGCACGTTAGGAACTCTCATGCTCATAAAAACGGCTGGCAGCGTCGTCCCCATTAAACCCATTCAACTCACGTAATTGGCCCTCAAGGTCTTCAGGTAATTGTTCAGGATGGCCACGATGCTCTGCCAATGGGCGATCAGCGCTTGTTGAGCGACACCCCTGGGCTGACTGCGGCCTTTGACCAGATTCGCCCTTGCATTCCGCGGCGCCTGTTTTCACCCCAAATAGGGAAAAAAAAGTTAGCACAGGAACCCCATGAGAATGGGAACTCGGAGCAATACCTGAATACACAGGCCGAGCAGAGGCGCGATTTCCTTCTTGAGGTTGTCCCTCAGCATGCCGTAGATCTTCTCCACAAAGGCTGTTAGCTGCTGTTTGAACAGCAGGGCGGGGTATTTGGCTTCCACCTGGCGCACGTCGTTCATCGCACCGATCATCCTACCATTGAGGAAGGGAATGCCGCCACTCTGGGGAGACCCTCGGAGTCCCTGGAGTTTACAACGGTTGAGGAGAGAAGCGGGAATCACCGACCACATAGGCTTATGGTTGAAAGGAGGCGGGTTTGGTTGTCTTACCTGAGACACCCTACCAAATAATGAGGTTGATGATGGTCTCCGCCGATGAGGGGTCAGACCAGTTGCTCCACCTGCCTTGAGCGTGCGTTGCAGGAGCAGCAGCAGAGTGGTTGAATTTGATAACCAGTAGGAGAGTGAATCGTTGTTGTCCTGGGTCTTTGACAAGAAAATAATCACTAAGATATCCCAATATTTTTATACATTTTAAAAATCATGTTGCTGGTTTTATGCATGTGTGTATATTTGAAGAGGAATCTATATGTATAAATAAAGTACGAACTGAGAATATAAATGTTGTGAAGTACCTCAATGGCAGAGCCTATGCTTTGGATTATGCGATCGAAAACACTGGTCCTCTCCACCTCAAAGGATCTCCAATGGAGAAGACACTTGTATATGACACAAGCTGCGATGGGCCTTCCCCCGGCAAATCCAAGATCACGTGAGATGCACTTGATGAGCAAGTCTTGGTTCTCCTGCATACAGAAATTGAGGACCGACAGAGGATCAGCATGCATGTAATTGGAGACCGTTGTGATTCATGCATAGAGAGAACTTCTACCTGTTGTTTCTCGTTGAGTGATTTCTGTGGCTTCTCCTCAATCTCCATCTCCTTTGCGCTATTTGCAAGAGGACCCAAATCCTACAGAGTTTCTGGGGTCAATCGAGGGCGCCATAGAGCGTACATAGAAAGACGTATGTCATATTAAAAATGGCAGAATGATGCTAACCTGTGCCATTTTCGTTTCACCATAGAGGATGCTTCCACCGTCCGGCGTCCTCTGTTCGCGCAGATGTTCACAGATTCAGCATTCAAAGCTATGCGGACCACGCGTACGGAAGAAGATGGACCACGCGTTCGAAAGAAGTATACTACCTGAATGATGGTTGTTTTGGGGCGTGCAGATAATGCTCTTCCAGTTGGAGATATAGCAAGCGCCTGCTGGCGGAGGACTTGGTTCTCCGACTCTAGATTGGAGAGTTTCTCTTCAAGCCTGAACGAAAAAAACTCTCACAAACCAGTATGTGGTAGAGACGAGATTACAGTAATCACCATGCATTTCTGGTTAATGATAGAGCAGCACAAAGCTCAACAGCTAAGTATCTAGGAGCAAGTGGCATCTAAGAGAGAAAAACTCTAAGAAAATAACCTTTGAACAGTTTCCTGAAGCTGATCAGCTTTTTTCTCCGTGTCAGCAAGGCTCTTGGCCAGATCATTCTTCCTGGCCTCAGCTTCTGCGTAAGCTTGTTTGGCGGAATCTTTTTGCTGCCTCTCTAGTATCAATGAAGCCTGTCATAACATCAGATTAACAGGGGGGTTTACAACAAGTCGGCAGCATTAGTTATACCCCTGTACTTGCATCATAAGTGAATCTCTGTTACAGGGTAAAAGAGCAGCAAATAAACGAAGAAAAATGGCATGTCCACTACTGAGCATCATCAAGAGAGAACCTGAATCTATGCTTTTATCTTTCTTCTCGAGAATTCTTCTTGCCTCTTATAGAATTTTTATTAAAAGCAATGCACCCAATCCCTGATGTTGCCTTCTTCCAATATGTACTTGTGAGGTGATACCAGTAGAACACGCTCACATTGGATGAAAGTTGTACTCTCACCGGTAAAAAGTGAAAGGATTTCTCAAGTGGTATAAGTTTATGTTCTATGCTTACGCATCCTTCTGGTATCCATAAGAACACCGATAAATTCATAGATCGGCACAGGATAGAAGATCAAATGAAATTGTGTCTCTACCTTGAGGCTTTCAACTTCCGCAGTCAGTGCATCAATCTTTTCTGTATCATGGACCAGCACAGGAGTTTCTTTGATGACGGGAGGTGCTTCCTCAATGGCTTTCCGAGCAGCCTCCCTCTCCCTGATAACTAAGGAGTGGGCCTCTTCAACTTGTAGTTTCATTTCGTGCAGTGCTTCTTGTAGCTTGGTAGTTTCTTGTACCTTGGCCTCCTCAAGGTCAACCTATAATTGAATGGCAACCATGATTAACGACTATCCAGATATTATTCATTTAAGATGACAAGATATATGGATAAATAGATAGATATATTGGAAGTGCATAAAAAATACAAACACAGGTAAATAGATGGATGATATACGTATTTATAAATATATATATATATATATATATATATATATATACAGAGAGGGAGAGAGAAGGGAAAACCCAAAGAGACGAACAAACAGAAAGACCAGAGTATAGAGATAGACAAATGCCACTGAAGCAACCAGCTTTCCACCGTAAAAATTCGACATAATATAGAGTACTCACTCTTAATCGTTTCTCCAATTGCAAACGCCATGTGAGCTCTTCAACACGCTTTTCGAGTTTATCTTTTGCTTCTTTGAGGGCTCCAGTTTCTTTCGCAGCCTGTAGACAATAATGTGATTAAGAGTGATTCCACAAAAGATGATGCACCTCAACTTTCAAACAAATGAATGAATTTCATCAAAAGAGACCATTCTGAGCTTTCTGAGCTCCTTCCGTGCAAGCCTTTGCCTCCAGGCACACTGGTAAGTGATTGCGGCCTTCTGTAAATTCTTATAATACGAATAATCTTTGTGGCTACGCCATTTAGTCTGCAAGAATCATGAAGAAATAAAATCACTGATAGAAAAACAAAAAAGGCAAAGGGTGCATTTGAATCCTATATGGACAAGGATATTGAGCGAATCAAAGGCAAGGTTCCAATATAGGCTGGTGATATAATAGATAACCATGGATGGCTGATTCAGATAGAAAAACGATGTAGTTAGATGCATATACCAGAATGTCACTACAGAGTAACGATTTTCCATTTCGAACTAAAGACAGAACAGAAGATAGTACTGTGATTTTTAACAAAATCTTATTATATCACCTACACTCCTGACTTATATCACCCATCTCTACAGCATCCAATGTTAACAGAATTTCCAGAAAATATTTGAACATCTTGAGAGGAGAGTACGTTCCAGTATGTCCTGGCTAGTTGACATAGGCAAAAACCAAACTTCAAGAGGACTTATAACCAACGTTAAATTATAGTTATAAGAACTAATACGGACTCCAGAAAATCTAACATCATGTCTTCCAATTTTCAATGTTTGGGAATAAATGATAAAACGGATGGTCATCAAATCTATAAACACCTGAAGTGGGATCTCTAGCAGAAATACGAGAACTACATGACAGAGGTTTAGTCTGATGATCAACTGTGAGCTACCTGGATAGCAACCGAAGCTTTGGTTTGCTTCCTTAGTCTGAACTCATTCCGAGCAGTCATTGCCCTTAATCCTGTCTGCAATGTCACAGCAGAATGTCTGAGTGACTTATAAGACTTCTGGGCAGAGTGCCGTCGCAAATTCTTCTGAATCCTCAGTGCGGCTGCTTCACGCCTCATTTGCTCGTACAATTTGGAAGCCAAATTCCCTGCAGTGATCAAGTAGTTGAAAATCTAAGTACCGGTATCTCTTCATCGACGGTAATTTGAAGCACAGCTTTTGTCTGATGTAGACAATATTCTTCATGCGAAAGGAACAGGGACATACTGTAAGGAAAATCAATAAATCAAGTGCATCTCAAAAGCAATAAAGAACAAATGATACCTCTCCAACGGGACTGCAAGTGAATTGCAGCCTTGCGTAACAAAACGAATTCCTTGCGAGCAATATGTGTGCGGATTTGTCTCTGGATCACTCTGGCTGCTTTGACCAGAACTTCTGTTCTTCTCGCATCCAATTCAGCCATCTGGCCAGCTCTCAAGAACACTTTATTCTTGCCTATCTGACAAGACAAACAATGCAGCATCTTGTATGAGAGACATATCTAGAAACGATGCAACTGGCAGCATCAAGTATTGATATGAACATCAACACCAATGCCAAACTGATAAATCAATCAACTTGTAGAAGCAAATGTTCCAAGATTCGGTCACCTGATAACCTTTCAACCCCATTTTGTCCAGAATTTTTTGACATGCAGCCTTGTCATCATAGCTATCCAGTCATAAGAATTTCCACATAAATAGCATCAGTATTTGCTGAAGTCGATGATCTTCAGACCATTTAGAAGCAACCTAGCATAGAAATCTCTACAAGTATATTTGAAAGACAACACTTACTTTCCATCTAAAATCTCTGGAGCAAGAACACCAAAACGAAGAAGAAATTCATAAAATGTCCTTTTTGTTGGATATCCAGCACAGCTGATCCTAATGGCTTCAAGGACACCCTGAAACAATGGGAAGACATTCATGGAACTATACGGCTGTCTTTTCCTTACAAGGAACGTTAGAAGATTAGATGAAACCGTAATTCAGTTCAGTACTTACACCACAACGTAATTGTTGAATCACATTGAAGTTTTCAAATACAGCTGGCTTGAGAGCATTATTTGGCTTCACGCATCGGATGTAATGAGGTTCCATTGTACTCAAGGTCTCCATCAATGCTTGAAGTTGGAGCTGGGATTTAAATTAAAAGCACATATCAAATTAAATTTAAAACATCAATGTTGTAAAAATATGATCAAACCCTAACTGGCACAGGGACAGAGACCAATCATAAAGGCAACAACAGAGGAAAGACAGCCATTAAGCTAGGAACAAGAATCAAGAAAAAAAACTGTTTCAGCGGAAAAAGAGAACTTCAAGGGGATGCCCAAGAAACCAAGCAACCCTCGACGAAAGTTAACATACTTTTCGGTATCCTAAACATTTTCACTTTTAGAAATTTGTTGAAAGATGACTTGCAAAACTTCATACATTAAAAGTTCATTGCCTAAGCATCAAACATACAATAGAGTTACCAACTAAGAAGATCTTGGTCAATGAATAAGCTTCAATAAAGAAGAAAAATGGGCGAGAAAAGAAAATGATATGTGCCCGTGCTTTCCAACAGATTTCCAACGTGATGACGCACAAGTCAGATGATGTTTAGCAAGAATAACAAAAGATATTTAGCTGTGCGCAATAGGATAAATCATATGAATAAAAGATTTTTTTGGAAATGAGAAATTTCACAATCGATTAACTAAAATGAATATAAAAACGATTATATTATTAATGAAATCAGAACGAAGAACAATAAGGCAGGTGGACACCCATAATAATAAGATAGAGCGTGCGTTAAAAGAGGGAGAAACAGTTAGCTATCTTCAAAGAGTTCATCAGAAAAGTGGTATTATTCACATCCATCAGATAAAGAGGCCCGCTACGCTCATGGACAGGACGCAGTTGAATAAAATGTGGTATTTATGGGTGGAGTAGAGAAAGGAACGGAAGTGAACAATCACGAATTCGTCTTCCTCATGAAGTATTCATTCTACTGCTTTGAGCACACGGTGCTGATCTGCTTTAGCTGCTTTTTTCAATCAGATAAACGTGATTCGTAACGACTTACAAAGAAGGAAAGTATGGGAAATGTGACACATGGGAGAGTCTAATAAAATCCAAAAAGAACATCCTATGAAGTTAAAAAGAAAAACACAATTATCCAAATCATATCAGTCTTCCTTGGAGTATAAAAATCTACGGATAATCTAACTCTGAGAAAATAGGATTATGAGAATGAGCTGTCCCATTACAGTGAAATTTGAAACTTTTGTCAAACGTGATGGCAGCGCAATGGCAATAATGTTCAGTCCAGAATCAGAACAACAGAACAGGGTCATGCTAGAATGATTTCTACGATACAATACAAAGAAATGAATCAAAACAAAATCTGGGTCAAACTTACTGATTTAGGGAAATATGCAACAATCAATGATCAATGGAAAAGGAAAACATGATTACTTTGGGGCATATTTCCTCTGTGTGAAGATTATCTGGTTCACATAATTTTTTTGGATCCACTGGGTCGGATTGCAATCCACAGAAGACAACCAAGATGAATCGCAATGCGAACTCTTGATCATATACACACAATTCTAACATTACTAACACAGTGTATCGTAAAAAACCACAATATCAAATTTACCTCAATCTCTCTCCAAAGGAATATGTACAATGGAAAATCTCGTTTATTCAATTGAAAACCACTTTGATGCGATTTATATCCAAGAGGACAAAGGAACTCACTAATAGAGCTAAAACATGATTACAACACTGAAACTTCCGGGACTAAAAGAGAACAATTGTGATTTTAAAAGTGGTATCGAGGATCATGGAACAAGATTTTTACCCAAAAAAGTGAAATCTAAATATCAGATGACCAAAAGAAGGTAACACATCAAAATCACCTTAAAACGTGACCCAATGGATGAAAATTTCGAAGACTTTGATGTTTCCATAGGCAGAGGTGGAAACAAGCCCGCTACAAATGGGCATTTAGAAACACTCAGTAAATCCTGATGTTCTGCAACAACATAGTCTTTGTTTTTGTCAAGAAATTGATCAGCCTGATATGTGACCTGAATGTTTAACCAAGAATATTAGGAGGCAATTACCACTATTTCAAAAAAGAATGAAACAAGAGAACAATACCATGCATAATTACCTCGCCTGCATAGTGACAGATGGTGAAATCAGTACGTGAGAGCTTGGGTTTCATAAAACGCTTATTGTTTTTAAATGTTTGGTACAACTTCTGAGAAAATGTCTCATGTGTTGACTTAGGAAACATGCTGCACATCAACGAGATAAAATGAGTAAAGATATGGATGGCAATAAACATATTTGTATTTCGTGAGAATTTTAAAACCATTTTTTGCAATAACTCAGAACGTAGAAGGACATTAGAACTAGATGTCACTTAAGGGGAAAAAAATCAACAACAAGAACAAATAGAGCATTAAACCACTTACCAGGCTTCATCTAGGAGTGAAATAATTCCACCAGGTTTCTGGAGCACGAGTATAATTTCCATTGTCAATGCAGAAATTAGTGAGTGAGTACACGTTGACCACCAAAAATAACAATAATACAAATATCTGGACAATCGATTATATGCATGCTGCATGATTGTGCACATACTAAGCATACATAAATGTAATTTATTGTATAGATTCGGTGATTATGCATATGGATCTGAAAAGGCAAAGTACCATATGCAATATTATCGTTTCCAAGGCCTTCTTTCTGGACAGATTTGAATGAAGTACTTGTAAAAGGAAACCTTTTGGAGAGCGAGTTAGATGAGTTATGTTTTTTACAAAAATTACGATTCAAAATTGCCTCCATGCGAGATAGTGCAGACCTCCGGTTCAGGAGCCGTCAAAGAGGAAATAGATTATTGATGGCAAATGGAGAACCAAAAGTTGACAAGGTAGGTTCCCTGTAAGAAGGAAATTACAGACACTTTCTCCAAGAAACTTCGAAGGTTGCTGTGGCCTGACCTTAAATTCAAATGAGTTATTCTGTCACCACCAGGTCACATTGAATCCTCAACATACTATAAATTCCTGGGACACTTTATCAGATATCAACTCCATACTGTTGAGATGAGGCTCATAGTAATGATGAATACACTACTTCCAGATAATCCTAGACCTTGGTTTTAAGAAAATGTGCAAGTTCAACCATTAAAGACGGCTATCAACCAAACCGTTCCTTGTTTATGTCCTAGCCCCTCAGTGATCTTACAGCACCATTGGGGTATCTCAAGTATCTTAACTGGACTAAGAAAAGAAGGTATCTATTGAAAAATATATCTTTGAAGCTCACCCTACAACATACAACATGCCAAAAAATCGTCATCTTGGTGACAAGGAGCCTGGTACTCAATCTGAAAAGGATGGGACATAATAATCTAGATGCAAACAGAGCTTACAGTGGTTATTAACTAAGAGTTACCTTAGGCTTTTGAATCAACACATTGGGTGGCATTGCAGCATGTCAAACCCCACTCCACAGGATATAAAAATTAATACAGGAGACAACTTAACCATGACACTCAAAAAGTGTTTTTCACTAGCGGAAAACGTTTTTTGCCAGAAACGTGCTATTTGATCAATAAATATGATAACACAGTATTCATCATATTTCCAGTCAAAGTAACAACAAAACAATTTAATACATGCCTTCTCAATCAGGTCGAGCACATCTTGGTTATCAACAAACTCAATGTAGCTCCAATTGATCTCCTCCTTTGTGTATTCTTCTTGTTCCGTTTTGAAAACTTGCTGCCATTTGGGATAATAAAAAGACAGCCATTTTTTAGAAAGGTTTTATTCATGGCAGATACTTTCAAAAGCAGATTAAGAAAAACCTAGGCAGATATAGATGAAATTAGCCGCAATTCAAACCTGGTTAAAGTGCTGTTGAAGCTTCTCATTCGTGAAATTGATACAGAATTGTTCGAAGCTGTTGCATAAAACAGTGTGAAAATAAATCAATGAATAATGTAGCACCAATGATTATCATCATATTAAAAACTTCTCCAGCCAGCAGCATACCTATTACTTTTGAAACTTTCAAAACCATAGATATCAAGAACTCCAATCAGTGACTTTGAGTTTGGGTCCTGACCAATAGAAATATTAATTTTATCCACCAACCTGAAGAAATAACGATCATAATTAACAACGAAGTTGTCAGGCAGAACGTGACATTCAGGACAAGTTTAAACAATCAAAATATCGTTACCAGTCAAACAGACGAGAATATATAGTTTTGGCTAAACCATCACGGCTGACAATAGCAGAAGCAGGATCAAGGGTCCTTGTGATAACTTCTTCAGGTGTCACCATCACACGTCTAATCAGTGCATCCTCTAGACTCTGGGCATCACACCTGTCATAGTGCACAACAAAAAAAAATTGTGAAAGGCGAACCCAAAAAAATTAGAGGATGGTCAAGAGTTAGATATGGTGGAAAGAAGCTGACATACATAAGAAGTTCAGCTGTCATGTTGAGATGGAATCTTGACTTCTCATCTTTAATGACAGAAGAATCAATTTCCTCCCCCTTAGCAAAGTTTATATTTCCGATGTGAAGTATTGCAGCAACAACTCTAAATATGGCCTCCTGAAAATGAACGATTGTTGAATTGCACTGAAAAAGATACTTCTGCATGGGAATACAGTTATTTTATTGAATTTAAAAAGAAAAACACAAGACAGGCCTGTTCTTCTTCATTGATTCCAACTATATCCATGGCCCTTCTGATAGCAAGATATTCATGCGCATCGTCCAATCCATCCAGCTTGTAGCATTTAGATTGGTTGAGATAGTGGAAGGATTCAGGGTTTCCCAACTTATACTTTTCAATGTCCTTCCAAATGAAACACAGTTTCAAAATAAATCAATTTTAGCGAACAATATTGATATGAAATTTAAAAAAACGGCAAGAAAGAGCAAGACAAGAATTAAAATGACAGATAAGAGCTTAAAAAGTATATTACCTCTCGAGGGGCAGCACAAAGTAGGTAGAAACAATGATAGTTTCTCTCAGGATCGTTAATTTGGCAAACACGAGATCTTTCAAGCAAGTATGTCCTAATAGCCGCCCCAGATATCCTCCCATTCTTGTCAAACTGAATCTCAACGAACTTCCCAAAACGACTTTAACATATATCCATCATAGATAAGATAAAATTGTGTTATTAGTTGTATGGAAGAGAGACGTGAGAAAGCAGATACTTGAAGGCGCAAGGAAAAAATAGAAACCTACCTAGAATTGTTGTTTCGGACAGTTTTTGCATTCCCAAATGCTTCAAGAACCGGGTTGGACTATGATATCATAGAAAATGAATTATCCAAAATGAAAAGTATTTAAAAAATCAGAATTCATACAAAAAGAGCCCTCAAAAGGTTCATTAGACTTACTTCAAGAACTTGTTGTTCAACGGTCCTTCCTTCTACTCCAGATCGCCCACCCAAGAATGCAAGATATCTCATGATCATTTTTGTTGTTTCCGTTTTACCAGCACCACTTTCTCCACTGACTAAAATGGAGTTACTTTTACCCTCATTTATCATAGCCCTGATATGATTGTATAAAGAAATCAAAAACTATAATAGAAAATATATAGAAATGACTCATAAAATCGCAATTACCTGTATGCAACATCTGCAACAGCAAAAACATGAGGACTCAATTCCCCAAATCCTGCCCCGTTATATTGTTCCATCATATGAGTATCATAAAGATGTGGCAATCTTTGGAAAGGGTTCACGGCAATCAAAATATTCCCAGTGTACGTCTATAAATGCAAAATACAGCAGTTAGAAAACATAACACAAATTATGGAGTCACAAATACAAATTCGAATTCGAAGAAAACTGAGTAGTTACATATATTTCATTCAGCTCATATCTAGTTGCCAGGTTTTGCAGCACTCCAGGTTCATGAAGGTAGGACAGTTTCGTCATGTCATCCACTCCTCCAGGCGGAGCTTCTGTATCCTCGGGAAACACCTTTGATATATTTGCAGTAATCTGTCCAAGCAGCCAGATAAAAAAAACGAAGCAAACATCGTGAATAAAACAAGTTTTCTATTGTTTACAAAGATGGATTGAAAATTCTTAAATGACAGAAGAGTACCCAAGAAATTTCTGTATACAGGAGCATAAACTTTTTGGATACCAACAAACACACAATCACTTTAGAATAGTCCAGTTCAATAAAACTGAGGTCCGAAGAACAGAAGCAAGGCCAAGCTTCAACCCAGGGGACTAGAATAAGAGTGAGAGTTGAATTCAACAGTATAAATAAAATGGAGAGTAACTTTTCTTAAACTTCACAGTTTATAAGGAAAAAGGAATGAATTGGAGGTACATTTTGATGCGAAAATTAATGCACCGGCGAAAAGGGACAGAAAACCAGCGGGCAGCATGGTCGGTAGTTCTAATCCGCCAACTGATTGATCTGAAAGGCAGAATCACTTGCTTTCTCGTGTAATGACATTGAAGGTGTCATCATACTTTTTTATTATTTGCCATCACCCAGGATCATTTAAGGCAGCAGAGAAGCCAGTAACAAAAGCACTAAAAGTGGAAAGAAATAGGGACCAATAAAAATTTCCAAGAATGAAGACCTTTATGAGGGTAGATACACTGTTATGTCAACGAAACTTTGAAACACAAGGGAACTATTATTTTATATTGTATATAACAGTCTTTCATCTTAATAGTTCAGCCCAAGGATACTGCACCGATAAATAGCCTTTGTCTTCGCCCACCGAATCTAGGAGCTGACCCCCATACCTCAGGCCAGAAATTAATGAATGTCACCAGCTTGAAATTGCTAAAAGGCCGAATGTAATATCCACAGAAAACTTCTATGGAAAGAAACAAATTTTTTAATACATGGAATTAGAAAATGAATGTCAAATACTAGGAAACAACTGGCATATGAGAGAAGATGTAAAAAGGGAAAGCCTTGGATACATCTACTTTTGACTCAAACCAAATGGATTATACTGCTATCAAGCTACGTGAATGTAAAAACTTCAGATAACACACAAACTATCAATTCCACAGGAAAAGAAAATGCTGAGTTATTTTGCCTGTATCACAAAAAGATGAAATGCCATTCACAAACTAGACCACGTCAGGGAAGAACGTAACTAGACAAATAGGCTCAATCCTATAATTCCAACAATCTATGGCTTCTTGAAGATTATATTGAAAAAAAAAAAAGGAAAGCCTGAAGTGAGGATGTATTACCGTTTTTCCAGTGGTAGTCCGTACATGTACTTCATTACCACTAATTCGAAAAACCTCGCCATTAATCCAAGCCGATTTTGGATCTTCAACCCACACATGTGAGGCAACGGCTATGTTGACAGAGGTTGCCTGTATAGAATGATCAATCAAAAACAGAAACAAATTATGTTTGATTATATGAATTACCGTTTTCTAAAAAAAAGTGCCATCTTTATTAATTTTGCTTTAAAACCTTGTAGTCTAAATTTAGAGAAAGAGAGCATAAAATAAAAAGTGGACAGCATAGAAAATGACGGTCATGCTTTGACTATTCTTAGTGTCATTCATGCAAACCAATAAAGTGGAGGCAAAACTCCAATGTTCATGTGGTCTTACTGCATTCTAGTATCAGACTAGAAAGCAACGGTCAGCTAAAATGGCATGTCAGGGTAAGGGACACATAATAGTGATCCAAATTGCCAGATCAGAAAATTGATGTCAGGGTAAAACACATCAATAGCTGAATATTAGTCAGCTACAATAATCATTGGAGTTGAGTGCTTTGGTCTGAAGTAGTTCTTTTCCATAATTAAATTCTAAACCAGCACGAATCCATACACCATCCCATTATAACGGCATCTGATAAAAGGTCATGAAGTTATCCTCAATACTGTCTTAATTTTCTTCAAGTTGATAACGACTGGCCAAATATTTTATTCACTTCAAAATGATCATCAGTCTAATATCAGGGAAGATCACCACAATTGAACCCAATAATGGCTCCTTCCTGTACAATATCATGATGTCTGAATCAATTCAACAAATATCTAATCCATTGGACATAAAAACATAAAGTACACGTTGGTCAACAGTTAAACTGACAGTTTGAATTTCATACTTTCCAAAAAAAATGAAGGATTTAACACAGCCGATTCACTCTTTCGTCTATTTATTATAAGTAACGAAACGATTTAGAACGATGCATATGATGTCAAATCCTGATTTCCTTTTCGTATTCAATCATATTTTAGCAGAATTCAAGCAACGCATATTTCTATCCCGTTCTGGTCAACATCAAATGTCATGAATGAGCTAATTCTGATTCAAACTTAAAAATAGCACCGTTATTTTCCCATTTCTCCTTATATTGGTAACTTTATAATCGATACCGTTAACAGCTTAGTGGTCGTCATTCCTACACATCTGATCTATAGAAGGCAAACCAGAAGATGGATCATTTGGGTTAGGTCATTCATCTGCACCTCGTTTACCTTTGACCAAACCAAGCAGCAATCCCTGATGGTTGACACACAGCAAACTAAGTGGCAGCGGAGAATTAAAACTTGCACGCAGTCTTAGCAAGCATTTGTTGCTTACAGCAGCCTGTAAGCTGAAAAACATTCGTTCTCCAAAAATGCAGATTCTTCGTCGCTCTTAATGGTCTACAAGGTCAAACAAGGGATAATCCACCAAATCTTCCAGTACTTCTTCTCAATCGAACGTCAGTTCTACTATAGCAATAAGTCATTCAATCAGACACATATGCCATTGTGTTTAACGTGTGGAACACGATCTAACAAGTTTGGAAAGAAAAAAAAAAATCCTGAATTTCATAGGCGATGAAATTTTCAAGGAAAAACCGTGTTTAAAAGACTCTTATCACCACCATATATACGATATGAATATTATCCATAAAAAGAACAAAGTGATAACATGAAAGTAGTCCTCCCGTGGTAGATCCTCCTCATCAAAATGCTAACGTTAATAACATGGGGTTTCCCACGCCAAGCTACAACCCAATGGCTCTGCAACATTATGACGACCTGACTTTGCTAAAAATCAGCATCACTTCTTTCATAATCAGTGCCACATGTTTTCCTCAAACATTGCAATGACGAATCTATTTGCAATCTCTCCTTCTCCTCGAGTTTTTTCCGACAATTTATTGCTACCCCGTCCCAATATTCCGTGTAAAATATATGTAGATATCTATATATATATATATATATATATGAGTATTCACTAAGCGTTGGGCTATCACGCCACTTGTCTCCCTGGAATAATGTTTTTTGTGCAGAAATTCCACAGTTCTTTGCTCGGAGCCTCGAAAATATAGACAGGTCACTACTTACATGGACACCATGTATCCCAAAGCGAATGACTACCATGTCGGCCGTATGCTCTTGCAATGAACATTAACTACATAATTCATTTTTCCAGTACGTCAAATTAATTGATTTTCAGCAGCATGCTGATTTTCCTGCCCATAAGTTAAATTAGTGGCATACCAACGAAAGAGTGTTTCACTGTTAATCTGCTATTCATCGAATGGCGCACAAATTCCTGTATCGTGCGAGTAACATCCACAATACTCCAAGAGCCATCAAGCTGATACCGAGCTCCCTTACGAATAGTGTATTTAAACAGAATCTGCTAGAGCCATTCTGAACCTCCACGGGAAGCAGAACCAAACCAATGTTCGCATAACCATAACTGTAACTATAGAGCGAAAGAGAGATGGAAGCACAGAGATTGAATTCCGAACCATAGGTCATCCGAGCAAGGCGTCTCCAATCCGGATCAGAGGTGCATAACGCAGGATGGAGGAATCGCAGACTCCCGCGGCAGGGGATCACAGAGAGCAACCAAAAAAAGCACACGGACGGCGCGCCCGTGGATTCGCGGAGAATTCCGGCGGAAGACTCTCCTCGCCGCGTTGTCTCCTCGTCTTCTACGCACCCATCCCCTCTTTCTCTCTCCTCCCCCCACTCATCTCCATATTTTTATGTAGTCCTTACTTCCTACTGCCTCATCTGCCTTCGCAAAACTTGCCCGCCCCTCCTCCCCCGCTGGTACAATCAGACGGGCGGGACCCACCACGGCCGTCTCCTCCCCCTTCTGAGGCTACCTCCGCTTCCACGACTCCTCCATAGAGGGTCTTTCTGTAATAAGTCATAAATACTAGCCCAAAAAAGTATATACCAATAATTACATAATTTTTAAAAAAATCTGACCTGGCTCGGAGTCGAAAGTTCAGGCAAGGAAAACGGACCGCTCTGACGCAAATGACCTAAATACCCCCTTCTCAGCAGTAGAATAAAGTACGGCACCGGATCCCTCGGGACAGCTGGCGGCTCGTCCTTCCTCGAACGAGCGTGAGGACTGGTCGCCGCTGTCCAAGACGTGACAAAGTTTTCCGATCGCTGATAAAATATCTGAAATGCCCTCATCCAGTTGCCCCGTGGTTCTTACCGACACGTCATTGCGAAAGGCCCCCCACTTCCTCTCTCCTGGGCCTCAGCATGTCGCGTGAGCGTGTGTACGTCGATTCCCCCTCTGATTAGGAGTCCACCATAAATTATCACAATTATTAATTAATTCGGAGTGTCAACCGGGGCCGTCGGCCCATCCCAGCCGCCTTAATGGGCCCAGAGAAAACCAGGCCCAATTAACATGCCCAAGAATAGAAAGGGAAGGAACTAGACCTGATCGAGAAGATTAGTACCGACCAATTAATTCGAGATCATTGGGAATAAACACGGGGCCATAACCGGGACCGATTCAGTCGGTCACCTGGGAGGACCGGGGAGCAAGTCCATGGCGGCCGAAGGCATTCTGGGGAGGATGATGTTAGGGTTTCTGGTGGGCGGGCTGAGGGCCGCCAGCTCTCTCCACTGGCCCCCAGCGGGGTGAAGACGCTTCGAGATGCTCCAGAGAGTGTCGCCGCCGCCGGCGAGAGGGCTGGTCGCCGGAGAAGAGGACCCAGTCCCCGCCGCCGCCCTTAGCTTCGTGAGCGGGTGCTTCCCGCTCCTCCCCATTCCGCTGGCGAGTAGCCATCGCGAACCGGACTGTTGCTGCAGAGAACTCGCCCAGAATCTCCTCCCACGGGGATCATCGGTCTTCACCCCCGCGACATGCACGTCGGTGATCTTGAACCGAGGAGCAGCGGCGCCTCGGTCTTCCTCGTCTTCCTCTTCGTCACCCTTCTCCTGGTTATCAGATGAATTGATGATTTCCATATCGGGTTCTTCACCTGGGGCACCGTTTTTCACAGGGTCGGAGGCCACCCGCTCGACTTGGATTAAGGCGAGCATGGGGGCGCCCACTGGCTCGTGGTTCCGGGAGGGATCTCGAAGCTGCACCATCAGAGCCACAGTGAGGTTGTTCCCCAGACAACCCCTTTTTCTCCCGGAGTTCTTTCCCTCCCACCGTCCGGCTGCCAATTCTGGAAGGTTTCCATGGTGGGCGGCGAGGACCTTCGAGGTTCTATCGCTGATCAGATCCTCTGCGTCGATCATTCCCGAGTCCAGCTTCATCCATTCATCCAGAGTGATCGCGAGACACATCAATCCGTCAGCGTCATCTCCCTTGGCTCTGACATCCAGAAGCTGCAACCCTGCAGCAACTTCTTGGCCTCCTCGTCCTTTGAAAGCGGAAATCTCACCAGGCGTCAGGTAGATGACGCTCGAAGGAACGTCCTCGTCGGACGTTCCTGATTGTATCCTCAGTCCTTCGATCGAGAGAGCTTCAAGTTTTTCCATGGCCGAGGGCGCAAGGTCTTCCAGAGAGACACAATCAGATGAACAAGTGTATGAAATTCCTCCCGTCTTCCTCTTCCCGGCCGCACCTGCGTCAAACCCAAACCAGCCATTCTCTCTGAAACACAAACAGAAGCGCATGAGAAAAACGAAGATCAAAAGGAAGACACAAACCCCATGGAAAAAGGTCAGCAAACCTCTCAAATGCGAGCTGTTGCATCGTCTTCCCGGCAACATCTTCCAAGGGCATCACCATCCTGGCCTGCATCGAGAGCTTCTCGATCCCCATCGAGCCCAGAGACTGCAAGATCTCCATGACGCCAGAACCCATCTCAGCCGGCACCACCACGGGGCACGACACCTGCATGATCAGACTCCCGCAGTTCTTGGAGAACCTGAAGATCAACGGGTCCATAGACCGCAAGAACCCCCCATCTTTCGTCCGAACAAGATGACCTAATCCATCGCCGAGCGGGGGCAGCTCGAGAGGATCATCGGGGGGCAATTCTATGGGGCTCCCGAAACCAGTCGGGCTGCCAGGCGGTGTGTGCTGGAAGGCCCGCTCGTTCAAACCCAGTTCACGCATTAGGGCTTCTGCCTCAGCGTCCTCCAGCATTTTGGCCCTTGCCCTGCTCTTCATCGCCTGAGATTCTCTCTGGTGCTCTCTCTCAGCGGCGTTGACTATTGATGACAGATCGAAGTCGTCGTCGAAATCCTTCCAGTCCATTTCTTTCTCCTTCTCCATCATGCCAAGATCAAAGATGTCCTCCGTGTTCGCTAGAGATTCCTGCCTGAACTGTTTCCACAATCGCCCCCTCGGTGACTCTGGGTCGCTGTCAGAGCTCAATCCGGATGGGCTACGGTCTAGCCCGAGCACACGCAAGAACTCGCTGGCGACCGACTCCGTTGCGTCGTCCAAGCTGAGGGACTGCTCCGCTTTCCCTACCCTGCAGTTCGATTCGATCTCGTACAGATGATATTGCTCGGGTGACCGGGCCTCTGATTTGGATGATTCCCAAACCACTGGTTCGAGGATCGAGAGATTCTGGAAGGCAGAGCTTAACTCGTCAAAATCTGGTTCGGTAGAAGCCATGGCTCTGCTCCCTGCGTGGCTGAGCTCAGATTCCTCCGGCTCAAGTCTGAGCGACTTCCCGATTTCGATCAGCTCATCATTCCCAGCAGCAATCTCATCCGGGGGATGTTGCCTTTCTCCCTCATCAAAGCCCCTCCCGTCCTCGTGCTTCACCATATCATCGTGGATTTTGATCACATCCTTGGTGACAATCTCGATTCCTTGCTCGATCACGGTAAACTCTGGATCAAGAAACTCATCTAGGTCCGACTTCATCGGATGTGGCATCCCATCAGTCCTTGAGACGGCCGATTCGTCTTCTTGTGTCAGAGCTTTGAGCTCGGGCTTCGAGCAGTCATCGGAATTTCTATCGACGGAGAGCTCCTCGACATGAACAGAAGCTGGAAAGATCTCGTGAAGAACTTTGACGTCGTCCACAGATTGCGGGAGAAGAAGCAACCGACCTCTAGATTCATGGCTTGGAGCCGGAAGACTTCCCACTCTCCTCAAGCCGCTCTCCCGGTCAACCCCGTCCAGCGGAGGCTCTGGCACCCTGTCATGCCCGCTCCCGTCCAGGAGATTGAACCCGAAGCTGACATTGAGCAATCCACCCCTCGCCTGTCCTGAGAGCTTGAACGTGGTGCTCCACCTGCCGGAGCTCTCCTTCTCCAGCTCCTCCAGTGTCAGCGGCAGCAGCCGCGTGAGATCCATGCGATGCTCCCCGAGGTCCAAGCCCGGCGCCCCCACCGCCGCCGCGAACAGCACATAGGGCTTCGCCTCGTACCTGGCCGCGTGATGGAGACCACCGCTCCTGCTCCCGTACACTGCGCATCGGTGTTCTAGGGTCTCCTCGAACTCGGCGGCGCCATGGGAGACCAAGGCGGAGCGGGTACGGAGACCGATCTCCGCGGCGGCATCGCGTCTCCATTGGACGCACAGCCTGGAGTTGTCGAAGGTGGGAGGGAGCCCCTCTACCGTGTGGACTTGCAGGGTGAATCGGCAATCGAACCTGCGGTGGCGGATGTGGGAGAGCGCCCTGAGGGGCTTCCAGTTCCAGATCGACGAGGAACTCGATGATATCGACGACGACGGCCTCTTCTCCTTCGTCGTCGTCGTCGTCGGCGGCGGCGGCGGCGGCGGAAGATCCCTCTTCGGTCCCTCAGACTTCCATCGGGCCTCGGGGAGGTAAGATCCGCCGGCAGAAAGGGAGTGGCGGCGGACCGAGGCGGCGGGTTTCTTGACGAGGGCGAGGGCCTTGCTGAGGGATTCTATGTCGTCAAGCAGGCGGCCGCTGCTTCTGGATTCCTCCTCCTCCGGCGAGCCTTCCTTCTCCCGCTCCGGCTTCCGCAGCATGGCGGCGCCCTTGTTCCCCGCAATCAACGCGACTCCCCTCTCTTCCTGGAAGAAGAAATTCTCTGAAAAAATTCAAGACCTACTCGGAACCAAGAAATGCGATCTCCGCGAGCTCGGAGACTCCGCCGCCGAATCGGCTCCTGCTGCACCGACGAGTGAACGGAGAGAAGAACAGGCGGCGGAAGTTGCCGCCGCCGGCAAGTATCCTCTGAAGACTACCGCGCTTTTTTTACCACACAAGCGTGCCGAAGAACAGAGACTGGCACTCGCTACTGAACGGATAAAGTAATAATTACTTAATTAATTAATTACCCTTTTTCATTTTCCCATTCGGAGAGAAGGTTGGGGAAAATAAGATACTCCCGCGGGGAAGAGGTGCATCTCACTCCGATCAGTGTGGGCCCAACTGTATTTCAACAATTATTGACCTATCCATAGATAACCAACATTAAAAAAATTAATAATTTAGATTATATTAATTAATTACAGGCGGCGGGTACAGGACAAATAGACCTGGAGGATTATTATGAGGGCATATCGAGAGATGCGTTCGGGGGGGGTGCTAATAACTCCGCGGGGCATGGGACCGGAAGCCGCGTTTATTCTAGAGAGTAATGGAAGCTTCTTTTGGAAACAGCTAGAAACCCCCGGATAGTTCCACGCTGCTGTCGGTTCACTATATAGTCTCTACACCTCGTCCATATTCTGCCATCGATCAAAGGCAGTGTAAATCGAGAGCTAGCAACGTCGCAATCCTCGGAGGCGATCGCTGCGAGTCGTTGTCGGAAAGCGGAGGAGCAATGGACGTGAGGATGTTCGGCCTGGATAACCCCCTGATCTCGACGCTGCATCATCTGATGGACATCCCGGAGGAGATGGAGAAGGCCTTCAATGCGCCCACGCGGACGTACGTCCGCGACGCCAAGGCCATGGCCTCCACCCCCGCCGACGTGAAGGAGTACCCTAAGTCCTACGTCTTCATCATCGACATGCCGGGGCTCAAGTCTGGCGACATCAAGGTCCAGGTGGAGGACGACAACCTTCTGGTCATCAGCGGGGAGCGCAAGCGCGAGGACGATAAGGAAGGGAAGTACATGCGCATGGAGAGGAGAGTTGGCAAGTTCATGAGGAAGTTCTCGCTGCCGGAGAACACCAACACCAACGCCATCTCCGCCGTTTGCCAGGACGGCGTGCTCACCGTCTCCGTGGAGAAGCTTCCTCCGCCGGAGCCCAAGAAACCGAAGACTATTGAGGTCAAGGTCGCCTAATCCTCGCCTTCTAGTACGATCCGGTAGAGGTCTCGTCTTTCAGTATGCTTCCCTCTCATTCTGCCTGTGTTTGATCTTCTTCTGTCGCTACTCTTCCTCATTTGCCGTCTATCCCAATAGCATCTCCTCCGAGAGGGCTTTCGTTAATCCCACGGACAAGATCATTGTACAGCCCCTCTCCTCCGTCTCGTTGTTGACTTTCTAATGTTCAAGGAAGATCACTACTAGTACGAATCCCCATCGTTCGTTGCACTTCTACTCTCTCTCGAAGGATGTCCGACGATGCCTGAAATTATTCTCTAACACTTGAAATGTCGTGTGATCTACACGATTTTGTATGAGCGACAATGGCGGTGCATGATCAGTTGAGAAGATCACAACATACGACAACGAGAGCAGATAAAATTATGTTCGGGAGGATTTCGCACAGATGCAGTTAATAATGCCGGAAAATTTCTCCGAAACTATAGTCGGTGAAGTCTGCCAAAATTTTTGCCCCAACTTCCAGGCTAGTAGTTTGATTCAGAGACCACCACCAGCATACCCGTGAAAAAATTGCAGGTCCAACGGTGTTCATTATCCGAGAGAAGTTCCACCGGGGGTCGACTTTCAGAAGCCCGATTCTCTCAATTCCAATCCTGAAACAAACACCAGCAGCTTTTAATCTGAATCCAACGTGCTTTCTCTATGAGATTTGGATCCTTTTTACTTGACGATTCAGCCATGATTCCCTAAAATCAGAGGACCATTGTACCTAAGCTCATCTACTCCGGTGCTTCGCCACTCTCCTCCGGATCATCTGCAAATGCATAGATAGTAGACGCGCTCTTGGGAATGGACACTGTATGAACCTTCTCCTACCCAGCTTCCTCCTGGTAGGATCCACCGGCTTGTTCTGACCATCTTCAGTTTCTTCTGTAGGCCTATCAGCATCAGTTTCCCTCACGAAGAGCGCGATGAAGAAACCGTCCATGCCGTCTCCCTCATCTGTTCGGACTAGGTGTTCAGCTGAAGAGAGAACCAGAAGGGGAGGAGAACGACGTCAGGGTTGCAGAGAGTGAAGATCGAGGAGGATGATGGAGTCTGTGAAGCACTTACAACCATCAAAGACTGGGAAACCACGACGAGGCCACTCTGGGAAGGGAGCCGCCAGTCGGAAACCGAGGGACGATGCCAGGGGAAGAACTGAGCAGACCACATCTTCGTTCTCCGCTTGGAAGATGGAGCAGGTGCTGTAGACTACTCTCTCAACAGCAGGAACTGTAAATTATAGAGGAGAGAAACAAAAAATCTTAGCTAGAAACCTACAGTATTGCCTTTTAACTAAGAACACAGAAAATCCAGGCTTTCTGATCTTACAGGACAGAGCATGCGCGAGGGCCTTCCTTTGGAAAGCTGCGAGCTTCTTCACTCTCTCACTGCTGGCGGTGGCAACCTCACGATCTACAGCAGAGAAGAGGCGGAACTCCAGTCAGCAGAGTTCATCACAGAAAAGCGAGGTACACCGAATTGGTTCCCCTCCCTCACCCGTGCTTCCCTGATTGCCACTCCACAGAGCCAAGAGATTACAATTCATGATATTCGGACATTGAATGTGTTTTATGCACCTCTAATGTAGGATGGGAGCAGATGATCCAGCCTCTCCGTGGACGTTCCAGAGCCAGAACACGAAGGGTCCAAGAGAATAGCGTTGACCTGAACAAGGGACTGGATTTCAGAAACTGCACAAGAAGAACATGACTTGGAAGATAAACCTTGGCTCTGTCTCATGTCAACTCCTTAATTTCACTATGGTTTTCTTCTTTTCATATTTAACACTGATACAAAAATAGCAAGAAGGCCAACATTGCCATCCTTTTCAATGTTTGACTATTCGGTGAATAAGATGCTACTCTCTCTCTCTCTCTCTCTCTCTCTCTCTCTCTCTCCATTGTTCTTGCTCAATGTAGCCCCACGCAAGGCCCTGTCTTCATCCAGTTCTCTAGTAATGCCAACACTCTAGGTGCTATTTTCCTCTGATTTTTCTTCAATGTTTCATCTTCTCACTAATCGGGCTGTTTCTTCCATCTTGTTCCCTCGCTGGTGCGACTATTCTTGATCCTTTACTGTTCTCTCAGTTTTTTTCCCGGCCCAGTCTTTGAAACGCAAATGCAAACTCAATATAAAGATTTCAGGAAGAAAAAAAAATCTCAGTAATTTGCACGCAAGCAAAGATCAATTAAGTTTCTAGAAAAAAGGCTACATACCTCAGAAAATAGTGGGCCCATGGGGTTGATTTCCAGAAAGTCTCCGTGAATAATGTCAACGTCTATAAATCAGCTAAGGTCTACCAGTACCAGCACAAGTCAACTCTACAACATATTATTTTCCAAGAAAAAATTTAAAAAATCATAAATCCAAGGCCAGCAATGCCAGATAGAAATGAGAAAATGAGAAAACCCGACAGATAAACACCCTTGCATCAAAATTTAAAATAAATATACCAAAAAAGAATTATATGAAGCAAAAAAAAGAAGAAGAAGATCATTTATATGCAGAAAAAATGGGTTTTTAACGCTGATTTAAGTAGCAGGAATGAACAGAGACGGGTAATCAGGGGTCAAACTAGAAGATGAACAGCCGCCGACTGTGGGCTCTCAAGAAAAGAAACGGATACTGGTAGCTCCAGAACGTCTGACGGTTGACTCCAGGTTTCTGATCCTCCCTTCATTCAGTTCGCAGGCTATGACTTCGCCGGTCCCCCTCATGAGTGCGGCGAGCTGAATGGTTTTGTTTCCTGGGGCGGAACAGGCATCAAGAACCTTTACGAATCAGTGAGAAATCAAGTGAGAGGATGCCCATAACAGATAGTCAATCGATACGCAGACACATCATGCACACATCGTACGCGAACAAGCGGTGATGAGCAGATTGCGTATTTTATTTATTAATTTACATAATATTTCTCAAATATAAAATGATGATGATGCAAACACTAAAAATTGCCAATTTCAGTAAACATCGTGGCTTCATCCTCAAAGTGACGTAAATATTTCCAATATACATAAAATTCATAAGCGTCGAGGACCCTGGAGGGTTAGTTGCGTAGGCCACAGCATGGAAACCAAGGCTGACATTACCAAGAATAGCAAAAGAATCATTCATAACCCGGTGAATTACTCCCAGTTTTCTCTCTTGAGACATTGATATCCACGAATTAAACATTATTTTAGCTTCTGCATCTTGCTTGAAAAAACCATCATTAACTGAAGGGGAAGCTGCAATTGGTTAAAAGTGTCAACATCAAACTCCTTTTATAGTAGCAGATTAAATGACACGTAATAAGGATTGCAGAAAAAAACCGTTCAAAAAAAATATGAATAGAGTATGTTAGGCAAGACAAACGTTGTGGAGCCAGCCATTTAAGCGGGTGGGTGTTCAAACGTTGGCAATGCACTGAGCTGAGCTCTTTCATCTAGGAGAAGGCCAAAGGCTGCCAAAACGTAGTTCAGGTGTGCCTTCTTCGAGGTAGGCAGTAACTTAGTCCATAGATTTAGCCCAAGTAGACGTGTTACCAGGGTCCCTCTACAGGAACCACCCTTGGTAACAACACGGCGGCACACTCGGCAGAAGGGCATGGCGCGCATGGCGGAGCAGAAGACAGCACCAGTGAGCGCCAGCATGACACCCGCACCTGTCGGCACAACACCCGCGCGTATAACTCACCTTTGGTTATCAAGAATATTCATATTGGTCATACGTGGACTCATTGAGGATCGGATCACCCAGCACCCAACAAGGATTTCGTGCAGAGCAGCCAACTCCTTTGTTACAAGATGCATTCCCTGCCTAAATTGGCAATGCCAATGCCCATTTGTCTTCCCACTGCTCACCCGATCAACCCCTCTCCTATTCATAATCAAATCATTTATATATATATATATATATATATATATATATATTTGGAGAATCTAAAACATTCATCTCACAACAACCCAATAATTTTAAATGGTCGTTACTGAAGATTATCAGAATCATTGAGAAAGTTTCCTTTGAGAAAAGGTAACAAGAAAACACCAACTAAAAGACTAGGTGCCAAAGGCATTGCAAAGATATCATAGGATCTTTGGCGCCAAAAAAGTTTGGTAAAAACCAAGGGTTGAGCTTAAACAGAAAAAATAAATTAATAGGGGACGAAAATATTACCATAACACACTCTATACAATAAGAAAAAGCACTTAATGATAAATTTCAATTTACCTTCCATCCTGATTTAGGCATTAGGGCCGTTGCTGCCATAGAACTCGATTTTCCCTGGACCAAAAGAAAAGACTTAGTATAAGCGTTTATGAAGCTTTTATTGACTTCGTTACATCATCGATTCAGGAAGAACTGAATGGTATGCCTATATAATTTAATCAACCAAAGATGCACCACCATCTGTCATTCGTATAAGCATTGACCCATCCCCTCTATATCTTACAACAGCAAGAAAAATTTCAACAGGAACTGAAAACCATAGCCGTTTCAATGTCTCTGTTGTGCTTATAGATAGTGATAGCGCATATATAAGTGATATGAACTCCCACCCAACGCTACTGCTCTTAGAAAAAGTCATAATTCGTTAGTTTCCGGGTCCTGCTGCTATCTGAATCTGATTTGCAGTCCAAACATTGAGGGCAAGGGACAACGGGGAACTTCTTTTGAGGATGTATTTTGCAGCAGTCCAGGGTAGGTGAAGGGGTAGTTGATTAGCTGGCAGTGAATGTCGGAAGGGGAACATGTAGAGGATATGATGTTTCTATTTTGATCAAGTTCCAATGAAGAAAATTTATCATTTTTACCGTTTATTTGGTCCTGCTGATCTTCTGGATCTAAAATCGTATATTTCACTATCTCCCTATATTTGTACCCTTTTATGCTAAAATGGCAGATGCCCTCAGACACAAACACAAGGACAAGCATCTTTAGTTGGGTGTGTCATACACGCCTAAATTGATATTATCTTGCACACTAACATGGTTATTCCGACTTCCACCTCCTTGATATCTTATAAAGACATCGGAGAGAAGGAGAAAAGGAAACACCACCACAGAATTATAGTGTTAGAACTTAAATTTAAGGTTTAAACACTGTAACGCCGCTTACTTGCAGAAAGACGCTCCCATTCTTCACCAGTGGATGATCGTGCAAGTCAGTACCAGGTGGAAGAACTAGTAAATCAGGGACCATGTCATCTTTTTTCACCTACCCAAATCAGAAAACGTTACCAAATGAAGGAAGATTGAAAATATGTCAACTCCGAAATTCTTTGAGCTCAAGATCTTGTGTAACTACAGGCAGGCATAATAAAACAGCAAAGAAACGCCAACAAATTTAGAGATACCAGTCCCATAAGACCAGATTAAGCCATCAAACTGCCATGCGCTAAACAAAAAACGATCGGGAATACACATGGGATGTTCAAAATATTTTGACTCTAAGGTAGTAGAGCACGATAAATGACAGAAAGCAGCTTTACTCTCATAAGTTGACAACTTTTGCATTCTCGTTAGTGAAAATTTGGCCCAGAACCAGAACCCTAATGTGTGAGGTCAAGGGCACAGCCGCTCTTTGGCCATTCCCCACCAGCAAATATCACATTCATATTGACATGGCTAATCTAGTATTTTTCTTCAAAGTTTCTACATCTCATCACGAGAGCTCCTTTCCAACATCAGTAAGCTTGGACGTGGTTACTACTCAGGATCAGAAAAATCTACTCGTAAATAGTCTAAAGGATAACTCATCTTAAAATGGCAAAAAAATCGATCCGGCTCAGACAAGTCGAATAGAGAGTACAAGACAAGAAAAAAATGGTATCAACCAATCAAATGCAAACTTTAAACAATCTAATACATTCAGAGTATCATCCCATTCCTGTGATGTAATAACCATCAACGGAAGGTATCAAAAAACGTCGGATGGAAAGTTTAGACTCCCTATATTTCTGAATCCATTAAAAGCATTATCTTCCTATCCTAATTCCGTCAAATGATCCACCCTCCAAATAATTTGTCTACTTTGAGCCGAGATCTTGCTTAACTGGCAAAAAGAGCCAGTTAATCAACACCCTTTCATTTTTAGGATGGAAAACCATCACCTCAAGATCCAGTTAATGTAAAACAAAAAAATCCCTCTTGTCGCAAATCCGACTTTAAATTCTGAAACATACGATGGAAAAATATTTCAACAAATAGATACCTTAATACGTAAAAAATGAACTCACGTCAACTGCATTGAATCAACAGGATAAATGATATCAAGTGATACGTACCGCATATTCTTTATCTAGTGCCACTATGGCAGAGTCAACGTCAAGTTTTAGGGTATTTACACGGACATATCGAGGTTTAGTAGGCCCTACAAGAAGAATTTTAGGAATGTAAATTCTACAACTGAACATCAATAAATGGCACTCTGTAAACTAAGGTGCTTTGATGAAAAAACTTTCATAGAAAAAGAGCAACGAAATATTAAACCAATGAAAAGATGATATGCAGCAAGATGATATCTTTCTTCTTGATATGAGCTCCCTTGGCCAATCATCCAGGTTATTAAAAAAACACAGAGATAGATAGATAGACATGTATATATATATATATATATATATATATATATAGATATATATCGAGAGAGATTTGTGTCCTCCTATATACAGCCACTAAACCACGTGGCTATAAAGTTGATAAATTGTAACATCCAAAAGCCATAAGTTGACAATTGAGACATTTTCACAAATAAAGTGATTTGTAAAACAATAGAAGTATGAACTGTTTACACGTGTATAACTTCTCCATGGTCGAGGATGCTCGATGGTGACATTGAGAAACTAGACGAAGAATAATGCAGTTGACTGAGGGGTTACACCATTGTGCCCTCGGTCCCAACTAATCTCTCATTTATGCAAGCATACTGAGAAATTGCACGGAATATTTTTCCTATGTTCAAGGATATTTTTCCAATTCCATTTGAACTGGCCACATGAACCCTGCCACCCCTCTACGTTTCCACCTTCCCCCTTCTTCCAGTGGGGAGAAAAAAATGAAGTACATTGATGCGAAAAAAGTGGGATAAAGTACAGCTAATACAAATAAAACCTTTGAGGGAGAGAGCGAGAGAGAGAGAGAGAGAGACTGGGGGGGACGTGATCAAGGAATATGAATGACGATATAGAAATCTTTCTAGAGAAATGAGAAAGCAGCAAAAAAATGAATGCCAACAGCGTGGTGTCTTATGTGACTCGAACCAACCGAGCCCCTTACCCCAGGTACAATCTCTGATATTTCAAGGGAATCATTTTTGGTACATGACGATTATAGCCTATGTAAAAGATATTAGGTTATGATTAAATAAATTTCTAAACTAAATGTAAATGTTTTAAACTGCACACAGCAACGTGGCAAGGTAGTAACCGAAAGAATAAGCAATAAACGCGTGCATTCTGCATCCAAAAAATCGGATACTTGATTAATGCAACTTCGTATGCGTTCGGAGAGCACTGAAATCATGTAATGACATGCAAAACATCCACATTATGACATTTGAAGGAATCAATTATATTATTAGGGACAACGCCACATTCAATGTATGCAATGAAATATGCCATGAAATTGCATGAAGAAAACAGTACAAAAAATTGTCCAAGACACAGACTCGAAGTTGGATTCGTTTGGAGCAAGTCTCCAGCATTGTTGACGTTCCTTCTCGTGCATAGCTGCGATAGAACATGCGTAAGGGAGTTCTTCCGAAGCAAGAGAAACTTCTCTGCAACCCCCACCATGCCGGCTGCCTGCTGGAAATAAGCAAGAGTACTCAAGAAACAGTAAGAACTCCAAAAACTATGGAGTTAAAGCGTCCAAAGAAGCATGAGAAGTTTGATTTGAATGAAAAAGTATTACGGCCAAAGACTAAACCTGATGGTCAGAGTACTCCAAGCTCTGGAAGCACCTTTATTTTATCAAATATACTCGTTATTAAGATAATCATAAAAATTGGATGATTCGTCGAAAATCACTGTGGCATTTATCAGAAAAACCTGGGAGAAACACTCCTCCAAACAGAGAGCAATGATGCCCATTAACTAGCATTTCAATCACCGTGGTGTTCTACATAACGTTTGAACCATGTTAAGCGCTAGTAATGTACAGTCACTGTTTAATTATCAATGGACGATGGTTCCCACTGAAATATGACGCAAATCCAAATAGCGGCTCAAGGACTGAAGCGTTCGAGATGAGAAAGACAGAGATAAAGACAGGACCTGCCCGAAGAGTAAGTCATACGCCGTCACGTACATAATCTCCTCTTGCCTCTGAAACCCAAAAAAAAGCACCGTCAAGCGTGGCGACCGGGGCATACCATTGCAATGAGGAAGATGATTTTAGGGCTTATCTTCACCTTCCACTTGCCTTTCAGGACGTCGGTCCCTGCTAGAACCTCCTTGAGTAGCGGAAGATCTGCAAAATAGCAGCAAAGTGAACACGTTTGCGAGGCTTGTGAGGGACCCGACCAATCCACGACCAAAAAAAAAAAGAACCAACGAGAACAAAAAATGTCGAATTCGGCAAATATGAGTTGGGATTACATTTGAGGGTTTGGCAGACGAGAGCGAACGTGGCCTTCTTGTTTCGCACTGACGGGCCATACACGAGGGATTTGATCGTTCCCGCGGCCCTGCGGCGCGCGTCGCCCTGGAGTACGCTTCTCAGGACCTTCGCCGCCTCCCTCCGCGCAAAGTAAGCTGAACGCTCGGAGGCCTTGCAGCTACCAACACCACCAACCCCACCAACCCCACCGTTCTTCTTCATCTAGCCTGCAGCAACGGAGAAGCAGGCGACGCCACTATTCGCCCGCGCCGCAATCGATCGAGCTCCCAGAGCGGGGGCGGGCGGATACCACCCAGTGTCTCGCAGTTCTTCCACGGCTCGCCACCTCCGTTTATGTTTAACTACTTATGAGGTATTATATATATTTTTATATTTTTTTCATTTCTCTTTGATAAATTTAAACCTTTTTACTTCCTCCATTTAAAAAAAGAAAAAGGAAAATATATACGTCTATGCTTAACCTCTCTCTCTCTCTCTCTCTCTCTCTCTCTCTCTCTCTTTCTCTCTCTAAACAATAAGGGCAGAGAATCAGATGGGCCCTTTACAGCTGAGAAGTCTAGCCCCCTTGTGAATTAAAACTCGAAATTATGGAAAAGTATATACAACTCTAGCATTGACCAGCCCTATCTTGAGGCTATATACATATCTATTATCTCCGAAATTCTTGGAGAATAAAGTCAAATCCAAGTTCTAAAACGGGTATTGAACTTTCCCATTTTTTAGGATTTTTCCGGCCTAAGAATATAGAAAATGACAAAAAATATATTTCCTCAAAAGGATTAAATTAATGGGAAGACTAGACACACGTTCTCACTCAAGGCACAAAGTACCGAGGCTGATCAAAACACGCAGGCAATACAATGAGAGGTACATTAAATAGATGCAATCAGGGATGAACTGAGGATAGACAGGTACAGATTTCCCCGTGAAATTTTTACACAGGCTTCCCCATCACTTTCCATAAGAGGAAAGATGAAAGCTGAAGGTTCATTCGAACCAGACGAAGACATCGGGACAAAGAATTCTGTACGAAGAGTGAAGCGTTGAAAATCAACGCATAGCTTCATAGCAGACCTACAACCCACTAAAAGCCACTGGAAAATGCACAAAAAAAAGAAAAGGGGGGGGTGATCTACGCCTGTTTACTGTCATCTGTATGCGAGGTCTCACTAGTGTTCTGACCATTGTACTGGTTACTGTTTGTGGAAAGATCAGTGGACTTGGGATCTGATTGAGTGGGGAGGGGCATCATCTCCAGCTTCTTCTTTTCCTTGAGCACGACCTGCCTCGGCATGACTTCCAGAAGGAAGCTCCCACCGTTCCATACGGTAGCAGAGACCTTGAGTACCTGAAAGACAATGTGCATCTCGTACGACAGAAAGATCGGGACCGTGAGGGCCATGGTTGCCACCGTGAATATTGCCTGAAGCAATATATACATGATGTTCCGATTCTGATCCCCGAGAATCCCGCTCAGCCGCCACCAGACATTGTTTGCCTTCTGGGCTTTCTTCGACAGCTCCCTACCAACATCAACAGAAGAATTGCATAAGAAACAATGAAGAAATGCTGATATATCGCCGATAATTAGAGCATCGTACAGACGATTTCGCAGAGAATACGCTGCACATCTTAATAACAAGATGAGTTGGGCCATCTTGTTAGAATAAAACGGGTCTACGATTATTTAGCAAAGTGAAAATATCAGGGTATTTCACTAAAGTTTAATTGGTAACATGATCGAAATGTCCCCTTTGATGAGACACACGTGAAGAACAATTATACAACTCAAGACAGCCAGCATCCGACCATGTGAAAGCATTGGGCTTGGAGCCTCAAAAGGAATCAGCCAACATATTTTAATCGCTAGATATAATTGCCACATTTACCAGATCAAAAGCACGCATGATCTACCACAAGTGCATGCACAAGCACGCGCTGGAAGCAAAGAGAGTTACCTGTAAGAGGTCATGACTTCGGGATCTCTTAGCAGCCTCTGCTGTCGTAGAACATTAACAATGAAGAAGTACAGAAGTTGCCAAAGGGTGTATGCTGCCAATGGAAAGAGAAATAGCCAAGTCCACAGGTATGACTTATCCTCAGCATAAGACCAAGATGCTCTGTCTTTTCCCTCGGGATGCATTGAGGCAAATGTTGCAGGATCCCACCAACGTATGGTAAAGAAGACAATTCCTGCAGTGGATGCTTTATTAATGAACACGACAGTCCAAAACTCACACTGTGGTATTAATAAAAAAAAATTATGTGCCCATAAATAGATAAATACACAGAAGACAAGGTGGGTCCGCAGTGCTCAACGATGAAGTGACAAGTATTTAAATTGCTCAGACACTTCACAAAGAAGACCAGGCCAAACAACACCATGGTATCAATAAAAAAATCAATGTGACCAGAAATAGATAAATACACAAAAGACAAGGTGGGCCCACCTGCTCAACGATGGAAGTAACAAGTTCTTACATTGCTCGGGCACTCAGCAAAGAGGACAAGGTCAAACATCACTGTCTACACCAAAAAAACACATTGCACAAAGAGACCGAGATATTACGAGGGGATTATGTTTCAGTTCACTCTTTTGATGACAGTTGGCCTAAGAAGACAGGTTCTTGTCAAGGCTTTCTAGAGTCAAGGGAACCTTTGAAGATTTGTCTTCACTTGCACGGGTCTAAGCTGCACAACCAAGCAAGTGAATTCTCTACGCACCAGCTAGTCTCATGTTACCTCCGCCAGACTCTTTCGTGTCTGACATTTGGAACGCAGCCGGTTAGAGAAATCCATCAATTCCTTGGATCGGGAGAAGAAACGTCACAAAGTGGGGACATCGAAATCTGGGTTGAATGCATGAATCAGATAAGAATGATATGCTGCGTGGGTAACAAAAATAAAGAACAGGCATCACGCTATCAATTCAGTTCAGTAAGAGGATGGGAGACTGACCAGGTAAGAGATGAATTAAGACGCTGACAGTCTTGTCTAGAGAACTGAACACAAGGCTACACCGCCACACGATCAATGCCCAAGCCAGCGGTCCCTAAAGAGAATTAGAAGACATTAAATATAAAGAAAGTTAGATCAAAGAGAAAATACATGCCGACCCTAACCCAGGATTTCACACTTACTTCTGCAAATGAGAAACAGATCATGAAAAGTTTCTCGTGTCTTGGGAAGAAAATAAGTGTAATAATAAAAATCGTATTAGCGTAGTAGCAGAAGTCCTGCAAAACAACAACGGCTAAAAAAGTTGAGCTTAGAACACCAAAGCACAGCATACAATAGATACAAGAGGCATGAGCCAACTCTGATTTGTATTCTGAAACTTTTGTGGCCTGACAAAGAGCCAATCAGAAACCTGTTGGAGATGTATGATACTCACCAACAGATAGTAGTGCCATTTCTTGAATCTGTAGTAGATCCATCGCAGTGGAACAAATATGACGTAGAAAAAACAGTACACATACGGGATATCCTGGGGCCCTGGTCACCACAATAGATGGAACAGCTTCCTTTTACTAAAATGATATTTCTAACTGAGGATCGTAATGGGTGTTTCAAATTGATGACACTTACTAGCGCCCAATAGGTAGCAGAATCCACCAAACCCAAGCACGCCCAGCAAGTGAGTAACCTATATTGCAGCGAAATAAGCAGTTACTTCCAAGAATGTCAGAAATCATGCCATCTACATAGAATACCACACAAATGATGGAACCGGTGAAATGAAATCCTCGGAAAGGCCTCACAATCTGGGAAAATAGAAGGGTAACAAGTCGAGGAAAACGGGGGACCTTTCGGAGGAAGCAGCGGTACACGATTAACGAACCGAGATGGAGTGTGGGGATCGGAAACGTCTGATGAGTGAGAATGATAAACAGAGATGATGATGACCTTGTTGATAAAGGGCTCGTGCTCCTCGGCTTGCTTGACGATCTTCACGGCCTGCTTCGAGAGTATCTCTTTCGTCTGTAAAGCCTGTTTAGACAGCCTTTCCCTGGTCTGGACTGCCTGCATCGCCAGCATCTCCTTCGCCAGGGCCACCCTCTGAATCAAGCAATACAACAAAACTCGAAAAATCGGAGGCAAGACCAACAGAACCGTCCGCAGAGCCAGGAAAGACGACCGACCAGAAGACAGGATGATCAAAACAAGGAGACGGTGACAAGGAGGGGGGAAGTACCGCGGATCTATCGTTCAGCTCCTGCTTGGACTCCCGAACGGCCTCCTCTCTGTCTTCCAGGCCCTCCTCCGCTGGCGCCATTTCCCCACAATTCGACGCCCTCTCCCTCTCCCTCTCCCTCCAGTGACAATCGCCCCTTTCCCTCCCCGCTCCTCCGCCTGTCAGGTGGGGCAGATTCCGAGCCTGCGGGCGCCGCCGAAGACAAGAGGTTCTCGAGGCGGTCAGCGCCGCCGTTAAGGCCAAAATTTCCCGACGCCGTAGAAAAGAATCCTAATATTTTAAAATTCCCACTCGCGTGCGACAGAATGGATAAAATAATTAATCACAAATAAATAAAAACTGAACAATATTAATTCTTAAAAAAGATCAAGACCGTATAAAATGGGCCTTAAGGCTCAGGGCCCATGGGCTTAATTAGAAATCCCCAATAACCCGAGTCAACTTTCAGATGAGTGGATGGTCAAAGCCGGGGCTCGCGCGGACGTCAGCGGAGAGAGAAAATCTGTACCGCCACCACCAGTGGACCACTCCCACCTTGTTGAGAACAACATTATTTGAAGTGCGCGGCATAATAGCATTTTCGGAGCTCCGCGACTCTACAGAACCGGTGTTCCGCTCCATTGTTTTAACTCCCGCGTCAATCCCCTTATCAATTTTCCGTAACCTGTGGCCCCCCACCGCCAACCGAGCAGGCGCAGAGAGAGAGAGAGAGAGAGGAGATATAATGGGAAGATACTGATTTCTGGGGAGGAACTAGAGGAGGGGGCTGAGGAGCTCTCGGGATAGGAGAGAGTGGAGGGACCTGAGTCCTCGAGTTTGGACCATTTGTTTTTCCGTCTTCCGGCTGGTGGGCGAGCTCGAAGCATCGCCCAGCCAGGGGGCCGCCTCCGATTTCCCTGTTCGATGCGCCGATCCGCCTGAGGTGGTCCCTGTTGGTGTGTTCGTTGAGCTATTGGAGTCGATTCCTGGACGATCCCGTGAATCTGGTTGGGCGCCGTTTCCAGATCGTGCTGTTGGAGCCGGGGGAAGATGCCGTCTCACGCGGATCTGGATCGTCAGATCGAGCACCTCAGGCAGTGTAAGTACCTGCCGGAGGCAGAGGTGAAAGTCCTCTGCGAGCAGGCGCGGGCGATCCTTGTGGAGGAGTGGAATGTCCAGCCTGTCAAGTGCCCCGTCACGGTGTGCGGTGACATCCATGGCCAGTTCCATGATCTTATCGAGCTTTTCCGGATAGGAGGGGAAGCCCCCGATACCAACTATCTCTTCATGGGAGACTACGTAGGTAAGCGTCCGGGAAAATTTGAATCTCGGCGTATCAAAAATGGTCTGATGCACATCAAACGTCTGGGGCTAGACTTGTAATTATTAGGTTTTGGGGGATTATTTTCCATGACTTGATTACATTCATTTCTACCATCTACTTTGGAATTGATCTATTAACTCATTTTTGCGTAGAATATTCTTCTGACCGAATATTTTCAAGTTTCAAACTAACCCAGCTTCTGGCCCCTGATTTTAAAATTTTCGGCGTAATTCAGTCTAGGGAACCCTGATTTAGGTTGGTCTAAGACAGTACCAACTAACCTAATCACTTGCCTTTGGTCATAACGCTTCTGAATTTGAGGTGATGAAATTTGTTCTTTCATAGTCATTCTATTTTGGTGAAGAATGGTACTCATTTTGTTTCGATGGATATTTTTCATTTTTGAGGAGAAAAACACAAGGGAAAATTTTCGTGCAGTTTCTTGATTTTCTCAAATTTTTTGGGTATAAAATGTTATGGCAGAAGCTGGAGTCCGCTAACTTCTAGGAAGTTTTGCCTTTATTCATTTAGTTTGTTGGCCTCTACCAAGTGTTAATTACTATGAATCAACTGTGTTCAAGATTCTGAGGAATGTGAAGCTCTTGATTTATGTTCATTGTAAGTGTATCATATATTCTTGTCCTTCTGGTCAAGAAGAAGCCGTTGTTGATGCTTTGATAGCCATGAAGTTGTTTATCATGGCCCTTTAGTCACTCTCGGAATCCTAAAAAGGCCGCCCTCATGATCATATTCCATTAAAGTCTAGGATACTGTCATTTATTCCCGGGAGAGATGCTTATTCCTCTCCCAAAAGCCTCTACCAAGTCTCTACCAAATCTCTAGGCCAGTTTCTCATCGTCTTAAAAGCCTTTGGAACTGCTGAGTTTTTTGGGATGATCAAAGGACATTATCTTCACAAAAAATCTGGGGCGCCACAACCTAATTGGATGCAGTATAACAAGTTTCTTCTTCCATAAGCCGATTTGTTCTTGTGGTTCATTCTGAAAATAGGGGATATGTGCACCTTTGGCTTTTCTCGTCTTTGTTTCTTAGCACTTAAACTACACCACGAACGAAATATGCAATCATGAAAACACTTGATGAAGATATATTTTTTCTGTCTTTATATGGATTCATTGAAGAAACGGCACTTATGAGACACTGGCATACCTTTTCCTGTTTCTTTTCACGGGATTTTGCATGATCTCTGTCATGATTATCTTTCAAGAATATTTACTCTGGTGACAGTTTAGTTTCCTTTTTATAATACAGATCGTGGGTATTACTCAGTGGAGACCGTCACCCTTTTGGTGGCCTTGAAAGTTCGTTACAGAGAGAGAGTTACGATTTTAAGAGGAAATCATGAAAGCCGGCAGATAACTCAAGTGTAAGTCTGTCATCCGCCAAACTTTTATCCGTTCGAGGTTATCCTCAAATTCACATACTAGATTTAGGGATTCGCCTTTACTTTTTCTATAACTTGCGTTTTTGTTGTTCTCTTGATTCTGTTTTGAATCCAATTGGGTCACAACTCTTTCTCTCTCTGAGAAACCATTTATTCTAATAGATTTTATGCCACCGTGTGTTAGTTTATGTAAGTTTAATGTCTTCCTCGAAATATATTTATTTGGGGCATCAAGTTATATCCTTGGTCTGGATAATAGCTTCTGAAGTATTTGTTCAAATTAAAAAATGTACTTTTTGGTACACCTCTAATAATATTTGTGTTAACTGGTCTTCACAGAAATACTCATAAAACATTGCTTCAAGATGTTATATGACACTTGTCCAATGACTATGCTCTTTTGTGCCAACCTTCTGAAATTACCTCTAAATACGTAGAGAAATACTTTGCTTCCTTGAGTAAGTAGATCATAGAGCATAATTTAATCACTGTAGAATATTTCTCGTACAATTTTCTGACGTGAGGAGATTCATCTTGATGAGGTGAATAGACATTACGGAGAAAACAGAATTCTTATTTTCATTTCACGAGATATTTTCGGGGTTTTCTTATTCAGGTTTGACCACTTGGAAACGTCATGAAACCAGTACAAGTGACAAGATGAGGACCAAAACTAATTGAATAAAATGGACTAGCTGTATCAAATTTATTGTGATGTTAGTAGTTGGAAGGGATGTCTTGTTGTGTGTGTTCCATGTTGGGTATCATGATAGACTGTGTGACAGAGCTCGCCGGTTGAAAATCAGATAGGCCCTTTTTTTCTGAAGATATTCCAATGATTGAGTTCAGAAGCATCTAAGAAAACAATGCTAAGATGTGAGCATATTATAAATATATGGCACGAATTTAAAGCGGTACATTCATGCAGAGTAGTTGGGATGTTGTAGTTAATCAAGAGCAATGTTCTAGTGTCATCAGATCAAAGTTGGGTCTAAACTAAGCTGTGAAAGTTGGGAAAATCTTCATGCCGTTGCGATACTTATGTAGAGTAGTTTCTTTTAACTAGACCATTGCTCTTGATTAACTACAAGAGCAGGGCAGGATGATTCTCGTGCACCTATGTTGGGCATTAAAAGATCGTTTGGATCTTTTGAAGGGTTTTGAGGGTATGAGTTTAGTTGACGAGATTGATCAAGGACTACATTTGAACATAGATTTGAGGTCAGTTAACAAAGGGGAGGAGTTCATGATTAATAAAGAGGCTACAAAAATCTTCACAGAACTTTCACTCTTATTTAGTCTTAGTGATGATTCCAAACATTTCTGAGAAAATAAAACTCCTTGATACGAAACATTATAGCAAAAAATTCTAGTAATATGAAATTATTACTTACGTAGATGGAAAAGATCCACAAGATATGGTCTTGCTAAAATGATCATTAGTTTTTTTTCTAATCCTTTTCTTTTTTTTTTTTTTGAAAGATTGCTTCCCACTTATTCATCTTCGTTTAATATACGTTGACTGGGATAATTGTCAGAGTACCTGTGATGGTGGACCATTCCGATGCTGCCCATAACTGAACCACCCCCCCCCCCCATCCTGTGGGCGTTTTCTTTTACTGATAGGGATGTTGGACTAGACACTTGGCTCTTTAGATCAGAGTTTTCATGGCACCTGCGATCCCATAGAAGAATGCTTAAACGTCTCTACGTTCGTTTTCCTATCACTCGGCAGCCTTGAATGAGTCCACGTGGCCGTGCCATCATTTGGTGTTCCTGGGCTGTGGAGTGGAATGGTATGGACCCATTTTTCTGAAGGAAAGTCTGGTTTATGACGTCTTCATGAAACCCTCTGTCGTCGAATTCATGTACCCATGCCTGCATTCATGCAGCTGTTCTTAGGTGAATAGTCAACGCTGTCACACAGTAGGGATTCCTATGAGTAGACAGTCAACTGTCCTGTTCTTTCGTTCTGCTCCTCTGTGGAGTGTAAGCCTATAGCTAATCTATCTATCCTCTCCACTGGAGAGATGGTAATGAGAAGTGGGCTCACCCTGGTGATGCTAAATAGTTGGTCGACACCCCCACTGTGGTTTTACCAAAAAAACCTCTCCCATTTGGTCTCAAAAACACGTTTATCTTGCCAAAAACAGAAATTCACGTTTATTCTCTGTTAAAGGAATCTTTGTTCTGTTTCAGGTACGGGTTTTACGACGAGTGCTTGAGAAAATATGGGAACGCAAATGTCTGGAAGTACTTCACCGACCTTTTCGACTACCTCCCCCTCACTGCCCTCGTCGAGAACCAGGTTTATGTTCTAAAAGTGGCCCTGAGACGTGGCGCCGTAATATGCCACTTTTGGGTATTCTTCTGACCACGATCTTTGTCTGCCGTAGGTGTTCTGCCTGCACGGAGGCCTGTCCCCGTCTCTGGACACGCTGGATAACATCCGTGCTCTCGATCGTGTACAGGAGGTATGCTGCTACTGTGGCCATTATTTATTTCTATTTACGGGAAAGTTATTCCGGCCCTACAATGATCGGAATTTTATGAATCACCTCATTTATGGTATATTTCGGTGACGGAGGCAGAAAAACAAACGTTATTAATATCATGGCTGACCGGGTGGTGCGTTATAGGTCCCACATGAAGGGCCGATGTGCGATCTCCTGTGGTCCGACCCCGACGACCGCTGCGGGTGGGGGATCTCCCCCAGAGGGGCGGGCTACACGTTCGGACAAGACATCACGGCGCAGTTCAACCACACCAACGGCCTCTCCCTCGTCTCCCGGGCCCACCAGCTCGTCATGGAAGGCTACAACTGGTCTCAGGTCAACTCCCCATTCCCTTCATAACGGGCCTGACGTTCTCTAGTCGGCTGGGCGTTCTCTAATGGGATTCGCTTCGCTCGTTCTGCAGGACAAGAACGTGGTGACGGTGTTCAGCGCGCCCAATTACTGCTACCGCTGCGGGAACATGGCGGCGATCCTGGAGATCGGGGAGAACATGCAGCAGGAGTTCATCCAGTTCGAGCCCGCCCCGCGGCAGGTCGAGCCGGAGACCGCCCGCCGGACCCCGGACTACTTCTTGTGATCCCAGCGGCGCTGCCGCCGCGATCCGCCGCCTTGTGTAGATGTTTCCAGACACCGCCGGAGTTTTTTTGGTGAGCTCAGTGGACCGCCCACCTCTGCCGTCGTCATCATTTTTTATCAACCCTCCCCCCAAAGGTTTGTAGTCGCACTGTTTCTCTTTCATCACCACGGGATTTTCAGACACCAGCCCGCCGCCATTCGTCTTCTCCCTTGCCTCTCCATGCACTGTCTCCGTTACTGGGCCGCGCTGGATGCGTTTGGGCCCTAACGGGCCTCAATTAAATGGCTTTTAAGCAGATCGCGCCATAGAGTGGGCTGCCTTTACAAGGGGTATCGCATGGTCTCGGCCCTGGGTTTTTTTGGTGGGGCATGGTTTTGTTTTAAACACAACAGAAAAAGGTTCCGGTGGCGCGTTTCCAGATGCTCTCGGTTTCCGTCTGGGAAGGTGAAGGTTCCCCGTTGGCGCCGACGCGTCTCACAGCGTCGGCGGCGCGCGGAGGGGCCCGGCATCAGACGTTCGTGGGGGATGTCATTGATGAACAATGCCGGCCTGATGTTTTCGACCTACAGCTCTGCGGCGGTGGCGTATCGCGCCAGCAGTGATCCATGGACGTTAGGTTTCGTGGTCTCCGCTTACGGCACACTGATGCTTCTGTTCTGGTTCCTCCGCGCTTTCAGGTCGCTCCGCAGAAGAGGAGGGGGGAGCAAACTTGTGATCTGGCTCTTCTCTGTGACGCGGATCTCCATGTTCACGTATCGAGTCGCGTCCATGATGCCGTTCGGATTCGCCCAAGTTATCTGGGCCACAGGGCCTCTGACGATGGTCGCCGGCTTCTACGTGTTGTTCGTATGGGGAACGAGTAAGGATCCCGATTTCTGGGGTTCTAAAGGCAGACGCGAGCCCTTGGTGCGGATGCGTCTCACGGCGGCGGTGGCGGCGGCAGCGCGCGGAGGAGCCTCAGTCGTACGTGTGGGATGTCGGTATGAACACTACCGGCCTGGGTTTCTTGACCTACAGCTCTGCGTTGATCCATGGACGTTAGGTTTCGTGGTCTCCGCTTACGGCACATTGATGCTTCTGTTCTGGTTCCTCCACGCTTTTCAGGTCGCTCCGCAGAAGAGGAGGGGGGAGCTGAAACTTGTGATCTGGCTCTTCTCTGTGACGCGGATCTCCATGTTCACGTATCGAGTCGCCTCCACGATGCCGTTCGGATTCGCCTAAGTTATCCGGGCCATAGGGGCTCTGACGACAATAGCCAGCTTCGACGTGTTGTTTGTACTGGGAATGAGTAAGGATCCCGATCTCGTTTCGTCGTCGTCGTCTGGTGTTCTTTGTTTCCGTCGTTTGGTTGCCTCGATTTACCATTTTGACAGTTGACCTCGTCAATGGGAGAGGGATCTGCCTGCGGAGATGGTGATTATTTTTCCGAAATATGTACGCTGGTAACAGTTTAGTTTCCTTTTTCTAATACAGATCGTGGATATTACTCAGAGAGAGAGCTACGATTTTAAGAGGAAATTATGAAAGCCGGCAGCTAACTCAAGTGTAAGTCTGTCATCCTTCAAACTTTGATCTACTCGAGGTTATCCTCAAATTCACCTGTTAGATTTTAGGCCTTTACTTCTTTTATAACTTGCGTTTTTGTTGTTCTCCTGATTCTCCTCTGAATTCAATGGGTCACAACTCTCTCTCGCGCTCTCTCTCTCTCTCTCTGAGATACCATTTATTCTAGTAGAGTTCATGCTACTTTGTGTTAGTTTATGTATGTTCAATGTTTTCTTGAAAATACCTGTATTTGGAGCGTGAGGTTATGCTTTTGGTCTGGATAATAGCTTACCACGCCTCCCTCTTTTTCTCTTACCTCCTTCTGAAATAGTTGTTCAAATCACACAATTTATGTTTTTGGTAAACTTCTAAGAATGTTTGTGTTAACTGGTCTTCACAGAAATACCCATAAACATCGCTTCAAGATGTTTTAAAACACTTGTGAGAGGACTATGCTGTTTTGTGCCGACCTTTTGAAACTACCTCCAAATACATAAGGATGAAATGCGCTGCTTCCTTGAGTAAATACATCATTGACCATAATTTAGTCACTCCATAATTCCCTTGTACAAGTCTTTTGACATGAGGAGATTCATCTTGACGAGGTAAATAGTCCGTCATTCTGGAGAACAAAGTTTTTTCTTTTCTTTTTTTTCCCATTTCACGAGACATTTTCAGGGATTTCTTATCCGGGTTGACTACTTGGAAACGTCATGAAACCAGTACAAGGGATAAACAAGCCGAATAAAATGGAGTGGTTGCGTCAAATTTATTGTGATTATAATAGTTGGAGGGGATGTCTTGCTGTGCGTGTAGCGATGTTGGTTATCATGATAAATCTGTGTGTGAAAAAGCTTGACGGTTGAAAATCAGAAAGGCCCTTTGTTTCTGAAAATATTCCAATGATTGAGTTCAGAAGCAGGTGTAGTTGAAGTAAGAAAACAATAGTAAGATGCGAGCATAGAGTGAATATCTGGGTCGACTTTATAGCGGTAGATTCATGCAGAGTAGCTGGGATGTTGTAGTAAAACAAGAGTGATGATCAAAGCTGGCTTTCAATTAAGCTGTGAAGGTTGGGAAAAACTTCATCCAGTTGTAATAATATGATGTTCTGGAGTAGCTTCTTTTGAGTGAGGGAAAGGAGGCTGTTAACTGCAGGGAAAAGGTTTAGTGGAAGATTCTCGTGCACTTATGTGGGGCATTAAAAGATCGCTAGAATCTTTTGGAGGCCGCCCACAGAACTGGACCCCCCCCAGCGTGTGGCCGTTTACTTTTTATCGATTGGGATGTTGCATTTTTTCCATCCCTTTCGTCACCACGAGCTTTCCAGACGCCAGCGCGCCGCCATTCGGTGCCTGATGTGTAATGGGCCTGACGGGCCTCTGACATAAGTTTTTTAAGAAGACTTGGGCCGGAGGCCGGGGCCTAGGTAAGCTTCTCTATGGTTTGCATCTTTATGGCTCGGGTTCGGATTAGAGCTTGTCTGCGAAGATGGAAACAAAGTTTCCAGTCGGTGCACCGGCTCAAGGCGGCTGCATCGGCGGCGGCGCGGGTAGGAGGCTCAATCGTTCGTGGGGGATGTCGTTGCTGAACACCGCCGGTCTGGTTTTTTTGACCTACAGCTCTGCGGCGGCGGCGTATCGCGCCCGCAGTGATCCATGGACGTTAGGTTTCGTGGTTTCTGCTTACATTACGCTGATGCTTCTGTTCTGGTTTCTCCGCGCTTTTGAGGCTGCCCCCCCCCCAGAGGAGGGGGGAGCTGAAGGTCGGCATCTGGTTCCTCTCGATGTCGTTGCTTTGCATGTTCACTTATCGAGTCGCCTCCATGATGCCGTTCGAATTTGCCCTAGTTATCTGGGTCACAGGGACTGACGATGGTCGCCGACTTCTCCGTATTATTTGTACTGGGAACGAGTAAGGATTCCGATTTATAGGGTTTTTTAGCTTCTCCCCGATCTCGTTTCCTCCTGATGATCTGTACATCGCTTAAGATGTAGTTTCTTCGCCGACCGATCCCTACCTCCTGGATCACTGGGAATACAAGCTGCCAATAAGCGAACCGCCGCAATGATAATAAATTAGTAGTAAAAATATGGATGAAATAGGTCCACATTGGTCTAAGTGAATTATGAAAGGATTCTGTACTTGAAGGGGCTTCGTTGTCAAAAAGATTGTACCAGTTTTACTAATTCCGTAATAGATATTTTACTTTCTTATCATCATTATGCTGGATCTTGAGGGATTTCCCTTTTATGCGGGTTATCCTCTTTTTCCTTTCATAATAAACTTTTGAAATTTAAATCTTCTATTTATGCTATATTTTCCTGTTGGTTTGATACTGTTAATAGATTTGAAAACATATAAACATTACAATACAATAGCTGGATCATCATAAATACAATTTTGATCAAACATTTTGTTTTTCATATGTTGAAGCATGCCATAGAATTGTATGTAACATAGAATAGACTTCTTTGTACATTTTTTCAATGAGTAATTTTTTGCTGTAAAATATTATTAATATATAAAACAACTTAATATAAAGATTTATATCATTAGATGTCAATGTTATTACTGATATCGTAGTAATTAGATCAATAATTCAGTATGTCATTAACGTGATCAGACTTTTGAATATGTAGAATGATAAATTCATGTAAATTATAAGTAAAACATAGGAATCAAAACTCAATTTCATCTATTCTTGATAAAATATGAACCAGTTATGTTTGAGTAAATTTTAGTTTGCAATCATCAAAAGCAATGATGGTGTGTGATTATTTGTAAATTTGAATTAATAATGATGTTGTACTCCTAAAATAAAAAATAATTATAGAAATCAAAGGTAATAAAAATATGTTGAGAGTCATTCAATACATCAAATTAAGTGTCTTGATTTTTGATATGCAACCTGAAGTTGTCACATAATTATTAGAGGATGAAAAATAGACGTATACAATGACTTGAGTGTTCAATCAATTTGAGAAAAAATGAACCTTGTATATTGGTTCATAATAAAACTAAGATCTTTATCACAAAAACCAAATAAAAAATTATAATGAATTAAATGAGGATAGAAAAGTCATTAAGAATAGTTAGGTTAGTAACAAAAATTGATTATGATGAAATATATGTACTAGTACTTGTATGGAATTGCAATTCGAATTCTATTAGCATATGCGTATCATAAGAATATCATTTCACATTAAATAGATGTAAAAATTGCATTTCTAAGGTAAAAAATTAATTAGGAAGTGTATGTCAATCAACCCCTTAGTTCTACAAGTTTGAAGTACAATTATTACGTTTTGAAATCATCTAAGGTTTTATATGATATTAAGCAAAGTATAATAACTTGATATCGAGCAAGCTTTGATTCAAACATATGTTGATGGCGTAGTTTTGAGATTTTCAAATGAAAATGTGTACATCTTTTTTTTCGGAGTTCATGAAACGATGCTCATTGCTTGATGCATATTTTACTTATTTTAAAATACGTATTTCACTTGTTCGTTGTGCGTGATCCTTTGCCCTATTCATGCGTTGGGTTCTCTCTTTTCCCTTTTTATTTGGTTGATTGTCGGGGATAGAGTTAGGGAACTGCATACGCATCTCCAGCCCCTGGACAAGCTCGTGTTTTTTCTTTTAGAGAAAATAAACAAGTGATCTTCCCACAGCGGCAGTTCCACTTTTCCTTTAGATATTCCAATGGCTGCCCTCTTGAGCTTCCATGGCAGATCGATCGATTGTTCTTCTTCTCTTAGGTTCTTGTTCCAATGTATATAAATCGCTCCAAATTTTATATTATGGGAAAAAAAAAACGTGACATTTTGACCGTACAAATTAGATCATCCTGATCCTCTCTCTCTTCTAGATTTTTTTTTTCCCAACTGCACAAATCAAATATTGGCTTCTACGTCACCGCCGCTGTCGGGCTCAGAGCTGTTGGCTTTTGTGGACAACATCTTCAACCTGACGGTAGAGTTTTTGACACTTGTGGATGAAGGTGGCGTGTCGTTTTCGGCGTTTTCAATGTGCACCTATCGTTGCTCGTCCGACACGTCAGGGATCAGCCTTCGCCCGACGACTTTTGACTTTGGAGCCCCCGAGGTCACAGTCTCCATATTCCAGATTATCTTGCCTACCTCAGCTATCGTCATCAGTTTTTTATCAGCTATTATTCCATATTCCGTATTGCATCCAGATGGCCTTCATCCTTCCTCTGCGCGCATTGTCTCAGTTACTGGGCCGCGCTGATTGCGTAATGGGCCAGAACGGGCCTCAAACACAAAATCTTAAGAAGATCCCGAGGTGGTGGGTCATGAGTCCGTTTGAAATACGACGAAAGATGTGGCGTCGCTGTAACGGTTTCGGTAGTCCGCTTCCAGATGGTCGACTGTTTGCGTCTGTGAAGTGAAGCTCCCAGTTTGCGGGGAAGCGTGGGCGGCGCGCGGAGGAGCATCTATCGTTCGTGGGGGATGTCGTTGATGAACACTGCCGGCCTGGCTTTCTTCCTCTACAGCTCTGCAGCGATCCATGGACGTTGGCTTTGGTGGTCTCCGCTTACAAGCACGCTGATGCTTCTGTTCTGGTTCCTCCGCGCTCTTCAGGTTGCTCGGCAGAAGAGGAAGGGGAAGCTGAAACCCATGATCTGGCTCTTCTCTACGACTCCGGTCTCCATGTTCACGTATCGAGTTGCCTCTATGATGCCGTTCAGATTCGCCCAAGTTATCTGGGCCACTGGGGCTCTGACGACAGTTGCCTGCTTCTATGTGTTGTTCGTATTAGGAACGAGTAAGGATCTAGATTTCTGGGGTTCTAAAGGCAGACGCGAGCCCTTGGCCTCTTATTGGTATGATTGCAGTTCTTTGTCAATCTCCTCGTTCTTGTCAATCTCGTTTCCTCGTCGTCATCTGATGTTTCTTATTTCCGTCATTCGGTTGGATCAATTTACTTTTTTTTTAAGTTAAACTTGTTGAATATGAAGGATCTTGTGTTGAGATAGATGGAGAATGACAAAACATAATGAGAGTGGATTGAAATCATACATGAATTCATGAAGGCGCAAGTACGAAGATGACCTTTTAGATCAGCACAAGGAAGTCGTCCAATAACTTACTCTAGAGAGATGAGTTGTTGTAAGAGTGACTCACGATGTATGACTCAACGACCATGACTCCTTATTTATAGACAAGAGGCGATTAACCTTTTAGTATATTTTTTAATTTAGTCCATCATAAAATTAGAATAAGATATGATCTCTATATATATTTATATTTATGCTCATACTTACGAGAAAAGTTGTAATCTCAAATACTTCAACTCTAATGAGTCATTTTAAGTAAAATTAATTTAATGATAACTCCATAATATACTATTCATATATATCATTGTCTACATCGAGATTAATTTCAATAGAACCTCATCAAAGGTTAACTTTTAAGAATATTTACTCTGGTAGATATTACTCAGTGATTATTATCACCCTTTTGGTGGTCATGAAAGTTCGCTACAAAGCCGACAAATAACTAAGTGTAAGTTTGTCATCCTTTAAAGTTTGATCCATTTGAAGCTATCTTCAAATTCATGTGTTAGATTCTATAGATCAGCCTTTACTTATTTTATAACTTGCATTTTAGCCAATGGGTCACAACTCTCTCTCTCTCTCTCTCTCTCTCTCTCTCTCTCTCTCTCTCTCACTGAGAAACCATTTGTTAATTTATGTGGGATTAATGTTTTCCTAGAGATACCTTTATTTGGAGCATCAATTTATGCCTTTAGTCTGGATAATAGCTTATTGGGCCTCTCTCTCCTTCTCTTATCTCCCAAAAAAATTCATCTTTTTTTCTTGACAAGGTGAATAATCCGTCATACTGAAGAACACAGATTTCTTATTTCTTATTTTTTCATTTCAAAAGAAAATTTCAGGGGTTTCTTATCCAGTTTGGCTACTTGGAAATGTCATGAAACCAGTACAAGGGAGAAGAGGATGACCGAGTCGAATATAATGGACTGGAGGGTGCCACGTCTCCCCAGCCAAATGGATCCTTTATAAATACAACATGGTATCCAACAGCCACAGGTTTTGTCGCTTCGATTATTCAGAGGGGGAATGGGATGAATCTCCCAGGCGTTGCCGAAGTGTCTCATGGCGGCGGCGGCGGTGCGGGGAGGAGCCTCAATCGTTCGTGGGGGATCTCGTTGATGAACACCGCTGGTCTGGTTTTTTTGACCTACAGCTCTGCGGCCGCAGCGTACCGCGCCCGCAGCGATCCATGGACGTTAGGTTTTGTGGTCTCTGCCTACAGCACGCTGATGCTTCTGTTCTGGTTCCTCCGCGGTTTTGAGGTTGCTCCACCGGAGAAGAGGGGGAAGCTGAAGCTCGTGATCTGGCTCCTCTCTATGACTCTGATCTCCATGTTCACGTATCGAGTCGCCTCTATGATGCCGTTCGGATTCGCCGTTGTCATCTGGGCAACCGGGGCTCTGACGATGGTCGCCGGCTTTTACGTGTTGTTCGTATTGGGAACCAGTAAGGATCCCGATTTCTAGGGTTCTAAACGCGGTCGTGACCTGGCCTCTCGCCGATCTGCTTTCCTCCTCGTCTTCTGGTATTCCCTTTCTCCGATCTCGCCGTTAGTTGCCTCGATTTATTGTCTTTGAAGTTGATCTCATGACCAGGAGCGGGATCCTGCCGGGAAGGTGATCTTCAAATCCTGGTGCCCAGTCCGTCCCACCTCTCCCTCAGGGTCAATATCAATCAAAGCTGAGCAAAGTGGCACGAGGAGCGTGAATTAGTAGTGTCACACAAGAGAGCCGGTTGTTATGATCGTGTTACTAGGAAGAAATCTAAGAATATTCTATGCTGGTTTTAGTTTTTTTTAAATAATTTTTTTCACTTGTTTATCATCTTTGTGTTTGATCCTCTGTACCGTTATGCGTCGGGTTCTCCTTCTTTCCCTCGCATTTGGTTGATCGTCGGGATAACGGATCTCATCCCTGAAGAGCCTCCCGCTGAAATCTACCCCCCGGACAAGCTTGTATTATATATCCAGGTACAAATGGCGATTTGATCCTCACACACCGTCGGTGCCACTTTCCCATTGAGATTCCTCTGGCTGCCCTCTTGAGCTTCCATTGCAGATCGACCGATTGACAACTCTTTGTTAGGTTCGTCTTACAGGCGAGTGATAAGATTGCTTGCCGACCGAACTTGTGTCTATCCCAACTGGTGACGTGCCGTTTTCAGGGTGATAGTTCAGGCGTCTGCGGCACGGCACAGCAACCCTGTTGTTGTTTTCAATTCAGACGTGACGGGGGGGCCACGCTTTTCATATTTCAAACTTATTGAAAGAGATAGAGAAAGACGGAGGCAGGAGAGAAGCGAGAGAGAGAGAGAGAGAGAGAGAGACGCTGCTTTACTAACGACAGGATAACGAGAGGACGTGGTGATGTCTTTTCACGCTGAATCAAAATTACGTGATAAATTTTTAATTGTTTTTTTATTAAGTATATTATTGTCTTTTATTGATATCTCAATTATATATTTACAATAATATAAAAATATGGAGCAAATCATGAGAATATTTTGCACTCTAAATTTTAGAGTGATAGGCTAAAATCTTATGAGCTACATGATACGTCGATATATCATGTGTTTCAACTAGTTTATACATCATGATCTTCAATCTTATTTGGTCAAATGATCGGGGTTAAAGGGGGTCTTAATTGGCGGTGGTAAAAAGTCTGAAAAATCTAAAAAATATATCAAATAATGAGAAAAAAAGCATAACTCTCTCACTACTTCATTTTTTTTTTACTCTTCCTATTGACTATGTCTCATTATGGCGGAATTGTTGTTGTGTTTCGACGGATGATGTGAATCATCGGAGTAAATTATTTCTTTGATCTCCAGATACTCCTAGTTACCCATAGAGCCACTATATGGCTGAAAGAACGCGTCTGGTCTGAAAATTCTAGCTATTTGTCATGGAAAAATGTGGCAGATGCTGACTTTTTGACAGAAGGCTTTAGCAAAGTGATCCGAAGTTCATATCATCCTAGTTACCCAGAAAAATAGGCTTGTTTCCAATGACGCAACCTCACTTAAAGCTTAGGTCAGCGATTCCATGACGAGGACATTACACACACCTGCTCACTTCTTCTTTCCCTCTTTGATCAGCTTTTAATTTTTTATGTTCACGATAACCATTGTCCCTATTCTAAGATGACGATGCAGTTCCTGTTGCATGGCCTGCCAGATATGCCAAGTGGGTTGTTCTGTTGTCATAGATGCTTCTGTCTATTGTTTTAATCGGCGGTTGAACTGGAATCAAAATAGACCTTCAAAGAGTCCCCTAATCAGCTTCCAGTGACCTAGTTTTTAGAAAAGTAACTGCTCCTGTAAGGATTTCCCAAATACTAGTAAAATCCTTATGAAATCCTCTTCTTTCTTTTTCCTTTCTGTCTACGAAGTTTTGTTCTTATAAACTTGGATATATATATTTTTTTCAGATTATCAAACGAGGATATTCCTCGTTTTTTTTTTTTAATATTTATTCTGGAGGAACATTCTCTTCAGAGTCTGTAATCTTATGTAGGACAACCACTTGCAGGAGTTTCTTCAAAGCATTTCGTGTGTAGACATTTGGAGCTGTTACCAGTCAGTGGAGTAGACGATGCAGAATATGAGCAGCTAAAAAAGAAGAGTAGTCGCTGTTACTATTCTTAGGAGAAAAATTATTTGACCTGTGGGCTAAGATGATGTCCCCTTTGCGGTGGAATTCTGGTGAATTTTCTCGTCCTCTGCAGATTTTGTCTCTTTAAAAAGTCGTATAGTGTTGAGCTGGGTGATTTTATTTCCCATCACTATCATTCGTATGGAAGTTACTTAGTTGATTCAAACAATACTTTTGGTTAATCCTTTTCACCTTACTTTGTATTGAACTAAACTTCACATCATTTCATCTTAGATAGATTGATAAATTAAAAGAGTAAATAAGATATTCAAAAACTACATGTGCCACTATGTATTTGTTAGGCAATGGGGTGGCAACCATTGACACCCTTGAATTGATGAAGTAATACAATATGAGGTAATTATTGATAGTATATTAGTTTTCAAAGCAATGACTATAACTTATTGAGGAAGCTAGAGAAACATTGATTTATGTGACATTCCGCATGAAAAAGAATATAAATAGAACCAAAGGGAGGTGAAATATCCCATCAATGACTAAGTTTTACTTCAAATATATTCTACAAACAAGAGCCTATAGTGACAAAAATCTTATAATAAATTTGTTATATATTATGATGGGTAATAAGTGTTTACTATCATGAGTTAATAATTATTTAAGCAATATTTTATGTATTAACATGATAAATAACTTCATTTTTTTAAACTAAGAAAAAGTAACTTTTATGTGATTAATGTGATTTTTAATTAATTATGATATTTATATAATTTTTATATTTATATTTTTTAGTTAAAATAAAAAAATAAAAATATATACAAAAAAAGAGATACTCACCATTACTTGACAATTGACCCATAAGACATTACACACTAGTGGGAAGCACAATTGGAGCAACCATAGTTAGACTCAAGTGATTTAAAGAACCCACGTAGAGCACATGTGCACACTCTTCTTCCATGTCACTAGGGTTGAATTGGTGCATGAGACAAGGTATAATCTCGTCACATATGTGTGCGTGTGGGTAAACCACCTAGTATTTATTATCTCTATATGGTCTTTGTCATTTTATTTTTAGTAGAAGTAACTTGAATATAAATGTAGCCCAAAATTATATTTGATTCTAAAACCACTAAAACAAATAATGTGGGTCTAAATCATGGGTAGCACACATTAACAAAAATTCTATTAAAAATGTCCCTCCATAAAGAGAAAAGAGTGCACTCATATGTCTATTGTTGTAAACATATGATAGTAAATTGCTTAGCTTCACTTATGTAGTCAAGTGATTGGCATAGATTCAAATCTCACCAAAATAAAAAATTATAATTTTATTTTATTTTATTTTAACACAACTTTCCTATAGAGAGCCGGTTACCAGCTGTTGAAAATACTTGATTGTCGATGAAATCTTCATCAACGATAATCATTGTTAGTAACTAACAAATGATTGAAGATACAAAATCACGAATTCTTAAAAGAAATCAACTTGGGTTAGTCGATGAGTGAGCCTTTGTCAAAAACAAGGCAATCCACTAAGATAGTTGTCATAGTTTCTTCAAAGTGTTCAAATTATGATACGAGTCTACTTTTATTGCACAAACATGAGGAAGTAACTTCTTGAGATTTGCTCCATTACCATCTAGTTGAATTCTCTCAGGTGACAATCATTGGAGACGTAATCATCACTGAGCTTTTGCTTTGTTAGGTGACAATTGATAGAGAGGCTTCATTGACTTCTATCTTTGCCCTTTATACTTCACATGAGAATTTGAAGAGTGCCTACAATGTGTAAATCAAAGAAGAACAATTGAGGGTGTGAACACCTTTAGGGGTCATTCCAAACACTTAGGATTCTAGCAATCACCGTCATGACAATAGAACTCTATTTTTCTTATTTAAAAATTATTTAATGTTTAAATTAATGATAATTTTCTTGAATATAAGTTTTAAAACTCTTCTTTAGTTCATTATAATTTATTTAATATCTACCTATCTCGATTTCATCAATCAAATTGTTCATAATCACTTATGTAATAAATTTTAGACATAATGATATTTTTACCCTAATCATCTTTCTTCGGGGCACTTACGTCAATAGTCAAATTTTATCTTCTTATTTAATTTTTAAAATATTTTTAATGATATTTTAATTTAAAAAGTAGAAAAAATTCTATTCTTTAAAAAAAATTTGAAATTTTACTTGCTATTATATGACATCCCAATGATTAACCTAAAAAATCTATTATTTTCAAAGCTTTATCAAATTATAATTAATATATTTTATAAAAATACTTTTAAAATTTTAAAAATTAGTATTTTTCTATTTTATAAATTTTAAATTTACATGACTGAATATACATCGAATAAATTCTTAAATGATAAGAGTGGGGCATCCATGTTTCATTGCTAAAGCCCTATTATACAGATGATGAGGACTTGGCTAAGAATCAATCAAGGTGTCTGCCACCTATGGTCCAAGCCCTAGTAAAGTTAGAATCAACATGGACTACATTGATGCTATATATTAATTGATTGATGGGGGAAGCCAAAATTATGCTCATTGAAACACATTCTATCTAATCAATTGGCAATACCACAATGAAGAACCAATTGTGCAAGAGAAAGACAAACCTATGGTAGCTTGAAAACATGATTTACGAATACCATGTACACCAACGTTCAATGAGGCTGTTTGAGTCGAAGAGGAGGATAGTGTCACTAATATTGCCAAATAGGGTGAGGCCCCAACACCAGAACCTCGCATCTCAGCACTATAGTTGCACATGACACATTGGGCGCATGCAACATGATAGATGCACACATCATAGTACAATGCACACGCCATGTTGGTTTGGAGAAAGTAGGTAGTTGACGAAGTAGATGGAGCTGATGCCATGAGCACAATGTCATCTTGTGATTTGACAACTATCTAAGTTGACTTATTTATATGAAGTGACCTAGTCCCCTTGTGGTTGGCACCTTAAGAGTTATAAAGGATATCTTTATATTGAACCTCTTGGTTGACTACCAACACAAAGGTGGCATGATTTGACCAAGAACCTTGTGTCACCTTATGTTAGGAGTAACCTAGAAAAGTGAAAGGCAGTAAATTAATTTCCTTTAAATCATAATTAATATTCTTATTTCTTTAATCAAGACTAGAATAACTGCAATTCAAAAGGGAAAAAATGCTAGCTGATTTTTCAAGGGAGAGATTGATATAAGAAGAGAGAGCCACCAAGTGAGAAATCACCTAGTGATTGAATGATTAGTCCCACATCGAGTATAATTGATTTACCTAAACTAACTTCCTCCATAATAAAGGATCTGAACCCCCTTGTGGCCGGCACCTGGGGAGCTCTCAGTCACCAAGTTTGGCTGGTTGGTGTCGTGAACACGCCTAATGTCAACACAAAAGTCAGCATGATCCGACAGTCAGCCTGATGTCAAGGAGATTTTGAAATTATAGGCATCCATCCTATCAAGAAAAAACTGAAATATATACCATCGTTCCCCTCAATCCGTGATATAAGACACATTATATAGAATACACGTAGTCAACACTCAGACGTTGACTTGACAGTAGGAGAACGAGTGGAGATCAGAAGACTCATTCACGTTGACCTCGATGGGCCCGGCCCAGCCGACAGGCTCCTCACAGCCACCTTCACTGCGCCCACTGCCCCCAATTGCCTCATCCCCGGGCTGAGCCCCTGACCGTCTGCCTTCGCAGCCTCGTCGATCTGCACCCCGACAAAGAAGGCGATCTACCAGCATTGACCCAGAGGGAATCATTGTTAGTCAAAATCCCCTCGAGACAAATGGCATTCAGAGTGAGGGAAATAAGGCGCCTGCTGCTGGCCATACCTTGCCGGTGGCGTTCCGAACAGGGGACACATGGAGGATGTTCCAGAACGTACTCCTGTCCTTCCTGAGATCACCGCACAAGGTCAACGGCCTCAGATCCGGAAGAGAGTAGTATGCGAAGAAGAGTAGAATAGGAGAAGATCGAGAGGGCAGGAGGGTTAGACCTGTAATTCAGGATCCGGACCGTGCATGGGTTGGAGGCTTCGATGCTTGCTCGTAACTGGAGAGTAATTACAACAAGAACATGGTTAGGAAAAGATAAACGTTGACCATGTGGCAATTGCAGAGGAAGGAGTGAGGACAAGAACTGGAGAGTTTGGCAGTCAACCTGCTGTAATGCTTCATCATCTGTTTCGGGTCCACTTAGGAATCTGCAGTTCCTCCCCAAGACCTCCTGTCTGGAGTAGCCTACAAAAGGGGAAGCCCGTATGTTGATTTCCTTTAAATCATAAATAATCTCTCTCTATTTTTGAATCAAGACCAAAATAACAGCAATTAAGAGGGTAAAAATGCTAGCTGATACTCTGGATGTCTACCATATTTAATAATACTAAAACATGGATTTTTTTGTGGACAGACTGCCACAGGAGGAGGAGAGAAAATGGTAATTATGAACCCACTACCCCACTTCTTAGAGAGGCATTAAATTAGAGGGATTCGATTCTTCATAATCGCAGCTTCATTTCAGTAATAACCAATAAATTGTGTAGCCCATGACCAATTTCTTCCTTTTTTTTCTTTCCCTGATCTCTCCCAAAACTCGTTGGTCCAATGATAATGGATGTGTACATGTTCTTCATTAGGATATTGGGCAGGAGGACGCAGAGGCAGATAACAATCTAGGCCATAAAATCTTCACACTCAAGATACCCTAAAAGCAAGAATTCTCTGTCTTAGATTATCGTAGGAGATAAACTGGAAAGAAAATTTTGATCAATTACTTAAGACAACAATATGATGTGCACTCATAAGTCATCAAAGAGATACGATTTTACTCTCAGTGCTCCATTTCGAAGCCACAAAACTTACCTACTTGAGTTCTTCTTTATGAGTCTTCGGAAATACGATCAAAAACTTATTTAATGGGCGGCAGGGAATACGGTTACCACATGCAACATTCTAGCACGAAGAATAAAAGCCAAAAAAAGATCGGTAGAGCTACGATATACATGAACAAAAAATTCAACATTAAAAAAAATAATGGGGATTAATTAATTCCCAAAGTCGAAACATTCTGAAAGCACGATTAATGGCGTAAATGCATCATTGAGAAAATTATAGCAAGTTTCAAACAAAGATAATCATCTCTTGTGCTGAGGATCTCCAGATGGCAGCTTGAAAAAAACTCTCGTTCAATCAGTCCACACTGTCGATGTGAAAGCTTTTCTCATATTCCATTTTTTTTTCAACAAGAGGGAACTAAAAGATGCTAGCAAGACTTTAAAATAAACTATCCCGATTCCGGGTTCTCAACTTATACTTTTGATGAATTTCGGTACAGAGGATAATTTTTGTTGTACGGTTCTAGTCAGATTTTTTTTGATCTTAATGGATCTGAATAAAATTTTTACAAGGTTTGGAAGACAGAAAAACAGCACCCAGATCTTGAAGCATTGATTCCTATTCCGAAATCTGGGTGCTGGTTTTCTGGCTTTCGAACCTTGTAAAATTTTTATTCACATCCATTGAGATCAAAAATAGCTGACCAGAACCATGATTTGACAAATTGCTCGAACTCAAACACAGATCAGGTTGCAGTCTCAAGTGAAATCATGGAAGGAAATAATGCCATGACATGCTACCAGAAATAAGCAGGATAATGTATGCTAAAGAATTTAGCTCAGTTCATGAGTACCATGGTATTCTAGTGTTACATAATAAACGGCAAAAGGACAGGGAGATCGTCATTGGCTCATCAAGAGCGGACTACTGACATAACACCAGATTCATACCCTTCAATAAACAGGATAGTGATAAAAATTCTCAGAAAAATTTTGCAGCATCAAATGACGTGCACTGAAATCCATAAGATAGAGAAAAGACAAAAGTCAATAAAAACAATGAGATATTGAATACCTGTCAAGCTCAGGAATGCATCGCTAGCATAAACAATGGGCATACCAGGGAAATGGGGATCAGTCCTGAGACGTAAAAATTAGGATTTGTGAGAATCTAGATGCGGTAGTGCCGGATGCTACAGAGGCACTTCAGAATAATTCTAACGAGGGAATACTGTAATAGGAACAGGAACTTGAAACAACTCACAATACAAAGCTCTGTTTGATTCTACCAAGAGATATATTAAGTGATGAAGGAAGAGGAGCAGCGCCAGCCGAGCTACACCGCGTTCTACAAACTATTCTACCAGTGAGCTCACTATAGTGGGTCAGAGTGGAGAAAACATTATTAGCAGCATCTGCAGCTTTCTGTTTCTCAAGGTCCCCCACTTCACATGACTCTTTAGCCTCAAGTCCTGTAAGAGTTCATCCACAAAAAATAAAGTGAGAACTGACTGGCACAACACACCACTTTCTGACGTTACGAATCAGAGTTCTAAGAAAAATGCTATCATTACACTACTGAAGTAATCTAACCACAAAAGATAACGAGGGTGCATCAAACTAAGTCCACTAAGAAGAATCAAGAAATTTCGTACCAAGGATGATGCATGATCTAAGCACGGTAATCGCATGTTAATGGAAATCATTATAATTATTATATGCGCCATCCAATCCCAAAAATATTATACCATTTTTAGGTCCCCACCAATCATAATAATCATAAGATATTCTCAATCACAACCATGACCGATTGCAATTGTACCGAGAGGGCAGAAAAAAAATCTGAAGAAACCAGTTCGCAGAAACAAAAAGGAATAAAGAAGCGGAACAGTCGAAATCAATCAATTAAATCGAATCGATCTGCTGCATATGTGACGCGCGGAGGACTGAAATACTCTATAAAAAATCGCAGAGACCAATGAAAGTTTCGAAGGACCCAGGACGAATCCATGTCAAAGCACAGCGTCTGCAACCCCAATGCAATGAGTAACGCACAGATTTGGGTTCAGAGGGAATAGCCACTCGTCACTAAAACAAACAAAATAAATACGAGTGAAATGTAATAAACAAGTGCATACATCGATTTACTCTAGAATTGGGACGACGATTCCCACCTCTGTTGTCGGAATCCACGAACGAATCCACGGTGAGATTGCACAACAGCTCCATCTCTCCGCAAACTTCTCTCCGACACGACCCGACGACCGAACCCGTTCCACCGAGGCACCTCTGACCCTGCCGACGGCCGACCGCTGACCGTCCCGATATCGGAACCTGGACGGCCACGAAGTGTATCACCTGCCCGTCGTCTCTACTGAAAACGGGGAAGAGGTGGAAGAGAATCCACATCGGCCTGCCGTCCTTCCTGTAATTCAGGAGGCTAATCTGCATCGTCCGCTCCTCCCGAATTGCCTCCCGGATCTCGATCACCGACCGCCGATCCGTCCCAGGTCCCTGAAAAATCCTCCCATTCCTCCCCAGCACGTCCTCCCTGGAGTATCCGGACATCTTGAGGAAACCCGGGCTGGCGAACACAATCGGATGCCCGGAGATGCAGGGATCGGAGATGAGGAAATTGTCGGTGAGCTCATCCAGAGCCTCCACCACCCACTCCGAATAGCGCGAGGTGAGGGATTGCCCCACGAGCCGGTCTCTCCGCTGTGGCGCCTCCATCATCCTCCTCCCCGCCACCGCCGCCGCTGGCCGCTTCGTCCCCTGATTCTCGCGCGCGGCGCTTCCAGGGAGAACAGCCGCGCGGACCATGTGCGCACGCCGCCGTCGTGCGCCGCTCCGGCAGCTCACCTCATCGCTGCAGCTCCGCCTCAACGAGAAGGAGGGGGCACCACCGCCGCCGCAAGCTCAAGCGGCCGGTGAATAACGGCGGCGAGTTTAGGCGGCGTCCTGGAGGCATCATGAGGGCGGCGCGCCCCGACGCTTGCTGGGGGTTTTGGGAGGCGGCGGTTGGCGTGGCTCCCATGCGCCCACCGTCCATCGGATAGTCCCCATTACCCAGATCGAAGCACGGCCGCCTGATCGGAGATTTGTCTTCCGGCTATGGGGCCCACTTAACAGATACTACAGCATATGGCCACGCGGCGGCCAGATAGATGGCCCAGGAATGAACGATGATCGTTGTTCTGTGGTCCCCATTTCGCTTTCAGGGTTTCAGTGGCTCGAATCCTCCGGCCCGTTTGGTTCTCGGATTCCTCTTCTGTTTCGCCATCTGGCAGCCGCTATCACACCCACGCAAGCGACGTAGAGAGGGAGAGAGAGAGAGATGGTTGTTACCGTTCTTATCCTGCCACGTATTGATTCCGTCCTCCGCCACTGGTTTTGTTGTCCACTCCCAGACGCCACGTCGGATCCACGGACGGCACGTGACAGGTGGCCTAAACTAGTCACGGCCCGTGCGGTAAGCGAGTACCCGGCTCCGGTCGCTTAGTCTTCCCCTGTTTGGACCGGGGTGGGGACTCTGATTACCAGAGCTGGCCCGCTTACTTTTTTTCTTTTTCTTCTTCTTCCAGGGATCCCATGATCGGATCGGACGGCCAGATCAACGCGCCAGGACGGTGACCACTCTCTCTCTCTCTGTGTTAGTTCGTCCGTTAGTGGGGAATGACTTGGACGTCCATTCCAGCATTAAAGGAAGGAAAATGACAGATAATTGAGGACACATAATATTAGAAAATTATGCTGACCACAGAAAAATAATATAGGGAAGAATAAAAGATTGAAGAAAATGTTAAACGCAGGAAATAGTAATAATAAAAAAATTCCAAATTTTAATCCTAATTAGGATGGAACATGAATGATTTGCCCATATTTAGCATAGTTGACCTCGATCAAATAATCTGCTATGATTCTAGTCAACTTTTTCTCTCTCTAAGTCTGACTTCCTAATGACAAAAATCCTAAATCCCACCAAAGTTGGTTGCAAATTAATGATTTCTTAATTTTAATTTGATGGGTGTTTCTATGTATATAGATAAACTCATAAGTATCCGTTGGTGATTGGAATATTCCTCAATAAATAAGATAATATCCTGTGTGTATATTCATGACCCTAGATTAGGCAAATTATGCATCCCCCTCTTGATAATTCATGGCTTCGGTCCTTTTATGCCGCCAAGAGCAGGCCTTAGGCCCATTCCCATCTACTCTGAATACGGACGGCCCAGAAGCCCACAAAGAGCCCATAGAAGAAGCTACGACTTCTCTATGGGAATATTGGGCCGTGCGATTTTCAGTGTAATCAGCCCAACACGGCCCATTAATAGGATTGAGGGCGAAATTGAAAGGAACGTGTCAGCCTAGGATTGGCTGTTAAAAGAGGACTAGGAACTTCCTTGCGCGGCAGATCTTCTCTGATGACCTCACGTGACGCCGGAAGAACGTAAACATAATCGTTGGTAGTCTTAAAGGTCCAGTCAAACGTAGGGCGGCGGCTACGGCTTTCAACGCGTTGACTCCTGACCCAGACGTCGACTCGGCCCTTTGTAGCATTGGACAAACCAACGTGGAGGCGTTGAAGTCGCAAGCCTGCAAATGTTCTACGTGGTTGACGATATGTATCCATTACTTACCTTCTGGAAACACGGGTGGACGAACTTCTCATCGCCGAATGCCAAAAAGGGTGTGGGCGGGAGTTTACGAGCGAGAGAGAGAGAGAGAGAGTCAACCCCAGTGGCAACCGAACCAATGTGTCGATTTTTCGAAAAACCTTACCCAAGTCACCACATTTTACATGTCTAGTAAGATTATGTAAATATATCCCATAACCAACGATGTTGAATGGCACTTAATACGATATTATAGATTTTCTCTGGATGAAAAATATGCTCCAGAAGAAATCTTCATAAAATATCTCATCTCCAGTTTCATTTTTGGGTGGTTTACTGGTAGCTCCCCATAAACTGCTTAAAGTATTAATAAGCTCTCTTCTCTCTCACCAAACTTTTCAAGCTTCTATAAAAAATAGGGACTTATTGGTGTCAAGTCTCTCGACCAATTTCCATTCGAGGAAACCAAGTTGACTGTGGTTGAGATTGGTTAGTATTTAATTTGATTTGAAAAATACTCGTTAGAAGCGATTCTCCGCTTCGCTTCCGCCTCTCTAGGCTTCACAATTACATTTCCCCCCCTGTGCCAACACTTTCACTTGTTAATTACCATAATAGGCATTTAGATAGAATAGTAAAATATAGTTAAAATTTAGATCAGAGAGATACCATAAAGTACAATGGAATGATTGATTATTTTCTAATAGCCCGACACCATATGAACGACGAGTTTGACTTGACCTCTGAGCCGATCGCTCCTGTGAGAGATTCGGAGTTTTCTTTAACGTGGTACGATTGGCCGCTGAACAGTCCGGTCTAAGAAGTACAGACAGACATCTTTAGACATAAAATAACGTGGAGATGTTTGGTGGCGGTTGTCAGGGCAGACAAGCGCCACCGGAGTCCTAACAAGGTGGAGCCACCAAGCAGCGACATTCTCGGCTGCCCCCGCCGCCTTCTGCTGTCGGAGGGATCGCTCGGCAGCAATGTCCCCCCCTTCTCTCTTGACTGCGTTCTTTAAAAAGAATCGAACTCGCCATTAAGGAGCCGGAAGCCTCTCAGCAGAAACTCCAATAAGAACACGAACTTAATCTTTCTTTCAACGGCTGTTCAGATGAGACGATGAGAAGGAAGCTCACCGGGAGGGGAGAGGGGGGGGGGAGACGACACCAAATCGTTTGCCTCGTCGTGGCGTTATCTGCGGGAGATTGGACGGCGGAGGGAAGTTAAACCGAGCACGGGGTTGTATTTTATTGACTGGGAATGACTGTTGCTTAGTCGTGCGGTTAAGATCCCACCTGCACGTCGAGGGTTGACATCTGTTTTCTTACTGACAAAGGAAACTCTCGTTGACCGTTGAACAACCGAGGTTAAGAAGAGAGATAACACTGTCGACAGGGATGCCTTTTGAGAGTTGTCTTCTGGATTTGTCTGAGGTGAGATGAATTGGTGATAGATAGAGGAGAAGAGAGACGTATAGTGTAGTTTAACCCACTCTCTACATCATCAAACTCTCTCAGTTGTGACCTTATCAGTGGAAGGAACGTAGACCAAAGGACTAACCCAGTTTAGGGGTGAAAGGTTGAATGAGAGATAAAGACGCGTGGAGCTCACCCATTATTTCCAACCCTGAGGAAGGCACGTAGAAGGGGGATATATCTCTGACGCTAAAAAAAAGAGGTAAATTGGACACCAACTTTAGAAATGTTGACATGATATATTTGGACTTTTTGTTTGTAATTATCGTGACCATTCGAAGTTGGGGGGCCGGAGTCAATCCTCCCTGGAGGTACATAATAAGAGGTCTTCCCCCCGCCCGCCAAAAGCATATCATGGCGACAGTCTCGGAGTTACCACACACCAACATGTCCTACCCTCCATCATTTTTTGAGGACTTGCTGCTGTTCATGGAGAGTGATCCCTTCTCGCCCCCGTCCGCCGGCGTCGGCGAGGCTCTAGAACAGCTCCTGTTCCAAATCTCTGATCACCTTGCGTTCGACGAAGGATCCCAGCCAGGAGGGTCGCTGCCGTTGGCCGTCGCCGGAGAGGATGAGAGCCGCCCCCAGGCGGCGGCGAACGGCACCGACAATTCGATTATGGTCGAGCAAACGAGTTGCAGGATGTAAGTATAATTCCCCTCCCGTTCGCTTCACCATGCACCATGCACTTGCTAAATTCGCATTTTTCCCATATTCAATCTCAGGGAATGCGAAGGCACGTCCAAGAGAGCAAAGAAGGATTCAAGTCCAAGAATCGGATTCAGGACGAGGTCAACTATCGAGGTATTAGAGGATGGGTACAAGTGGCGGAAGTACGGGAAGAAGTCGGTCAAGAGCAGCCCTAATCTAAGGTATGCCGTTTGGGGGTATGTAGATTAGTCCCAAATCGAATGATCAGAGGCGTTCCTATTTTCCTATTTTGGGTTTTTGCTTCTGCATTTTGCCGATTTAGCACCAGTGGCTTATAATACGGAAGAACCCTACATGCAGGCAGATCAATGGAATACTCCCTCTCTTCTTCACTTTATTGTTCAGTATATTACATTAGAAGAGTCTCACCTCGATAGCATGTATTCGATTTAAAGTATGTAGAGGTGTGAGATTTACGATTTCTTCTTAGGCTATTGCGCTTTCGATTGATCATCGTCGTTCGATATTTAACTCCTGACGAGCTGCGACGACGAACCAGGAACTACTATCGGTGCTCGACGGCGGGATGCGGCGTGAAGAAGAGGGTGGAGAGAGATGCGGATGACGCTAGCTACGTTATAACAGTGTATGAAGGGACGCACAACCATCTGCCAACCGGCGCCGTCTACTACCCTGTGCCAGTCAGTGGCCAACACGCTACAGTGGCACCGGCGGGCGACATTGCCGCAGCTGCCTGGGGTTCCTCAAGCAGCGCGATGAGCACGATGCGGCTGGATCCTCAACGATGGGAGACTCACGGAGCCCACTTGCCTTGATGAAGGGTTTTGTCGATCACCTAGTCGATCGCTTATCTGTGTATATACTTTCCTCGGACATCTACCGATGTCTCCGCTCCCCTTTTTTAAGTCTAAGCCATTGGAATTTCTCACCTAGTCGATCGCTAGACTAATTGGTTTATGGCAGTCTTTTCTCAGCTTTACTATGATAAAGGGTTGAAATAAGGGCTCCGAATCCGGCAAATCACGCATTAGTCTGTGCTGTAAGTGCCAAAGAAGCGAGAGGAGATGACGTTTAACAATTTCCATTTGCGATCAAGGCGTAGATTAACAGGATTTGGGGATAATCTAACCAGATAATGTTAGAAACTAATCAGCCAAACTCTCACCGACAGTTTGCAATAGAGCGGATAAAATCAACTAAATACAGAAAAACTCGTAAAGCAAGCAACCGAATGGGATCATTGAGGAGTTTAAGGTCAGTCAACAAGCTCTATGAGCAGCGCGTCGCGTCCCCACGTTTACAGTTATCAATGGGGAGACTTTCGCTGGCGTGGAGTCGACGGTTTTCAACGCTGGATTTCTTCATTTGTCAAAGTCGCTTTTGTTACTAGAAGCTCAAATATGAAACGAAACGGAGGAGATGGCTTGGTCGTCTCAAAAGTATACCTTCTTACACGTACGGCATCTCTTGGAATGAAGATCCAGATGATCGGTCATTGAAAAGAACAAAAAAAGTCAGCTTCGTGATTGATGATGCCCCGTCAGACATGCCTCATTCTCCCGAGGCCAACGCGCTTACTTCATGTGAATGCCATAGAAGGCTTTGTCAACCTGGCCACGTTGACAATCAACCTCCTCTTACCTCAAGAAACCGTCCCCCTTGACATTCGAACGGATCACCGTGTTGATTTTAACGTTAATGCGTGTTGAGAAAATAGCAAGGAACGGGGTAGCCTAACTATATATTTTAACATGAACGTATGGATGAATAGGAATGACGTCAGCTGTGAGATGGGCAGCGTGCGGAGATTATTATGATCAATTGGAATTTTATCCTGTGGAACATTGTTATTAGTTGTTATGCAGACTATGAACCGTCAACTATGGAGTTTCGTTTGATATTAATTATCGGATAAGTAATTTGTACTACTTTTTGTGCACTTTGCTATGATTGCTGAAAGGGTTCTACCATAGGAGACGTCGACGGGGGATCATTTGACCCAAAGTTGAAAAATCTTCGCGGCCTTGGTTAGGTTTGCGTCCTATTCGAGGATGCAGTCAAGGACTTCTAGGTTTTGGACTTTTGAAATGTGGGGGGACAAAGAAAGATTCGTTGTCAGAGCCTGTGAAAGGAGCCGTTTGTTGTTATTTTTAATACACTAGCCACAACCATTCTGGATCGACGTAAAGGTTATCTCTTATTGAGAGAGTGACAGTCAGAGAGAGAGAGAGAGAGAGAGAGAGAGAGAGAGAGAGGAGTCACGTGGATAATATGAGAAACAGAAAGTCTATCATGAAATTCGTCATGCAAAGTGACTAGACCGAGGTGGGCCTTACTATTTTTTATTTCGTATCCTGATTTTCGCTCTCAAATCGGGTAAAAGAACGAAGATGTTATTACGGAACTGATTGTGCTTAAATTAATTACTTGAATCATTATCACTTGATGACAATGATCCGCGAGAACCGGGGAAGAAAGGATTAGGGTTAGTCTCCTCCCCCGACTAGATTGCCATTTCAGGCGGTATGTTAGTGCTAACATAGATAATATGAGAAAAAAATCGAACCATGTCGGCTTCGACTCCGTGGGATGGGACGGATGGACTCCATTGGGAAGGAGTTCAAAGACATGAATTCGGTGGACTCCGTCAAGTAGTAAGCGGACGTCATTACCCCTCTCCCGGTATAATTATCAACTAGAAGGGGAATCTCTTTCCTTGGTTTAATGATTTAGAATACCGGTTGTAGAAAACTAGCGAAATGGAATGTGACAACTCTCAAGAGTTGACTCGGATATTCTCGATTTTGACTCATTGACTCTAACCCATTCCAGCTGGAATGGGCTGGCTCTCAGTGTCGCGTACTTGCTTGACGCCGGTCGTGTGGGAGAATCGTCCGGAGGTATCCATTCGGACTCAGTCGTAAGTTCCAACTCGTCGAATCAGTCTAGCTTCACCATGTTGTATATTACCCATATACAAAAGCCTGATTCCTAGGATTAAACACCTAGTTGGCAGGCGTTAGATGGGAGATTTATCCCTGGTTATCGACTCGGACGACTGAGAAGCGAGTTGCACCGGCTTAAATTAGGCTCTATTCGATATGATGATGTTTTGGGTTAATATAGTTTTATTGCATTAATAAATCTATATATTTTTTCGACCTACGCATGCTTTGAAATGTTTTGAGAAGGATGAAGCCATCTCTAAGGTACCTACGTCGACGCATGGGGAATTTACGAGTTGACCGTACTTCATGTTAAAACCTTAAAGCAACATCCTTCGACTGCATGGTCTCTTCCTTTGAGGAGCGAGGCTCATCGACTGTTCTCCGTATAACCATGTACAATACAGTGGCCAGTGCTGTAGGTACTTTCTGCTCTGACGCCAGCTTAGCCCCTGCGGAGCGCCGGCCGGTACTTGAAGCGTGAGCTCCAGAACAAGAAGTGGAGGAAATTAATGGTGCTGAGGATGCACATGAGCCAGTAGAAGCTCTCCAGGCGGTAGCTATTGAGGTTGCCACCGGCCAGCCACGGCTTCTGGTGGTTGCCATTGGTGACGCTGTTCACAATTGACACCAAGATAGAGCTGAGGTAATAGCCGATCGCTAGGGATGCCCAGGAGAGAGACGTTGCTAAGGACCGCATGCTCGACGGCGCCTCTGTGAAGAAGAACTCAAGCAGGCCGGCGAGAGTGAAGAGGTCGGCTGACCCCAGGAAGAGGTACTGTAAGGCCACCCAGAGGAATGTGATGGGAAGCGGCGCCGCCGAGTGGACAGTTCCCGTGAGGGAGGCGACCCGCTTCCGCTTGACCTCCACTAGGGCGGCCACCGCCATGGCCAGCACGGAGAGGACCAGGCCTACGCCGATCCTCTGGAGCTGGGTAATGCCGGATTCGGTCCCCCTCATCTTCCGCGCGAAGGGCACGATGATGTGGTCGTAGAGAGGCGCGACGACCATGATAAAGGCGATGGGGAAGACCGGGAGGGATGCCGGCGGTACGGTGAGGGAGCCAAGCCTGGTGTCCATGGTGGCCGCCTGCTGCACAGAGAAGGTAGAGAGCTGGGCCAAGCAGCAGCTGAGCATTATGGTGGAGAGGAAAATGGGAAGGATCTTGACGACCACCTTCACCTCTTCCACTTCCTCTACCGTGACTGCGAGCGCTTGGTGTATGGGTTTCCTCTCCATTGCCCTGTTGAGGAAACACAACTCCCGGGATGGGAGGCGTGAGGCCTCTTTTAGGGTATTCTGTTCCCCCGCATGGAGGTTCCATGTGGGACTGGTGGCCATGTCTACCACTGCGCCTCTGGGAGCTTGATGGTGGCCTTTAGGGTTGAGGGCGGCCGCAAATAACACCTGCCCAGAGTTTTAATGAGAATGAAGCATTCAACTCCGTAAGAAAGAACAGAGTATCTTAGTCTCAGATAATCCCATGTCCCCGGCGCTTACCCTCGCAATAGTGGAGAGGGGGCTTCCCGTCGGCGTCTTATTCCGGTAAGTGGCGGAGCCGGCGAGGAAGACGGGGAAGGAGAGTAGTACGGCGACGGTGGATATCCCGAAGCCCCACTGCCAGCCCTTGTTGTCCTCCAACCACACCACAAAGGTGACGGCCACCAGCGCCCCCAACGAGAGGAAGAAGACGAAGTAGTTGAAGAAGGTAGACCTGCTCTTTCGCCCCTGCGTCGTCTCCTCGTCGAATTGTTCGGCGCCGTGGGCAGGGAGCGAGCCTTTGATGCCCCCCACGCCCAGCGCCACGAGATAGAGCCCGGCGAAAAGCAGCGCCGCCTTCCCGCCGGAGACCTCCTCGCAGGGCCTGCTCGACGGGCCGAGGAGATGACACTCGGGGGGCTTCAGAGATCCCGTCCGGGCTTGGATTGTTAATATAACCAACCCCTGTGAGAAAGGAAATCCAAGGCTCAGCAATAGACCGTTGGTTTAGAGTTTTCGTCGGGTTCCGAAGTTCTAGCGAAAAGAGAGTGTTGCCCTAATCTAGCCCATGACGAAGAAAGCCGCGGCTAAATCTGGAGGGTTAGGTTATTAACCAAATGGGTTTCCAGACTCCCATGGATTTAGTTCGAAAAGTTATCTGTCCTCTTCTGCGAGAATCCGTAGCCGTTGCCGGCAGAAAAACATAGGAGCTATTCGCACGGGCCCAGCGTGGGCTGCATGGAAATGCGATCCCCACCACAGCGCGCGATGCGCCGCTGCCGTGACGTCGGTGAGAACCAACCACCGACGGACTTCCGGTGGGCGGGGTTACAGCGGCGAGGTGTGTACCAGGAACTCGACGACGGCGCTGATGAGGTAGATGCGGAAAGAGGTGTAGAAGGCGTCGGAGAGGAAGCCGCCGAGAAGGGCGAGGAGGAAAGCGGTGCCCATGAAGGTGGTGACGGCGTTGGCGGCTCGTGCGGGGGAGAAGTGCATGGAGCCCGTCAGGTATGTCACCAGGTTGCTCGCGTTCGCCAGGAATGCCAGGTTCTCCATCGCCTCTACCGCTGCCGGACGGAGAGTTTGACATCACTGTGGGAGAGAGAGAGAGAGAGAGAGAGAGAGAGAGAGAGGGAGATGAGAAGGGTACCCAGAACAAAACAAGCCGCGCGCATACCGCCGTGCCTGGCCTTCAAAGCCGGCCGGTGCCGCCAGTCGACGTAGCCCGGCCACGTCTCCGAAGGAACGCTCTCCTCCTGTAGGAACGACAGTCTGGGGGGATTGGGACGAAGAGAATGACAACATACGACGGGAGGGGAGAGAAGGGATACCCACCATTTCTTCAAGGGACGAAAAAAGTTCGACCTAGTAAACCGCTGAGGAGCGAAGGGTTGAGAGGATCAAAGAAAAGAGAGCAGAATGCTGCATTTAAAGGGCTGGGGGAAGCGCGATGCCTGAAGACTGCGGGGACTCACCACCCGGTCCCTTCCTTTCCCTTCTCCCAAGCGGTAACTTTTCTCGCCCGTCTCAGACATAAACTAGCCTCCCTGTACCGGACATGTGGTGATCGATCTTCCAAATTTCTCGATAGCAGATTCTCTCAAAGAGAGAGAGAGAGAGAGAGAGCGAGAGATGTGCAAATCACCAAAAAGGAGTCTACGTAGCGCCCGTTCGTGGAGGTTGAAAGCCGGAATAGTGAAGACAATACCGAAAGGTGAGCGGGGGGAGTTTGCTGTTGAGAGGCCGAGGGGATCTTAATCGGAATAATGGCTTCCCGCATGGCAAGTAGCCCGTCGCCCAGGCAGATATTCGATTCTCGCCGCCACCAGAAATGCTGGGAATGCTGGGAACGGTCGTCCTTTCAGCCCAATCATGTACCGACGACAATGGCCACTACCGAGTGCGTCGGCCCCCACCCTTCCACTCTCCAAACAGCCGAAGTGAAAGATATGGAGCAGGGGAGACGTATGTGAATCTAGCGAGCGAGTGAAAGAGCGAGAGAGAGAGAGAGGAGAGAGAGAGGGAGAGAGATAGAGAGGAGAGAGAGAGAGAGGAGAGAGGGAGAGAGAGAGGGAGAGAGAGGAGAGAGAGAGGAGAGAGAGCGAGAGGAGAGAGGGAGAGAGCGAGAGAGCGAGAGAGAGAGAGGGAGAGAGGGAGAGAGAGAGCGAGAGGAGAGAGAGGGAGAGAGAGCGAGAGAGGGAGAGAGATAGAGAGCGAGAGAGAGAGAACGAGAGAGGGAGAGAGAGGAGAGAGAGAGAGAGAGGAGAGAAAGAGAGGAGAGAGAGCGAGAGGAGAGAGGGAGAGAGCGAGAGAGCGAGAGAGAGAGAGGGAGAGAGAGAGAGGGAGAGAGAGAGAGGGAGAGAGAGAGAGAGAGAGAGCGAGAGAGATGTTTGATGAAATGCCGATACGGCACCGGGCTCCGCTCCTCCCTCCCCCACGACGGCACGCTTCCGTCAGCTTGGAATCAATGACGCAAGAGGTGGGGCGACGCCGGATGACGGTCAGAAATGAACCCATATGAGCATTACTATATTCCCCCAGACGAAACCATGGGCAAGCTCAAATATGCCGATGACCGATCAAACATTCGTAAAGAATGATAAGCTGAGGCAATCGATCCACCAGGGACCCACCTCCAATCAGTATGAACATGAATGCGGTCTTCCTCGTCCAATTCAAGAGCCAGACGCGCTAAAACTGCAACCGCGTGAGGGTAGAATAATCTAACCTCCTTCCCCCTCCACTCCCCTCGGCTCTGAGTCGCATCATCTCCTATGAATATGATGAAGCCGCTAGCCCGCCACGAGGACCAGCCAAACAACACAGTAAATCGAAGAAAGGCGGGTTTCTTTTTTCTCTCTTTTTTTGTTCTCGTTGGGAGATGAGGGCGCGCCCCCACAACGATCGATCCTTTTCAGCAGGCACAGCCGCCTCCCCTCTGTTCCGTTTCAGGCACTGCTTCTGGGATGGTCTGAAAGTATCTGCACGACAGTAGGATGTAGCCCATGAGAATAGAATAGGGGAGGCCAGAAGAAGATGATGTCTGAAGGAGTGCTGTTGGTCAATGATTTCCAAACTGAAGGGGGCATTAGAACAGTGCAAAGTAATAGAACCCCATCGAATCAGAGACAGCAGAGAGCACAGCAGAGAAGAGCGGGTAAGGGGGAATGTGAATGTGGAAAGACAGCGTAGGTGGTAGAGGAGTCGATTGCAAAGCCCAGTTCGACCCTAGACGTCTTTAACAAGGTCTGCACTTGAAGAATAACCCATAGACGAGTCCCAGGCTAGATAGATGCTCTTAAGCCCAGAGTCTTCTTGTTCTTGCCTCATGACTGTCCCACTATTATCCACGCGGCACACTCTTGTCTCTTTGCTCCCCTCTCTCTCTCTCTGTAGCCTGGGCTAGATGCTCTTAAGCCCAGGCCTGCCAGATAGGCCCGCTTAGCTTACTCCTCCATACGCACCCATATCTGGCAGGCCTGGGCTTAAGAGCATCTAGCCCAGAGAGAGAGAGACAAAGAGAGAGACAGAGAGAGAGGGAGGGGCAGGGGGTAGGAGCAAAGAGATAAGGACACGTGGATAATCGTGGGATAATCATGTGGCAAGGAAAAAGGGACTGAGCTTTCCAAGCTAGACCTGCCACACTGGCACAGAAAGATGCTGGGCCAGGCCGGGCTTACCTGGCCGGCCCACAAGTGCCCCTAATAAGTGGTGACAAGAACCCAAGGTTTTAGAGAAGAATATGTCGATGAACATAGATGTAGATCAAATATGAAATTAGTATAAGATCAATGACATCAGTTCATTGGTTCTTCATGGGGTTAAGAAGAATGTAAACCAGGTGAAGACTATGAAACATCATCAATTAAACAAGAAAATAAATAATGAGAAATAAAGATGCGTACATATCCATATCATGCTGATTTGCTAGTGCCAGTTGTGCAATGCGCAGAAAGGCAGCGTCCACATTATAGTCCTCTTTAGCCGATGTCTCAAAGTATGGTATACCACCCTTTGAAGCACACCATTCGTTAGCCTTTTTCTCTGAAACCTACAGTTTAAAAAGAAAACTAGTTATGCAACAGTTATCAACATGAGATGAAGGCAAGGAGATTTTCTGATGTTCTCACCACTCTGCTGTTCCCACCATCTATATCCACCTTATTTCCAAGAAGAATGAAGGGGAATGCCTTTGGATCAGGTGGGCTAGCCTGCAGTGCAGCATAATATGATAAGATGAATATGCACATCATAAAAATATAACAAAATAACAAGGGGAGAAAATCTAGGTACGTGATACGTGCTGAAGTGTTTCGATGTTCAATCAGCATTAGGTAACAATTTTTATGTACGATTATCTATGGTCAAAACATTGATCCCAGGATTAGTATTAAGATTGTTGAAGGCCCCAATCCCATAACAGTGTTGGACCCAGCGTAATACAGGTTCGTCCAATCCATCATCAATCAGTTAAATCATGCAACGGTGAAAGGGGATACCCTTCCCGATCAGCAACCCAGACAAGCCGTAATAATATTTTCTTCCGCTAGAATATTAAGATAGGTTCAAAACCAATGTGATAATGTTATTCGAATTGCATATTCTTCATACGCATGTTCTGACAACGACAAGTGCATTTGCTTCAACACACTTTAGTGCTTTGTACGCACGAAACCCATGATTTTTTTGTCATAATTCTCAAATCTAAACGTAAAATGGTTTTAAACAATATCATAGGATGGCAACATCAAAGGAAATCATACACCATGGAAGAAAAGGATGAAGAAGCACGGGAACATAAATAGCGGTGTAGATCTTGACTGAGAAAAAAAATTCACTTTTTCCTCCTCTTTCTTTGTTTAAGTGAAAAAAAACTAAAAAAACTACAGCGTTAGTATACACAGAAAGAACAACAAGCTGCTGAGATATTCCCCTTTCTCCCTTTTCTTAAACCTCATCTTTTCCTACATCACCAGAGACGAACCAGACAGACGTGGAATAAGGGTTAACTGACAACTTTCGAGCCAAAGCACTTTTGGCAGCACGCGAAAGCGGTGTATATTCCTATTTTATTTTTAAAACAGGAACGCTACAAAAATAGGTCCACATATTATCCTTTGACTTTGTTTTTGATGAAATTGTCATATGCAAGTTCATTGCTAGAATGCACGCAGTAAAAAGTTCAAAAATTTGATTGATTTGTAATCTTCAAACACTGAAAAAGATTACTAGCTGGCAATTTATAATTTCATTGTCATTTTCACATAAATATGGAGTTTCCTTTGGTTGCAAGTATACCAGAGTAAAAGGCGGTGCGATTGTTTTATGAATTGAAAAGGCAGTGAAAAATATTTTTTGACTTATACACGACTGCTATCATTTTCCTTCTCGTTTAATGTCATGCTCACTAAATGGCCTTTTTTTTTTTACCAAGAACCATATGCCTGACACCTTTGGTGAGATTTAGCATAGTTTGGATTTTTCCTATTTCTGTCATTAAAGTAATAATTTCTCTTTGCAGAAGCTATCATCGTCCATTAGCGTCCTCCAGACCACACCTTCAAACGATAATTAATGTCAAGCTATCATCACAAAGTATGGATCTAACAAGAAAAGCTAACAGTTTCCCCTAGTTACTACGATTCAAAAAAATCTCTAATAATTACAAGATTATTCATTAACAAATCTTCTCTTCAATTTAAGAATGATACCAAAAGCGTAGATCTGGCTTGCTGAAAAATCCAAAAATATTCCGTACAATGCAGTACATTAACAAAGACTATATAAAGTAGGATGTCTTCATGCTCAATCCGTAGAAGAAATGGTAGAGGAAAGGAAACCACCTATCTAACTTTGCATAAAATTGTCTTTCCCTTAAATTTAACTATGTTCTACTGGTAAAGGTAGCAAAAGAGTTGAGTAACCGAGAAGGATAGCTGTCTACAGTCGTTTTCCACCTGAGGATTTACATCATGACTTAATAATGTTCATCTAACCTTTTGCTACTTGGTAGTTCTAAATTGACAGTAGGAAATGATACAAGTCACACGGTTTCACTTTTGAATGCTTTTTTTGTTAAAAGGTTTCGATTGTAGCTAAAGGAACACAGAAAAAAAGTCATACGAAGAAGAAAACATAGGTAACTATCAAAGGGCTCTAAATTATCACAAGAAGAACAATGAAAGAATGAATAAACCCCCAAATAAAAATCGGAAAAAGGAAATAGAATGATCATTACCTGGCTTAGAAACTCATCATGCCAGGTATCAAGAGTGTCAAATGACTTGAGTACATTAACATCATAGACAAGGATGCAACAATCCGCCCCTCTGTAGAAGGCAACACCAAGACTCCTGAATCTTTCCTGACCTGCTGTGTCCCAGATCTATCATGCAACAAGTAAATTTTAGGAAATTGATGAGTATAAGAAGCTAGGCAAGGATATTTGAAGAACAGTAAGAGCTTACTTGCAGAGTTACAAGTCTATCCTCGATTAGAAGTTCCTTTGTGACAAAGTCAGCACCAATGGTGGCTTTGTACTGCTGACTGAACTTCTTGTTAACATATCTATGAAGAGTTAAGGATCCAAATGGCACAAAAGGCTGCACAAATATACACAAATATATACACTTGCACAGCAGATAACTATACAGGAAAACAACTAGGAAGGACAACGTATGACGGTAACACAAGAGATGCGGCGTAATATAAATCGGGGGAAATCATATGAAGCAAGGCCACTCCCAAAATTTTCTCCATATTGGCAAAGACCGTACATCCAATTAAGCTTAAAAAGCGAGATGTAGTTGTCCAGAAAAGGGAAAAAGAAAGTAAGGCTAAAAAAAAGTCAGAACAGGCAAGAGAAAACGTGTTACAACAACCAAGAAGACACCAGAAGAACATTCAAACTGAAATGCCTGCCATATTGGAAATAAAGAGAAAAGGCACTATGACACAGAAGCAAGTAACCCAATGCTTGGGGGATACTGGTTCATCAAAGACGTCTTACCCACCCTGGGAAATAAAACCAAAAATGAGAAAATCAAACAGCGAAATCATGCAAGTAACGCATCAGCAAAACCCTAAGCACCAGAACAATCCAATAAACAAGACACTGTACAGTCCTTAAATCCTGTGTAAATTCCTCAGAAGAAAAAAAGAAAATGAAGAAAGAGGGCACGCCGCACCCGCTGTCCCCCAGTACGATCACTTTGAGCAAGGTCCGCCTCCGCGCCGACATGGCCGGAGCGATCCGAGGACGCGGAGGGGAGGAATTGAACACGAGATCACTCCCTACTTGAAGAAGCTCTGGCAACGATGAGGCTTGGGCAGGTATTGACGCAGAAGACGACGAGAGGGGTGGGTGCGGCGTTGGAGGTTCCTCGTTCTCCGGGCTTCTTCGCTGCTGCCGGCATGTGAAAAACAGTTCGGCCGACGGCGCCAGCAAAGGCCTCCCTTTCAAATGGCCGAGGGGGCCGGCGCTGCGCACAATAGAGGCGTGCGCCGCAGATCCGTGAGGTGGTTGTTGGTTGTGGGATGGCGCTCGTCGCAGACATCCCAGGAAAATGCGCTGGCCTAATCTTCACCGTCCGATTCCCATCACGTGAATCGGGCGATGGAGGAAACACTCCGATCCGCTCTGGGATCCGCTTTCAGCCGACGAGGCGCACGTGACCCGTGGATAGCGAAACAGAGCCATGGACACCTTTTCGGTCCCGAAACCCCGAGATTCTTTCTTACAACGGGGTGAACAGAAAGCTAGCGCAAAGTCAACGGTAGCGTCTCATACTCTCGTGAAAACTATAAATCCAGCTTCTAACTCCAGCCGAGCTGGCTAAACGCCGCCGCATATGCTTCCAGTCAACCACGATCGTTTGATCTTTGGTTTCACACAAACTATAACTTGTGCCCATGAAACATCTTATCAAAACTCTCTCTCTCTCTCTATCTCTCTCGCTGTCTATCTCTGATTTTGAGCCGCAGAAGATGACTGCCGCAGCAGCTCACAATAGAGAAAGACGAGCGCAGAGGCAGCTCTGGCTCCAGCCGCTGATGCCGCCATGGCTGCTGCCCAATGACTTTCCCTGGCTTGCTCAGCATCTCTCACTGAAGCCGTTGAATCCTATGGCGGGGACCAAGTTGGGTTCGATCCCCGTCAACGAAGCCTGGGTCAACTGTCTCCCCTTTTTCTCTCCCTACTCTTCACCGGTCATCTCTCCTTTTCCAGATTCAGTAACAGGTCGTCGACTTTAGCCCTCAGTTCCTTGTTGTGCGTGATGCGAGCTTCATTCACGGTGTGGAATCCCACTAATCGCTTCACCTGCACGGGTTCCATCAATGGCGGATGCTCCTGTCGCCCAAATGCTCGAAGGGGAGGAAGATCAGGGAGGAGTGCTCTTACCAGGAGCTCTAGTCTGGTCAGCTGTTCCTCGAGCCATTCGGTTTTCTTGGGATCAGCTTCCATAAAAGGGAAGCTGTCGATGGCCTCCCGAAGCTTATCGATTCTCCAGAGCAAGGAGAGGGCAGAGTCCAGAAAAGGGTCGTCACTCTGGTTGGGAACCTGCTCAGCGAGACTCCCAATCTCGTCCAGAAGGTCGTCCTCCAGACCCTCCAGTATGTCTTCAAGCACGACCAGGCAGGCCTCCTTCTCTCGCTCAAACTCTCGGAGCTTCACCTCCCTCACCACCTGATCGTCTCTCTTGATCAGGTTTACTACTTGTAGCATTGAAAGATCGATGGAAAAGGGTACCACCAGAAGGTCTTACCAGCTTAAGACGAAGCCATTTCAGTCTTATCCTCAGTAGTTTCCTCTGATTCCCCTCAATGCACAGAGAAAAACATGAGAAAACCAAAACATAGAGCTTACAGAAAGCTAGAGAGAGAGAGAGAGAAAGAGAGAGTTGGGAGGGGAGGAATTTGTTCCGAGGCCTCACCTGGAGAGAGTACCTCAATGCTCCGTACAGAAGAAGTAGCTGCCCCAGTCTTTCTAGGATCGACTGCAATCCCAATGAAAAGAGCTTAGAACACAGAATATGATTTAAATGGAAGCTAATGAGGGATAAAACGAGAAGATCTCACCATTTCTTCTGTTGATGTGCTTGAAGATGTCCAGAAAAGGCCTGTGGAAGAAGGCCATTAGATTTTGTTAAGAGCTCCTGCCAACTTAGTTCATTGAGATCATAAATCCACAGTGTTCCAAGCACTTCTATGAACACTGTTCTTCGTCATTATCCACGGTCATCAAAATCATGAACATAGTAGAGAATTTGCTGAATTCTGGCTCACCTCCGGCCAAAGCTGTCAAACCGAAGCAAGCCCAATCTCCCAGCTTTGCCAGCTCCGACCGCTGGTGTGACTGGTAGTTCCATGCCCTCGTCCCTCCCGCCCAGGAAGAATAGGGATGGCCGCCACTTCCCCTCCATCCTCCAGCCTCAGGGCTCGGCAATGGGTTCAACAGGGCCCTACTCCGCGTCTGGGCACTCCAAGATGACAACAGATTACCTGCATCATGTGATAACGGAGCGCGTGAGCATTCTTGGGTCCAAGGAAGACCACAGACAGGTATCCAAATGGTGATCGCCGCCCTGGTTTCGATCCGGACGTCCAAAGAACGACTGCTGATGCACGGAGACGAGGTAACGGGGGGGACATAGACGGGAGGGAGTTGGCTGTGTACCACGAAGAACACCGAATTGGATTCTTGGATTTCGGAGGAAGGCCGCCATCGCTCGCTAGGGTTTCCCTCGAGGGCAGAGCGGACTCCAAAATTTTAGGGCTAGTTGGACGAGAAGAAAGGGGGAAACCGAAGAAGCAAGCAGCAGTCGAAGAAACTTGGGTCGCCACACCCTGTCGATCCTTTGGAATCCGAGGACGCAGGCGAGTTTGGCGGCTCGAACCACTCCGCAGAAGTTCTTCCAAAAAGCTAGCGACGATTGTGATCAATTGGATAAATGCTTCCACGGACATTCAAAACGCGACAAGACCCATCGCTATCGGGGAAACAAATGCGCATCATTCGCGCCAGCTTTCATGGCGGAGCTTCTTTCCGGCCGGCGGGGATCCCCTGAAGCCTCCTCCGGCAAAGGGCCGCAGGAAAGCCATGGCCACGCATAGGTTCCCCCACCTCTCTCTACCCAGAGAGGAACCTTGCAAGGTCGCTTCAAGATTTAGGCCCCCTCCCTGCTGGCCTCGCCCTTGGTGGCCTCCAGTACGCTGACTCCGGAAGTTAACTCGTAGCCGGCGCATGGTCAATCTGACGGCGTTGTGCCACCGGGCATTATCTCCAACGTTCATAAAGGCCCAACGGCACCAATATGGGCCCAGTTCTGGGCATGGCCCCATTGGGCCAGTCAACAAAAGGGCCATGTCCTTGTGCGCGCTGGGTGCTGCTGTGATTAGGCCCGATGGCAGCTCAAGTAATAGCTTGTTAGGCTCTAAGGACTTTGGATGACATGTAGCCCCATGAGCTAGCTGAAGCGTTGTGTGCATATGTTCAATGCATAGGTTGGATGATATAGGTATCATTGTCCTATTTTTGGTCAATATTAGGTAGTTTACTATTGTTGTATAGTGTATCCTATGCAATGACATGGCATCAGAAGCCCCTTAGAATGATTCTACGTTTTAGTGTTGTGCTGCCCTTGGTGTTGCATCTCACACGATGGAAGTAAGAATGGCCAAGGGGATACATATTTTAAGTAAATAAGATTGAGGGAATAAATGGTCCAACTAATGCATTAAGTCCCTTTTCATAGCCCACTGACTAATCCTAGTAAGCTCCACATCACCAACTACTCTACTTCAATTCAATGCCCAAGTCTTATGTGCTCATCACATGTGGGGTGCACCCATGATCCACCAATCAGACAAATGGATGGCTTCATCAAGTCATGCTCAAGTCTCATTCTCACATCATGCATGAACCATTTTATTTACTAGTACAATTTCTTCCACCATTTTCATTATCTAATTACTGGTATGAATATTTGGCAATATAAATATATAGTTGATGCATTAATTTATGTGTCTTGGACATGCTCAAGACAAATATAATGATTTAGCAAGTGATGCAACTGAAGTTGTAGAAGAATGGAAAGTCTAATCTTGAATCTACAAGGCACAAGATTATGTAATATTTGAGTTTATAAGGATTAAAATAATAGGCTTGAATCAAGAATCACTTTAATACCATTTGATGTAGCACATGTTGAATGGAATAAAAGACAAGCTTTGAATCCACATGACATGAATCTTGAATTTAGAAAGTGTCCCTTGAATCTTCAACTATTTAATCCCCAATTAGTGACTGAAGAAACTCTTGAATCCACAAGGAGTAAATAATTTTCTTGAATTCATAAGGGATGTACTTGAATCTATAAGAAAAGAGAGACATAAATCTCAAAGAAGGTAAAATTCGTACTAACAAATAATGAAGTGAAGGTACAATTCGCATTTATCATGCTTTTTTTGTTATGGGCCTGGCCTCATTCTTGGTCATCTCATCCATGTAGCCATCCTTCAAATTTCCAAAATGTATAGTATGCCAATTATAGGGCCACTTAGGTCAAAAACTTTTCATGCTTCTCTTTTCTGGAAGTGATGTCGTACATCAGTTAGAATGTATATGCTTTTTTGGGTTAACTAGAATGTGCATCTTATTTTATAAGTAGATAGTCAAAATTAATATGGCTTATAAAGAGAGAGATTTGTACAGAGGGGTAGCACCTTTGTCTTTTCTTTATTTTTTGAAGTGTATTCTTGTCCTCGGGGAACAGATAAATGCTTTAATCTTGATTATGGTCTTGTGAGATGCATGGTGGAGGTGGAGTTTAGATATGAAGAACCTTGTCATCCTTTCGTGAGAGGCACCATTCTTCTTTCATGATTTGTTGTGGTGTGTAAAATGGTGTATATTATTCCCTCTTTCTCAATTGCTATTATTCTATCTTGTCATTTAATGGTGGGACACTTGGGTAGAGATGGATCGAAGTAGGACCCACTTGAGTAAATTTTTTCTAAGAACAGTAGTTGAGAAAGTTTTAATTATGCGATGTTGGAGATGTCATCAAAGACAAGTAGATTTTGTTGACTTTTAGGAGCTTAGGTTATTTTGATGACATAATATATGGTAGAATAATTTGATGAAGTATAGAATTATAGAATTATCCATTTGGATGATCGTGATGATGGTAATTGAGGAAAGTCAACTTAATGATAAATACATCATTCTCATTCATAAGTTAAACTGAATATTCTAGTGACTTTTGAAACTGCCTAAACTTGGTTGCATATGATCTAATATGATTTATAATATTTATTGAGCATTTTAGAGTAATGTTATTTGTACATTTTTGTACGCCCTAATTCAGGTGTTTATGCATGTGTTAACACATGAATCAAGAGAAGATAAACATTGTGCTCGATGCAAAACGTTGGACCGTTCTATGGCTATTGGAACATGCGGCCTCTAGTGACCCAACATCTGGTCAACTTATGGCCGTCTGTCGGACCATACATCTAGCGGCTCACTGTTAGCCATGACGAGGGGAATTCCCTCTCTGACGTATTGGATTAAAAAATATAATTTATAATATTGCTTTCAGATTTCCGTGGTCAAACATCTTTCTGTCCTCCATACGACGATTCCTGGTGAGCAATCAGACCAGATGAACGAAATCTTATCCGAAATGTCAGAGCCTTCGTCATGAGATCTCTCTTCCTCCCCAAAATCGTCGCTTTCACAGATTCATGCAGGGCTCCCAAGTCTTCCCCGTGGTAAACGATCCCGAGTCCCGTGTTGAGAATCCTCTCTCTCTCTCTCTCTCTACCCACTCCGTCCCTTCCTCCTTCCCCCTTCATCCAGGCGAGCCCCAATGTCAACACCTACGGGTGGTTGACCTTTTCCGGTCGAAGGAATTCACTCACCAGCCGTTTCCTCAAATTGTCAACATGTTTCACTTACTGACGCACGGCCGCCGGTTGACTTTCAGCATGCCGGCTGGATCCGATCGAAAGAGAGCATTGGACTCCACAACACGGCATCGACGCTCTCCTGGTCCTCGTTGATTGCGTCCTCTGGTAAGCCCACGGGACGATGTACGTTGACCCAGGTGTGGAGGTCCACAGTTGCTTGCGGTAACTTTCAAAGTTCGTCCGCTATTTCCATATCTGCTGCGTGCTGTGGGTTCTATGCTGCTGAAAACCTAACTCTCTGACTAGAAGCCAGTTCATTCCACATGGGATGGGATACGAGAGAAGACCTGAGTGCATTCTGACCTGGGGTATCACTAACTGGCCGGCGATGCTTTCTCGTCGACATCTTAGATGATAGGAGTCCCTCTCAGCTGATGTGCCTTTGGTTTACTTTGATCAAAATGGTAGGTAAGGATGTTGTGGGGGTGAGGGGAAGGGGGAGAGTGAGAGTTGCGGCCGGTCCCGAATTGGCTAGCCGCCCACTGGATTCGGATCTACCAGTCTTCGTCACGTTTGCGTGTCAAGATATGGGACCCAACCAAACATGTTGCAATTAAGAGAAAGTATAATATTCTACTCACCTTGTTGACCAGGATACTTTCGGCATCTCATCGCGGCAGGTCACGAGGTCTCCTCCACGGTGGAGAAACAAATCAATTCCACTGATTTGAGATTCAGCGTGACCGTTGAAGAAGCAACATCGAACTTATTGTAAAATCTGCGTTCTTTTTTGTTTCTCCCCTCTCCCTTCCTGCTTGGATCTTCTCTCTTCTTTGGCATCCCCGGCGGGTATCTCCCAAGCCACAGTTTCCGCGTACGGTGACCTTACCGAGACTTTAGCCACCATTTAAGCGATTGTGGTTCATAAAATATAAGAGAAACAAAGGTCTTCAATGCAATTATTTAAGCCCGATGTGCACATGGGAATGTCCCGAACTACAACGCACCGATGGAAGAGATGGATGCTGACAGTGTTAGTCAGATGTCCATCAAACCCTTCACAGCTTCAAAGTCTCTTCATCGTCACCACCATCTTACTTGTCTTCCTCGACGCCCAATAATACTAGACAATTCATCCCGAAGTTAGAGCCATCTCAGCTATCTCTACCATTGAGTGGAGTGTTCTAACATCAACCTTTTCTATCTGGGCAAAGCGAAAAAGTCCATTAGTTCATCTGTTCCCGATTGTCGACAGGAGATGCAGAGCCACTCTTGGAGGCGGCGATGGTCTCCGAGGGCCGAGGAAACACCAGGTGGTTTGCTTGCTGTTGAATCGAATTCGATGAGGTTGACCTTGTGAGGTAGCTGGAACCGCAGTCGTTGACGTTCACAGAGGACTCCAAAGGCTGCATCGGCGGGGGCTGATCTCCCCACTTTAGATTAACCTGTCCCAACGTGTCCGTCAACCCTTGGTTCCCTTGTCCTCCGACGATGGACGAGATTGCAACTGCCAGCGCCGACTGGAAGCTCGGGTCCGACGTGATCGCCTTCGTGGCTGCGGCGATGGTGCTGCTGAGGGGATTCTGGGCGGAGCCCAGAGGAACCGAGTTCGCCGTCTTCTGCAGGAACGGCTGGTGCAATTGTGCCTCCTGAGGTTGCCTCCCGAGGTTGAAGAACCCTACCTGATTCTTGTTATAGGGCAGCGTGCCGTAATGTAGGAATGGGTTGGCGGTCGGTTCTGAGGAGGAGAAGTTGAGGTTGGTGGGGGCGACTCTTCCGGCGGGGAACTTTTTAAATTGTAATGAAGGGGAGGAGGTCGATGGAGGAGAGGTAAGGTCCAAAGTAATCGTTGGGTAAGATGAGTAGGAGGAGATTGATGGGTTTTGGAGGTAGAACTGCCTCGGCCTGGAAAAGTCGGTGAGGCCAAAGTTAAGGCCTTGGAGACCCAGGTTGCTGGCGGCGGTGGGAGAGGTGGCCAAGGCGGAGACTCCAACGGCTGGTCTAGAAACCGACGCCCCGGACATCAGCATGCTAGCAGCGGCAGCGGTTGTGGAGGCCATGGCGGTGGCTGAAACCGGAAGGGGATGGTTGTGAGTCCCTTCGTAGGTGGTGATGAGAATCGACATATCATCTGCACACCTTTGCACCTGTTATTTGTACACATCAACTGTTAGGCAAAGTAACAGCGATAGGAAAGGAATATTAATGCTTATAATTTACATATATGTAAATAATGCATGGACAATAGCAGTTTGAATAAACTAGAAGCCATAATTGTCTTTAGAAGACGTACACGCCTTCCTTCGAAATCGGGCAGATTTCGTTTTCGTTGAACAGTTGTCACATGTTTAGCGTTAATGCATAGGATTGACCGAGTCTACTGACATTTCTTGAGCAATTGCTGTTTTAGGTGTAACTACGAGGGTCTGAGATCTAGATTTGGATAGAATTTAAAGATATTATTTTCTTAATTTAGGAAAAAGCGTGGAATCTTGGTCAACTGGGCTAGATTTTAGACGTGGCGGAGACCATGAGCAACTAAATGGACCCATGACCGACCTTGGAAAGGACGAAATATTAACTAACTTAGATTACCTGCTTCCTGACCGGACATGCCGGTGCAACTGTGCAGCGGTAGTACGCTCGTGGGCATGGATTCCCCTTGGCTATCTTTTGGCCGTACTTCCTCCACTGGCAACCATCGTTCATCTGTTCAGACGGGAGACACGATTCATTGTTATATTTCCGACCTCGGTGTTCGCTGACGATATAAAAGATCCAACGGGTGGAAACTACGTGCGAATTAAGCTTAGGTGTCCATACATACCGTGGGGGTGTCGCACCGTGCTCTCACTGAAACCCTAGCATTCTTTACAGGAACTTTGTGGGAGAGGTCGTCGTCTCCGGACCTCGACATCTTCAGTGACTTGTTGGGCAGCCACGGCTCCCCGGCCCCGTCTTCTTCCCTGGGCTCCTCCAAGGCGTTCTCACTGCTGGAGTTCGACGGGCGCTCCACAGAGGGAGCCTCGCTATTGTCAAATCTGCTGTTCAGACCCAGAGAGAGATCTGCTTTCATCCGTTCATCCTCCTTAGGTTCGGAGGCGATGGCCGTCTTCTCTCCCTTCTTCTGTTCCCTTGAACTTGATCCAAGGCTGAGCGACACGAGTTCGCTCTCTTCGGTCTCCTGATGAGCGTCCGAGTTTTCCACGGGGGGCTTCTTATTGCGGCTTTGCTGAACCACGTCGAAGAAATGCGTCTGAAGGGCCTGGTAATCCTTCATAATCCGAGCCAAGATCGTCTTCAACCTCTCGTTCTCTTCCTTCACCTCTCCCATCTCCGCTTTGGTTGTCTCCAGCTGATCGCCCTGAAGACATTCAGGAGAAGGAGATCTTAGGAAAGCGGCCTTTTCTTCGGTCAATAATTGAGCCTGATAATTCATGTAGACTACAACAGTCACGAAAAAGAAGGTCTGTCCGTTTCGGCTAATGAGATTTATTGCTGGGCCATGTGTCTACTTGAAGAAGATAAAGTTATGCGGTATCTCAAATACTGGTGGCGTAATATCAACGTTAGGAAGAAGGGATGTAATTTATCTACGTAGACGAGCAGATGCGACTAGATTATTTCTCTGCTGGTATAAGTTATCAGTTTAGAGACTGCACCTCTCTGGGTTAAACGGATTCATTCGAACTTCTCAAATCGGTTTGCCGACGATGGTTATGAATATATTGAAATCCAGGACCGCATCGAAGAAAATTGGATTAATCGTCTCACCTCATTAGAAGCCTCCGAATCCTTGGGGTTTAGAGACGGTGACCGCGGGTTCGTGTGGGAGTCTTTCCTTTCGCCAGCAAAGACAGTGAAGACCTGTTTGTAAGATGAAACACTTTAGAACAGGTATGGTTCGCTGTGAAAGAAAAAAATAGACTATGAACAATCATATCATGGACGAACAAATCTGTTGCCAAGGCATGGCGAGATGTGATTCCTGTCGAGGGTATATCCTCAAACACCTGTCGTTTGGTTTTATAGTTATAACATGAAATAATAACATGAACAGCCTAATGATTCACTATAGTATTTCGGATCGCATGAATTATGATGAAATCAGACAATGAAGTTCGTTCTGGGAGACGGGATGCCGTCGGAAATGGCTCTCGTTAATGGTTAACATAAAATCATCTTAAAAAAATACAGACCCTACGAGTATTCCACTTCTTATACCTGTTTGCGCGTGCTTGAATCATTTTGTTCGGATGAAGATGAGTCTGATATTTGCACATCACTCCGTTTGACTTCGCTCTCAAGCTGCTGAAAATTAAAAAAATAGTTCTTGAGGTTATTGGACCTAGAAATCATCGCTGATATGTCCTCGACATATTCTACGGATGAGATATTTTCGCGCAGAATCTCTGAAAAAGGCCTCCAATGCAGGGGAGCTACGGTGCCGGAGAAGCTGCTGACTATACCGCTTAAAGGAAATTCAAAAGGTCGTCGATCGACAGATCTTTAAAATTTTGACGCAGATTTTTAAAATTCATGTCATTCGCAGATTTCGAGAAAATTCATGCGTGAAGATGTTAATACAATTTATTCGAGAATGAGAGGCTTATCCTTTCTTCAGGAATACTCAGTGACTCATCGGTCGTCACTTGGGAGCTAAAAACATGAGGGAGGAAGCTCTCCGATTCATGCGCAAGAGAAGCGCGAGGGGGGCACGGAGGGAGGGAGGGAGGGAGAGAAACAGAGAGAGAGAGAGAGAGACAGAGAGAGAGAGAGAGCGAGAGAGAGAGCGAGAGAGAGAGCGAGAGAGAGAGAGGGAGAGGGAGAGGGAGAGCGAGAGGGAGAGCGAGAGGGAGAAAGAGAGAGAGAGAGAGAGAGAGAGAGAGAAAGAGAGAGAGAGAGAGAGAAGAGAGAGAGAGAGAGAGAGAGAGAGAGAGGGAGGGAGGGAGGGAGGGAGGGAGAGGGTCTACCTTGGGAACATCGCCACAATCCTCCTCACTTCCAGCGATCCCCACCGTCGTCTCCTCTTTCACTTTGGGAGATCTTTTGCGCTTCACCTCCATGCCGAGGTCCCCTTCCCTTCCTCCTACTTCGCGTCTCACCCTCTTCTTTTTGCGTTTGAAGTCCTATTATAGGGAGGAGCCCTCAATCTCTGACTTGTTTAAACAAGTTCAGACTATTGGTCCTTATCTATTACAAGTCGTACGCATCGATATGTCGACTTCCCACCGTCTAAAGAAATAAGTACCCTATAGAAAACCAAATAAATTGTGAGATTTCAACGGGCAAGACGTGTTGGCTCGTTGCGTCAAACTTGAGCTTCCTAGCCGCAACCGTGTTGGCTCCAGGTCAAAGGGTCCCCGTCGGCAGGATTCCGGCGGTAGGCCCTTATTGGTCTTCCGACGGTAAGGTAACTAAGCCAGGCTTAGCTAGATCCATCAATCAAATGACGAGATCGGCCATCCTCCACCGTCCACGATAATCAAGCAGATTTCCATTAATGGGTGTTGGACTTCGGATAAATACTGACGAATCCATCATCCGTTCCAGTCGCTCATACGTCTGCATATACTGGTGCAGAGATCGCAGCTGGAGACGACGTTCCACCCGAGTATATTACATATTTATCAAGCCAATTGAGCAGAGGGTGACCGAGGATGACGATAATGTAAAAAAAACCATTGTCAGAATTAATAATTTTGGTTAATTACCCGTCTACGTTTCCCCGTATACATTCATTTCTTCTTATTATCAAATTAATTATTTAAGTTATGACTGTCACTCAGTTTTTCTTGTTGTTTCTTAAGAGTTCGAAGAACGGGGAGGTTTCAATGTCATTTCAACCCTCATACTCTTACTGATGTCAACAAATGGTCTGGTTCGGACGAAGATCTGGACCTACATCTAAAGAATGAGCTTTAAAATAGGACGATATGGAATTCGGAGTTGACCGGATAGCCCCAACCTGACGCTCTATCGAGAGACAAGAAAAATGGATTCTGAGATAATATAGGGACTTTATTGAAACTTGGATTCATCGCAGAAGAGGATTTCTTTCTACTTGATGTTCGGTTTGATCTTCGTGTATAAACTTCGAAACTTAAAAGGGATTGCCACTTGGTTTGGACTTAGCTGGCCCATCGATCCAACTCGGTCAATGCTTTGTCTTTTTCTACTTTGTATAATTCCGAATTAGTACTGTTGTCCTGATTTTTTGTATGTTATTGTTTTCGTGTCTGAGCGTTGAAGACCTTGGAATAGGCCAGCGACGGTGGGGGAAGATAGAAGGCCATTTCAACCTCCCCTGGCATTTTCTAAGTTGACGAAAAGGACTGCACTGGTGGCCCCCCGTTGGTTTTGTTTTATATCCCAAGCAAGTACACATTTTCAAACACTGGGGCCGTGGACTTTTCATGCGGTCCATGCGCCGCCCTCCCCGCTGCACAGACTCCATTCAATATTGATTCTTCTTCTCCGTCATGGAAGGCCGTCGTCGTCCTCGTCGTCGTCCTCTTTCTGTCTTCCTCTCTCTCTCTCTCTCTCTCTCTCTCTCTCTCTCTCTCTCTCTCTCTCTCTCTCTCTGTCTCCCCTCCCTCCCTCCCCCCTAACGCAAGACAGACCTTTTCTTTGGTGATGTACAAGCCCCCGTGCGACACTCCTATGTAATCAGGGTTTTGCTGTCAAGCTAAGATGAGCTTCGAAGGCGAGTCAGCTGCATCTCCAAGTGGTGTTGATGAAGCCATGTGAGAGGTTCTCGGGAAGGGTCTTGATGAATAAGAGGCATTTAAGATGGGGGGAAGAAACCTAGATCAACGACGATCAAACACTCTCTATATGTAAATAGAAAGTTATTTACATGATGAGAGGTATATATGTAAATACTCTCTATATGGCAGTTTTATAAATGGAAGGTCAACGCATGCGCAAGGAGAGAAGTTGTCAGCCTGCCCAATGTGATTTCAGATAATTCAAAACACGAGCCGGAGCAGAAGACCCGTGGACCTCCTCCCTTCCTGAAACATATGACATACTGTCAAAATAGCCCGCTTGTGAGGCCGGAGGTAAACATGGTTCGGTCAAACCAATGGTCAAGTTAGAGAGAGAGAGAGAGAGAGGGAAGGTTTGGAAGGATAGAGAGAAAGAGAGACGTAATTAATGTATCACGCGTTTCCTTCCTTTCCCACGTTAGTCCCTGAGGTCAATGGCATGTATTGATATATATATATCTATCCGGTGACTCCCATTCTCAACTTTCGCAGCCGGGAGACGAAGAGGATGGGTCCACTTCGTCATCAGATTTAATCTCTCTCATGACACGTCCCTTAAGAATGTGACGTCTCGCATCGAAAGCCGTGGAGTCGTCCATTATCAGAGTCAACTACCCGTCCTGCATGGGATCCGCGCCGATTGACAGAGTTCATGGTCGACGAGGAGAATGGTCTCTTCTTTCTTGCGGGATATTCAAGCCGGAGACCCAGATTCACCGACGTTCTCACTCGGCAGCAAGCAAGCATTAAAGATCCTTCGAAGTTTGCAGCTGTTTATCGTTTCTGACAGCTGTGGAAACTGAAATTTCCCATGTGTTAATGATCTCTTTTAGGTCACGTCCATCAGTCATTCTTCTCTGCCTCGAACTCCTCGGTCTCTCTCTCTCTCTCTCTTAGATCATTATGTCCCAGGGTCAGTTCTGGTCCTCCTAAGATCACTACCGGCTACTGGTTCGCCCCCCGCCATAGGCCGCGATTCCACCTTCCCAAATTGATAGAGATAGGGACAGAGAGAGACAGAGACGGGGAGGAGTGAGATATACGTCCCATCACTGAACACGCTCAATAATGGAGTCATGGGAATCATTTAGGAGTCCGCTGTATCATGCAGTCGACAGTGGGACCTCACTGTTGGAACTGCCCACTCCATCATGAAAACTACATAGAAATAATTTCACGAAATAGTAAAGTTTAGTGGTCCAATTATCGCACATCTCATGTGCATATTATATCTATCCGAGGACATCAGACCGAGACAAGATTCGTGTGTACCACACACCCATACATACAGCCACACACAGATCCATGTCTTAGTCTTGAGAGATGGGCATTGTTCTTGGAAGATGTAACATTGGTTGGGAGGTAACGCAAACAAGCCGCGAAGCCTGTAGCGGCGGAGAAATGCTGGAAAAATGGAGTTTTTTAAATCGCATCAAGACGATGATTTTAATTTGGCGTTGAAACTGGGGACGGCGAGTTTGACGTCTGAACCCTTATTCTATAAGATTCTCAAAAAGCTCAAGTGAGCTTCGCTCATCGGAAGCCAAGAACAGAATTAAGAAAATTGTCGTAATTTCAAGAGAGTGAGACCTCTCTCTCTCTCTCTCTCTCAAAAGTCAACGATCGCATTGACGAAGAAAGGCAAGGCAAACCATCACACAGGAGAGGTTGTTGACTTCGCGGGTTTCATTTAATGACGTATTTTGAGGGATTTTTTCATCATAATATTGATAGAGAAATATGAACATAGTTGACCTCCACTTTGCAAATAAAATTGGTCCGGAAAGAGATGTTTATATCACTCGAGGGATTTATTGTTTTCAATGCCAATTAATATAATTTTACTAGGGTTTTGAAAATTTCATGATCCCAGACAATCGGATGAACGAACCAACCATTGACTTTCCCACCTAAATTTAATCCTACATGCCTTACCACGTAGGGAGCGTGGTCAACGAGCACATCTTCCGTCACGAGGAACCAGTCTCCGAGATCTCTTCCTTTGTCTTAAAGAAGATAAACTTTCTGACGTCCGAATGAGCAAGACCCGAAGGCCTTCCAAAATTCCGGCCTGCTTTGCTCTCTCAACGGGTTTGGCCCCTCTGAAGATCGGCGCTGTCCAATAGGAATCCAAAGGCGGAATATGACTGACGTCAAACGACCCCAGAGCGGCGGCGGGTTGATGAGGATTCGTTGACTTTTTAAAGGGTACCGAATGTCCTAACCGCGTTTGACACCTCACGTGTTTGCCCGCGAACTTGTCGTCTGTGGTGCGACTTCGTGCTCGACGTGCACCCGCACCATCTCGCAGGTTTATGGTTCTGTTTGGTTTGACGGAAAACGCCGTCGAAACCGGAACCCTATTGGGCTTCTCCGCCTATCGTAAGTGAGATCCCTTGTCCAATGGGCCTTAATTGAGCAGCGCTCCGTGCCACGTGTCAAACTGCTTTGGTACCATCGCCGTGCCAGTCAAAACGTACCGATGACAATCGGCAGAGAAGAACACGTGTGCAGGCCTTGTCGCGACTCGCTGGGGCGGAGAATGACGTCATTGAGCTATCCAGAACTGATGCCAACTGTCCGATTTCCGAGGATCTTGTTCCGATGATTCTTCTTCTACCTCCGTCTCCCCTGTCCCGCTCTTTTCGCCGAGCTCTGTCATTGTGAACATTCCATATCCCTTGTCCCACCCCGAAATCTGTGGTGCAGCACCGGTCTCCTCCCCGTCGCTCCGTGTGAAGCAGCCGAGCCTGGTAAGCATGAGCATGTTTGCTTTGTGCAGGAGATGGATGAGGTCCGAGGCGGCGAAGGCGTCCCGCCCCTTCCTCCGATCTTCTTCTCCTGCTTCGCCGCGTCTCTTCTCCTCCCATTCAGGGTACGTTTACGTTTGGATCAAGAGTCCTTTGTTGGTTTCGCATTTATGCGTCTGTAAATGGGAATTGGCACGGTCGTTGCTCCCTTCTCCCTGTGTGTAACGCGTATTATTCTGATCGACGTTCGATACAGGTTGATGCTAATCTTCATATTTTTGCCGTATTTATTTTCTATGGTAGCATGAGCTTATTTCCTCGGTACATGTTCTCTCCGGGTGTTATTTTATTATCAAATTGTTATAGACGGAACACCCACATTCCGCGTTTGGCTTGAGATGTTCTGGATCTGGTTTTTGGTGTGAGCTGGCGTTTGTGCTTGGATTTTATTTCTGCTTAGTACCATTTAAACTTCTCCCGGACCTCTTATGCACAAGATTTTATTGTCGACACTAAGTTGATGTAACTTTTCTAGTTCCCCGTTTCCTTTGTCCATGGCCACTCTGATATGCTGACATCGAATATCTCTATCGTCTGGATACTTATAATGTAATGTAGTATGTTCGTTGTGTAAACGTGGGGTTATTTGAAATGGCGTTCAAGTACACATTGAGGGGCTAAGTGGACGAAGCCTCAGCATGTTGTGAAAATTCATACCTGGAAATTTTCTGAATTCATGATTTAAACATTATTGCGGCATTCTGATGTAGTTATTATTGGGAAATGATTGTAGTTTGTTGTGTTTAGTTTCTTACATTTATTTGTGTAATTTTACTAGGTCTTTCAATTCACCACCATTTGCTACAGTCTCTGTTGAACATATTTCTGGCTCACAGCCGGCTGAAGTGCTGAACTTGGGTAAACTCTATGTTTAAATTCAAATCCGTTGCTGAATGTTTAATTCAATCTCTCGATTTTTTTCCCAGCTGTGCGTCTTCTTGTATCATGTTATAAAATTTCGGTAACAATCTAGTTTAAAACAAGAACACCAAAGTTCAATGCTTGAATTTTCCATGCATATTTTTTATTTGCTTTAATGTTCCAAAAGAAAAAAAAAATTGCGTTCTTTCTAGACCTCTTCTGTAGGTGGCCAAATTGTATTTACGGCTCGAAGTGAAGATGTTCCCATCATTAGGCCTTGACAGTTCAACACAGATGTACAACACACGGCGAAATCGTTGTGATATCATGGCTACGTAGTGTGTTCACTTTCATTGATGAAATAATGACGTTTTGGTCAGAGTTTAATACGATTTGGTTATTCAGAGTAGATACAATTATGTTAATTATTGTATCGAGACCATGCAACCATAACTTTTCCAGATGTGTATGTAGTGATGATGAGGTTTAGTGCAGGGTGAATGGAAAACATCCTCCTGGTGGAATTGGATTGTAGACCCCTTGAATGGAGAGCATTTCATCAAAGTTGCTGATGTTCAGGAAACTGAGATAAAGGTCAGTAACATCACTGGAAAATAAACTAGTTTTATGAAAAATATTTTTATTTTGTCTAAGCGGGTTAAGTAAATGTTTGTTGATTTTTTTAATCTCAACCGAATGCCTTACTTTTTTACATCTTTAATTTTTTATTTAAATGCTTTAAGATTATTTCATTTGTGCCATTTATGCTAGGGATCATTGAGAGCCTTTTTTTCTCTATGTAAGAGGACTAACATACATGAACTTCTCGCCTTTTCTGCAGCCATTTGTGGAAAGCTTGTCTAAATGCCCAAAATATGGACTCCATAATCCTCTCAGGGCTCCAGAGAGGTTTCTTTCCTCTTTCACGTATCCAAATCGTAGCTGTTGTATTTTCGCTTGGGAAAATATAAACATATTTTCCCAAAAACAACTAGTTTTATTCATGTATGCATGTATATGTGTGTAGAATGGTTCTTTTTCTTTTCAAATTTTGTTCATCTTGGGAAGTTTGTGGTTACAAAATAATATACTACATGTGAACTCCGCTCATATTCTGACTTCCGTTTTCTAGATATATTATCTTTGGGGACATTTCTGCGAAGGCTGCTCATATGCTTGCTAGACCTGAGGTCACATCTTTTCTATTTCATTTTTTTCAGATATTTTGGTTAATTATCCTATATATGGGAGAACCCATTCTATTTCAAAACCATGTAAATTTCATTTTTTGTGTTAAATAAATTTCTCGTCATCTCTTATATGATCACTTATGCTGGTTTATACATTATAGGTATCTGATTTCTTTTCTAGACTTATACAAAGAGTTTCCCCGAAGAGTTATAACCAAGCACAAGCTGAAGTATATGTCTCACAAAAATTTTTGGAGAATTTCTCAGGTGACCAGGTATATTTCTATTTGGTTGCTTGATTGTTAATTGTCCAGGCTGTAGCATTACTGAGTTCATGCTTTCCTTTATTTGTATTCAGCTGATGAGGATTGAACTCAGATGTTGTAATTGTTGGACGTAGTTGATTTTCCTTTAAGATAAAAATCGTTTTCTTTGGTTATATGCTCGAAAGATAATTATCATATTTAAAATAATAATTTGGTTTAACCTTTTTTACTTGGATTAGTTTTTTTCCGACAGAGCTTTCATTTACCGTATCCTCCATATATTTTGTACTATTACTGGTGCTCACAGAACTCACGGTGGCAGAAAGCCCTTAACTGACGTTTGGTCTTAACAGTTACTGAGTCATGATAGACACAGGGACTGGGCTGGCAACTTAATCCAATAATGTAGGGATTGAACCCGGGTTCAAATATCTGCATGTCGTTGAGGCTTTCAGAAGTGTTGTCGTGGGGCATGTCCGTAATGGGGCCAATTGTACTGCTGTTTGGCAGCACCTGAAGGCCAAAACCTCCACTAAAATCCTTTCAAACTCTTTCTGTCAAAATCATTTTACAAAGAAACCATGTTGGTGATATCAATACGTAAATCATTCTATACCCCAATGAGGTTAATTTTTATCAACTTATTACCTAATTGTATCGTACGAGTTTTAAACAAGGTTTAAAAATAACACAACATTGGAGACATGGATCAAAAATCAAAGATAGTTTAAAATTGAGATATAGATTACACAAACTGAGACACAAGTAGGTATGATCACTCACGAACATTATTTTTAAATATTTCAAATTACCGAATTATTACTCATCCTGTATAGAAAAGAATGCTTGAAGATTTTGATAACGTTTATGTTTATTTGCATTGTAGAAAATTTCCGCGATTTGATTTTATTTGTGGATAAATGAGGAATAGTTTCGTGCTTATTTGATAATTATGGTTGTCCTAATGGGCCAAGAAAATTTGACTAAAAAATTTAGCACTTCTCAGAGGCAAGCTTTGTTACCTATGAGATGGTGTTTGTCAAGATTTCAGATTTCATATTGAGATGTGTCACCATGCTAATCACCAAGAAGAATATACGATTATGACCCTAGTTGTCGTAGGTTTGTTATTTTGAGAAGCTCACGTTAAGAAAGTCACGGGTTCTAGATCCTTGGCATCATGTTTTCCAACTTTTAAGTTAAAGGATGAGCTTTTGGAGTTTTATGATCCAGTTAAAAGATGAATGGCATATTGAGCTTTAGATTTTCTAGAAACCTTAAAATGAGTGGGTTTGGTGGGTTTTAAGTTGTTTTCTGTATTAGGAAACCTTGTTTTTCTGTGCGTGTATCCATGATTCTTGAACCACTTTTTTGTAACATATTGTCTAGGATGCTTTGTCAATTTCGGTGGTTTTTTTGTCTTATTTATATATTTTGAAATCAGAGGTAAGTGTCGCTCTAGAAATATTTGCTTCTATGCATACTTGTTTCTATCCTATTTTACTTATTCTTTATGAACAGAATGACTTGTTTCCTATGAAATATTTGAATAATCATGCCTTGATGTTTATATTCATTTGGCCTAACAGGTTCGCTTCCTAGCCCGTTCATTTTCTGTGCCCGGTAATCATCTGGGACAACAAAGTAATGGTTTTCGTTGGCCTTATGGTCCTGTAAGGATATTTTCTTTGATGTCCCTTTGAGTTAATTTAATTACTAGATGGACTAGTCATTTATTGAGTTATAAGGAACCGAAGATTCATTGCTTTTTCAACTTAAATTTTCTATTTAATTATTTTCTCAGTTTTTTTGGTCTTTTTTACAATTTTTAGATACATGCTTGTAATTAGTTGGAAGAAATTTTGGTATTTCGTGTTGAGTGATCAATTTGGAGGAAAAGACACAATAATGTTTTTTATTTATTTTAATATTTTAGCCTACTGCAATCTATTTTCAGATGTAATTAGCAGAAATTTATCTTTCTTGGGAGAGAAAAAACATTTTTTTATTTATAGGATACAAACCCATTACGATATTTCCAATTATAGGATAGCTTTCCTGACAAAGTGGCCGTGCTGATGGGCTTAGCTGCATGTCGCAAGCCAAAGTATGTAGACTTCTATCTTAACCTGGAAATGCTGATTGCGCAGGTGGCTATAATTACTCCATTCAATTTTCCATTGGAGATTCCTCTTTTGCAAGTGATGGGTGCTCTCTACATGGGAAACAAACCCATTCTTAAAGTAGATAGCAAGGTATGCCATAGAAGACAGCAAATCCATCTTTCGTTTCTTTTGAAACATGCTTTCGTCTGTTGATATTGGTTAGGAGGAGAAAATCTCGATTTCTCAGATGTTGAGAAACTTTGAGGTTGGTAAATCATATATTGTGCTTTTTATGATGAGATTTCGTCTAAAATATTTCACATACGCATGTAGGCAGGCCTTTCCAGCAAACTGCTCCTGTCTTCCTTTCATAATCAAGTCCGATTGCTTGATTTTCAAACCTAAAAAAAATGATGTTCAATTAATGTCTGAGAAATCATTGTGTTAAATGTCAGTCTTTTATAATATTCCAGAAATTTCTTATTTTCATTTAAGTTTCAAGCTTCAACTGCATCTAAGGCTGATATTTTCAGCTCTCCCTGGCATATCTATCGAACCGTCTTATTCAGGACAGTGGGTAAGCTTTGAGGACGGTCTTTCAGAACATGATAGTTTCCATAGTGAGGATCATTTATAACTTTCTTTCTCTTGTTTTTCTTATTTTAAATTCTTAAATTTCAGTATCTTATGTGATTTTCATAAACCGTATTGTTTTCTTAATCCTCTTCAGTAGTTAAAAACAATTTGTGGACACCTAATCAATGTGAAAAATATTTGGATGATTGGGAGTTGATAAAAATATTTGAAGATTTCCCCTAATTGAAGATTTACTGACTATTGAAAGTTTTTAGGTAAGCATTGTGATGGAGCAGATGATTCGTCTACTTCACAATTGTGGGCTGCCAAAGGAGGATGTTGACTTTATTAACACTGATGGTATCACAATGAACAAGTTATTAATGGAGGTCAGTTTTCTCGGGAATATTTTAGGGAACCGTGTTGTTGTTTTATAAGATGCAGTTTTACATGTGGTTGAATTTATTCCCAGATTCAGTCGTTGCTTCATCAGTTTTTAAGCAGGTTACTAATGCATACAGGATATGCATTCGACTATCAACATCTGTAAAAGGATACACGGTGAAGAAATTTTATATGATGCGTGTGCTCAAAACAATAGTGAGGATACGTATTTGACTATCATCATTTCCAACTTCCACTATCATAAATACTATCATTATTGCAGCTACCACCACCATCTTTACCACTGCCACAGCTGCTGCCACCCATTAATTGAAAGGAATTTTTTTTATGGTTATATAGTTTTAGAGTCACCGCATTCTCCATGTGCTGCTCTATTATGGTTACTACATACTGTACGATCAACTGTCCCTAGATATGTCGAGCTACAGTGAAACAAAAGGATACGCAAGAAGTGCATAACTTTCACAGAAGATAAATTTAAATTTTATTGAACCAACTCTATTCTGCGGTGTAGGATTGATAGATGGTTCTATGCAGTCAATAGTTGTAGCTCAGTATTCAGACCAACCAGACCGTTCATTAAGCAAGGTGGCCTGAAAATTTTTGTATCCCCACTTGAAAATCCTTCAATTTTTTTATGTGGTGTAGTTGGTGGGGAGTAACTACTTTCCTCATCAACTTGAATTCGTAAATGGCACAAGCTAATAGCATCTCAATAGAATTTCATTGCTTAGGGATCAGATCAGAAGTCTGACCTCTACACAGCCTGTTACTTACAGATACCTTTTAGTTTAAAATTTTATTGTTTTTTGAAATCATTAGAAATTCAATCACAAATTCAATAACAATAAAATTTTCTTGTTACTGGGATTTTCGTACTTATGCTGGAATGACATTTAGTATGTGCATGCATTCAATGAAACAGGTAATTATCATATGGTACAACATTGCATATTTTATGTGGTAGTTAACGATGATGAACTATAGAATTATTTGACTAACTCTCTAATCAATTTCTCAGGCAAGTCCATCAATGACTCTTTTTACTGGAAGCTCGCGGGTCGCAGAGAAGTTAGCTGCTGATTTAAAAGGGCGTATTAAATTAGAAGATGCAGGTTTTGATTGGAAAATTCTGGGGCCAGATGTTCAAGCGGTATCTCCTTCTTGAAATATTTGAAACTGCGGTTATCCCCTCTGAAAATATTCCATTTTTTTTGGTTGATCGCAATCCTGGCATGATTGCTTTTCAGGTTGATTATGTTGCATGGGTTTGTGACCAGGACGCCTATGCTTGCAGCGGTCAAAAGTGCTCTGCACAATCCATTCTTTTTATTCACGAGGTGACATTATCATTAAAACATTCGGACCATTCTGATCCATTATTTACGAAGGGATAACCCGCATCACGCTGTTCATGTCAGTATATATATATTTAGATATCGAATCTAACAACAGAAACGAGTACTCTTATATTGAGATTAGTATACCAAAAAAGTGATCATAGTATGAGTGCAATTTAAATAACAATAAAAGACCTGCCATACCACTTGATATGTCCATTGGCATTGTTGTCGTCGTTGACAACTAATACAATTTCCAGATCACCATGGATGGTTTGAAGCATAGTGTTGTTAAGCTTTTCTATTTATTTTGTGTATTATTTAATTTTTACGGAATGCATAAGTTTTGTTTAAAGGATAACTTGATAAAAAATGAAACTTTCAATGATACGATCCTTCTGGATTTTGGCTTCTTGCCAAGTTACTCCTGATGAAACTGTAAACTGAGTTCCAATTCCGATGACTAAAAACCGTGGACTCGTACCTTTTTTTGGCGTGAAGTAGTAGGTTCCTGCCATCCTCATGTGTTCATCATCCATTTCTTTCGTTACCATTCTTTTTAGCCTTACTGTCATTCATTATTGTGGAAGGAATCAAGGAGTTTTAACCTCTCAGCTTCCTCAATATCCTTCTGTGCTCCCAGGCTTGTTTTCCATTCTGATTTAACCTTTAACCGATGCAGATCCTGGACCACTAGTAACCCAGACCACGTATGACTTATTTTTGTTTCTATCGAGATCTGGTATTCTAAGGTTCTAACTTACATGTTTGTTCTGTGCTAAACTAGATTTCAAGAGTATTCTTGTCTAAAATAGAATACATTTCTCAGTGTACAAGTTCTTGAAGAGGGAGGGCGGATTCCACCTAGAAACCCTTGGTGAGACACAGTGGTTAGGATAAACACCGTATCCGCGGGTGAGGAAAGCTGGAGAATATTTTTTCTTACACCTCTCCTCTCCCCAAGGCGAGAATTTATCGATGTTTGAAACCGTATAAGCCTGATAGGCCCAAGACGATCTAATGGCCCAAAGTGGGTCTAGTGTGCTCATTCAATCCAGGCAACAAAAAATAGCTTTTCTTCAACACATGGAGAAGAAAGCTGGAGGATTTAATGTTTGATTGTCTTCATGTTGCATTGTTTCTATATCTGAAGATTCTGATCTCTTACTCCGTTCTAATTTGGACGTACTAATGTGCAGAACTGGAGCTCAAGTGCACTTTTGTCGAAAATGAAATTTCTTGCTGAGAGAAGAAAACTTGAGGATTTAACAATTGGACCCGTCCTTACAGTAAGTTTTTTAGTGGCAATCATCTCGTCTAATTATTTTTAAAATACCGTATAATACTTTTGTTGCGGTAATATCTTTAATGCCTTTTTTAATTTACCAGCTAATCATTTCTCAGAGTTTACACAAGGAAGTTTATCTTCTTTGTGTTCATGGTCTTTCTCATGTTCCTTGCACAGTCTGTGAGCTCGTTTGTAAACTGATTTATGAGGTGCCATTTTTTGGAAGCTTGGCTCGTTGAATTCATTCTGTCAAATTGCCTGTAGAAATTTGAGACAAAAGCAAGAATAACTGCGTTGATATGCCTATGACTAGAGGCTGCTGTATTTGGGAGAGTAGAATCAGGCTAAACACCTCAACGGAATGCCCTTTTTCTAAACTTGGTGTTGCCCAGGTTCTTCATCGTTATGTTACCATTTCATATGCGGTTGGCTTCTGTGTTGAATATTCAATGTCGTTTTTCAAATGCTGGTTTAATCTGTCTACATAATTTTTTTAATTAGGACAGAAGAGTATCACGTTTGACTCTGAAAATTTTATAACGAGTATTAATAAAATGCAAAGTGAGACAAAGAAATAACAAAAACAACGACAAGGAAATAAATAAAGGGAGAATCTATGCATCTCTTGCTCCTACAATGGTTTTCTCAACTGATTCACAGGCTCAATCATGCACCTCCCCCATTAATCCCACACCCTCTGGATCTCGTAGAACCCCTAAGAGGAAGCAAAGAAGAGGATCTGGGTAATGCGTGTTGACTCCAAGAAATATTGGATATAATTTGATCTGGTAAAAACTTTCTTCTGGTAGGTTGTATTGTTGGAATGAGTATTAGAAGAAAAAAAATTCTTAGAGGCATTTATTTACAGCAAGGGGATGAATCTTACCTAACTGAGGGTTCTTCAGTCTGCAACTTAACAAACATATTTGGAAATGTTTCTACTCTATATGATGCATTCGACTTGCTAACCAGTCATCTTTGCCGCGTATTTGGAAAATTTTACGAGAGTGAGCCATGCACTGCCTAAAGGTTTTGGAAATGTGGCAGAATCTTGGAAGGGAGATTCTCTTCTCTGTTTAAGAGATTTTATAGGAGTCTCAATTAAACGGAGGTCATATGCCATATGGCAGGAGATTCGGCAGCCGGAAGAAGGGTATTTTCTTATCTGCCCGGCGGGATATTATTATTATTCGAATATTGTGAAGGAACAGTTGGATGAAGCAGCGGTTTCCAAAACCTTAAACAGAGAAACCTGGGGGCTTTAAGAGGTTAGTTCTTAGCAACCCATTTTCTGAGGCTTTCTATAAACCTGGGGAAGTTATGTGGTGAGAAAATTTCTGCATGGATGAAGGTTCTTGCAAACAAAGGCTGTCTTATCTGGGGGAGGTTCCCCATGATATTCAGATCTGTCCATTGAAACCTACTGCTCAGTGATCCGCCACTCGTTATCCTGCAACCCTGGCAAGGGGGGGGAGTGCCCTTGCACTGGTACTTCTTACGCTATAGATCCGATGATATTATCGAATTGAGATGATGAAATTGTGGTGCTCGGCCTGGCAAGTCGGCCGTGAGAAAGCATTGGATGAATATTCAGGTTATTCAGTGGGAAAGAAAAACATGCAGTCGTTAATATTGTTTCCACCATTGTTCATCTTGAAGGACATTTAGGGCCAAATTAAGGTGACATAATCACGGCGGATTTTTATCCTACTGAAAACCCAGATGGGGAGAATTAGCAGAGAGCTGATGGTCTCGAGCTTCTCATATAATGGAGTGACCCAACCCATAGGGTGGATCAACCCGCGCAGTAAGAATGCCCATGGCAAAATAGCTGGAACTTTGGGAATTAACTATCACTCAACATAGTTGGCTTGAAGAAATAGTGACCTTAGAACAATGAGGGAGGGATGATAATTTTTTCAATGAATACTTAAATTTAATTGGCAGGCAGTTTTCCCAGCCAAGGAAGCCAGCCGGGGATCTTCATCACATATGATTATTGAAGGGGTTCTATCCGCTTTTGTGTTTCTTCAGGTGACCACCGACAGCTTGCTGGCACATGTTGAAAAATTGCTGCAGGTTCCAGGGTCAAAGCTTCTCTTCGGAGGCAGACCTTTGGAGAACCATTCCATTCCAAGTATTTATGGCGCCTTGAAGCCAACAGCACTCTTCGTTCCTCTCGTTGAACTGGTGAAGGAGAGCAATTTCGAGCTCGCTACGAAGGAGATCTTTGGTCCCTTCCAGGTAATGTTCCTCCCAGCCAGATGGGTTCGTTGTCACTGAGGACGTTCTATCTGTTTCTCCGTTTTTCTTTTTCTTTTTTTCTTTCTGATACTATAGATTCCAAACGGAGATATTTATTTATTTATTTAGTCATTTATTTATGTAGTATTAGGAAGCCTTTCCCGTGTTTCATAGCTTGAAAACCTGCCTGGCTAACACTGCCCAAGAGGTTCTAGTGTTCCAGCTTTTGAAATTCTGACAGCTAAGCAACTGTGGATCTCGTTCTATATTTATCCGGAATATTAAAAGAGTAGACATTTGGGTTCGTATAAATTTCTACATATCATGCCAGTGATCATTCAATCTTTCCGCAGATCGTTACAGAGTACAGGCATGACCAACTCCCACTGGTTTTGGATGCGTGCCAGCGGATGCATGCACACCTGACCGCCGCAGTGGTTTCGAACGATCTTCTGTTCCTGCAGGCAAGAACTCCAAACTTGGCTATTTTAATTAAATTCCCACCCCCTCCTGGTGTGTTTCTCAAGGTGGGCACAGCAAGCATTCCATCAATGACCTGCCTTGATTTCTTCCCCTCCGTAGCTTTCCGACCATAGTTTTTGGCCTGGTTAGCTTAGCTTAATGGGGAAGGTCCCTGTCATGGGGGGACATCGCCATTCGAAAAGAAGAAGAACAAAACGAAACTGAGGGCAACTGCTCCATGTCCGGGCGGACACCTGGACTAGTAGTACCATCTTAAAGTAGTATTTTTTTCCTCTTTTAGGAGGTCCCTCTATCAGAGGCTGGCAGAGACTGAGAAGCTTGAAACGGTGGGCATCAGAAAAAGATGTTCTGGCATCAGAAATGTGTCCGACGCTGGTTGGTCAGCAGTGGATCTTCCGGGTTTAAAGAACACAGGATTTTGATGCCAAATTTGGGAATTTTGAGTCGATAATTTTGGTTATGGCTCGTGGAATTGGGCATCCTTCTCGTGTATCAGATCCCCGATTAATCTTCCTTGCAGAAGAATGAAAGTTATCTCCAACCTTGCTTGATCTGGGAATTTTCTATACTTGCAGGAGGTGCTCGGGAAGTCCGTCAACGGCACTACCTACGCTGGGATGAGAGCCCGCACCACGGGCGCCCCTCAGAACCACTGGTGAGTGAGAAACCCTTCTCTCTCTCTGTCTTCCTCGTTTCCCCCGGCGGCGCTGAAACACTGGGCCCTCGCAGGTTCGGGCCTGCCGGCGACCCGAGGGGCGCCGGAATCGGGACGCCGGAGGCAATCAAGCTTGTCTGGTCCTGTCACAGAGAGATCATCCACGACGTCGGCCCTCTGCCGGCCAACTGGGTTCTCCCTCCGTCCTCCTGAGACCCGCCGCCGGCAAGGTCTCGTTGAATAATCCCGTCGGTAATATAGTTCTCTCTCCATCTCCTCCTTTCTCTCTCTTCAAGATCTCAGACTGTGCCCATCAATCGAGCTGTGCGTGCGGCTCTCCGGCCGCCGTCCGTAAAGACGGCGGGGCCCTGCGCGGCCGAAAGCGTGGCCACGCCGCCGGTGGGCCCTTCACTGGGTGGGGATCTTCGCCGCTGACGCCGCCTGCATTGCAGGTGGCCACATGAAAGATTCTCCCTGGAAGAAAGTAAGCTCCTTTTCTTCAGCAATCGCCGCACGTCTTCGGAGATCTGCAGCGTCCGGTCAGTGCAGCCGGTCGATCTGATTTCTTCCAGTTGCCTGTCAATCAACCCGCCTGATCTTGAATCGGGTATTCGTTTGTATAATATCCTCCGCTAGGTTTGACCCAGACGCCGTCGTCCCTTCCTTCTTGGAGGTGACCCGGGGTCACACATCCAGGAGGAAAACTGGTGCTGGTAGGGTTATTATCCCACCTGCAAATGGCCGACTTTTGCGTGTGGGCTTCAGCCAATACCCGTCCATCTCTCTCTCTCTCTCTCTCTCTCTCTCTCTCTCTCTACATTTCGCGATACCCAATTGAAGAAATTGAGATTTTTCATCATTAGAACTAGGCTGCGACGACCAGACAGAGCAGAAGATGGACGTCCAATCCTCGCCTTTTCACGAGGGAGGCGGGGGAAAAAATTGAAACCAAGAGATAGAAAGAGAATGAAGGTGGCCGCTTCCGTCGCCGTCGCCGCCCCTTCGCCGGCGACGGTGGTCCTTGATCATCTCACGACGATCCTGGGCCCCCTGTACTTTCCCCCCACGACGACGAAGTCGTCGGGCTTCTTCTCCCTCTGCTCCAGCCACACCCGGCCCTGCGTCTCTCCCTCCTCCGCCGCCAGAGCAGAGTCACCTGAAAACCCTAATCAGAACACCCACAAACGAGCCCAAATAATAAACCCCGAGTTCAGAGATAGTCCTACCGGAGGAGATATTCGCGCAGGGCAGCTCGTTGTAGTACGTGCAGTCGTCGGAGTACGGAGGCCCGAGCACGTCCAGGACGGCGCACGCCGTCACAGCAGTGAAGCAGTGGATGTTGCCGCCGGCGGCAGGATACAGTATGGAAGTGTTACAGGGTGCCGTGAAGGCGGCGTCCATCACCACCTTCGCCAATCCTGCCGCAAGAACGACGACGATAACTCAGTTCAGCAAAGAAGAACAAACCCAGATCACCGGAGACGGGAGAGAGAGAGAGAGAGAGAGAGAGAGAGAGAGAACCAGGTTCAGTGTCTGGTGGGGGGCCGTCGAGCCAGTCGAAGGACTTGACGTGCATGGAGCCGAAGAGGAGCTTGCTGAAGACGGTCATGCCGGGGTGGTTGTGGAGAGGGATGACGGCCGACGGGGGGAGGCAGAAGATCCCAATCTGCAGGAGGAGATCTAACAAGCTATAAGAGCGACGATCGATCGAACACTGGGAAGTCTCCCAATCCTCAGCTCAGGATCGTCATCCATGAGAGAAGTAAGAAGAACAGTGCGTTACCGAGAACTGCTCGCACTCGTAGAGGTGAAGATAGGTCACCGGAGGAGGTTTCTCCGTCTCCCCGAAGCTCCCGAAGTAGGGCATGCTCTGGTTCAGGCCGACGTCTCCCGGGTTCATACGATCTGCCCTCACAAAAACAGAATTCGATCGAAATGAATAGCGTGTTCTCTCCGAGATACCAACAAAATCTGCGCTGAGCCCGCGGTGTTCAACCCACAAATCGTAACATTTCTCGAGCAAATGTGCTTGAATGAGGACGTCTATGAAACCGGAAAAAGACGGCATTTTTATTTTGTTTCGGAGGAGCTAGTGGGCACGATGATTGATGCAGACGGACCCAAGAACGGCATATTGATTAAGGACGTCTGGATAGATTGAGACATTCGATTTGCGGAGGATCGTCGACAAGAACGGGAAGCAAATCCAGAGAGGAGAAGAAAACGGGGGGCGTTCCATCGCGACTGAGAGCTCTGCTGAACAGTCGCCAATCGCCATTGCAAAATCTTCCGACCGGCAGTAATAACCACATCCTCCGCCGCTTCTGCGGGGCCCCGTCCATTCAATGCGCAGTGTCTTCCCCGATTTCAAGAAGTCATTGGAGAGAGATAAGCGAGACAGGGAGAGAGAGAGGAAGACAGGACGGCGGTCGACAGCAGGTGAACCGGAGAGGAAGCAAAGCGAAGATTATCTTTTTCGGATTCACAGAGCGATCCAGAGCACCCCGCGGTGAAACCCAATCTCGGTAGAGCAATTTTAATCATCACGCGAAGGGAAATGCGGGGGGTCGCTGTAGATTTCCAAAGCATGAAAACCGGAAAAAAAATAAATTCTCATCAGATTTCACATGTCAATGGCGGACTCCTGAGAAAACAGCGACCCGTTTCTCCCCCTTGGAGTAGAAGGGGAAGGGGATCAAATGCACAGCTGTGATCCCGAGGAAGAGGAAGGGGATTCTGTCGTACCAAGAACAGAGCGGAGGCGCTCCACGCCTGCGGGAGAGGGGACGACACCCGCTTGAACGCCCGAAAAGATCTCCCGACAGGTGTTGAAGAGCTTCTGGACCAAAGTGGGCATCGCCGGCGAGTTCTTCTGCCGCCTCCGGTTCCTCTTCAGCGACGGGCCGTTGACCCTCTCCGCCGCCGCCAACTCCCGCGCTTTCCGGTCCGCAAAGTCGCCCTCCACCCTCATGAAAGGAGAAGAGACCAATCCGGAGACAGACTCACCGGGAGGAACGATGAAGGGGTGGTTCTGATCTGACTCCCCTTATGGGCACCGAAGAGGACGACGACGGAGGATGATGGATTGGGGGAGTTTGAATCGTTCTGTTATCAACTTCGCCACTGTTGAATGGAGTTTTCTATGGGATGGAGGAACGGGGACCTCACTGCCCTCCTCTTCTCGCCTTCTGCTCTTCACCCTCGCGCCCTCTGCAATTAATACGAGGGTTTCTCTTGCGGGGGAGGTGATGACGGTACAAGAGGATGAAGACGACCGACGAGGCTGCCCTGAGATACCTTCTTTTCGAGGGCTGAAAAGGAAAACCATGGGCTCTGGGAGTCTGTGAGAAGCCTGGATTCCTGTGGGCTCTTCCTGTTTTAGCCTCTCTCTCTCCCTCTCTCTTCTCTCTCTCTCTCTCTCTCTATATCTCATCTATATAAGTAGGTATTCAAAGACTTGATAGGTGAACTACCGTTTCCCAACTTAGATAACTAGTGCCCCCAGAAGGTCTGGTCAAACGGATCCCAACGACCCCAAGTGGGGCCTCAGAAAATCAAAAAAGTCCAAAACTTGTGATATAAGCAAAGGCATGAAAAATCAAAAAAATGGTTCTACCAGGTACATCGCTCATTTTTGGAAAAAATTCAATAAAGTTCCCAACATTGACGTTTTATGGATTGATGCCATAAATGGAGGCGCAAAGAAAGCTTATCGCCGCCCAGCGTTGACCAACAGCTTACGTCATCAACTTATTCTGGTCATTAAATTAAAAAGTGGCCCACCTATATATTACTAATTATTCTAATAATAAATACCCATCTGAGAGCAATAGGTTCAGCTTCACTAGATCATCACCCCGCTTTGTAAACTCCCAACTGTTCAGTAGACAAGTGCCGACATAAAGCCAAGCTTTGAACGAACTCACGTGATGCGAGCCTTAACGACGGAAGTAAATGGCTTTTAAAACCCGTCATTAGTGTTTTGAATAGGCTCGGTGGTCTTATACGCGATTTTTCTAGGATGTGGGTCTCTCTCTCTCTATCGCTTACCCTCTCTCTCTCTCTCTTTCACACACACTTCCTGATGGCTGCTTGCGCTGTAAGAATCGGGGCCACACTAATCCATTGTTCGGGCTTATCTCAGGGCTCAATCCGATCGGGTGAGAGAAGCCCGAGCTTGCCGGGCTTTGGCCCCGCCCATTTCTCTCTCTAATTATCAGGTACGTTGATTGGACTGGGAGATGGGGACCAGGTCCGTGCTGGCGGCGGACTCCCAGCTTGTCGCCGGTGGTCACGCGCATGACGTCATCACACGTTTGAACCATTGAATTATCTCCCGACTGGTCGACGCTACGCAGCCACGTCGTCTCTGGGCGGCCCCCAGATCTCTGGAGAGAGAAAGGCCCGCGAAGCTGGGAGGCAGCAAGGAGAGAGAGAGAGAGAGTTGCGGAGTATCTTATGCACCAATAACTCCGTTCTCGTAGGAAGAGGGGAGAGAGTGACAGAGAGAGAAACTTCGGTGGGAACGTCTTTCTCTCTCTCTCTCTCTCTCTCTCTCTCTCTCTCTCCTGCATGGATGGTGAAAGAGAACAAACTCCTCTTATCTACACACTTCAGTCTTATATTCCGCAGGCCCGCTTTATCTCCTCGTGAACTCGTCTGGATTTCTCCTCCGACCAACGGGATTATGAGTGGGCGGCCGCGGAGAGCTTCTGCCGACGTTCCCCATTTGACATTCTGTCTGTAATCTGCAATGCCGGCGAGATTTGTTGACTGGCACAAGATTTGGATCGTTAGAAATAAACATAAATGGAAAAAAATGGGAAGAACTCCCACCCGACAGGACGATTTTGCCTGAATGTAGAACTCCAGAAAGTTTGGAAGAGAACTGGAACACTCGATGCCGCAGCCCCGTGGCATCCTCCTCCGATCGTCCCTCGACTCCGGCGACGGCTGAGGTCGCCTCGTTTCGAAGGCTAGAGCCTTAAGAGGAAGAGAGAATTGATTGTGTAGCGTTATTCGTAGAAGATAGAATTTTCTAGCTGAGATTCAGGAACGAGAAGGGGACGGACAATCCGCGCCATGAGACCTCCAGGGAAGCATGGGCGAGATGAGAGAGAGATAGAGAGAGGGGAGAGAGAGAAGAGAGAGAGGGGAGAGAGAGAGAAGAGAGAGAGGGGAGAGAGAGAAGAGAGAGGGGAGAGAGAGAGGGGAGAGAGAGAAGAGAGAGAGAAGAGAGAGAGGGGAGAGAGAGAAGAGAGAGAGGGGAGAGAGAGAGAGAGAGAGGGGAGAGAGAGAAGAGAGAGGGAGAGAGAGAGAAGAGAGAGAGAAGAGAGAGAGAGAGAGAAGAGAGAGAGGAGAGAGAGAGAAGAGAGAGGGAGAGAGAG